TCGCCGCCGCACGCACGCAGCACGCAGCAGCACGCACACACTGACTTGTCGGGAGCGCTATGGCAATTATTTCTGGGATTGCCGTGTCGGGTGGGATGGCGTGCGAAGTTATTGATTTTTAGACCCTGGCCTGGCTCTCTTGACAGGTAAGGTGGGCTAGGATGGCTGCTAGGTAAGGTACCTTAAGGTAAGGTAAGGTAAGGTAAGGTAGCGAGAGGCGCGATATGTCCGGGCCTTACCTAGGTATCTATCTCATGGTATGATTTTGTTCGATGATACTACCTACCTACTACTGTAGTAGTAACAGAGGGATGGGTATTCGGGGGGGTGGTTCTTGTTTATACACACTACTATCTCTGTCTACCTTTTCCTATTGACACTGAATATATCGGATTATCCAAACAAGGCGCTGCCTGCTAGTGGGCTGGCTGGCTATGGCTACAGTACACCCCACCCTCCTCCCTTCAACCGCTTTTCCTCGGCCGCACATCTATTGCTTCCCCTTGTACTCCGCGGGCCCGATCATCAGTTCCGGCCGGACCAGCTTGTCAAAGTCCTCCTCGCTCAGGGCCTTCAGCTCCATGGCCGACTCCTTCAGGGTCAGGCCCTTCTTGTGCGCGTTCTTGGCTACCTTGCTGGCCATGTCGTAGCCGATCTTGGGGTTGAGGCAAGTAACCAACATGAGTCTGTACATATCCATGTCAGCCCCGTCTCGGGATATCAGAGCAATGGACGAGGGGGAGGGGACTTACGATTCCTTAACGATGCTTGCGATCTTCTCCTCGTTCGCCTGGAGACCAACCACCAGGTTCTTCTCAAAGCTGCGCATGCCATCGCTCAAGATCCGGATGCTGTGAAGCAAGTTTCTGATCACCAGGGGCTTGAACACGTTCAGTTCGAACTGTCCGTTCATGCCACCGACGGTTGTAGCAGTGTGGTTGCCGATGACCTGCGCACAGACCATAGTCAGAGCCTCACATTGAGTTGGGTTGACCTTTCCGGGCATGATGGAGCTTCCAGGCTCGTTTTCGGGCAGGGCGAGTTCACCCAGTCCGCAACGAGGACCGGAACCGAGGTATCTGATGTCCTGGGCGATCTTGAACAGGGACGAGGCGAGGGTGTTCAGAGAGCCGGATGCTTGGACGATGGCGTCATGCGCGGCCAGGGCTTCGAACTTGTTGGGGGCGGTCTTGAACTCGGTGCCGGTCATCTTGCTGACTTCCGCAGCAATGGCCTCGGCGAAGCCCTTGTAGGTGTTGATTCCGGTACCAACTGCAGTTCCTCCTTGGGCAAGGAGACGGAGGTCTGGAAGGGAGGATTCCACTCGCTTGATGCCGAAGTCGAGTTGCGCAACGTATCCTGAGAATTCCTGCGCGAGGGTCAAGGGGGTGGCATCTTGCAGATGGGTTCGTCCGATCTTGATGATCTTCTTGGCTTCAAACTCTTCAACCTTAGCTTGCAGGGCGGCTCGTAGAGACTTGATAGCCGGCAGCAGCTCGTTCTCGATCTCGAGGACGGCCGCAATGTGCATAACTGTAGGGAATGTATCGTTTGAGGATGCGCTCATGTTGACATGGTCGTTGGGGTGGACAGGCTTCTTGCTACCCATCTTGCCACCGAGGATCTCAATTGCTCTGTTCGAGATGACTTCGTTGGCGTTCATGTTGGATTGGGTTCCGGAACCAGTCTGCCAGACAACGAGGGGGAAGTGGTCGATGAGCTTGAGTGACGCTACCTCAGCAGCGGCTTGTTGGATAGCCTTGCCAATTTTTGGGTCTGTCAATCGTAAGCTCATGCCTCATCTAGTTCTTCAATAGAGAGGCGTACCAAGTCCGAATTGCATGTTGACTGTTGCCGCGGCACCCTTCAAGATACCAAACGCCTTGACGATGGGCGGTGGCATGCGGTCTTGAGGCTGGTTGATCCTGAAGTTCTCCAAAGATCGCTCCGTCTGTGCTCCCCAGTACTTGTCCGCTGGGACCTGAATCTCCCCAAACGCATCCGTCTCGGTTCTCGTCTCGGCCATGTTGTATGCAGTTGCGTGGAATTGTCTCGCGAAGCGGGGTTGAGAAGAAGCTTGGGAGAGTCTGTAGGATGATGCGGAGCTGGCCAAGGAAGAACGTCCCTTGCTGTGCAGTAATCGTCGACCGGCAGCAGAGGCTGAAGTGCTCGAGAGGGGTGCCGTTGAAGCCGCTGAGGATATGACGACGGTACGAGCACATGTCGGTTTGGCAGCTGACAGCGGCGCTGCGAGCGCCGAGCTACCTCGTGCCGATCGGAGCATCATCGTGAATATAGGACCCCGGAAAAAAATGTCAAGGAGGCGGAATTGGGTCAATTGAAGGCTCAGGACAAGAGTTCTTCTTGATGAAGGTTTTTGTACACGTCGGAGGTACTGTGGATACCAGGCAAGATTTAAGAGCCTCATCCCCAGCCTTCCGGAAGCTTCGTCGGGAATAGCTGTCGGGATTTGCATCACGTGACTGCGGAGAAAGTCGGAAACATGGAAAAGGAGGTAAAGGGGATGGCTTTAAAGAGTAAAGAGTAAACAAATGAAGCTCAAGTTCAGGTCAAGATCAAATGCCTTCTATTATTGAGTTACATTAAACTGTACAAGGTGAAGAATAGCCTTCTCTCGCCGCGACACCCTTTTCATCTCTCCAAATGAATCTATCCTACATCTGCTATAAACCCCTTTCTAGACTTTAAACCACACTCTCGTATGCATAAAATGCTATGCAACAACAAACTGATACCCATTCAAACCTTCCAACTTTGAGGCCAGGCCGAAAAGTACTTTCAGAAAGGAAGCAATCAAGTTGATCTTTAAGCGCAGATAACAAGCCGTAGAATCGGAGTGTGTTACTTGAAGGAATGGAAGGCGGCATATGCTCAATTCAAAGCACTTGACTTCGAAGACTGTGCCGCCGTGGGGGAGAACCAATGCCTCAAGCAGAATTCAACGTCTTCACCATCCTTCTCTTCTTCCGCTCATCCGCGACTAGCATCCCACGACATTTGAGTACGGTCTCCAGGGTTTCAACAACCTTGTGGAAACTACTGGCAGCACCTCTCTCCTGCGTAAAGCGTGCGATGCTAAGACGAGATCGCTTTCCGTGTTCGATGACTGTCATGATTTCCCCTGCAAAGGCAACCTCTTTGATATCAAGATCTAAAATTGTCAGCTGAGCTCCGTGTGCAAGCGGCCATGGCTCTGGATCAACTTACAGTTCTTGGCGGACACTCTCCCAAACACAACATTTCTCTCCTTGTCTACCTGAATATTTCTAATCCCGTATCGTTTCCATTCCTTAAGGATGGTAGTGATCTCCTGCCGAGCTCTACGCTTTGAGACACAAAAGCAGATAAATTTCGAGGCAGGCTTGACGTTGAAGAGTTTTGCTAGCCAGTTCCTCTGCGGTTCTATTTGTCGAGGTTTAGAGTTTCCGTTGTTAGTGGCCCGTCTGATATGGGACTGGGTTTGGGCTTCGGCACTTGAGTCTTCATCACTTTCATTATCATCGAAAATATCGTCTGTTGATATATAAGTGGTCTGCCACAAAGAGAAACCGGCCTGCCTATACTTACCACCGAGTCTCATATCCGTCTTCGAAGGACGCTTCTTAAACAGCCTACCGAAGCTGAAGCCCTTCTTCTTTGGAGGTAATGGAACGTTGTCGAGCTGGGTTCGTGCTGTGTCATTACTTAATGACTTGGACGGGTTAGCGTTCAATCCTCCACTTGACATTCTCCAGTCCTGCTCATCCCCAGATTTGGAGCTGCGTTTGAACCAGCCTGACTTCTTTCTCACAATTGTGCTGGAATTGCTCTCATTTGCGAATTGATCATCATCACAATCTCCATCGATGCGTCCAAGATCGGGTCTCACGTCCAACTTTGACCCAGCATGATCTTGCTGCAGAGGTTCTAGTCCTGACTGGCCGTCTTTAGTTGAGTAGAAACCTCTGCCCGACCCGATTCCAGTACCTCCTCCCACTGTAACTGATGTTGCGCCTTGAGAGCTCTTTTTCCGAATCTTGAGCGGTGCCGGCATCTTGACTGGGCTACCTAGAGAGGACTGATCGACCACGCGGATGGTGTCTCTTACATTAGAGTCTAGTTCAGTAAAACGATTACCTGTAAAATCTCCGTTTAAGTATCGAGATTCAGGAGCTGATGCAATACGGCTGGCTTTGGCACTGTGTTTCGGATATTGGTTCATGAATTTGTCAAAACCTGTTGGTCGACGAGGTGAATCTTCTTCTTTCCGTACTTCATGTATCGATGGCAGATGCCGACTGGATGTTGCGTGCCTGCTGTCCACAGGAGCGGATGATACTCGGTGATTAGTATAAGTATATGCGGACGACGACGGTTGTATGAGACGGTCTATGTGTGACACCATCCGGTCAAGATATTCGTGTGATTCGTCCCCAGCAGTTGTTTTTCGAAGTTCTGCCTGGATGCGGGCCTGCATGAGTTCAATCTTGACCGAATCCGATCGAGCAGGAGGTGGAGGTAAAGGTCGATTGTTCAAAGATGTACGCTTGGCGTACTGGCCGGCAGATGGTCGGGTTCTTTTAGGTGTCAACACGGCAGATGGCTTGCTGTTTATTCTTTGAGTTTCAGTATTTGATACCACGGATGATCGATTGAAGGCTTCATCACAATCTCTGGCTAGACTAGTACTAAGTTGCCGAACGTCATCTGTCCATAGTTGGCTCGTACGAGCAGGCTTTGTGAGAGATAATAAAGGTTGAGCCGCTGTTGATTGAGCTTTCCTTGAGCGGATGTATCGTGTTGAAGGCGGGGTATCCCCTCCTGGGTGTAGAAAATCGCCACCGTCATCAGTTACCTCTGTGTTGTTGCTATGACGCTCAAAAGCTCCAGCTGATGGCGCAGATGCAACCCTCTGACTACTGCCAGATCGCCTTCGAAGGTGTGAAAAATCGACACCTCGTTTATGTCCAACGGGGGCTCGCATGTATGGGGCACTGTTCCGACTCCGAGTAGAACTAGCTAAAGAACTACGTGAAGTAAAGCCACGAGGAGGCGCAAGCTTCAGGAGCCTGCCACGATCGCTGCCACTTGCTATTGACCCGGAAGTATGAGATAATTGTCGGGGTTTGGTTAGTGGATTCATCATCTCATCTTTCTCATGAGCGCTTGGCCGAGTGCGATGGATGGTTATCTTAGCTCTGTCTGCTGCCCGAACTGAATCGAGGTGTTGAGGACGTGAAGCTTTGAATGGATCATAGCTCTGTTCTGTCTCCGCGACATTGCTGATGACAGTGAACCGCGAAATCTGGCGTCCATGACCTGCCGATTTGGGTTGAGGGAATTGTCGGGTTGAATATGCCTTTGTTAGAGCAAGTGGTCTAACATGATGGTAATCACTTGTAGAATATCCAATATCAGGTGTGTAATTCTCCAGCTGTGCATCCCTGTATTTCAGGAGAAGACTATAAAACAATTTCTGATCATTGGGCCTGCAAGCTTCTAGTCAGCTTCTAATGTACTTTTTTCCAGTCAATTAATACCAAATATTTGAACTTACTCGCCGCTCAAAAGTGCATCCACAAGTTCTTGCTCAGTAAGTCTGTGCCACAGAGACCTCAAATGCCGCAGCAATTCCTTGTTGATATCGCTCCTACGGAGAACTGGGCGCCCACAGCTCTTTATATCAGGGGACTGTGGACTCATACCTGCTCCATAATCGTCCAGATAATCGTATTTCCTCACGAGAGGGTGTCTCCATATTTGGTTCAAGTTGATTCTATCCCTGGGATTTACCTGCAGAATTCTCCAGATCAAATTGGCTGCCTCGGGACTGAACTCTGGGGCCATTTCATATGACCCTTTCCTAATTTTCATTAGAAGTGGACCGATCCAATCCTTACCAGTTCCTTCAACATCGAAGGGCAATCTTCCAGCAAGAGTGGCGTAAAGAATAACACCCATGCTCCAAATATCAACCTTGTCGCCACGGTAAGTTGAACCCCGTATCAGCTCTGGGGCGGCATAATGCGGGCTTCCACACGAAGTTTTGAGCTTGTGATCGGGGCTCTGATGCAAAGCGGCCATTCCAAAATCAGCAATCTTGATGTCACCTCCCTTTGTCAACAGTATATTCTCTGGCTTCAGGTCTCGATGGCAGATGTTGAAAGAGTGACAATAACCGACTGCACTGAGGATCTGTCGAAAGTACTTCATGGCTTCCTCCTCATCCAATCGCCCGTTCACCGTAATATGTTCAAAAAGCTCTCCCTTGTCCACGTATTCTAACACTAGGTATCTTTAGGCAATTAGATAAGGAAACAGAGACGGGGGGGATCGTATTTTCACTTACATCTCGGTGCGATTCTCCCATATATCGTACAACTTCATGATGTTCGGATGCTGGATGAGCTTCATGATAGCCACTTCTCTTTCTATTCCGATCGGCATTCTGCGAAACCCATCTTCAGAGTCCGCCAAGCTGGATTCTACTTGATCGAGAGCAGCTAGACTTCCAGCTTGTGACATCTGCGCGTTCTTCTTCTGAACGATTTTGATAGCCGCCTCTTGCCCCGTGTATGCATGACGTGCCAGTCGCACTCGAGCAGTTGCTCCTTTTCCTAATGTCTTCCCCAGCTTCCATGGCCCAATGCATGCTTTGATGCGCTTGCCGTCCGATGCATTGGTTGAGACGGTCGATATCTGGGAATTACGATTGGAATCCGGCCCAGGGTAGTCCTTAGGTATAGCCGAAAGACGCGGATTAGCCATACTGGGGTTTGCCGATGTTTCTCGCTCAAAGCCTCGCAGCGGGTGATGATCCTCTGGGGAAAGTGGTGAGTCTGGAGCTACATTCCGAACCTTGAGAAAGCCGTCCTGTCTAAAACTTTCATGGCGAGGAGTTAGGGTACTTCTCGAGGAGCGTATATCCGGGGGATATTGCGTATTGTTGATCCTACTGGTTGCTTCTCCAAGAGGCGCACGACGCGTTGGTGGTCGAGGGGGTGGTTGATAGCTCATGGTTGGAAGCTACAATTAATCCCTCTCGCATTTATAACAACATGACCAGATACTCGGGCAGAGCTAATGACGCGCCCAGAACGCGGAGTTCCTCTCAAGCACTAGGAACAGTCTCGTTGCTAGGTAATATAATGTAGTGCTCGTGTGCAATGTGTTCCTAGATCATAGACAGCTATGCCAAGGCCACGGCCGCGACGCGACGCGGGCCTTCAAGAGGCAACTGGGAAAATCTAGATATCCAGTGTTAATCTTTAAGCCCTTGATATGCAGCTAACAGGAGAGATCGTACAAACCAGTGCTGAATATGCTCCCAGCAATACGTGTTGACTAGGGAGGTTTGTAAAACTAGAGGAGCCTCGGTGAATGAATGTAGTAGTACTAGCCCTCAGTGGAAGTAATAAAGGGATTGATAGGAGTGAGGAGAACTGATGGTATCTGTCAAGGAAGTAGTGAAAAAAAAAAACGTTTGCTTGTGGGAAGTTTTTCGTTGTGGCAGATGGTTTGTTGACATTGGCCGATTCTCCACGTGCTATGCGTGCCGAATCCAGGAATGCATCATCTCGAGAACTGACTATAGGAATCACCACGCGCATTTATTTGTATTTAAGACAACACATTCCACGCATAAGAGTACAATGAGTACAGAGAATGGAATAATGAATGAAACAGATATACCAAGTTCTAAAATTTGTCGTCAAGTCGATGAGCACTTGTCTATACATCTATGGAAGTACCGGGAGTTGCAAGTACTGCATTGGAAATGGACCATATCTCCCTCCAGCACGGCGCTTCTTCTAGCAGGCTGTGTTACCACGGCGACGAGGCAAAATGCCACAGTATGGGCCGCAAGCAGCATCTTTCACGTCGCCTGGATAACTATGGATGCATCGGGTTGGCGGTCAAGGTTGCATATGATGACCATTATCGCAGTGGTGAAGATTAGACATCCGCTGAATTATGATCAGGTAGACTTACCTCCATGCAGATTGAGTGGGAATGATGAGTTTCTGTGCAGTGCCAAATGCTTAATGGCCTCATCATCCACTTCCCCCGGACTTGAACATTAGCTTTGGACAAACCGAGCATTTTGATGACGGTGAATGCGCCCCAGAATTACCAACAACTGCCCAGTCGGTAGATATCCTAACTTTCACAAGGCGCTCCATTATCCCTCAGTACCCAGGTAATTTGCAAGCACCAGAGGCAGTGTTCGAAGTACATTCATCGATGCCACTGAGCCAGAGGACGAGTAACAAAAGGCGGAGCAGCTCCATTATAACAAACTGCATTAAACAATCCAGATATTCCTGATTTCGACAATGAGAGGGCGTTTACGTTTTCTGCAAAGAACTTCGAATCGAAAGGGAGAGGAAGTGAAGTTGGTCGTTTCAATCAATGCCTCGCTTATATAATCGGAAGCGATCCCCTCCGACGCGTCGCGTTCTACCTCTATCGTGTCTATCAATACCTCTTTTTCTCCGAGACAACGAAACGTCAACGAATAACCATGTCGTCGCGTATAACCCCTCATCGGCGGCGAAGATCGGAAATCGAAGATGATGAGGATGCCGACAGCATGGGAAGCTCGCCCAGATCAACTCCTACCGATTCAGCGAAACGCGCCCGCACAAATGGCTATGACCGAGACAGTCCCTCAGGATCTTCAGAACCAGACGATTCCAGCATGCCCCCTACTAATGGACCCCGATATACTGTGAATGGGAATAGGAACGGAGAGAGCGAGTTTCAACCAGGTGCAATCGTCCGCGTCAAGTTGACCAACTTTGTCACTTACGAGAGTGCCGAATTCTTGCCGGGGCCAAACCTGAATATGGTCATCGGACCAAACGGCACGGGCAAGAGCTCATTAGTATGTGCGATTTGCTTGGGACTAGGATGGGGCCCACAGCATCTGGGGCGTGCTACTCAGATTGGAGAGTTTGTCAAGCATGGTTTGGGAGAGGCATATGTGGAAGTCGAATTACAGCGGCGCAGCCATGAACCGGAGAATCATGTTGTCCGTTTAAAAATTATTCGGGACGGGAACGGTCGTGAGTGGTGGTTGAATGGGCGAAAAACGTCATTGAAGGCTGTCCAAATGTTGACTAGGAGTTTGAGCATTCAAATCGACAATCTGTGCCAGTTCTTACCACAAGATAAAGTGTCTGAATTCGCAGCTTTATCGCCGGTTGAATTGCTGCAACAGACTCAAAGAGCTGCAGCCCCGGAACAAATGTTAGAGTGGCACGAAGAACTGAAGAAGCTTCGCAGAGATCAGAAGCAACTTGAGGAACAACATGCGAGAGATAAAGAGCATTTGGAAACTCAAGAGACTCGCCAGGAAGGCCTGCGTGCTGAAGTCCAAAGATTGGAAGAGAGAAATCAAATTCAAGACAGGATTGCGTTGCTAAAGAAGACGGTGCCATTTGTGGAATATAGAACCGCTCGCCTCCAGCATCTGGAGTTCAAGAAGAAGAAGGAGGAGGCACAGGGTCGTCTACGGGATTTAAGAGCACAAGTCGAGCCCACTTTACAATCAGTCAATCATAAGCGGGAATATGCAGAGCGGATCAACACGGTGGTCAAGGAGCGAAAGAAGAACCTTCATACGGCGGAGCGAGCTGCTGACTTGGCTATGACGGAAATTGAGAAGCTCGACGGAAATATTCAAGATATCGAGCAGAAATCAGAAGCGGAGCGACAGGCCGAAGATCTCAGGAGGAAGGACATTCTGAGAATTCAGAAGAAGATAAAGGAGCTGAAGGCTCGATTACAAGAGGAGCCAATTGAATTTAATAGCGTTGAGTGGAATGAGAAAGTTGTGAGTTGATCCCAACTTAATTCTGAGGGCGGTGCTTACAATTGAATATTCAGAGCGCAAAACAACGTGAAGGTCGCTCACTTGAGGCCGAATTGCGAGAACTTCGAATTCAAGAAAAGGACCTTGTGGATCGCGGAAGGAAAGCCCGTGGCGAGATCCAGGCCGCCGAACAGGAATTAGCTGCTCTCGACAGTCAGGAAGGACAACAGTTGAGCAAAGTTGAGAACCTATCTAGAGACACGGCAGCAGCCTGGAAGTGGATCCAAGAAAATCAGGGAAACTTTGAACAGGAAGTCTACGGGCCTCCTCTCATTTCATGCTCTATCAAGGACCCGAGATATACAAGTGCTATCGAATCACTCGTGAATAAAACCGATATTTTGACTATCACGGCTCAAACGAATAATGATATGAAAAAGCTTAGCGACCATTTATATGGGACCATGAAGCTCGCTGATGTCTCGATTCGGGTTTCCAAAGACCCAATAGCCGCCTACGGCTCTCCTCCTCTGTCTAATTCGCAGCTGGAACGATTTGGTCTTGATGACTGGGCGGTTAACTATATTGACGGCCCGGAGCCGGTACTATCCATGTTGTGTGGTAGTAAAGCCATCCACAAATCGGCCGTCTCACTTCGGGATATCAGCGAAGAACAACACAACGCGTTGCTCCAGACACAGTGCCGTGTCTGGGTGGTTGGAAGTCATTGCTATAGAACTAACGTGCGAGCAGAGTACGGATCTCAAGCCACCTCGACGACGACGAGGTCAGTTGCTGCCGCACGGTTCTGGACGGATCGTCCTATTGATAGCTCTGCCAAGCGTGAGATACAAGGCAGGATCGACACCTTAAATCAAGAATTCTCGGAATTGAAGGAGAGAATCAAGCCACTAAGAATCAAGATTGATGCGCTGGAAAAGGCTGTTCAGAACATTAAGGAAGAAGTCGTAAGTCAAACCAGTCTTACATCTCATACTAGTAACTCATGGATTATCTTTCTAGGACGCCATAAAGAAAGAGAAAGCACACCGCCAGCACCTTCATGGACAGCAATTACAGATACCAAAAACACTGGGTAAGTACGGAGCTGCTCGTATCCCCCGAATTCGACTAAATCGATACCAGAGCGCGAGGAAGAGGGCTTGGCGGCGAAGGCAAAGGAAGGTGATGAAATTCGCGAGCGATTCAAAATGTTCCATACCCAGTATGACCACGCTGTCCTTAGGAAAGCGTCAAAAGCACTCGAATATAAGAAGAGGGTGGAGGATATCCGGAGATGCCACGAGGAGCTGCTTGAAGCCGAAATCAGACTCATCGAGGCTAGGTCTGATGTGGAATCTCTTGAAGAACGCAACAGAGAGATCGTTCAGAGACTCGAGGAAGAAGAACAGCAAGTCAGGGAGGTAGAACGAGAAGCAAAGGCTGCGCATGATACGGCAGCCAAGGCTCTGAAAGTCTGCAAGGCAATCACAGCTGAGGCCGATCCTTCTGATATGGATTACTTTACGAAACTTTCTCCCGATTTGACCATCGAATCAGTTGAAATGGAAATCGCAGCTGAGGAATCGAAACTTGAATACATACACGCCAACAATCCAAATGCAATTCGAGACTTCGAAAAACGTCAACAGGAGGTTGATAAGTTAAAAGATAAGATCACAGAAGCCGAAGAAAAACTGGAAAGATATGGCCGTCATATCGCCAAGATCAGGGGCAAGTGGGAGCCCGAGCTTGACAAACTCATCGCGGAGATCAGCGATGCGTTTTCGTACAACTTTGAGCAAATCGGATGTGCCGGCCAGGTCAGCGTTCACAAGGACGAGGATTTCGATCAGTGGGCTATCCAGATCAAGGTCAAATTCAGGTAGGACATTTTCTTGCTACTATTGATGGTGAGTCACTTCTAACCGATAGCAGAGAGAACGAAAGCCTCCAAATCCTGGACCAGCATCGTCAATCCGGTGGTGAGAGATCGGTCTCTACAATCTTCTACCTCATGTCACTCCAGTCCCTCGCACGCGCGCCCTTCCGCGTCGTCGACGAGATCAACCAAGGCATGGACCCGCGCAACGAGCGCATGGTCCACGAGCGGATGGTGGAAATCGCGTGCAAGGAGCACACTAGCCAATACTTCCTCATCACGCCCAAGCTACTAACGGGTCTCCGATACGATCGCAGGATGAAGGTGCTCTGTATCCAGAGTGGCGAGTACATGCCCGAAGATCACAACAAGACGGATATCCGCAAGATCATTGCGATTCGGAGATCGATTGTTGCGGCTCGTTAGAAAGGCGTTGGGAATAGGGAAAAAAGGGCGGGCGGCTTCGTGTTAGACATGTGTACTATACCTCTTACTGGCAATTACGGGCTTCATGTATGAATAATGGGTTCAGAATAATGATACCAGAGCTAACGTATCCCATCGCATATGGGAAACTGCTATTTACTTAAACTTTCAATTGAATCAAGTTAGGGCTTATGCAGAGCATATGCTTAACAATTACTTAGTATAAACGCCTCGAACCCCCCCCCCCCCCCCCCCCCACCCTTCTCCCCGGGGGGCAAAACCCGGTGCGGGGTGGATCATTAAGTTGGGGCATTATCTTTGACTCCGTGGAATAATCATCAAAGGAGGGGTTGGCTCAATGTATCACAGAGTAGTAGAGAAATACACGAGCTGCGCTGCTTGCACCATTCAACATCAATCAGCGAACCATAACTTGAACCTGATATCTATTTGGGAGTTGTGAAACCATAGCTCATTAGATACCTGGTATTTGACACAAGTTCGATATGCGGCTGAGACTGCATTTGCCGCTGACCATACATACTACGACTGATTTGCCTTATGCCTATCAGGTTTGCAACCACCATCTAATTCCTACATCTAGCGGATAACCCACAGCGGTCTGATGCAAAGGCGGTAAAACTACAGCGCCTGTGAACCTTGCTTTAGATTTCGTAGATTTTATTACCTTGACGAGCAGGAACATCGGACGCTCCCGGTTCTCAGCCCGATTGGGAGCCTCTTTTACGGCTCGAGATGGCCCCCATTCATCAATGGCTGAAAGTGTGAAGCCAGCATTCAGAAGGATAGTAAAGTCTGTGGCAATTGTTCGATGCTATTTCAAACCATCTTAGGCAATCCACTTCAAAGTGTCAGCATGGTTCAAGATGCCAGACGGAAAGGTACAACATACTACTCAGGAATTGGCCAGTCATGCGTCTTCCAAGGCATATCTTGGGGTTCGGCATGCCTTGCACTTCCTCAGCCTCTTCCACGTATGAACAATTCAACACTGGAAATATACACACACATTGGTCACGCCGGGTTCCTCTGATATGTATCCATCGAGCAGCCATATAATATACTATGATAACGTTCCGGATCCTTAATGAACCTTGGATTCCGAGGTGATGTATAGATAGGGTGCTCGAAAGAGAAATTAAAGCTTCCGACCAGCTGAGCTATTCAGGCCGTAGTATTCAATCCTCCGCATCGGAATCCTGTATGAATAGAGGAGGTCTGGGTACACTGTCGGTTATCAGACTCTCTGGCAGCATCTGACTTTTAGTCAGTAGCTGCGAAGAATGCAGTGAGAACGGTATAGGAGTGTCTGAGTCCTGATATTCTTGAGGGCGGGGAGTAGGTAATTCAAGCGGCGTACTCGAAGGGACTGGCCGTGTGGGCGATTCCCATATGACATCAGGCAGGTTCTGTTTCTTCGGTGTTTGGGATTGGGTGAGATCTACAGTCGATGCTTGTGACGAGCGAACAATCCGAGGGGTTTCTGGCCGGGTCGCAGGAAGGGACTCCTCATAGGAAGTGTCCTTTTCGTTGACGGCCTGAGTCGAACGAGTTCCAGAACTGGTCGCCGGTTGTGTGAATTGCAATATATCGCTAAGTAGTTGTGCCTCGGCCTCTTGTGTGTCCGTAGATGAGGAGGGCGGGATAACTTGAGCTATTGAAGGCTGAGTGAACAGCGGTGGCAACAGGTTGGCCACCAGACGATCAAGCACCGCCGGTCTTACCCAAGACCATTTCGTTGGCGGTACTTTAAGCCACCCGTTGGCGTGGATTTGGGCCCATGAAAGAGGATCTGCAAGTTGGTAAAGCTCCAGGATCTCGTACGCATAATTCGAACTGTCACTAGGCTTGGCATTGAAATCTGCGTTTCCTATTCCACTCTCATTTAGAATCTCCTTCGGGCGTTTTTCTCGGCTTATTACTGCCATGTATTTTAACGTAGATGTTGGCGCAGTCTCGTATATCCACATTCGAGAAACACTGGGTGGCAGACGCCACTTGCGGAACTCGTGATCTTTCGTTCGATTCAATATTTTTGTGATATTCTGAGGATGGATAGAGATGAAGACGTCAGATTCCGCTGTTCGGGGCGCCATAGAATTCACATGTTGAGTTGAAAGGCGTTGGCTTTCCATGGGTTGAGATTCTCCTAACTCTTCCCTTATTGGCTCATCATCTATTACCTGAGATTCCTCAGTATGAGCGGAATCAAGAAGCTTTTCTGCCTCTAACTGCGTTTCAACACCTATGTGACCGTAGTATGACTCGGGTTCTTCGTCTTCGCCTTGATCCGCGCCTGGGAGGTATCCATCCTCTAGTTCTTCTACCTCACTCTCGGCGTCTGAATCTAGAATTTCAAATTTCGAATTTGCTTGACTAGAAGGCCTTTGAGATGACGTATTTTGTGAAGGTTTCCTCAAGGTTGGCGAAGCAGCTACACCCTCAACACTGGCATCTGGTACATCAAACCTGGCATCTGGTACATCAAACCTGACCGTTTTTGGAGGGCTTGACCTTTTGGAAGGAGTCGTCGGGATACGGCTTAGCTGACTTTCTGTTGCTGTATCAAAGGTATCCTCGATTATAAGCTTGGGAAGTTTAGAAGAAGTTGGCGGGGCTTTTGGAGTAGGAGAGAAATGAATGGGAATATTTGTTGACTTTTCTTTCAATGGCGAACGTCTGAGTGGGGAGGTTCGAGAGTGCAATGACGACGGTGTTACTGGAGACTGAGATGATGGAATCTCCTGGGCAAGCTTTCGATGTGGTGTCTGTGGGGGTCCCATATTCCCCGGGGCGCTCTTCCTTCTTGAAGGACTTCGTACTGTGGATTTGGCTGGCTCGGGAGCTATAGGGACGTTTTTGCGCCGAAGCCCCAAGGATCGTGGGGAGCTAGGAACGTCAAAGACATCATCATCCTCCTCCTCTTCTGTTTCTGTGAAACTCCGGACGAACTGAGTCAAAGTCTGCGTATGGTACTTTGAATCCGAGGAGGGCTGATCTCCCTCTGTCTTTCTGCGTTTCTTCTTTCGTTTCTCCGCCTCCTCTTCATAGCTATCCAAATCCTCATCGTCGTCCTCAAATGACTGATTGAGTTTCACGAAATCCATCTGCGTGAGTGTGTCTTGCGCCGGTTCTGAAATTCGTTTGGATGCCTTCTTCCCATATGTGATGCGCTTCTTTGGTTCGGGGAATTTGATCTGTTTGAGAGGTACCGAGGATTTGTAGACACGGTTTGCCGGGGCGCTGATAGTTTTTCGAGGAGGCATTTTGACTTTTGGAGCTGTCGGCAGACATAGATCAGCATGTACGGCGTTGCTAGAATTTGATGAAGATACCAAAGGTATGGTCCAAGTCGCGTCTGCAGCTACACGCGACGCGATTTAAGCGATGGACCCCTATAATGACTAACCAGGGGCAATGACATCACGATTCCTTCGAGATTGATGGTCAAGAACTCTGCATTTTTGTGTTCAACCTGCCACGTTAAGGGAAATATTCGTATCCAACCCGTCCTTTGTCATAGAGTATATTTCCATTAACCCTTCATTGGCTACAGAGCCTACCCTCAAATGGATCTTCCCGTTATTCGGGATTTCAGGCTAGAAAGGGATGACTTGAAGTCCTGTTTGTATTTTGTCGACTACGGTAATTAAACTTCCATGCCAATACCATCCACCTTGCCTAAGAAATCACCCTTCGCACCCTTCAATAACTCGTTGATGTCGACTGTTCCAGAAGCCAAGTACCTCTCACTAACACCAACATTGATGCGCTGAGCCAAAAGGCTCTTCAATTCCGCACGCAGCGCTCCTAATTCGCTCTTTGTCAGAGCTCTCGCCTCTTTCTCCTTCAGTTTTCTCCCAGTTCCTCTCCCCTTTCGTCCGCCACTAGCTGCCTCAAATTCCTCACTATCATAATCAACACCAAGCTCCTCTGCCGCAGCCTTCACCCAATCATCATCATGGCCTTTCTTCTCTTTAGCCAAGGCACTATCTGCGATCTGTTTGGCCAAAGTCACTCGAGGCTTGAGTCTTGCAACAACTCTACGATCCAGGTCTAAGGATCTCATGTAGTACTTTGACTTGTTGCCTCCACCTGCGATCGCATTCTGTGCATGCACTTTCGCAACAAGTCGTCGCATACCCACGACTTCTTCTGGAGCACAGAGCAGAATGCTGGACCCTGAAGCTTCGGCGCGAGCTGTACGTCCTGATCGATGTACGTACATGTCCGCCGTGCGAGGGAGATGGTAATGGATGACAAGCTGGACTCCTCCAATATCGAGCCCTCGGGCTGCAACATCCGTAGCGACAAGAATCGAACCCGTTTCCTTTGGTGATGAGAACCGCTCTATAGATCGCATTCGGGCTTTTTGTGCCATCTGAGAATGGAGAGCGTGTGCTGGGAGATTAAGATTCTGCAGGAAGGGTGTCAGACGTCGGACGGAATGTATAGAATTCGTAAAAATCAGCGTGCGCTGGTTCGGATGGTAAAGAAGTAGGGAGTAAAGATAGAGGTCCTGAAGTTTTATTAGCAAAGTACTCCCCATCTTGGAATATGTAATACCTTTTCGGTGCCAGCACACTCAACCATGCCCTCTTTTAATCCTTCTGCCATTTGGGAGACTGGGTTGACATCAACAAACTTGGGTTTATCTTCGCGGAAGTTGAGTTTCTTCAAAAGATACTCCATCGACTCCTTGCCGTCCATTAAACCCTGCTTCCCCTTCCCGGCCAGCTTTTGCTGTAGACCTTTATGGAAGGTGGCAGAGAATACTAGAGTTTGGCGGGTCGGAATTCTTTCCTCATCATCTTCGCTGGCAACCTCTTGTCGGTCAAGCGCGCTGAGGATCTCTTCAACCTCTTTAAAATGGCCCTCAGTGAGTAATCTGTCCGCTTCATCAATCACCAAAAACTTGATCTGCTTAAACGACTGGGATAGAGTTGTGCTTGAACTCATAACCTCCCAAAGACGACCTGGAGTACCGATCACGACGTCCGCTTTCGCCAATTGTCTCTGTTGCTTTTGAACAGACAGACCACCTGTGACAGCCGCAACGTATGGAGCATTTGGCATTTCAGCGCATAATGCTTTGATATGTTCGGTCAATTGATGCGCCAGCTCTCGGGTAGGGGACAATATCAAAGCCGTTGGCGGCCTGGTGTTCTTCTTCTCTTCCTCGTCCAATTCCCCATATAATTCAAGCCAGCTCTCTAGTATCGGTATGCCGAACGCCAACGTTTTTCCTGATCCCGTTGACGCCTTTCCTATAACATCATGACCTCCAAGAATTTCCGGTATCGCGGCTGACTGTATAGGGGTCGGTTTCGCAAAACCTATCTTTGATAATGCCGAGAGAGTAATTGATGATAGGTCCAGCTCTGCCCACGCCGACACGTCTGTTTCCTCTTTTGCGGCATCTTCTTCAAGGACTTTGAATACGTTTGTTTTCAACTCACTTGAAGATAGATGCGATGTTTCTTCGGTTCCGCTCATCTGCTTTTTGGATTTTTCCTTCTTGACCTTCTTTTCTTCCTTCTTCTCCTCCTTCTCCTTCTTCTCCTTCGCAGATTTTGTTGCCTTTGTATTATCAACTTGAGCTTCCTTTTCAGGTTCAACTTCATCATTGTCTGAGAACCCTTCGAATTCGTCATCGTAATCGGGCGCCTGAGCCGTGGCAGACACCTGGAGATAGTAAGTATTTGCCAATGAGGGGTTCCTTAACAACATACAAATTTAACAGTACCTCCTTCACGAACAACATCAACACCCTCTACTTCTTCAAGTCCAAAGAATCCTTCCGCATCCTCAAACATATCCGGCATTTCAACCTCATTCCACGGCAGGGCATCCAACGCAACAGGACGTTTCTGTACGGCATCTGGCGCAGACCCTGTCTTTTGACGCTTTTTAGACCGCTGACTTGAAGTCGGCACCGGCCGTGACCGTTTCTTCTGCTCTGGAACTGGAGCCATTTTGAATATGTGAAATACGTCCTAAATCCAAAGCTGTATATTCAAGGCTGTTTTTTCCTAGGCGGCCTGAAGTTTCAGCAGGGAAAACTTTAGCGCCTTTTCAGCCTCGTCTAAGATAGCGCGAGCGAAAACCTACGGGGTACAGCCTCGCGCACTACAGTGTCTTCCTCCACCAGCACAATTGCGATGCTACCCGTACCGTGCCCATAAACAATTGTCAATATGGGCAAGTCGTCAAAAGACAAGCGTGATGCTTATTACAGGCTTGCTAAGGAGCAAGGCTGGCGTGCGCGAAGCGCATTCAAGCTGCTCCAGCTAGATGAGGGTAACACTCCGAATTTCCGAAAAAATTCCAGTTGGCCTCTACTAAAACTTCTCTCCCAGAATTTGACCTCTTCGCTGGTGTCACCCGTGTCGTTGACCTCTGCGCTGCTCCCGGTAGCTGGAGCCAAGTCCTATCGCGAGTCTTGATCAAGGGGGAGAAGTTTGGGCGGACGGCATGGGAGGACAAACAAGAAAAGCTACGGCAACAATTGCTCAAAGTATACGGAATTGAGCCTTCAGCAGCCGAACTACAAAAGGCACAAAAAGAGGAGGTAGAGGAGGCCCCCGAGTTGAAACCTCGCAAAGATGTCAAGATCGTTGCGATAGATCTTCAACCCATGAGCCCCCTCCAGGGGATCACAACTCTTCGAGCCGATATCACCCACCCGGCAACGATTCCTCTCCTTCTCCGTGCTCTCGACCCCACATATGATCCTACTTCACAGTCGCAACACGCATCGCACCCTGTGGACCTCGTGCTCTCGGATGGCGCACCAGATGTCACAGGCCTACATGATCTTGACATATACGTGCAGTCGCAACTCCTCTTCGCTGCGTTGAACCTTGCTCTTTGCGTCCTCCGCCCAGGCGGGAAGTTTGTCGCCAAGATATTTAGAGGCAGGAATGTCGATTTGCTATTTGCACAGTTAAAGATCTTCTTTGAGAGAGTAGTGGTCGCGAAGCCGAGATCAAGTCGGGCGAGTAGTGTTGAGGCATTTATCGTGTGTCTCAATTTCACTCCGCCTGATGGATTTAAAGCTAGTCTTGAGGATCCGATGGGAGTCGGCGACCGACTAGACAAGATGGCAAGGATGAAGGCACAGCAAGCTCCCATTTTGGCGCCTGCAACTCTGCAGGACCCTGAAAGGGGTACTTGGTCAGCCAGCAGTTTCAGACCAGTAGCAGGCATGGCGGATACTGTTGTCGAGGTCACCCTGCCTGATGACGAAGTTGAAGCTCGTCAGAACGGGCGATGGATAGCACCTTTTTTGGCTTGTGGAGATCTTTCTGCTTTCGATGCGGATGCTTCATATCATCTCCCGAAGGACCGAGTTACGCTCGATCCCGTGCAACCGCCCACCGCCCCTCCTTATAAGCGTGCTCTCGAGATGAGGAAAGCTGCAGGCGGCGCTTACGGGAAGACGTCTCTAGTATGACGAGCCGACCATCGGGTTTGGGAATGCATAGCAAGGCGTTTGGTTTACAGGCAATACCGGTACACTGGACTGAAAGAAGTCTCTCACGTCAGGCCCGTCTCACGGTTCGAAATTCAAGGGCATTTGCATTACTTGGTCACTCAAGTGAGTTCTGGCCCACAAAAGCTATTGCATACTTTATTGAGGTATACTTTATGGTGCGGTTCATGTATAGCCCAAACAGCAGAAAACCAATTTGAGAGACGCCCAACAGAACCATTCCAGAGATATTCAACACGTGATCCGCTCGCGACTTCATCCAACTCCTTCCACGAGGACTCTTTCCACATAATCGTGGATCAGACTCTCCTCTCGATCATTTTGCCCCAATCATCAACATGCGCTGGCTCTTCATTTTGTGATGAATCCAAGATAGTCGGCAACGATCAAAGTTACCATCCTGTGTTATGGTATTAGCAGCTGCGCAGTTCGAATGGGAACTCGGGCATAAGCTTACGCATGAGGAGCAATTCTAACGTAGTAGGTACCGAACCCTCGGTAGAACCGCAACAAACCCTCATCCTTTGCTACTTTTCTAAAACAGTCAAACATTCCCTTATATGGAAGAGTTCCATCAGGTCTCCTCTGTTGCTTTTGCAACCTCGTCTTCACAAAGTCGAACGGCAAGCTGAAAAAGGAAGCGAAGAAACCGGCGATGGCACTCGCGCTCAGTGTCTGTGCTCTTTGGCTCAAAGCTGTATCCTTCAGCTGCTGTTTGGCTTCAGAGAAGAATGCCAACTGCCCGAAATTTAGCGCCATGGCTCTAACAACGGTAGGTGCTGCTCCGGCCCATAATGCGCCAACGCCTTCCGTCTTGGCGATGCTGGTAAGCGCATGGATAACTGATCTATAGTTGTTTCGCTGCGCAGCAGGTTTGAGACCGTCTGATTGCATACGAATGAGAGCCAAATCAGCAGGGTTCCCAATCATTGCCGCGAGACCACCGGCGCCTAATCCAGCACCAGCTCGCTCCACAAACCCGATTTTATTTCCCTTATCCTTTGCACGTTTTGTGAGGGCGATCATAAAGGTGTCGAACAAGCCCAGCCGAGCGGTTGTGTACACAGCTTGTCGTAATAAACCAGCCGACAAGCCTGTGTATAAGTCCATTACCTTGCCAGCGGCTATGATTTCTTTCGTCACGGAGAGCGGAGTGGGTTTTGGACCTGTCCGGGCTCCTTCGCCAGCCAATTGGAGTCGGACTTTGATCATGTCGATAGGCTGGATGACTGTCGTTGCAACCATACCAGCCGTGCCTCCGTTTATGAAGGGAAGAGCTGCGCGCATGAAGGGAGTGTGGAGAAAATCATTTTTGGCTTCTACGGGCTGCGTCTTGGCGGCGTCTGCAAGTTGTTTCGTTTTCTCCATTGCTTCAGAGGTCTTGCTGCGTGCTGTCTCGGTTGCTTGCTTGATTGTGTCTGAGGAAGACATATGAGTTTGGGAAGAGAAGAGGACTGAGGATGGAATTAAGAGGTAGCGCCTAACGTTGAGTGGCTGGAGCTTGGAAAGCTAGAACCATACAAAAGCAGAGTTAGCTTGTGTGGGGCCGGAGGAGGAGAATATTAGGTATGTGGATACTGAAGGGGAATTGCACATGGGAAAGCAGTCTGGTGCTGATTGGACTGCCACTGGAAGTAAGACAGTGCAGCCCTTATACCTGAGACGCCGGGGAGAACTTCAGAAGAGGAAATGAAAGAGACGGGAATCCCGCCGTTTCGGCATGAAGCAAGACAACCGCGGCAACTGAGGCTGATGGGGATTTTACTTGCAGATGTTGTGCCGGTACTGACCTTCGACTACCGAGATCCCGTTTGCGGGCGTAGATATATCCGGATGGCGGGGTCCAAATCCGATGCACGTCAGTGCGTAGCGACGTTCGGGTATGATGAAATGGACCAGATACAGCCTTGTCAAAATAGTTCGAGATGGGACGGCCGACGGAGCAGGGAGAGCCACGACGGGAAATGCGAGATTGCGAGATGGGAGATGAAGCTGTCGATGATGTAGAGAGAGGGGCGGACGCGGTGCCTGGGAGGCAGGTTTTGACCTTTTGGTGGCAAGTCCTTCCCGTCGACCGCGGATTGAGAGGAGAAAGGGATTGGTAGAAGATGCGGGGTTTCAGGCACGCACGAGGAGGCGACGACTAGCTACAGAACAAAAGCATCTTTCTGGTGGAAGGGAGTACCTAAGTACCTTTGTAGTGCGGAGGTACCAGGCGTCATCATCAGACAATAGCCGTGGGACTTCCATTCGTCAGACAATGCGTGATGTTTCGTTTTGTAGATAAAGAAACTCGACTCGACCGCAACAGCTGCAACAAGATGTCCCCAATCTCTTCCCCACTCATACGGAGGCGCGATCGGGGCGCTCTTTGTTGTGGCGTCTCCGCATTATCATTATTGAAGCATAACGTGACTGCGAAGCTTCGCTCTGTCCTCCTAAATTCGGTGGCGGTCTGATCGGGCTGTTTTTCTGGTTGATCCGAGGTATGAGGTTCGGGTATTGCACAGCAGCGACAACAATACATCATCGCCGCATACAGACCCCGTGACCTGGAAATCACCCGGAAACGGCCCGGAAACGGCCCTGCACAGCGCACTTCACTCATACAATATAACATGCTTCTTTGGATGGCTTGAACACCGATTCCTTCGGAGCAATATAATATTATATAGACCATCAATATGGCATGGCGTCTCTGACCGCTCTCCTTCCTTCCCGCTCAGCTCTGCCACCTGTGTGTTTTCTTCTTTTCTTGAGGCTCGAGCTTCCTGGCCTCTGGCCTCAACATGGCGCAACGCGGCCCCAACATCAACGCCCACCTCTTTTTCCGATCTCTTTCGGTTGTCCTCCTGCGTGAACAGAGACGCTGCACTGTGTTCTACTGTGTTGTTGTACCTTGTTGCACCATTCTGAAGTCTATACTGTAAACATACAGGACCAGTACTTCGGAAAATTCCGGCCTCCGCAGGCCCTGTCTCGCTCTCAACGACCAACATCTCTGAGCCCACCAATCGCATAGACCATCCAATGTCGTGACAAATTTTGGAAGGTCAACAGTTGTACTGGAGTCCGTCGACAAGCAGAATTCCCCCGGCGGGAACTGACGACCCACTTGGAGGCTCTCCAGTTCCCAGATCGAATCCCTTACTTCGTGCAACAGGTAGATCTCTATCAGAGGCCGACGGCCGGGAACTCTGGAAAGTATCTGTTGAGCGGATTCCAACATAGGATCAAGTCGGGTGAGAACCCTTGACCAGGAAGGAGAAGAAGCTCCTCCTTCAGCTCAACCTTGTGCTCGCCATGGTCTTGGTCCTTACCTTGATGGGTCCATCTTGGACGTTATGGAGCAATGTGGACAGACAGCTTACGGGCGTGGGTAGACAGATCTTCTTCCCGTCTTCTACTCCCGAAGGTAGGCAATATTCTGACCGCTTTTGCATTGAAACGCGGCAGTTGCAACTTGGAAGCACCTGTACGAATTTTTCAAGGACCCAGTCCCTCATAGCTCTACGTGGGAAGGGCTGGAGTAGGAGATAGATCTCCTTTGAATTCTTTCTTCACGTCGTTAGTTTGCAGCTCTCACACGCGAGAACCATGTCACCTGAAATTTTAGATTCGTGGTTCACCTGTCGTACCAAGGGTCCAGGGCCGCTGTTCCTCTCATATTAGGCCAGGGCATCTCAGAATCACCTTGTGAAGTATGCCAATGTCTAGATATACTGGCGTCTACGCGATCCGCGTCTGCTAGTGCAGGCGCTTATTCGAGGGGAATGGAGTTGGCCGCGGTTTGAAGCAACTGTGGGATATCGTACTTGGCATACTGTACCAAGGATCTCAACCAGACTCTCGGGTTCTCTGAGCTGTGACGCAGCACCTGACACAAGTTCCATGGACCATGTGGTGTTTGTACCACCGCGGCTGGGGCGGGAGATGGGATAGACTTCTCCTGGCCCGTACCATATAACAACACTTATGCAAAGTGGCTGGCCTCCAGAGCTTCTCTTTTGGTGCTGGTAGGAAACATGCAGTTACAAAGCATGCATCATGGCAGGTCATCATGATGAGGAATGGGGGCAATCCTCACATTATGGGATCTTCTGGTTGGATCTCAACGCTGGATATCAGTTATTGGTTTGCTGCTGGATCCTTTTATTCATTATAACCGCCATTCCGGACTTAAAGGGAAGTAATTCAACCCTTTCGGAAAATGGCTTCTGGTCCAAGGGATCATCCGCTCTTGGATCATCTCTAATTCATTTGGTCGTCCATTCTATGCTAAACTTTACAGTTTCCGGCTGCTCTGCTACAAAAAACTTTCATTTTCATCTATTTCACCGCTGTTTTCGTTGCCAGGCCATGCCTTCTGGATCATCGAAGTCCATGAGCATCGCTTCTCCGTACTGTTCCAAAGATCGCGCGGTCGTTCATCAACGTGATAGCTCAAGCATCGAATTGGCAGATCCTAACCAGACGCCACACTCCGATGACGTAGAGAGAGGAACTGTAGTTGGAGGAGAGCAGGAAACGACCCTGCCACGAGCTGATGGCGGAAAGAATGCTTGGTTATTCTTAGCTGGTTGTTTTGTATTCGAAGCTTTGGTTTGGGGTAAGCTTCTTGAACCTCCAACATTGAAGCATCCTGCTTAGGAGAGGTGCTGATATACTGCAAGGGTTTCCATTTTCCTTCGGGGTGTTTCAGTCATTCTATACATCACACCCTCCATTCAACGACCACCCGAGTGGGATTGCCATTATTGGCACCTGCTCCACAGGGGTTATGTATTTCTTCGCACCTATTTCACTCTACGCCCTCGAAGCTTGGCCCTCAATCCGTCGCCTTTCCTCCATCCTCGGTCTCATGATAATTGTTTCGGCGCTCCTCGCATCCAGCTTCGCCACCCGCGTCTGGCATCTCATCCTCACCCAGGGCATGCTGTACGGCATCGGTGGTAGCTTGTTATACTCGCCTACGATGTTCTACCTCGACGAATGGTTCATTCAGAGAAAGGGGCTGGCCTTCGGCATTATGTGGGCCGGCACTGGGACGTGAGCGCCATTCCTTAGTCCTACCCGACGTAGAGATGATTTCTCTAATTCCACAAGGCTGACAATGGCACAGCTCTGGCGTTATCTTCCCCTTCCTCCTCACCGCCCTCCTCAATGCCTACGGCTTCCGCACCACCCTCCGCGTCTGGTCCTTAACCATGCTTATCCTCTGCACGCCCCTAATCCACTTCGTCAAGGCGCGGGTCCCCGTCCCCTCGCTCTCTCTTCCCCGGCGACCCATCTCCCTCTCCTTCCTCACAAGCCGCGTCTTCCTCTCCTTCCAACTCGGCAACATCCTCGAATCCCTCGGCTTCTTCCTCCCCTCCATCTACCTGCCCAGCTACGCGCGGGCTCTCCACCTCCCTCCCACCACCTGCTCCCTCCTCCTCGCCTTCCTCAACGGCTCCTCCATCGCCGGCGCCATCGTCATGGGCCACCTCTGCGACCTCTTCCCCGTAACCTTCATCATCGCCCTCTCCACCCTCAGCGCCTCCCTCTCCGTCTTCCTCCTCTGGGGCCTCTCCTCATCCCTCCCTTCCCTCCTCCTCTTCGCCTCCCTCTACGGCCTCTCCGCCGGCGGCTTCAGCGCCATCTGGACCGGCATGATGCGCGCCGTCCAGCGCGCCGACCCCCTCGCCACCCTCGCCACGCTCATGGGTCTGTTCTCCGCCGGCCGCGGCATCGGCGCCGTGCTGTCGGGGCCTCTGAGCGAGCTTCTGCTCGCGGCGGAGCCGCTCCGCGGCGCCCCCGCAGCTTATGCGAGCCCTTACGGTCCGCTGATTCTATTCACGGGCGTGAGCGCCCTGCTGGATCTTGTTTGCTTGGGCGCGGGGAGGCACAGGACGTGAGAGTTTAGTTTAGTATTTCTTCTCATGCCATCTAGCTAGCTAACTCTTTATCAAATAAATAACACTCATTCATTCATTCATTAATCCATTAACTTGACTTTCCTTTCTCCCCATCCATCCATCCATCCATCCCCACACATAAAGGTATACCTGTACAATAAAGTAATCCGAACCGAACCGAACCGAACCGAGCAGCTTCCTTCCTTCCGCCCACCCCCGCGGATCGGAAACTACCTTACCTACCTATAAGTATGGGGTCACGTGCTCGGGCGTGCGGGGTGCGGGGTTAAGGTGATTGATTGGGTGTGGGTGTCTTCTTTTGAGGGGATGGGATGGGGTGGGATGGGATGAAGAGATTGATAGCTTTGCGGATGAGAGGAAGTGTATATATATATAGTATGGTTCAACATAGTATGCACAAATCCCAATTCAAACCCGAATAAAATGGAAGGTTTTGTTTTTGTTTTTACAATGAAATAGGTATTATTTTTAAGACGGGTGAAGAATTCCTAGGTTCCCGTTGTGAGCTGACTGCTCTCTTTATCAGCTGTGTGTGTGTGTGGTGTCTGTCCTCTTATAGTCTAATTAGGACATATCCCGCTCTATTAACATAAAAAAAAAAAGGAAATGCATGCCGAACATGGATGGGGCGGCAGCGCAGTGCCCGTATGTAATCCTACCACAAAAAAAAAAAAGAAAACGCAAAAGAAAAGTCGGGAAAGAATGAGTGAGGGGTGGGGAAAGGCCGGCGCAAGCGGAGGGCCAGTCTCGATCCTCTCGTTGCATATCTACTCCTTCTTCGCCTTGACCTTCTTCGGCACGCGGACGAGCCAATACATAAACACCGCACCGGCAATATTGAAAGCAACAAACGCCCACGTCAAACCCCAGTTGCGCCATCGCTGGCTGTAGAAAGAATTAACCGATTTCAGGAAGTCGTTCGTCTCGGAAATTGGACAGAAACTGCAGGTGGTCGTTTCGTTCAAATCGCGGAGGTAACCGCCAGCCATTTTCATGTAAGGTCCTAGGTAGGATTCGCAAGTCTGGCCCGAGGGTGGGCTGAAGTGGAGGAACTCTTTCTCGGCGCAGACGACCTTCGTATTCGCAATTCCGGTTGCCATCATACCGCTGACAATGTACGTGAAGGGAGAGACACGGTACATGAAGATCCAGAACCCAGGAAGGGCTGTAGGGGATGCCAGAACACTGTTCACATGTTAATAAGCCTGTATCTGCAAGCAAGAAAGAAGCTACTACTCACCCGCAGAAAATCAACGTCATAGAGAACATGAGTTGAGCGATGTTACCAGCAGTCTCAGCACTTTCAATACCCGCGACGACCAGGTCAGTGAAGGTTGAGGTGAAAAGCATAAAGGACCAGATGTATAGGAACATGAGTCCTCCGCGCTCAGTGACTGCACCGGTAGGTTCAGCGTTTCGGTAAAGACCGATCGGGTAATACCAGCAGAAGAACATGATGACAGCCATAAGAGAGTTCCACGGAATCTCGACAATAATGTTCGAGAGGATGAAGACTTGCCAAGAGTAGGTCTTTGACGGACGTTCACGAACTTCGTAGAGGGATCGCTGAGTGACGAAGTGAGGCATGATCTGCTGAACCAAGTTTCCGAAGATGGTGAGAAGCATGAAAACTGAGAAAAGTTGATCCTGCATTCCTTGAAGAGAGGTGGGAGATCGCCAGAAGGAGAAACCAATAAAGAGACCGACGGCCGTACAGAGAAGCGTCTTCGAATAGAGGTAAGAAGGTGTTCGCCAATATTGCTGGAAGACTCGAATAACAACAGTGTAGAGTTGAACCCAGAATGGCGCAGCGAATTGTTGAAGGGAAGTTGAATCGTCGTCAGCTAGACTAGGTTTTTGCGACAATGTTGCTTTCATCTCGGCCAGAGTTTCCTTGACTGCCCGTGCCTCCGGTGAATTCTTCCAAACCTCGTGCCAGTTGATAGAAGTTTCAGAACCAGGTGCGGCACCAATGACCTCGAGCATGACCTCAGCGGGATTCTCGTCAGGTCCGAAGTGCCTTGAACCATTGCGTTCAAAGTAGTCGATCAAAACCTTCGAGTTCTTTCCAATCTCTCCGAAGTAAACAGTCTTTCCACCCCTGGCAAGGAAGAGCAAGCGGTCGAATTCCTGGAAGAGGATGGCGGAAGGTTGGTGAATAGTGCAGAGAATGGCTTGACCATTGTCTGCAAGTTTCCGGAGCAAGGCACAAATAGACCAGGCAGTTTGACTATCAAGACCGGATGTAGGCTCATCGAGGAAGAGAAGAAGAGCTGGCTTGGCCGCCATCTCAACACCGATAGTAAGACGCTTTCTCTGCTCGACATTGAGACCTTCACCAGGCACACCGACAACAGCATCAGCATAGGTTTCCATTTCCAAGACCTTGATAACTTCCTCAACGTAGGCAACCTTTTCCTTGTAAGGAGTCGATTTCGGTTGTCGCAAGACGGCGCTGAAAATTAATGCCTCTCTGACCGTCGACGTAGCCAAGTGAAGATCCTGTTGTTGAACATAACCAGTCTTTCTCTGGAAGCCGGTATCTCGGGGTCGTCCGTCAACGAGCATCTCACCAGTAACTACACCCATAGTAACACGACTGGCAAGAACATCGAGAAGCGTGGTCTTTCCTGCGCCCGAAACACCCATAAGAGCTGTCAAGGTTCCCGGTTTTACCCAGCCGTCGACACCATCCAAGAGTCTACGTGGTTCGCCTTTAATCTTGATATCATAGTTGACTTCGTTCCAGTGGAATATCGCCGTCTGCTTCTGGATGCTAGCAGGGGCATCGGGAGTCGTCTTCTCTCTAGCAAGAACAGTCTCCGTGTTGACGCGGTCATCGGGATTGGATTCCAAGTCACGCTGCGGTGCGACCTCTGGGACGTGACCACGTCTGAAGAGGAGGACTTCACCCTTTGACTTCTTCGCGGAAATAAACTCTGTGGCGAGCAGGTACATGCAGCAACCGAAAATCATGAGAGCAATGAGGATACCGAGGTTTCTATTCCAGATACATCAGCATGGTACGTCAAGAAGGGGCACTTGCTGAATTACCTCCATAGATGACCGGGCTCATAGCCGTAGTTGACCCGGAGGTATGTATCTCCGTCGACAGTGTCTGCACCTGCGGCTGCCCCAGTAGTAGAACAGATCCTTTGCTCGGGAGAAATGTTCTCATAGCCGGGACCCGAAGGAACGAAACTCGTACATCTGATTGGTCGTTTATGGAACTGCCCGCGTCAGTAACGTTCCGTATTGAACGGAAGATGGGATTCTACACGTACCTCATTGATCATTAAGGCCTCGAATGCGTACGCCACAGGATCTAGATAGTTGATCCATCTGAACCAAGGATGCATGTTGCTCGTCGGGATAGCGAAACCTGTGTAAATGACCAGTGCCAAGATGAAGACTGCTGCCGGTGCCATTGCCTGAGACAACGTTCGTGAGAGAGCTGCAATCAATCGGAAATACATCGACATGGTCAGTGTACACATGATACTAAACAGGAAGAATACAAAGAAATGACCAGGTGTTCTTCGAAGATCGGTCATGAAATAGAGCGACAAGTTGAACGAGATAGCGGTTCCGATCTTGTTGGGAAGGTCGCATATCATCGATGCGATAGCTTCAGTGAATGGATGATAGAAGGCATATTTCGCGTGCTTCTCAACAATCGGTCGTTGGGCATAGAGGGTTAAAATCTGTAATATCGTCAGACGCCATTCACATGAGGCATGGGACCTCGCCAGCTTACCTCGAGGGCACTTTGGAATGCAGCCATCAGAATAGCAAAGAAAAGAAGGGCTCCACGACTGTAGAGACTGCCAGTGGTGTTCTGAAGATTATAGAAAACACTACCAATGATCAAAGCCATTGCACTTTGTCCCAAGACACTGGTGAGGAACAGACTCATGTCACCTGCCAATCTCTGGAAACCACGCCTGATGCAGAGCTGGATCTGCATGGGGACTGAGATAGTATATGGGGACTTGATGCGAGTGCGCTTCGCTTGTGCGGCTAGATTCAACTGTCAGCATCTATCCTGATGATAGGTTTCAAGCTGGAAAAGAGCCAACCCACCTCGGCGAGACTCCTTGAACTTCTCCAGTTGCTCCCCACCGATCGGGTATTGACGATCAAACTCTTCAATCTCGCGCAAGAGTAACGCTCGATCCTCACTCTTCTGCCACGCTGCAGCAAACTGGTCAGGTGTTTGTGGCACCTTCCCCTCGAAACCCTTACGGACGACGCGCTCCGCGGGACTCGTGATGGAAGTGAGGAAATCGGCAGTCGTCTGTCGTGGTGGGCATTCGAATCCCATGTTGATGAAGTAATCTCTCGCGGCATCCTTGTATCCGAAATAGATCTGTCTTCCCTCGTACAGGAGGGCGACCTTGTCGAAGACGTCGTAGATGGACTGCGAGGCTTGATAGATGGCCACAACGGCAGTGGAGCCAGCCATCTCGGTTGAAAGTCGGAGAGTCTTCACGAATTCCAAAGCTGTTGCCGAATCTAGACCTCGAGTACTGTTGTCCCAGCATTGCAAAGGACTTCCACCAAGAGCTCTAAACACCAAGATATATCAGAGGCCGAGATGTACGTATTGGGCTCGAGGTACTTACGCTTCAGCAATACTGACACGCTTCCGCTCACCACCACTCACACCACGAATGAAATCATTCCCCACTTTCGTGTTGATGGTGTGAGAGAGACCAAAGATGGCCATGATCACTAGAAAGGAGTTAGGGTCTTGCCAATATCTATATGAGCACGGAGTTATTTACCATCTCTCATGTGGGTGGCATAAACTTCTCTGGACACGCCTGGAATTCTGTTTCGCGGAGCTGATGAAGAGTTAGCCGAATCCTTGCAACAACTCATTCGACACAAGAGTCACAGAGATGGCTAATTTGCCCGGGATCTCGATCACGAATACTGAGCCGAAGGTGACCACATACCTCGAGCTCTGGCAGCAAATTCCAAGGTCTGGCCCACTGTGAGTTGAGGGAAGTGAACATCAACCTCAGCCTGGTAGATACATTCGCCTCGGAAATCCTTGTGCATCTGCTCCTTGCTAACTCCCTGGTAATTAATGTAGGAGTTCTCATCCACGTAGAAACCGTCCGTCTCCCCCGAAAGGGTCTTCAGCAAGGTGGAACAACCACTTCCCGGGCGACCAAGGACAACAAGCATCTCCCCACTCCGGACCAACCCATCGAAATCCCTCAGAATCTGAATCTTGGTCTGCTGTCTGCGGCCGATGAGTCGTTTGAACAGGCTGCCGGCCTCCAAAGGATAGTTGCCAAAAGTCTTCTGGTAATCCGTCGCCTCGCCGAACCCGTGCGCACTCAGGTTCTTGTATGCGATACCCGCTGTCCTCTCGGGATATCTCTCAGGGTCACGAGACTGGAGGCCCAGCAGGGTCTTGCACCAGGCGCGCGCGTTGAACTTGCCAGAGGAGGGGTCCAGAAGCGGGTTGTCAGTGCCTAAGAAGGGGTTGATATGCTCGCCATTGGAGTTCTTCAGCGAGTGCTGTGTGAGGGCGCGCGCCAGATCGTGGATTGCATCTCTCTCCTTATCCTCCATGGATTCGCCTGTCGATGCGGCCGTTGCCGTCTCGCTGGTCTGGATCTCGCCGTGGCTCATGTCGTGCTCGTTCTTCTCGTCGTACGCCTTCTCGGCCGTGGCAGCGGCTTGGGCGCCAATGCCCCAAGGAGATGCACTGGCCATATCAGGCGGGGCGCTCCCAGGTCTGGAGGCTGCTGTTGATGCGGGGATGGTTAGTGGAAGAAAAACGCAAAGAAAAGGAAAAAAAGAGGTTGGACGAAGGCAAGGTGGGATCCAACTCTCACAGCACAGCGAGAAGGAAAGGATTTAAAGAGAGGAAGGTGTTTTTTTCCCGCCGAGCACGCGGGAGGTAAACAAGTGCGTGAGGCTCGGAGGGTGTCAGCTCGAAGAGTCCCGGCTGCCTATCCTTTCGCTTCGCGCAGGTGGGACGGGGCCGGAAGACTCATCGATCCGGCATCCGGGGTCCCCTCGGGGCAGGGTTAGGCGTGCGCTGATTGGTCAGCTCTAGCACCTGGCAATGACTAATCAACGAATAATTTGGGGATAATTGTGGACGGCGGTGGATAAATTGGAGATAATGGGGCGCTGGGTAATAGGCGGGCGGGTGGGGCGATCAAAATATAAACATTTGCACGCCGCTAAGTGTCAACTGGCTACCTTACTCCAACGACCACGATGTCTTTCTGTCTTTCACAGTACCGTAGAATATCACCGAAGACCCACGATTACCTTGGGTACCTATCATGCAGTTCTTACGAGTAGCATGTAAGCTGTATGATACGAAGGAACCAATCTCTGCTATCAATGCCGCATGCAGCAGTCACTCACTCATAGTACAGCGCACACAGTGCAAAATCTGTGCACGTACCTCGATTCAAGCACGGCCTATCGACGCCCACGCAACAGCGAATAGATAGCCCACGGCAGCCTCCGATTGGTGGGCATTAGGCGGACTTTAGAATTACGCTGATACAAATGGCCCAGACGGGTTAGCCGCCCGTCTCCTTTGTGAGATTGTATGGCTAAAGTGTACGTAGCGATGGCGATGATAGCGCCGTGTCTTCTCGGTACTCTTCCCTTTTGCGCCATCGGGTACTAAGTGGTCCCGGGCGGTGCAGCGCTGGGGACCATGAGCCTTAGGCACGTCACTAGACTCTGGCCAAGAATCACTAGGTGGGCTCCCCAACGCTCTTGGCCCTACGTAAACGCGTCGCTTGAGCCTGGACTCTCGATAGGGCCACATCATACCGCAACTCTAATTGCCCCTAATTAAATACGAAAACGAAAGGAGACAAAGCCTAATCAAACCACCGGGGGATTATTGCTCCGCCCACGCAGCTGGGCCCTCGGCGTGGACAAACAAAAGGGCCTCCGTTCATAAGGTACTGTACATAAGGACGAAAGCGCCGTTTGATTGGCGCTGGGATCACAACTACGGTGAGAATGTTGCAATCATGTTGTAATAATCAAGGGAGCCAGACTGGCCTTTGGCCCGAAACCGAGGGACGGAAGCGGGGCAGCGCCGAGGGCGACGTCTTGGAACGCATGTGCTGTGTGTGTGGCCAAGCCAACATGCCTGTGAAGCACTGTAGATATTGATATTATTCAGCGATGTCACTGAAGCACGCACAGCAACTTCGCGGAGCACGCTGGCTTCCGTGATGCTGGGTCGTGGGAACTGCCCGTACCCGTGCATCTATCTGATCTCCGTCCCACAAAAAAGACGGCCCCCTGCAGCCCCCTTCTAAATTAGTTTTGCACTTATTTTTTTTTTAAGATGGAACATTGGAATCAGACCTTAAATTGACCGCGCCGTCCCACTCTCCAGTCTCAGATCCATTAATATTGTGCATTACCTTACGGGAGGTAGAATTTAAATTTAGCGCTTACTAATAACACCGTAGCTGATGGCTTATGTAAGTTACGTTGTAACTTGTACGGTGTCCCTCCCGCCGTATTCGCGTTGCGTATTCGTATCGCGCATTCGTATATCGGACTCCGTTCTTACCAAAATAGCTCCCGCGCACAAAAGGGGGGAAGAGGGGGCAAACACAAGAAATGGTGAACGGGGAGAACCCCTCTCCCCTCACCCCAGATGTCATTATGACATTATGTATATTGCATATGATTCCTTTCATCCTTATTATTTATTCATCGGTCTTTCGTCTTGGGAGTCCGCCCGGAACGTCGTCTGCCCATGCTCGCCGCTGACTCCTTGCCGTCCTTCGCTACGTCTTTCGTGGGGCTAGCGTCAGCCTTACGCCTCTTCGCGCCATTGGCTTTCGCTTCACCCTTTACAACTTCCTCCGCCGCTGCGGCGGTCTTCCTCTTCTCCGCCGCGCCTCCTCTCCCCTTCTTCCCCTTCCTCTCTTTGGAGTCTCCTTTCCCAGCGCCATCCGCCTCTTCGTCCGAACTCTCTTCCTTGACATCGCCAGCAACCGCTCCAGTCTTCTTCTGCACACTCGGAACCACGCAACTCGTCCGCCCACCTACCGTCACGTGTGTGATCTTCGCCCCATTCGGCAACCTAGTAGGGGCGTCCTTCTTCCCCTTCCCCCAACGGTGATTGAATAACCACTCGTCTGGGAACTTGCTCGCATCTCCCAGCAGGTCCACGGCGGTCTGGCAGATGTGGAGGATAGACGTCCGCAGCTGCTTCATCTGGTCCGAGCTGAGCGTATCGCTATACTGCTCGGGGTGCACTTTTGCGTGATACAGAATCTCGTCCCTATATTGATTAATCGTATGCCCGCTGGGGAAATGCTGCTGGGAACCCACCCAACCCAGTTGCCAATCCCGGAGATGTTTGCCTGATCCAAAAGCAGCGCCTTCACCGGCACGTGTTTACTGCGCAGCTTCTTCTCCACCCACTCGTCAGTCAGTATATGCTTGTCGATAACCGGATCCGGTCCGTTTTCTTTGAGTGGTGTTGTGTTCCTAATGTCCCCCGCTGCACAATCGACAAGACGTACTCTTCCGAATCTACGTGCGTCTGTGAATGCCGCTTCCACCTTGGGCTCCCCTTCTGTTTCCAGAATAAATTTCCAATATTTTGGCGGCCATATCACCTCTTCTTCGGGCTCCTTGGGACGGTAGTGTACTGATGGCTCCCCCCGAATATAGAGCCATCCTATAGAGTTAGCACGTGATCTTAAACGTTCGAGGGCTCCTCGTACCTGTCATGCCGAAATGCATCACTGGATGGGGTGGTGAATCCATGATCAACCTAGAGCGTGTCAGGAAGCCTCTCCAATAAATCCAAAGGGTTCCATACCAGAAATACTTCCCCTGCTGATCGGCGTCCACGACTTTCTTTCCTGTCAAGGCCTTTTCGAACTCCGCAGCGCTTGTGCCCGCCTTGCCAAATACGTTCGAATCATCTTGGGCTTTGACGACTTTCAACGTCTTGCCAACGAGGCTCTTTCGTAGGTAATGGACAACTCGCGCAACTGGATACGTCAACAAAGTCTCCTGAATACAGACACCTGTCTTACCTTCCGCAAGCTCAGGCATTTTGAGACGAGTGACTGCGGGACGCAGCTTGCTGTGATTCTTGATTCTCAATCTTCAACCTCTGATGGCGCCTGAACAGTCGACGACTCTCCTGATATAACTATTTTAGGCACCGAGTGTCAGATGGCAGGCGACGAGGCGCACCAGGTAACGTGATAGGAGCGTCACGGGCTTTGATGCCTCAGGACGTCAGCCACAAGTAACCTCGGCCCATCCCCACAGTACCAAGGCGAGATGAGATAGATAAACTCCGGGAATATCTCTCGACCCCGTCAAAACCCATTCTATACCCGCCATAAAACCCTCAACGGCCGCATCACCTCCAACCATTGACAAAACTCTTCCTGACTCCGACTCCCTATCCCACACACCCCGCGAACCCGCCATCATGGTCGCCGACAGCCTCGTCTACCACCCCTCCGTGGCCCATTACCTCAAGTTCGTAGCGACGACTGTCGGCCGCGACAAGCTCCTGCGCACTCTCCAATACTTCTCCCGCTTCTATGCCTGGTACCTATTCCGCACGAATGGATCTCCTGGCGAGATCGCACCTTGGGAAGCCATCAAGAAGCAATTCGGGCTGATCCGCAAAGCCATGAGAGTTCGTCTTTCCCCTCCCCCTCCCCCTCCCCCTCTCCTGCCAATCAGCACCGCATCGCATCCTTCTGACTCTGTTTCTGTAGCTCGGCAAGAACGTGGAGCACATCAAGGCCGCAGCCGTGGCCCTGGATTCCAAGAACCCAGACCCCGTGCTCAAGTACTGCGCCGTAGGCCGACAGCTGGGCTACGCTGGATACCTGACTTTCGACGCCCTGACCTTCCTCGACGCGGCAGGGATCCGGAAGAGCCCGCGCACGAAGCGCCTGCAGCAGGAAGCCTACCGCTTCTGGATGTTCGGCCTCCTGTTCAGCGCCATCTCCGGCGTATACTCGCTCTACAGCCTGAGACGGCAGGCCGCAAAGATCGATAAGAAGGACGGTGAGGGAGCCGTCGCTACGAAGAAGATCGAGAAGTATGCCTGCCTATGCCCAAGCCCCCTTTTGTTATCCTTTCCGGGGACTACAGCTAACATAAGTAACCTTTCTTCTAGGGAGCGCGCGGCTGCCAACCTCCAATTAGTCTCTGATCTCTGCGATCTCACTGTCCCGACCTCAGCGCTGGGCTTCGCAAAATTCGATGACGGGCTCGTCGGGCTGGCGGGGACGGTCAGCAGTTTGATCGGGGTATACGGCCAGTGGAAGAAGACCGCTTAAAAAGCTCTAGTCAAGACAAAACACAGGAGATGTCGAGTGGTAACGTGGGATGGGACGATAAGGCGGATTCAAGCAAATTATCAAATGACTGGTTGCTCTAAAGTGGATGGTTACCTTACGACGCAACTCATCTATGTATATCTTTTCCAGTAGAAGAGAAGGAAGAAGAAAATCTCACAATCCTTCAATCGACCCCGAGATTATTACTGTATGTAGGTAGGTAGGTAGATATCCGAATTTTTACATGCGAGTTTCTAAATTAAGTCTCTACAAGACCTACAGGCAAAGCTACTACCTTGAAGGGGGGGGGCGCAGGGTTATTGTGACGGTCCTCGGACAGTCAATTGACCAGCCAAATATGTGACAGTGTGACTGACTAATCCCATCTATCCGAGTTTCTCAGAGCATCATGAGTTAGTTGACCGGCCTTAAAATAGGATAATACCATATTATCACTATCAAAACAGAATTGACAGGACCTAACTAACTAAATATGACTGTTCATATGAAATTGACTATACCTAATAATCCTATTGGAGAGAGCATGTCAAAACACGAAATAACGCTCCTTCCTTCTTCTACGAAGGGACGCTCAGCTGGATCAATCAGCCTTCTCTTGCCACCACTCCTTAATTAATACTTACTTACGGCTAGAATATTGAAGGTTTCAGCTTCATCATATTCTGCTTTCGCACATACCTTAGCATACCGGTCATGCTATTTGCGAGCTAGATGTCATCATACACGGTACACCGCTCTATATCTTCCTTACCTTACCTAGCAAGTCCTTTGAGGTTCTCTTTCTGCCGGCAAACCACCCATAGAAAGAAGTACACTGAGGCTTTATTTATCCAACTCGCCAAGAATACATCCATAGAATACCCAAACTTTAGTTTATAAGGTCCTGGTTACCTGGTTTCGATCCCGACTGAGCCTTGTGGTCTCCTAGAGTCCTCACCTCGTGGTCTCCTCCGTACCTACTACCTTTGAGTGAGGGTTTTACGCAACTCGAGATTTAAGTTTCTCTCTCTTCTTCCTTAATCACAGACACCACGCTCTTAACCTCGCAAGCATGTCGACTCCAACGCTACCGCTAGCACTGGACTACCTAGGTAAGGTAGTAGCTCGTTCTTTGTAAAAGAAAAAAAAGGAACATAGTTGAGCTAGCTAACTTGTTAGACGGATATTCAGAGAATCTTGATTTCTTGATTTGAGAGCAGGAGTGGCTGTCTATTAACACAGGAAGGTTGAAAGACCTGCATGTTGCAAAAAAAGAAAATGCGAAAAATGAGTTGGTATCTAAGCAATGCTTAGGGTCGTGAACTCAAGAGAAGACTCTCTGACGGGGAGTCGAACCCCGATCTCCCGCGCTTTGCCAGTTGGATGACAAGCGGAAATCATGACCGTTAGACCATCAAAGATGATTGTTGACAGGAGAAGACTAGACTAGGTAGATAAACGAGTGAAAATTGAGGTGGCAAAATGTTTTCAAAGCGGTCAGCGAAGCGGCCCGCCTTCGTATTCGTATTGGGCAGTCTAAGCCCCAAATGCTAGTAGGTAGGATTCATTGGAGGGAGGCTTGGGGTGATGGCGGTACGCCGGTAACGCTCCAGCTGTAGCCATTAATTCTCGAGATTTGGTTGAACGAATCCCCTGGATACCCGAATTTTGTTTATCAGGTGCACCCGGAGTTCACACGCGAGTGCCAGAGGGTAATCTTGTTGAAAATAAGGTAGGCAAGTTAGTATCAAGTCAACCACCGGTTTGGCGAAATATCCGTTCCGTTTCGAGAGACGTCTGCCGAATCCACGATGACGAGCCTGTAGAATCGCTCTACCACAAACCAATGTCCTCCACAAAGGGTGACGAGGGCAATCTACCAGTCCACGACATTAAGCCTTAGTATACTGGGTACAAATCAGAGGGAAGAGGATAAGAACATGGCCCCTTGGCCAGAGCCTATAATTCCTCGTTATCAAATGCACGTCGACAATCCCAGAGACACAACGAGGAGCACAGTCTGTTAGCCTATAGCTCCAATATAGTAGACGGGCCTTATACTACACAACGGTTGCTGAAACGATGAAGAATACATATCGCTAGTTCAAGACTCCCACCAAACTGTGCTGCAGATACAAGGCCATGGTCCCAGAGGAAGGCTCAACGAAACTCTCTGATAGTCCACAAACTTAATGCCGGCCCCAATTCTATGCCAGGCAAATAGGCAGTAGTGGTCAAAACCAGACACAGAAGGTTATATGCCACGATCGAACCAGATCAATCACGACTGCGCACCAAATATTCGACACGAACCAAGGTATTTTGTTATAAATGCCTCAAAAGCAGTTTCAGCGCCCCTAAATATGAATCTAGGGCCCGGGAAATCCTCCTCCGGGACAAGGAGGCGAAAATCGAGAAACGAGCTTCACTTAGGCGGTTCGTCATGCCAAAATCCAAACGCTCGACGTTCAGTCAACGGGACATATTTTGGACTATCTCGTTGTCGATGGACATGAGACAGACTCAGACAGCCGGATCCGGAGTGGTTGAAGGACTCTTGGGGAAAGTCCATCAAGGAAGGCGGGGATATCAATCCCGTTCCTTAGCAGAACAAGTCTCTTGGAATTACGTTGAAGAAGCGCCAATAGGAACGAAGCAGATGGCTTGAGAAAGCGGCAACTTGCGGCAATGTTGAAGTTGTCCAATTGTCAACCTCGTATTCCGGTAAGATAGTGAGAAACAATTCCTTAAAAGTCGTGCTGGACAAACAGGAATACCATGATAGGTCGAAATACTACACGAGGCGATCAAATGACCTCTATACTCATCTCAGGGGGCGCTGATGTCGATACAAAAGTAGTGCTGCGACTGCCGTTGGCGATGAGAATTTGTTGCATATGTTTCTCGAACGAAATTCTACGTTCAGGCGGTGTTCAAGAGAATGCTTTCCCTGCACAATATTAGATGACTCTTCTCGTGTTACCTAGTGCATTCAAGGCTACCAGGTTAGTACTTACGCAGAATTCTCTTAGGCTTAGACTTGATCACCTCTAAGTGGTGTTTGACGTGATGATATGCGATCGTGATTAATATGAAGATATCCGCTGATTGTGTAGTATTGAGTTTGTTAGCTTCTTCGAGGTTGCTGAGATCTTTGCCAGCTAGTTGCTGAGATCTTTGCAAGCTAGTCCTGTAGGAATCCAGGACTCCTCGAATACTGACGCCCAAGGCCACGCGAAGGCCAAACTCATCTTGGGCTGCTCGTGCCTAGGAAGTCCATCACAGACACTCAACAGTTTTTCGGAAGAAGCCCTACTAATCCTGAAGAGACTGATCAGAAACTTCCTAGACGACAAGCGACGCGATCGCTTCATCCTCGCCGATATGAAGTTACGAACCCTCAACCCAATGCTGCCACAACTGCTCTTGCTCCTGCGCCCCCTGCGCCCACCTTGCGGCCTCTTCTAACACCCTCCGCAACAACTGTAAGCCGGCAATCACTGGCCGGGCGAGGATACGGCGTAACTCATACCGTTGGTTAAGGTAGTTCCTAAGGGCTTTGGCCAATTTCTTCTTCCCGTACCAGAGTACGAGCGGCAAATACAGCACACCATAGACCGCATACCGTAACCACTTCATCCCAGAGGCTTCATCGCACCATCCCACCAGCCACCAAAAGCCGTCGATGCTGGCGTCCCGCGCCCTCCTTGCCGGTCTCTTCACCACCAGCCACAAAACCACAGCTAGCCAGACGATGATAGGCGCGGCCCATAGGATGATCAAAGAGGCGATAACGCTTTGCGTTATTGGGATGTCTGTAAATAGCACCGCGTTAGCCTTGGTGATCCATGTATGTAGGAGGGAGGATGCATTGAGCTAATGGTGGTGATAATGGGGATGATGATCACAGTGACAGTCGAGAGAGAGGAGAGATCAAAGGCAAAGAGTACCTACGCCAATCAGCATTGTTCGCGGGTGTGTCCCTGGAAGGTGACGAAGGTTCCGCCATTATCGACATTTTTGAAAACTAGAGAGAGGAGAAAAGAAAGAGGAGGATGTACAAGTTCAAACCTTTGGGCCTGTCTCGGGCCTGGTGGTCTATCCAGGAAAGTGCGCTCTTTACGATCCATGAGGAAGGTACCAGGGGGATTGGAGCGCAACAGAGACCAAAGAAAATTGCTAGCATCATCGCCATGAGGAAAGACACGGTTTTGCAACCGATATGTTTATAAAGGTTAACAGGTTATAGGAGGGAGGCGCCAGATGTCTGTCAGCCATCGTCGGGGATCGGTTTTGTATCAACAACAGCCCTAGCTATTCCATGCAAGGAACTTATATAACCGTAAGTCCTTTTGAGCAAAAAGAGGCTCCTTTCTATCAAGCTTTTGCTCTGCAGTTCTTCCCCAAAAGTGTCGATTTTCAACGTCCCATACCTGACAAGTATTCTTAACCCTCTTTACCCAGTTCGTTGGTATAAGAAATCCGTCCCTATATTTTTTCTCGAATATTGGTTTGCTTATACCTTGGGCCGGGCGGTAAAGACAAAGGCTATATTGTGCTGCAATATCTTCTGCAATAGAAATCATCCTCTTCCTCTGCCAAGGACAATTAACAACCATAGGGATAAGTTCATTAACATCAACGGACAGTTTGCGTTGTAGTCGATGAGTTCCTCTTAGAGGGACCTCAGATATTAGCTCTTGTAATACCCCAAAGTAACCAGTCATCCCTTTATTATAGCTAGTTGGCTCAAGTGGTCGCCGGTGCGTATCGTAGTAATAGAGCATAATAGCTAGATCTGAAAAATCAAATCGATAGTATCGGGAAGACTCGGAAGAGTTTAGATCCATAAGTCGTTTTGCAAGCGTGTCGAATTGGCAAAGTGTAGAGGAGGCTTGCTTGCAGGATTGAGCGCAGTCAACTAAAGCCCGGCAAAAATCGTTAAATTCCTGGTGCTCTTCTGCCCAGATATATGCAAGGCCAATTCCCGATATATCTGCTTGATCAATGCCGTAGTCCACGAGTAGCATATGCTCAAAAAGGCGTCCTAGGAGTCGTTTCCCGAAACGAAACAATTTTTTGGGGCTAGGGTAAAATTGCCGGAATGAAGTTGTCGGTTCTCTTTCTGATGCTTTCTCTATTCTCGGCATCTCTAGATCTCTTACATAACCACTGCATTCTTGATCATAGAGTATCGCTGCTATAGCTTGAAGAGACGACCGAAGATTTGGAGCCAGAGTATGCAGGTAACCTAAAGTATCAAGATAACGGCCGACAGATGGTTTCGGGTAAAGCGTAGTGAGTCCGTGGAGTCTATAGCATATGTCTCTTTCAAGATACTCCAGAACCTGTACCCACTTGGTGTCTTGTGGATGTACAGTAAGGATCGCGTACTCAGGTCTCTCAGGACGAAGAGCAAGAGTCTTAATACGGTTATCCCAAGAAGGGAGGCATAATTGGCTTAGTCGTTGGAGATCTGTACTATCCTCTATGTTTATTTGCATAGCTGGCCTAATACTTAATTAGCATAAGTACTGACATAGAAGAGATTCAAGAGAAGACCATGTGTATACTAACTTCAGGAGCTCTTTTGGACTTGAGAGCACCATCGTGACTTCTGAGGACACTATGAGGGTGGATTAGATAATTTTGGCCGTTCTCAATTAGGTTAGGCAATGTGATTTCTGTAATCCCATGTATTTGCATGATATATATATAGCCGTATGATTGTCAAATAGTCTTTCCCCTTTTGTCTTTTTAGACCAGATCTTGGTTGAATCAGTTGTGTTGTACTTACAGACCACTCTTGCGATTTGTATGGATCGAATCGGAACTAGTTCTCTTTGCTCTCGGCGACGGTGCTCTGCGGGAAATCGAGATGGCAATATTTGACTGATATATAACCACATTTCTCTCGACACGAGTCACACGACGTAGTGTGACTCTGTGAGTGTCATCATTATCTGATAAATTCTTTAGGGACCACCTAAGTCACGGCCAAAATTCTCCTAAATTGTGGCCACTATACCTCTTTTGAAATCAATTACATGGCGTAGCTTGTAACGCGTACCTAGGTAGTTCTGCTCTTTTTGCCACAGAAATTGGTTCGGTATTCCGGTCTGTACCGTGTTGGCTTACGGTTTTCCAAAGCCCGATTAAATTAAGCGAGTCGACTATTTCACAGAGTAATCTTACCATAAAATAGGTATGATATCGCGAACATCTCTTTCCAAATACGATATTCCTAGTCCAGAACCCACATTCCCACCTCACCTCCTATACAAAACAAAATGACAAGTGGTCTAAATGACCGTTAGACCATCAAAGATGAGTTTTGTTTGTTGAAAGGTTTTGAACTCTTTGAGTTTTTTAGAGGGGGACGTGCCTTGATTTCTAACAAATTTGCTTCTTATTTTTCTCAAGAATAATATTGCGAGTAAAGAGCTCAAAGTAAAGCCTTCTCGCTCCTGTTGCCCATCTCATCGAAATAGATTTTCTTCCCCGAGATCAGTGACTCTTGCAGCGCACACCCAATCTTAACGGCCTGCACCGCCCCAGTCAACTTCATCGGCAACTTCAGATCATCCAAGCAACATGCCGTGAACTCGTTTGCCTCATTGACAAATGCCTGCTCAAACCGCCCATAATAGTGAGGAGGAATCTCCCTCCTGATGCCCGTCGACTCATAAATATTTACCAAATTGGCCATCGGCTGAGCATTAACGGTGAGCTTCCCCTCGGTCCCAATAATCTCGGTGGCGTCGTCCTGCCCAGCAGCCATCATCCTACTACAAAAAAGATACGCAACCTGCCCACCATAAAACTCCACGATCCCGACTGCATTATCCCTATCGTTATGCTTCCGCAACTCTGGCTGCAGGGCCGTGATTCCTGAACTCACCACGCTCTTAACCTGCGAATCCTGCCCAAAGAACCAGAGCGCTAAATCGATATCATGGATGGAGCAATCGACGAAAATCCCGCCTGAGAATTCGGCATACGCGACGAAGAAGCCGGAGGGGTCGAGCTTGTCACAGGTTTGGGAACGGAAGATAGACGGCCGTCCGATGAGTCCCGACTCCATTTTGTCGAAAGCGTCACGATAGGAGTTGTCGAAGCGCCGGGAGAATCCGCACATTACTTTCAGGTGGGGCTTCTTTCTTGCTGCATCTACGACAGATTGTGACTATCAAACCAGGTTAGTTTGGAATTCAAGAGTGTGGCTCCGGAGGATACATACCACTTCAACAGAAGTAGAAAGTGGCTTCTCACACAGCACGTGTAGATTGGCATCAATCGCTTTGATGGCTTGTTCGGCGTGGACAGTAGTCACAGATGCAATGACGACAGCTTGCAAACCCTCGTGCTTCAGCATCTCATCGTAATCTTTGTATAGTCGAACTCCGAACGGTTCCAGATGCTGCTTTGCCCATTGTATCTCATTATCGTCTGGTGTGCTTGCTGCTACCAACTCTGCTCTTGGAGTTCGCTCAAGGAAATGGAGAGCATGGCGTTTGCCCATACGACCAAGGCCAGCGCAGGCAATCTTGAGCTTTTGTACCGCCATAACTGATAAAAGAGACGATTAAGAGTCCAATTTGAATTGGAAAAGTATGGATGAGAAGTATCCCTTGAAAATGAAGCAGCCATGGTAACGTTTAAGTATTTTGAAAACTACAAGGACAAGGTAAGGCATTCTGATCAAGCTGCGGGAGGTTTATTCTATGCTGCACCAATTCCTGCATCAATTGTCGTGTGAATTGCTGGTATCGGCAACAAAGTGGAAAGTCACGATAATGGAATTACCGTAACGGGTGGTTTGGGGCAAAGTGGGTTCCGGGGGAAGAATTGCGGGGTGAGGCTCCACACATCGCGTGCTAAAAATGGCAATTCCCAAATCCGCATGTGATGTTTCTGGTAATCTGACATCAAAACTTCTCGATTTCGCTTCCAACGCGGTTAGTTACCTGGTTAAACACGCAGCCCGCTCGATTCAAATTAAACCTTCGATTACAACAATTTGCTGCTCGACAACCCAAACCCGCTCCGCCGATTGAAGGCATTTCAGACAACTTGCTCTACCAAAATCCCCGCGCAACCTGGAAATTTCTGCTTGGGCATAGTATCTTATTGCTTGGAGAGAAGTCAGGTAATTTGATGGCATCTCGCAAACAGAAGAAACGAGCCTTTGGCATTGCTCGCGACGGAGGATTACACCATGCTGAGCAATTTTTTGGACTTCGAGATATCAAAGACTTCAATTCCTCTTCGGATATTGTCTTTGTATCTATCGATCTAGAAGTATCAAGACAAGAAAGATCCAAACCTGGCGTCCCACTTGTCAGAGAATTCGGCATCGCAACTCTCGACACTCGACACCTCAGATGCCTAGAATCGCCGTTTGCCGCTACCAAATCTATATTGACCCTGCAATTTTCAACATCCCATGCCTCGAAAGACTTCCTTGACTGCGATTTCACGGACTTCAAAGAATGCGTATTCGCAGAAACGGTTTTCGTATCACAAACGGATCTTTCTACTACCATTACCCAATCCTTACGTATCCAAGACGATACCTCCCCCGATCCATGCGCTCTACGAAATATAGTTATCCTCGGACACTCAACCAAAAGTGATTTGAAGATTCTTCAACGGCTTGGTGTTAATGTGTACGACGTTGCGCCCGTACTAGCAATATTGGACACGGATCTCATAGCTCGAAATCTGCTTGGAGCTAATTCTTCTACCCCCATAGCCAGCTTCAAGCTCAGTGCTGTCCTAACAGAGCTGAAATGCCCTTACGAGAGCTCAGACCTTCATAATGCTGGGAACGATGCGACGTTCACGTTACATGCGATGCTTATGCTTGTAATCAAAAGCTCTGAAAATAGGGAAATGGGTTTGGTCCAGAGAGAAAATTTGGAACGTTTACGGGCAGTAGCACAAATGGAGCTGTACGAGTGTCAACGTTGGAAACCAGCTCGAAAATCTTTGGGCTTTTATGCACCAGGGTCTCCCGTTAAGGTAGTGGTAAGCACGAAAACTGGATTGTGAATTTGTGACACAAACAGTTGATATCAACCAAGGTAACCGTCGGCTCGATTATGGGCGGCCAGCGATAGTCGAGCCGACGGTTACTTCGTACCTTACCTACAGTACCAAGGTACCAGGTACCTTAACCTACATCTGCTGGATAATGGCTGAACACCTCTACGTCAGGATCCATACCAGAAAGCGGTTATTCTCCCCAACACATCATAGGCGGATACAAATAGGTCTCTGGCCCTGAATATACGGAGTAGGTATCGGGTGGCACACAGTACGATTTTAGCACTAGGAAAGACTACTGTCACTATCACTGTCACTTTCGCTGTCGCTATTATCGATATTCGATCTTCATACTATACAACTACAAATCAAAGCGGTTTAAAGATGGGTATCCGAGTTGCCAAGAGAAAGTTTGTGCCAAGCACAATACCATCTGAGGAGTATGATGAGAGTATGAAGTACTAGATAGTTTAGATTCCCAGTAACCTAGCTAACATTTGCATAGACACTGGGGCTTGTACAATTGAATACTTCGTGACTTCGAAAGATCGGTATCGAGCAGCACCTGGCAACGAAATTCCGCTCCCGTGGCCACTCGACACTACTGAAAGCTCAGAAGAGGCACGGCAAATTGTCGCCTCCTTAGAAAGTGTATACAGGAAAGTTCTTACAGATAGCGGAATCAACTTGCATCAAGTAAGAGTACAAGGTCTCTCCCCAAGAACCGACTTCCGACCGCGAGATACCATGATAATCGAAACCCACGACGAGAATTCTGAAGGTTGGAAGGCAGCAGCTACAGAGATACAAGAACTCCTAGATAACGCAATACGCAAACGAAAGTTACAAGACGCCGGACTCAAAATCAGAGTAGAGATTTGGAACGAAGTTAAAATGCACAGAGACACTTCCTCTATTATCAAACCGAATACCACTATTCATAAAGCCCTTGAGTCAATCCAGGAAATAGTATACAAGGGAGTCAAGGAAAATTGTTCTGGCATGTGGACGAGTATCTCCTATCATATGCGTGGGCCACACTGGCAGGAGGAGAATCGAACTCCTACAATTGTGGTCAGCATTGCTCCCGGCAGCAGGGGACTTTGGGCCACTGTTGAAGAAAATATCCGAAGCGCGGTGGAAGATGCGGACTCTTCGAAGTCTTTTGATATTGACCTCGCAATTGAACTCCTCCCTGGTGCCGTCCTTGATCTTTGATAAAATGAGGCTACCTGGCCCCATTATATACCGAAAATTTCCGGAGATGCCTCTGAACGGCTCGTCTATTGGTGCGCGAGGAACCAAGGAAGCCGGAATTTTCTTGGAGCATGGTGTATTCCCAACCCTGGGGTAAGACTGAGAAGCAGAAGCGTTTTTTTAACATGTTACCCTGTCATTCATCCTTGAGAACATGGTCGGGACAGCTTCGAAGATGTTTACGAGATTGGACTTGAAGATCGCATAGTCGAAACACCTATCAAGGTTCGATTACCCGGCTCCCTTAGATACCTAGAAAACCAAGCAGGTCTGCCTAGACGAAGTTGCACAAGGCGATGATCCCAACGGAGACAACACATAGAGTGCTAGAATAATTGACAAGCATATTGCTACTGGCAATAATGGATCCGTCATTTATGCCTCGGGCTGCCTTCACCAAAATGCCAATCACTTCTTGTCGAGGATTTCGACCCAAAGATACTGATTCTCTGAAGATATATGAAATTTTCTTGCGTTTATTTCCTAGAACTGTACAGCCATCCATCCTATCACGGCGATAATAAAAGTTGTAAGAAATAAATGAGAGTTTCCAAAGACGGCACTTGCTTTCACTTCAAAGCATACAACCATCGAACATTGACGCTGCTTATCTTCATACCGTCCTCGCGTTTGATTATAATCCTTTCTCTACCAGGCAATGACCTTGTTGGGGAAGAACTCGTCGATGAGCTCAAGGTAATATGGCTAACAGAAGTTAGTTTCTTCTTCGAGAAGCTCGAGTTCCTGTGCATACCTTCAAAGCTTCCACACTTGGTACATCGTCGCTCTTGCTGTACAGATCATACGGGTTGAAAGCCTTCACTGCGTCCAGCATAGCATAGTCATGCTCGTTCATGAGATCCATGTACGCACCTCCGGTGTGCCACGGATAGAAGGAGTGATATCTGATCATAGCAAGAGCTTCAGCTGGTAACGTCGTTTGCTCCTTGACAATATGATAAAGATATTCGTCATGTCCCCAAGAAATCATAACATTGTCGAGACCACATCTAGGGGTGTAGATGCCATGTTTAGTGCCATAGATCTCGTGGCCATAATCCGGGTTGCCTTTGAAGGTATCAGGGTAGATGATCCGTTTATCGAAAGCACACCCAACAGGGAATGTATCGCCAACGACGTCCCACTGTCCTTCAGCACTATAAAAGAAAAGAAGCTTGCCCAAGTCGTGAATAAGACCGGTTAATTGCATCCATCGTGGTTTTCCATCGCGTCGAATAGCTTCAGCTGACTGGAGCAGATGTTCGATTTGAGACAGCGACGTATCAGGGTCCGAGTTATCGATAAGTGTGTTCAGCTTTTCCATAGCTTGCCAGACTGTCATTCTAGCCCGAGTCTTGGACTTAAAGTCATTGCGAGCTTTCAAGTTGTAGGCTACCGTCTGCTTCTCGTGTTGCTCCCTGTAGAAGTCCTTAACTCTGTCGCAGGCGTCCTCGTACTGACGGAACAGGGTCTTAGCCTTTTCGGCATCGAATTGGGATTTCTCAAGGATATCCTTCTCCTTCATCTGGGCTTTGAGGACATTGACAGCGTCAATATTGTCCGATAAGTCCTCGAGGGCTAGTCCATCTCGCTCGCTGTTGACCGGGATCGTGTCTACGGCTGAAGGGGCCATTGTGCAGGAAGAGTCTGGGACGTAAAGGTTGATGAAGCGTTGAAGATTGCAGGAATCGTTCTGTTTTCTCAGGTCTGCTGAGTAGAAACGGTGCGAAATAGAACTGCGGATGATTGAGGTGATATTGAACCGCACAGGATGTGCATGTGGTGCGGTCTTGAAATACCCCTTGATATCTGAGAATCACACGGCTTACATGTGTTCAAGACGACCAAGGCGGAGGCAAAGCCGGGCCACGATATTTCAAACAAATTGCAACACTACGTGCCACACCTCCAGGGTCCAGAAGACCTCTCCTTCCTGTTAGAATCATTGGTCTTGAATATCGACAAAACAGGTTGGAATTTCCTAAGCATGGTTTGGGGAAGTTGCTGTGTGCAAGAGAGAGAGAAAAGAACGAGAAACGTGGGGACCCTGCAGTACTACTGTTCCCACCGACTGAATCCCCTCATGGCAATCAATAATATTCTCGATTGACAAACCACAGCGAGGACCAACTGTCCTAGCCGGCATGCCGCAGGACTCCGTAAACAGAAATTACTGGATTGGGAGCTGAAAGGGAAATGCTACGACGGGCCGAACAATAGGTAAGGCACTGTTAAAAACGGAAAATTTCTTGGTTTCACGCCGGCGAAAACTTCCATTTCGGCGGGGGTCGGGGATGTGTGGGGTAACTGTTCAATGACTGCAAGAATCCCCGTGCCCACATCACGAGCGATCTATCACGTGATATCACACGGAAGTTTTGTTGCACGTCGCATTAGCGCTCTTGTTGGGAGAGTTGAACGTTGGTTTTGATGGCAGTTAGAATTAGCATCACATGATATTAGACCCATGATACCGGGGTTTTGTTGCACATCGCATCCATGATGATTTTGGGAGTGTCGAAGGTGGTTTCAACAGCGGTAGGATTAGCATCACGTGATAATTCACTTGTGTGGGTGGGAAGAGGTCTTTTACTTCTCAGCTGGGAGTCTGATGAAGCAATATTCTCTGTATACTTGAGATCGCAATAATCCACCCGTTAGACAATTCGAGCAGATCATTTTCTAGATTTGAATGGAAACCAAACATTCTAGATATTACCCCCAAACATCCTCCTGGAACCTGTGCGTCCTTCTCATTCCCTCAGACCACTCTCTCAGTTCACTTTCACTCCATCCAACTCTCCTTCTCAAGCACTCACCCAACCTCGCCGCAACATCCCTCGCCATGCCCGCACTGCCACAGATGTAGAAATATGCATTTTGCTCCAACAACAACTTCACAACTTCCTTATCCCTCTCTTCAACCTGATCCTGAACATAACATTTCCCTCCTTTAGCATTTTTTTCCGTTCTCGAAAAAGCCATCACAATCTCCACCTCCTTGTTGGAATTTTGAAGGCTTTCCAGCTCATCTTGATAAAGATAGTCGTCCGGAGAACGGCACCCAAAGAAGAGGAGGCTCTTTCCCACCTGGCGCCCAATGGCTGCTATACGTGCCCGTTCAGCTATAAAGCCGCGGAAAGGTGCCACTCCACTGCCCGAAGCAATCATAATGATGGGGTTCTTTGGATCCACGGGGAGTTTGAATTTTGACTTCCGAATATGTGCGAAGAGCTTCCCTCCTTGCTCAAGAGTACCGTTTGGCCCAGATAAATTGTAACTTGGTCCGGACACGGTATCATTACGTTTAGTTTGATCTATTGCAAGGAGGTAATTTGTTGTGAGGCCTGGGATAGAGGCGTTGTGCGTGGGCGAGGCTTCGGTGGATGTTGAGACAGTGATAGAAATTTGTTTTGGAGAGACGATGGAGGAGGACGAGATGGAGTAGTAGCGTGGTGAGAGTATTGGAAGGCTTTCGAGAACAAATGAGAGGGGAAGGTTGGACCATGATCCGCAAGAAGAGGAGACACTCTCAAGCAATCTACCAAAGGTGACATGTGTTTTCGAACAGTAATCATGGTAAATGCCTTTATCCTCGCCCAGTTGCTTCAGACTAGCTTTTGCGGATTCCGAAGGTGCAAACTGTGCTAGAGCAAGAACTGTGTCTCGAGGAACCGGTGCGCAGATTTCGAGGTAGTATTGGAAGAGTGCCTCCCACGTAGTTGGCGATGGCACTTTGACTTTAATGGCAGGGTCGAGACTTTGAATTAACAAAGGGGTCCGAGTGACTAATTTCGAGTTGAGACCGAGGATACCGACCAATCGCTGGATCTCTGATATAGGATTTGATGGCCATATAGCAAGGTGATCGCCCGTCTTGTACTTGAGTTCAGGAAAGTCGCTGGTATCGAGTTCCAAGTGCAGGCAATTGCGTTCTGTTGTGGAAAGGAGCGTCTTTGCGAGCTTTATTGGGAGAGCATGAATTGGCGAAATGTTTGGGGTTTCTCTCTTTCCAATTAGAGCCTTGATAGGCTCACCAATATGAAGGTCAATGACATCCAAAGAGGTATCCTCCAGAATTCTTAAGGTAGGCTCGTACTGTGCTGGCCGCTCCTCAAATCCAAGCTGTTCACGAAACAGTGTGAACAATGATTGTTTCCACTCAGTGAAATCCTCATCAGTACCGCCATCTGAATCATCCGCTCGGCCAACAGGCATCAGTGGCTTTGCCCCAAATCGATCGAGTGCTTCAGTCACAACATCGATAACTCTGTTGTAGAACTTGTAATTCTTGTTTCCGAGCCCGAAAGCTATGTAGCGAAGTTTGAAAAACTGCGTCGTCTTGCTTGAATCCAACCAGGAGAGAAAGTTCGTGGCATTGTCGCTAGGGTCGCCTTCCCCGTAGGTCGACAGGATGAAAATAGCCAGCTTCGTTTCTGGAATATTGGCAATAGACTCTGTGTCATAGTCTGACAGGTCTGCAACAAGGGCATCGAGTCCAAAGCGACTCCGGCAGTCTCTTCCCAGTCGATTTGCAAGTCCTTCTGCGGTTCCGGATTGAGAACCCCAGAATATAACGAGATCTTTCTCCTGTCCCACCACATGAGCTTTCCGGTGATTTAATTGGAATGTCTCTACTCACATTCTCCTCGATCTTCAGCCCGATATCTCTCGTATCGGCCCCCTTCGCGCTTGAATCTGTTGCCTGGGGCTTCTCGAACCAAATATGATGGTAAGGATCAGGTTTCTCCTTGAAGTAAAAAGTGTAGACGAGACTAGTAAGAATGGTCAAGGCCAGGAAGACAATATCATCCTTCTGAATATGTTGGAGAATGCCCTCCACTCCCATTAAAGGTGGAATGTCTACCAGTTTGGACATCGTCACCATGGTGAAAGGTCACACGCCAGAAACAGATATGGATTCGCAAGGAAGGAGGCTAAAGAGCTCAGAATGATTGATGCATTCTGATATAACACTTCATCTAGAAAATAAAGGAGAACTTGATCAGTTCCTCAGACACTACCTTAGCCTTGCATTCTTGGCCTCCCCGAAGAGGCTGCCCCAGATGTCTCTGCACACGCACATGGCAGCTTCCCTGCTTCTGTCAATGGAATCTATAATTACCAATTGTGCATCCCTAGTCTGAACTTTAAAAGATAATTTACTTGAAGTTCAGGTGGGATGTTTGCTCGCTGTTCAGATGGATCTTTTGCATCACTTTTGATGGAGCGAGTGCAATAAGGCAATTGCCGTTCTCAAACCCTGCACGAGCCAGTGTTACTACAGCGACGCTACTAAATTACCGAAAAGGAACTTTGTTGCGCAGAAGCATCAGAAGCCCATGACATCAAACTCGGCCTCAATTGCATCAAGTATTGTCAATTCTTGTCATGAAAAGGGTAATTTTTGATTCAAATGCCAGGAGCCAATGCAGATGCTGCTCATCTGGAGGATCTCTGGCGGTTGGGTGCGGGGTTGCTGTGTAGGTGTGATTTCTTCTACTCCACGGGTCTGAAGACCTTACCAGAATAACAAGGACTTCGATGGCTACCAAGAAGTCCTCGATCATGGGCAAAAATCTTGCGTGCTATCAGATATCTCCAAGCTGGTCCTGTCTTGTCTGTATCTGGGAATTATTTTTGGGCCATTTGGATCTGGCAAATACACGGTACACCTGCTGTGCAGATCCTGAACTTCTATATACATCTAGTTCATTCAAGTGAAGAACTTCACTCTCTGCCCTTTTCAAACCAATAGATCTCTGCAAATATGTTTGGCTACATCCTATCCGCTGTTGTGTCCTTCTTGCTACTGTCATACTTCATCATATGGCCCGTTGTTCAGTATCTCCGTGATCCGAAAGGGCTTCGAAAGTATCCTAATCTCAACTTTGTTTCTGGGATTTCGAATCTTAGTTTCTGCTATGAGGCCCATAAGGGGTTCCGATCCCACGCGTTACTTGAAGCACACCAGAAATCCCCAGTTGTTCGCATTGGGCCTAACTCTCTTTCTTACTCTGATCTTTCGGCCATAAAAGTAAGTTTGGTCCCGATCAAAATTCGGGGCCCTAAACTGACGCAAATTCAAGGATATCTATGGGCACAACACCAAATGTGTCAAGGACGTGTTCTATGATGTCTTAGCAGGTTCTCATCACCATCTCGCTGACGTTCGAGACAAATTGGACCACCAACGCAAACGCCGTATTCTCTCAAGTGCGTATGCTTTAAAGAACCTTGAAGGATGGGAACACAAGGTAGCCGACAAGACGGCGCGCTTCATCAAGGCCGCAGATGATCACTGCACCGAGCCTTTGAAGAAAGGCATGGTTCCCGCACCCGAAGATCTCGCGTTCGATTACCGTGCTTGGGCCAATTTCTTCACACTTGATGCCATTGCCGACATAGGCCTCTCTGAACGCTTGGGTTTCCTCGACCAAGGTCATGATCTCGTGACTGCCGAGACCATAGATGGAAAGCTCTACCAGGTAAACTATCGGGAGTGCCTGCATGCAACTGCTAGAGCCCAATCAGGGCTCGTGTGGTCCTATGAGTGGTTCCCTGTCCTGTCAAAGATTTCATATCTCGTCTCCAAACACTACCGCAAAATGTGGAAGCTCAACAAGGACTGGGACGCCATTGTCTATCACAGGGCCAAGAAACGACTTGCACGCTACCGCGCGGGGGAGCCACTCGACGATTTTTTCTCTGCTTTGTTGGCCGATAAGAACGGCAGCCCAAATGGTATGGAATGGGGAGAGATCATTGCTGAAGTGTCAATTATGATGAACGCGGGCTCTGATACTACAGCCATCGCAATGAACAACGCAATGTACCTCCTGCTCGCCAACCCAACGAGTTTGGCAAAACTCCGAGCAGAGTTGGATGCCGTGCTCGAACCCTCAGAAGTCGTGGCTCCTTACGATAAAGTTCGACATCTTCCCTATCTGCGCGCTTGCATAGATGAAGCGCTCCGAATGTATCCCCCCACCACATTCGGACTCCCACGACGAACTCCTCCTGAAGGGGCAGCTATCCTCGGGGACTTCATCCCTGGCGAGACGTCCGTTTCCATATCTGCATATGTCGCGCATCGGGACCCTAAAGTATTTCCCGAGCCTGAGGAATATCGGCCTGAGAGGTGGCTGGGAGATGATGCAAGGGAGTTGCAGGCGGCTTTCATCACGTTCAGTACAGGAGCCAGAGGCTGCATTGGTCGCAATATATCGTATCTTGAGCAAACGGTCCTACTTGCAAGTGTTGTTCATAGGTTTGAATGGAGTTTGCCGTATGAGGGGTGGGTGCCGGAGCGACGGGAGTCTTTCAATTTAATGCCTGGCCCGATGCCCCTGAAAGTATGGAGAAGGTTTGGGGATAAGGATTAGTTCGAGAATTTGTGACGATGGAAATTGGTTGGCGTGTTAGAGCATCGTAGCTGACACGTGGAAATGCTAGTATCACGAATTTCTTCATTTCGGTCTTTCGCCCAATCTTTCATATCAATATTGTTTTCTTTAGCTGGAAGCCGAAGATAGAATTTTGAAGACCAAATTGCCTATTGATCCATTCCATTAATTACTGAATACCAATAAGATAACAACGACCAAGGTAAGTCGAGACCGCTCAAGGAAATTAATTGTTTTCACCGAAGTCATTATTCACATAGATCATCTACCCTTTGGCCAGCCCCAAGCATTTTTCAACCTATCCTGAATCTCTTTCGTCGGCCACCCATGTTTGGTATCAGTGTACACCAACACATCCAAAATGCTTTGCTGTTCCCTCAATTCCGTAAATTGGTCGCCACAGATTGCAATAGCTATACAAGCGGTATTCATAGTAGGAGGCGCCCGTCGATTAGATAATGCTACACCACAAAGGCGTTTTACTATTTCATTCACTTCAACCTGAGCATTGGATCAGTACATTTTATTATTTTCGGGATTATTGCCGACTCGGGTGTGGTCAGAGGGGGGCTTACCTCGACCTGTCTAGTTGCTGCCCGATGGGATGGGCCGAGACGGGGAATTCGGGGGTCGTAGACTTTGAGGAGGATCTTGGAGAGATCAAAGTGTTGGACTGCAGTCACTATAGCAAAAAGGGGGACGGTCAGTTCTGGCTTGCCACAGTAATAGTAATAAAGTGAACGGTCTTACCGTGGCAATCCGAAAGAAACCATAATTCTGGATACACCTCTCCCCTGTCAATATCGGGCGGCCTTTCAAAGATCGGCTCAAAAGACTTCGGTCTCAGGCTATCCCAGCCATGATAGTACTCTACTAGTTCATAGTAATCATCATTGTTCGAGCGATCTTCGCCATAACAATATCTCAGAACATCCGCACAGTGTACTATTACACGGTGAGCCCAAGTATGATCATCAGCTGGTTCAAGGGATCGATAATCATCGCAATTCAAAGGCAGACGGAAAGGGCGCTGTCTAATAAAAGCGATGTAAACCTCTTGGCGGTATGCTACGCGAAATGCGGCACGGCGAAGACTACTTTGAGATACTGAGGATGCTTGTGCTTCAATGAATACCCCTGTCCCTTGGAGTCCTGTCTCCCAGTCTCCCCCATTTAAAGGTGCTAGTAATGCAGTCAGATTATTTCATGAAAGTTGATGACGTGCTACTAACCGTCAACTTCCTCATAGAACCGTAAGATGATCGAGGCCACCAGGAGATTTTCATCAAAAACTGCCTCAGGGTCACCCGAAACGGCAACTAGGTGCTCGATGCATCGACTGTGATATTCAACGGCTGTCTCAATGTGCAGGTCAGTAAGTCGTTTCTCCATATACTCCACTACATTCCCCTTCTTGTACTTGTCAAGACGGCAAAGGTGTCTCGCCGAAGCCGTATAGATGGCATTAAGCAACGCTGGACAGTGCTTGGCCCTTTGCGGGACTACAAGAGCAAAATGCCGTTCTGGATCGCAGAGGTCAAACTTATGCAGTTAGTAGGTGTCTGGAAATGGGGTTCATCGGGCCAGGCTTACCCAGCATGCTAGTTTATCAATAAAGTATCTCATCAGGCAAGCTTCTTGGATATTCACGTGCGGCCACGGTCGTGGTGTGTCATTTTGGTCTTCAGCGTAGGCTCGTATTTGGCTCTGGGATGGAGAGCCAAGTGGGCCTATTTGATGAGATCTATGCTCAGAGAAATCGGCGGCTCGTAGAAGGGAGTCAATGGCGTCGTCCTGTCTGATCACGGGGTCTTCAAAACTATGCGTCCTCTCATGGTATGATAAAATAGACGCAGTTTGCCCAATCGAGTGAAAGGAGGCCCTGTCACTCTCATTGGTTCGACGCCTCTTGGCAGGCGTTGTGATATCCGAGAAAAGGGATTGAGGCGTCCTGGAGGAAGATCGAGCAGCGAAGGTTTGGTCCTCCGAAGCAATCGAGTCCACTGCCGCTGAGGCCGTCGGCGATTCCGTCGGTCGACTCTGTGACGTAGCAGCATCTGAAACTCCAACGGCTCTGGCGTTCGGATTTCCTGAATATATCTCCTCTAATTCAGGGAGTTCTTCCACAAACTCGGAGCATATTTTCCCTGAGATTTTCACCCATGGTTGATCCTTGGCAAAATACGAATCATACCTAGCAGATGAACCGTGCCTGAATCGTAAATTTCCAAAAGTTTGTTTCGGCGCACCATCCCCATTGGAAACTCCATCTACAAGGAAGAATGCCGGTCAGTCAAGAGCAACCGCAAAGAAGGACACTGACCAACGTTGCTCTGCTTATTCGCAGAAACCCTGACTGCATCAACACGGGCGACGTCATGACATGTTGGGGGTTCATTCATTACCTTGGGCTAGATTGTGGCATCTAGAGGATAGGGCAGTGCGAGCATGGCGCACATGGCGGTACCATCCTCTGCAGCACACAGACAGCCCAACTGAGTAAGAGATCTTGCGCGGGAACAGATTGCAGGGGACAAAGGCAAACAGAAGAGAAGGATGAAGAGAGTAGAAAATACTGGATGCCGGGAGGTCGAGGTGAGGAAAAGGAGGAAGAGGATGGAGAAGTCGTCATGCCCCATCGGGATCCGAAGAGGTTAGACCCGGGTCGGGTATCCCTGTCCGTCGCCGTCAGACGCCAATAGCCGATGGCCAATAGGGAGCCATAGCCGAGGCGCCGAGCTGCCAAAACATGCGACGACGACGACCACCACCACCACCACCACCACAAGGGAAACCTTCCCCGCAAAGTCGGAATCGCAGAATTACTATTTCAGGACGGTATTCGTGGTGGCCCCGCTGTTCCCCGCTGTGCCCCGCGTGGGGAGCGATGGGCAAGTCTGGGGGGTCCACCTTCCCCGCATCCCCGGGAATTACCCGGATTGGCGCAAGTACTCGCCTTTGGCTCTTGTTCAAGGCCGGCAACTCTTCCTCGTTGCTTGACTTCGCTGCCGTAGGAGATGGCGTGGACCATTCGTGGATCATGGCCCAGAATCGAGCAGGCCTCTCAATCATTCCTCTCCTGGACAGATTGGACCCTTGGGGAGTTCACCCTAAACGAAGTATCTCCTCCTCTCATCACCGTTATGGTTTCCGGGGAAATGAGAGATTACTATAAGTCCCAATGTTTCCTCCCGCTACGAAATCAAGAGCTATTTCCTCACCCTCATCTTTCCTTCCGCATAGCCCGCCCAGTTCAGACGTTCTAGGTCTCTGTCCGCTGGGACGCCGGCTTCTCTGCCTTTATCATGGACATCCCATCAGAGAATGAAGAGCCAAAGGGCAACACCCTCCATGTTGAGAAAGTTTCGACATCTTCCATAGAACAGGGATCCGGGCATTTTGAGGATCTCGATAGCATCGAACAAACGAATGCTGGGAGATACGCCTGGCTTGTCGCTGCTACTGCAGGCGTTGGTGGTTTGCTTTTTGGTAATAATATACCTTCTGTGTCTCAATGGTCGATTTTATTCACGCAATGCAATAGGCTACGATACTGGAATCATCTCAGCCGTCCTTGTCTACCTTAACAATGATCTCGGAAAGGTCCTCAATGCGAGCGAAAAGGAACTTATAACCTCGATTACTTCCGGTGGCGCGTTTATTGGTGCCATTGCAGCCGGGCTTACTGCTGACCGCTATGGCCGAAAAGGTCCTATTTATATGGGGTGTTTACTGTTCATCATCGGAGCAGTTCTACAGGCCGCTGCCTATTCCCTTGCTCAGATGACTGTTGGACGGCTTGTTGTTGGATTTGGAGTAGGCTCAGCAGCTATGGTTGTCCCTCTCTACATTGCAGAGGTTGCTCCTGCTAAACACCGTGGTAAAATGATTGGTATGTACATCTCTGGTCTCTATCGAGCAATGCTAACTCCGAAATCTCGCAGGGCTGGACAACATGAGTATCACAGGCGGACAGCTCATTTCATATGGAATCGGTGCAGCTTTTGCTAACGTAAATCACGGATGGAGAGGCATGGTGGTAAGCTCATTCCCCCCCTCAAGTCATTGAACTCCATCTAATAAGTTTTCGATCAGGCACTTGGAGCCGTCCCAGCGATAACCCTATGCTGCCTTCTCCCCTTCTGCCCCGAATCGCCTCGTCAACTCATCTACCATGACAAACATGACGAAGCCGCCGTCGTCATCCGGAAAATCTTCCCCCAAGGAACACCAGAGCAGGTTCAACAGAAGGTTCGACACATAGCAGGTCACGTCGCCGAAGCGAAAGCTTTAAAGGACGGCAAAGGCAACATCTGGCTCCTCAAGCAGCTTTACGTCGTTCCTGGTAACCTTCGCGCCCTTATTTCCGCCTGTGGTCTCATGGCTATCAGCCAGCTTGGAGGCTTCAACAGTCTCATGTACTACTCTTCGACTATTTTTGCCGTGGTCGGTTTCAACAGTCCTGTAGCGGTGGGGACCGTCATTGCCGCCACGAACTTCATCTTCACCTGGGTCAATTTCATGGTCATTGATCGAGTCGGTCGACGCCGTATGTCGCTCTGCACCATATGGGGAATGGCACTCTTCCTAATCATAGCAGCTGTCGCATTCCACTGGATCCCCATCAACCACGATCTCACTCTCCAAACGACCCAGATCGGATGGCCCGCCTACGTCGTCCTAGTCAGCATGATCATCTACGTCATGTTCTACAGCTCCGGAATCGGGAATACCGCCTGGCTCTCCTCGGAATTCTTCCCCATGGAGATCCGCGCTTACGGGACCATGATGCTCACCTGCTCCTGCTGGGGCTCCAACATCATCGTCTCCTCGACCTTCCTTACGCAGATGGGAAACACGACGCCGTCAGGCGCCTTCGGTTTCTATGCTGCGATTTGCTTCTGCGGCTGGATCGCCGTGTATTTTTGCTATCCCGAAGTTAAGGGTTTGACGTTGGAGGATATTAGGCAGGTTTTTGAACATGGCTTTGGGGTGCAGTATGCGAGGAGCTTGCAGAAGCATCGTAAGCGCAAGCATCAGTTGGAGAATACAAGGGCGTAGCCTGATAAGGGGTATGTATGTATGTTCGCACGTATGTATTAAGATATTGGGCTACAAAATCATCAATAACTGCCTTGCTTTGGACTTGTCTGTTATCGCTACCTAGGTAGCTTTCGGAAGGCCACAGGCTAACAGCTAGTACTGTATGAACCGTCAAATCCCGAGGGAGTGTTCTTAGATTAGCAGGTTCTGAAGATGGATGATAGTAAGTTGAAGGCGGTCTATAAGTCTATAAATTCATGGCATCGTGCTAATAATATACATGCGAGACCTTTTTGGCTAACCAGAGTATTACGAAATTTTGATCCTTAGATTGAAGAAAGATCCCTCTTTGACCGCGTGTGGATTCACACGGTGGGCAGAGGTCAAGCCTTCAAGCACCCTTCTAATGCTCTGTGATTATATATGCGCTCTTTTGGCGGATCTTGGGTCCCCATACGAATAGGATCCAGGGGATTGGAAGTAGGGCGACGGATATAAAGCCCAGAAGACTCGTTGCCCATGCGGCGCCAAGACGGTCGTACACTACCCATCTGTCAGAGGAATGCAGCAAAGGGAGAGGCAAGGGTGCGACTTACTCTGGATCGCAAATAGAGGGAACGCGGCTGCGAAGATATAGCGACAGAAGACGTTGGAGGAGACCGCGGATGCGCCGTACTGCGGGCCATAGCTGTCGACCAGATACATCATGGCTGCTACCTACCCAACAGTGTTAGACCTAGTAGGCATCACGGCTCATGGACTTACGAAGACGCATAGATTCCCCCACGCAAAAATCATAGTACCAACCATGGAACTGGCCCATGATACACCAGTGCGTGCCGTCCATGCAAACCAGAAGAGGCCGATTGGAAGCCCCACGCCGCCAATCATGGCGCAATAAAGTCGATGTTCCGGTTCAACATGCTTCGTTGTCTGAGACGGTTGATCCAAGTGAAAGAAAGATTCTTCATCGATGCGCAGGCTGTTGTCTAGATCCTTGACAGCATTGACCTTCGCCAATTGTTTCTGATAGAAAAGCCTGTCGCATAAGATGCAGGTGGCCGTTGCAAGCAAACATCCAATGAAAATTGGGACAAAGGCGAGGCCGATCTCTCCAGAATTGAAGCCATAGACGCGTGTGTACACCAGAGGGAATGCGGCAAAGAAGGTGTAGAGGATTCCGAAGTCAACTGACACATAGAGGCCGAAGCAGGCCACTATTGGCTCCGTGATCAACATCTTGAGCGGCCGTAATAGTGTGACTGTCACAAAAGTTCTCATAGCTCCCGGACCGTCAGTGGGTTTGGGAGCCTCCGCTCTACCCAGTTGTCTCCGCCGTTTCTCCAAAAGTATCGGCTTGTATGTCTCGCTCAACCATAGAGAGTAAGTATAGGTTGCAAAGATGAAGAAGACCATGACCCATCCTAACCAACGGAATCCCTTCTTTTCAACCACGAAACCGCCGATAACAGGGCCTTGAAGATCATTTCAGCTTTAGTCTTAAAATCTCACAATTGTTGATGAATGAAAGGGTTTACTGACCAACGGCAGGTCCCAGGCAGGGAGCCAAGAGAAAGAAGCTCATTGCGATGCCACGGGAGGAGGGTTTGAATATATCAGCAGTAGTCCCGCCGCCAATAGATAATGCTGGGGCTGCAAAGAACCCTGCAAAGAAGCGACAGATAACAATTGTGGCCATGTTTTGTGCAACGGCACTGCCAATGGTGAAAAATGCCGACACTGGAAGAGTAACCCGGTATATAATAGAACGGCCAAACGTTTCGCTGAGAGGAGCCGCAAGGACAGGTCCAAAGGAAAGGCCTAGGCTGTACAACGAAAGTCCCAACAGAGACACTGTTGTAGAAACACCAAAATGCTCGGCCACTTCGTCCGTTCCAGAGCTGTAAATCGAGGACATAAATGTCCTATTTGTAGTCACGTGAAAGTTACCAAAAAAAAGGTCCTGAGAAGTGCTTTCAAGGGGAGAGGGGATGCCACACGTACGATGTAAAAGCATACGCTGCAATGATGCTGGCATGGTAGACCTTCTTGCCAAAAGACCAATTGTAAGGGTTCTCAGGATCATCGGGGGAAGACCAATCGTCCAAGTCTACTTGTGTGCTAGTAGCAGTGGATTGTCCCAAAGACCAAGTAGAGCATCCTGGACCCTTTTTCTCGTCCTCCATAGTGTATTAGTCTCTTCCCTAATAATGGTGCGACAAAGATGTCCTAAGAGTTAATAGGAAAAGGAGAAGCGAAAGGTTGAATGAGGATGTCCCGAAGAGAAACACGAGGAAGAGGAGAAAAAGGAGAACAGAAAGAACGACATGATGCCCGCGCTTTTAAGCCCACCAAGGAGATATATTTATTCGGGAGAAGAGCGCAAGCCATCTGCAGAGGACCGTGGCTAGAAATATGATGGATATGATGGAGCGAATCTTTAGATAGATTTTACCGAGTAGATATGTAGGAAGAGAGTCATGGCCCGTGTGTGCGGGAAGTTGGGAACCGATGAAGCACAGACGCCACACTTGGTTGGTGTCTGATGCCCGCCATCATAATCATTGTCTCGCTTGCCTATTCATCCCGACTCCAAAACTGAGCAGAGGTCAAGACAAAACTAATCGATACCTGATAACTTCACCGTCGGCGAGGATCTATGGCTTCTCTTTTGCAAGATGGCCCTGTGCCAGATATCAAAACAAGTCAGTCACAACACAGGGTGGTATGATTGTTTAGCCGTAGGCTCGTTGGGCTTCCGGTAGCCCCCTTGGAGTACAGTAGTTGTGTTTGTGGCTTGATTGCTGCCCGCTGCACAGACATTTTTTTCAGCTTTCTGGGCCTCAATAGTCCGATTCGCTTGAAATCCGGAGTACTTCTTGACATCTTGACAGATTGCGTCTGTGCGACTATGAGTTGGCCGACGACGACGATTCGAACAAAAAGTTGCCCCTGCAGGAGTCTGGAGGTCTGGAGGCGGGTGAAGAGGTCGAGACTCGACCTCCTTGGGCACCATTAGGCGAGTTACATCTGGATGACTAATCAGAACCCCTCCCCCCTTTTCTACTCCCCTACTTAGGTATAATTTATTGGCGACAATGTCCAGTACGAGGGCCGCATTCGCCTCCTTGACAACATAGATTAAAAAGCTCATATTCCGTTTGCGACTAAGATCTCTAGTACATCTATCGGCGCTTGAAAAGGTGGCAAGGATACTGCAAATTTAACTCAGATCTCTTCAACCCCCCTCTTCAAAAACCAACAGCACCAATCGTATCAGCGCTCTGAGAAAGCTTCCTCACCTTTGGTATCCGCGACGACCGGCAGTATTAACCCCGAGAGGAGATCTACGTACAGCGCTCGCCATACGAGCGAGTTTTGTCGCGGGATTGCCGCATTCGCCAACCAGACATACTCCTGGTTGTTCTGCGGATGGAGCGGGACAGCATGTGTTCATAGCACAGATGCTACCACCGGCACAATCGTCATCATTTGCACAGGATGTAATCCCGCTACATAGAGCGTCCTGGCCACAGAACCCAGCACCCGTGTGGTCTGAGAAGCAGAAGCAATCGCCAGTGCTGCAAGAGTGGAAACCGGCGTCGCAGGTCTGGTTACTGGGACATTGGGCACTTGAACAGATACCATTATTGCAGACTCCGGTTGAGCAAACATTGCCGCAGCTGCCGCAGTTGTTGGGATCAGTCTGGGTATTGGCTGTGCAAGATGAAATCGGAGAAGCAGAAGAAACAGTCGATGTCTGTGTAGTCGAGATGGTGATAGTGACGGTGGTTGCCTCGTCTCGTTAGCCCTGTCCTACTGGCAGCTGCGCAGAGTCGCTTACAGTGGCATTGAGGGTGATAGTTCTTGCTGTCACTCCCATACAAGAGCAAGCACTAGCATACTGAGACGAATTACTGCATGCAGTGGCATAAGATGGAATCCCGTTTGACATTGACGTGGGCAAAGCCGTTGCTCGTTTGTAAAGAAGATCAGTGACTGTGGCATTAACAGTCAATGTTGAGGTAGCTGTTGATTCATATACCTTAGTTAGCGACCAAGATATGGGCTGAAGAGACATGGTTTAACAGTTTAAGAAAAGGGGGGTACGGTTCAAGGATCACGGACCGGTCACGGTAGATGGAGCTAAGGTCACTGTGGTTTGAAGGAAGCTCCACTGCGAATCTATCAGAAATCATTCCAGACTGGATGCAAGGATCAATATGACTTACACAGTCTAGAGTGGCCTGGTTAAGGTGGCAGAGCCCTTGTCTTGTCCCGGTGACAGCTCGAGCGCAATTGTCTGCATGACTAAAAGATGTCAGCACAGGTAGCGACAATTAGAAAGATACACAAGAGATTCATGAGGTGCAATTTAATCTTGAAGCTTTTTCTTACAGCTATGTAGTTTGCTTGGAGTTGGAAATACTTACCAACCTTGTGTAGGCCCGACAGAATATGGCGAAGGCGAGACGGAATAGCCACCATAAGGCGGGTATTGCGGCGATGCCAGCGTGAACCCAACAATGCAGGTAACGGTGATGATTAGGAGCCTCATAGTAGCAGTAATGTTCTGAACTTGAGTTGTTGATGGGAATGCGGGGTCGGTAGAGAGTAAGTAGAAAGAGGATTGGAATGGTTGAGAGGATTGAAGGAATTTATGTCCGCGTCTTAGTTTGCGCAAGTAGGTAGTGACGACTTACTATAAGAGCAACTGTATTTTCCCTCGTCGGAACTCTTCTCAAGCCACCAAAGAAGCGTTTCTTCTCCGAGAGATTTGCTTGTGTCTCAACGTTGGTGTTGTACAGATACGGCCAACAACATAATTTATAGTACCAATCTTTTCTTAGGATAAGGTAGCTTCAGATATGATCTATATTGAGGTTAATTGGAGCTTTATACTCATTGGATCTGTATGATGATCTTCTACTTCAGCTGAAGATTGAAAGCCTCGAATTGAACGGTAGGAGGCTTTGGCAAATCAAGCATTCGAATTAGCAGGAAATGTTGATTAAAAGCCCATACATCTTGTACGGTGGCTTCAATATGTAACATTCCGTGGCACCTGACTAGACAGAATTCCTCGGCCTTCAAATTAGGTGCAACAATGGTTGACGATCGGGCTCACTATTCCGCTCTCATATACGCTGCAGGAACCCGTAATGTGCACAGTTTGGAGCAATTCAGGCACCCTCATGCAGGTGAATAATTGGCACAGATAGCCAACAGGTACGGAGGATTCGGGAACAGGCCAATCTATATCTATCTTGAGATATATCACTTTTCCTCGGCCAACTACGTTACTGCAGCCTGGCAGCGTTCCGTACTTCTCCGCAGCCCTCTGGGTGCAGTAGCTTGATCGATACAATGCGGATAGTCACATATTCCGGTTCGATTTCTTCCATGAGAGGTACAGAATCTGACCCCACCAGAAAACTGCCAGTATTTTGGAATTGATGAAGAGTTCAATTTTAATTCTAGGATCGTGGGTGTAGAAACGGTCTTGGATTCACTGAATCCTTCAAGAATCTGGACTCGGAGCTTTGACTCCTTGAATCAAGGGAGGTCCTGAGCAAACGTAGGCGCAGATAGGGACTACTCCTAGAGAGAATTATGATAGATGACAAGCCACCTAGATATAAGGGCAGTCTAGAGAACACAAAAAGCAAAGTTTGTACCTTTATAATCCGGGTAACACGTCTTCGGAACTGGCAAATTCGTCTTGAATCCGCTTTTTTCGTATTGTCCGGATTCAATCCAGCAGAATTTTCATGTACTAATACCTCAGGGCGGCATATTAATCACTATGAGAATACAGAAATTCTTTTGGTCGTATAGCCGAGTTTTTGCACTCACAAGAAATCGGCATCGATAATGTTCTGGATTTTAATGAAGTTTACCCGGAACAAAAGGGTGCCCTGCACTAAGACCACCGTCAACCGCCCAAGCTTGGCCGTTGACATAACTGCTCTCTTCGCTGCCCAAAAACAAAGCGACTCTTGCGACCTCATCAGCATGCGCTCCTCGTCTCAGAGGATTCAGCTGCCCGATTTTCTGCTCTGTCCCCCTCGCCCTGGCTGCTTCATACACCGCAGCTGTCATGCCCGTCTCAATCAAACCCGGGCAAATCGCATTGATACGAACGCCTGTTCCAGCAAGCTGGTATGCGATGCTTTGTGCGAGGGAGATCACGCCAGCTTTCGAGGCGGAGTAATCGCTGGAGCCTGCATTAGATCGTAGGCCCGCGACGGATGCGGTGCCGATTATGCTTCCACACGGATATTTCTTCTCTTCGGATGTCAACATCATAGCTGGTGCCGCATATTTGGCCGCGAGGTGTACGCTGCATACAAGTTAGGAGTTGCTGCATTGTAATAGAGGTTTATGGTCTCACCTGACAACATTCGTTCTTAAAGTGTTCAGGAACTCCTCCCCTGTTACCTCTGTGAAGATCTTGTTTTGGCCGAGTACGCCCGCATTGGCAAAGAATATATCAAGCCGGCCATATGACTTGATGGCATCATCTACAACCGCCTTTACCGCCGCCTCGTCCGCAGCATCGAATTTCCGGGTATGGACTTCCACACTGGGATATAATGACGCGAGCTCTCGTTTGTGCGTCTCGAGGTTGGAATCGTTGAAGTCGCATATGTAGATGGCCTTCGCGCCATTCTGGGCGAACTGATGTGCTGAAGCTCGACCAATACCGAGGGGAGAATTGGCTCCTGTAGTCCGGATCAGCAGGTATTGATAGAGACCCAAAGGCTGGCGACTGACCCGTCACAATTACAACCAAGCCTTTAACTCTTGGGCCGACGGAATCCGGAGCAATCTTCTTCAAGACGGGGATGTTTTCGAACATCCCCTGGTCCCCAATGGGAGCCACGAGCTGCTGGCTGAGCGCAGCTAGTCTCCTCTTCGCAGTCTTCGGAGCTGCAGTCATGGTGAAGTATGCAGCCTACGACAACTGGGGGAGGAGAAAGAAAGAAGAATTTTGGCCAAAAAGCAGATGAAGAGAGGAGAGAAACGAAGGGCAGTAGTCGGCCTCGACAGGAAGCGGAGGCGGGGAGGAGGAGGCTAGTGGTACGGGGGTGGAGACCCGTCTTCCCCGCTGTCTCGTCGGATCCTGGACCTCGGAAGGCTCCATCGCAGGCCCTCGGCTTGGCTGGGTCACGTGGGTGGCCCGTCCCGTGCGCAATGACTAATCAAGGGTAGTGTCGCTAGAGTCACACCGCATAAGCGCTAGTTGCAGACAGCCGACAATTAGCCGGCACGCTTTGAAAGAAGAGCGCGACGTCGTTCGTCCAGAACAGCCAGTGCGGTATTTGTACCGGAAATTGTCTCATAGAGTCGACAATCACGCCAAGTAGAGCAGAGGGAATAGGATAATCGTTTCAAATATGGCTCGTAGATATGCCCGTTGCAAACCAGGTGTTGAGGTCCTCCTGCTATGTTCAGTTCAGCAGTGCCAGTACGGCTCAGACGTGGCGAAAATCAATAAAAAAAATAAATTAAAATAAAATGCCGGAGCCTCGCGTCAACCCATGTCTCTCCAGCCATGACGTCCCAGTAACAACCACCAGGTCCGGATTCTTCAGCCACCAGCGCGACGACCCCAGCATCTCACCACCGTCGATACATTTCCTCCACGATCCAGACTTCCTATGTAAGCCTGCTTTCACCGAAGCTGCATATGTCGGATGCCACTTCGCTGCCTTTGCTACGACGGTGAGGCGCCTGGCACACGAGGGGGATCAAGGGCTGAAATCCGAGAGCCTGTACTGGCACCGGCGCGCCGATTCCATGGCGATGGACCAGGATGCCAGCTCCGAACTGCAAAGGACAGCTTCACATCGCTCGGCCTCTTCCGCCAGGAGCCAGCGATCCCAGACCGTGCGGGTTAAGCCCCGAAAATACTCCTCGTACATATCAAGCTCAGCGTCTTCCATCTCCGATAAATCCTTGACCTCGTTCCCTTCCTTTTCGCCGGAATCACCAAGAGATGCGCGACCACTGCCACCAAGGTTAACGGACGGGACGGCGAGGTCTTCTCGGCAGGCCTCCAACCCATCGTCCATTGTGGAAAGCTTGACCTCGTCCTCCCCTACTCGGAAGAGCCGTGCGGCCCTATTCGACGATACCCTCCTCGGTGCAAAACATGTTCCTGGAGCGCTTCACCTTGCAAACGACGAGCATATTGAGCGATGGATTGCGCGGAATGGAGCGGTTGCTTTGGTCAGGCAGATAGCTGGGGACCTAGCTCAACGAGAAGCGCAGATAACGACTCTGCAACGCAGAGCCGAGGAGAGGGAGAGGGCTTTGAGGAAGATTATCCTGGAATGTGGGCTGTCAAGCCTAGATATAGAGACCCGATTGCGGGCCATCGAAAGCGAACAGAAGGCAAATGAAGCTTCGGCTAGGGATTTGACTGCAAGTGAGGATGGGTTACAGAACTTAATGAACGATGCTATGAGTGATACGGTTGCGTTTGGGGACCTGCATTCAAGGGAAAATGAGGCTACGATACGTGCGAGCGATGCACTGAAAGCCTTACAGACCAACAAGCCAGCCAACGCTTCAGGGGGCTGGCGAGACTATCTGTGGGGGACAGGTACGAGCAGAAAGAACAGTCGTGCAAGCAGCGCTAGTAGAGAGGCCGCTAACGGTGTTAAACCAACGGCTTCAACAGTGCGGACTGGTGGCACATCTAGTCGGCCGACGGTTTTGGAGAGTGGAATCTTTCAACCTCCCGATTCTATGAGTGCGAGCCGTGCGTCCAGTATCAACTCAACCAACCTCTCTAGTGTGACACGTGAGCGAAAGTCTTCGTCTGGCTTGGCGGCATTTGCACTCAAGCTTGTTGCGGGAAATGCAACCGTTGGTCGAGACGTTGATGCTAAAGCGCGCGGCCGAGCAAGCAGTACGGGGACACCTAGCCATGATAGAGCCCAGTCATCAGCCAGCTCAAGGACAACGAAGTCAGCCATGGCGGCACCTCCTAAAGCTGTCGCAAAAACGGTATCGACGTCGCGGAAGTCAACTCTGAGTCAAGGGCGAGGGCTTCCACAGGACAGATGGGATACCATGGGTACCAGTCCACAAAACACCACTTCAGGAGGGAATGCGGACAATTATGGCCCTGTCGAAATGGATGCCATCTTGCCACCAGATGCCCAACCACCGACTGTGATGCAAATGTACAATAACCCTTATAGCCAGGAGTTTTTGACCGATCGATTTGGGTTTATTTACGACCAGCGTCGTAAGAGGAGACAAAAGGAAGCAGCTGAAAATATCAAGAAAACCAAGAGGGGCAGTCGAGTTGAAATGCTCAGCAGTGCTCGAAATGGGATGTCTGTAATGTCGTCGGATAGTGCAGATGAGGATTTCGGTGACGAAAGGCCTGCTACACCTACTTCCACGGAGGAGAGAGGCGAAGATGAGAAGCCAAAACGTTGGCAAGACTACCTTAAAATTGCAACTTTCCCAACAGAGCTACTGTCGCATACACCGTCCGGCAGCGTGCCTGCTTTCGAAGTCATGGAAGGTGGTGAAGTACCCCCGCGTTCGCCAGGAATCACGGCCGAAGAGAGAGGTTTCTTGCCATCAGCAGCAAGCACGACAGCAGCTTCGCCTACAGTATCGATGTCTTCCGACAATGCTACAATATCAAATTCTGCCACAGATGGACCTGTTCCAGCGCTCACGAGTGAGGATGCAGAGCCTGTAAAGCTACTCTTGAAGCAATTGGGGGAAGTTCATGACTCTCTTCAACGGGAGAAGACCGTCAAATGGAATGAGTTTCTTCGCAAAGTCCGGGCAGAACGGAGACGAGACGGTCAAGCAGCTGCAGCCGCTCTAGCAGCAGATACGCGCTCGCAGCGACCCACGGCTATCATGCCCGAAGCCTCTCTAGCAGACGGTGAAATGATCGGCGTTGCTGGGCTAGGGAACAAGGGCAAAGTTGGGCGTGCAAAATGGAACGAGTTCAAGTCTCTCGTTCTTGGTGGTATTCCCGTTGCTTACCGTGCCAAAATATGGGCCGAGTGTTCTGGAGCTGCTGCTCTTCGCATCCCCGGCTACTACGATAGTCTCGCAGGTCGCAGCGAAAGCGAAGATGACCCGGCAGTTGTAGCACAGATCCAGATGGACATCAATCGCACCTTAACCGATAATATCTTTTTCAGAAAAGGTCCTGGAGTTCAAAAGCTCAACGAAGTCCTTCTGGCGTATTCACGAAGGAACGCTGAAGTAGGTTATTGTCAGGGGATGAACTTGATCACAGCATGTCTCCTCCTGATTATGCCAACCGCGGAAGATGCATTCTGGGTCCTGACTAGCATAATCGAAAATATCCTCCCTCGCGGCTACTACGACCACAGTCTCTTGGCGTCCCGAGCCGATCAACAGGTCCTCCGCCAGTACGTCGCACAGCTCTTGCCGAAGCTTTCACTTCACCTCGACTCACTCAACATTGAGCTCGAGGCTCTCACCTTCCAGTGGTTCCTCAGCGTCTTCACCGACTGCCTCTCTGCCGAAGCTCTGTTCCGCGTATGGGACGTCGTGTTCTGCACTAACGACGGCAGCACCTTCCTCTTCCAAGTTGCACTCGCTCTGCTCAAACTCAACGAGCAACAGCTCCTCCATTGTTCTACCCCAGCGAGTATCTACACCTACATCAATCACCAGATGACAAACCACGCCATCAGTATCGACGGGTTGATCCACGCGTCCGAGGGACTGAGGAGGGTCGTGAAGAGGGACGATGTTGAGAACCGCAGGGCTAAAGCTATCGAAGCAGAGAAAGACATCGTCCGACAGCGAGAAGCCAGGAACAATCTCCGGCGCGCCGAGCGGATCGCCGCCGCCTCGGCCACCTGCACGCCACCGGAATCCCAGCCAGAAGATTCGAGCGAAGCAGCAGGGGCCGAGCCCGGGCACGACGCAAAGGGGGAATCGACAGCAGCGCCACGCGAATGAAACATGGATTTGGGATAGATAGGCCGGCGTGTTGACATTTCAAGCGGGTTATTTTTTTCTGTCTTTTTGGGAACGAGATATATACCCCCCTTGTTGGTTGGTGTTTTGTTGATAGATGGTGGATACATGTCATTGTTGGCGGGATGGATGGATGGATGGATGGGGGATTCATACTGAGTACATAGTAGGATGACGGGTAGTCAAATCACAAACCCACTTATACATACCATTTCTGCTTGCTCTTTGTACCAAGTGTCGTGTGCATGCATGTACATAGTAGTAGTATTAAAATCTGCTCCCAGTGCACAAGGACAATAGCCGCTAGAAGAGCTTTATATATTCATTTCCTAGGCCTTCTTAACATACCTATAAATCTACCTTAGTTTACTCGCGACTATCCATTACAGCACCAAAGACGAGTCCGAGCTAGGTACCTAGGTAGGTATCATCCACGAAGTACCTACCCTACCTACCTAAGGTACTCTCTGCTCCCCCCTAGTCAATAATCAAAAACAAGCCGATAATCCAGAACTACATAATAATCCAAACCCTTCCTAAAGACCTCCCCGAGAATACCTTGACTCACTCCAATGGAACGAGATTTCCGACTTGTGTAAGGTAGTGTCGATTACTAAAAGTTGTGTTGTAGATAGTAATGGGTTTTTTATTGAACTCGCTCGATGGTAGAGGTGATGAATGGTTTTGATTTGATTTGATTTGATTTGATTTGGCTGGATTATGGAATGGAATGGAATCTGGGTGTATGGTGGGTTAATTAATATGCTGCTTTGGCTATATGGAGAGAGTTTGTTTTGGGGGGGAGGAGGGGGTTCTGGAGGATGGAAGATAATAAATAGAGAGGGGAGGGGGGGCTCACACCCTTCAAGACCACCCCATTTCGTTGTTGATGGGTATACGATAAGAACACTAAGGAGGTAGTTAGGGTGTATTACTGCATTGTCTCTTGATGTTTTATTATATCATAATTATAATATACAGAATACAAACATATCCCTAATGTATCTGTTATCCATCGATATATCTCAGAAGAAGACATGAATGAATGAGATCTATCGCTCTAGAACCAAGTCCTTCCTCTTGTTCCGATCTTGCTTCACTGGTTCGAGACACTCTTATCCTTAATTAGTCTCCTATGAACCATGCATGAGACGAGACGTGTGATGAGGGGTGTCTTAAGGATGGATATTTCGATATTTCAACCCCTTCATAATCTGATGCCTTGTCGATATGTCACGTTTTCACCGCGGACCTGAAGATATTGGGGGGTTAGTCTGTGGATTCTCGCCGGCCAGCATGCGATCGATAGACATCACACAACCTCACCATCCTCCACTTCGTCCTCTCCACTACTACTCGTCTCATCCTCCTCACTACTACTCGTCTCCGTCCCCTCTCCAGCCTCCTCCATCTCCGTGTCTGACGAAGGCTCCTGTCCTATCGCCGCAAGATACTGTTTCTCGAGCATGAACTTCTCGGGGAGATCGTCGGGTGCCTCGTCTAGCACGTAGATGGTTGGGAACTCGAGCAGGACGCGGCCTCGCAGGAGGGTATCGAGGGGCTGGGTGGCATCGAGAGGTATGAGGACTTTGGGAAAGGTGGAGGGTGTGTGTGGCCGGTACAGGTAGAGGTAATGGGATAAGGATGGGATCGGCTCCGGCGCGGGTGATCCTTCGAGAGCCGTGTCTGTATTTTCAGGAACAGATGCAAGTATCGACGAGAAGTTCCATGCTCCCGTTTCGGGGTCTTGGAGAATCGGGACAGTCGTGAGATCCAAGTCGGTCTCGGCGTCCGTTCTGGCTTTCTTGGCTAATCGCTGCTTGGATTCCGTAGCCTTACGCTTGCGCTCCGCTTTCCGTTCCTGAGAGCTCATGTTCTTCCTCCTCTCTTCATCCAGCGACGCCATGTAGGCTTCCCCAAGCGGTCTCTTCCCCATCGCCTTGCCCAGAACCCTCTCCTCGCCATGTATCCATTCCACCTGCCAATAAATGCATTTCTGATTCCTGCTCCAACTCGTCCCATTCTCCACATTCCTCCTCATCCCCTTCGGCGCCCTCTTCACCACCGTCCCCATCCCCTCCAACGCCCTCTTTATCTGCGCCTCGCCCGCCGCCTCCGGCTCCCGCTTCCTCTTCCTCCCCTCCTCCCCTCTCCTCGCGCTCTCCAGCTCCGCCTTCTCCACCAACCTCCGCTCCTCCACAATCTCCTTCTCCGACCGCTCGATCCGGTGCTCAATGCCGTGCAGGAAGTTATAGTCGTGATCGATGCCCGCCGGCGTCGCCAGCTGCGATCGCGGCTTGTACACCGTCGGGTCGCGCACCCCGCTGCACGACGCCCACGCCTTGTGCCGCCGCGAGCATGCTAGGGAACACGTCTGGAGCGAACACCGCGGACACGTGTATTTCGGAACGTTGATATTGCAGATGCGACAGAGGGAGGAGAGGAGTGGATCGCTCATCTTCGGTCGATGCGGTCGAGGCTGAGAGGTCCTTCGTAGCAGGACGAGGACTGAGGGTTGGGGGGGTTTGATGGATTGATGTTTTGGCTTGGGCAGTGGGATGTGGGAGGCTTCTTAAAACATAGCTTGCTTGTCTTTGCTGGTGTCTGTCCTGCTGTGTAGGGGGTGCGGCTGAAGATATGTCTCTTCACAATTGGGATGAAAAATCGACGCGGTCAAGAATTTGAGCGCAGCCTTGCCGCTAACAAATAGGTTCGTCCAATCAGGGACTTTGGATACAAGGCTTCGAAATCGCAAGCCGTCGAATCACCAGCTTGATCTTGTGCGGTTGTTCTTATTTACAATGTTTTATAGCACAGTTCAATTGAATCTATACATTTCTGTTTGAAGCAATCAGAGGACACTTATTTACCATACCTACCTAAGGTGGTTGTACCCAGAAGATAGACCACCACGCACCGAAGCGGGCAGAATTAAATACACTTCAATATACTTTAAGGTTGGGAATTAATAGGATGAGGATATATAGATTATTCAATTGCATTACTCAACCCAACCCATCGCCAAAGGACTGCTATAATATAAGGTATGTAACTTCTTAAAAGACTTTCCAGCCTCGCGAAAGCTACGTTGCGAAAAGAGAGGCAACCTGCGTTTCCAAAACGGGGGGAATATTCAAGGATCTCAAACACGATAGTCTATAGTGGCCTGAAAAGCAACTTTATCTATGACTGCGTGGCTGGCCCCACGAAACAGAGGTCCGAGGACGGCTTTGTATAGAGTTGATATAGCCCTTGAGAGCGCCAAGCGAAGAATGGGGGTGATATAAATACAATGTGGCGTTGTGTGCTTCGAGGTGTATGGATAATGGATGAATATTATGGGGGTTGGCTTTATGTGATGGATTTGTTACTGTTATCGTTGTAATCATGGAGGGATTACATGGAGGCATGCTGGGAAGAGAGCGGCTGGTTGACAGTACGGTTGTTATAAGAAGAGCCATACGGATAGGCTCTAGACAACGATGACTGGGTGAGTTCTACTTGCACTTTTGGGATGGGATAGAAGTCTGAGCGTCATATCGCTACCTGTATATATAGATATATAGAGACGGTGTAGATGCAACTCGGCCCACCTGAGGCTGAAAACGGGCTCGGGAGGCAGAAGAAGGAGACGGTGAGAGGACGTGACTCTTGATTGTTAGGAGCAGTTTCAACACCGGCTGAGTACTTCCGTCGTCAAGTTGGCTGCCATGCCGAAGAAGAACGATGCGCTATGTATGCATATATCTGACTCTCCTTCCGCCCTCCCCTTATCAAGTTCCGGCACGCAAATGATAAGGGGGACATTTCATTACCTTCATCGATTCCCACCGTACGAGGATAAAAGGCATCGCCCCGATCCAACAAGCCTCAACAAAGACAGCTAAGGTGGTTAAGAGTTGCAACTTGGGAAATCGCCTAGAAGAAAGAAGGGAAGCCTTTGACGAAGAGAAACCCGGAATCGCGGAATAATCCCCAGGGGTCAGGCCGTCCGCCGTAGGTCCGTTCGAGTAGACTTCCCGCTCGACGCTTGGCTCTTTCCCGCAGATAATCTCCGATCATCCTGGTGGTGTTGGATTGGGATTCGGCTGTGGGAATACCGGAGCTGCTGCGTTTGTGAGTTTGCAATAGCATACCGAGTATTTGTTTTTCATCTCTGCTTCTTACTCTGTCCAATGTACATGTATGTACTCCTGGAGATCTTCGGTTCTCTTTTCTATGTTTCACTTTTCACTTTTCGGCTTTTACATTTTTCCTCTCGTTTTCTTCACGTTTTGCTTGCGTGGAAAGATCTGCAGACCTCTAAATGCGGCCTAGCGTCAGGGGTAGCATGTCCAGACCGTCAAGAAGGGCCCGTTTTATCCCTGATTGGCCGAGAATGATTGGCGACGCAAGCACATATCAACAGCCATCAACGGACCAACGCACCTATCACCGCCCCGATGGATGAACGAAACCATGTCGGCGTGGTCGGTGCGTGGGAGCAGTATGCCCACTTTTTCGGCTGCGGCATGGGGACCCCCGTCGCCAGCAAGATTAATCTCCTCGTTTGGTGCGAGGGAATAAGATGTCAGGGCCCTCCTCCCTCCGCTATCACATCACATCACATCGCCGCGATCGTCTTTTCTCGTATTGCGGGCTGAAACGTGGGAGGGCAGGGGAGGGAGAAGACGAGATTGCTCTTGGTTGGTTGCAAAGTTGCGCGGGCGTCGCGGATAAACTTGTAAATATACTTGGGGGCCTGGGATAGAGTTAGCGGGACGGGAAGAGAGGTATATAAGGTAACTAATACTCAATGCAGTAAACCTGACTATCTCATATCTGATACCTCAGATCTCGTCATGTACGATATCAGGGACAGTATGCAGACCTCATGCAGCGTACAGCAGAACATCCGGAGGTCCTGTACAACACGCAACTCCTGCAGGCACCGGCGACCGAGTACATTAGGTCCCTTGGAAAATAGCTAGAAACTCTTGCTCGGGTTCTCCGTGCGGTCTACACGGTGATCAAGAGGCGTCGTCCCCTGAGCGCAACGCTAGCCCTTGGCAGGTTAGAGCGGGCACAGACCCCCCACCCTAAATGAACGTCGGAATCCCTGTCAGCAAAAACGCGAGTCGTACACTGCGCTGCATCGTGGACGGTGGGAACTGGAAGCAGTCAACACATGTCATGGCTACACTTCCTCTGTACATGTTCATGTCATGGCTGCAGTACTCGCTACATGCTATTGCCCGCGACTCACTGCCCTCTCGCAGGTACACAGTACAGCACGGGAGAACCCAACCACCTGGAGGCTGGCACGCCCCCCCTGAATAATGCCTCCTTTCTCTCCTCCGTGCACGGCTGGCAATAATGGCCATCGGGCCTTACAGTACCAGCGCGGGAGTCCGCACTCCGCAGATATGTCGAATCCTACGGAGGTACAGCGAACGCTGAGCACGGAGCTCTGGGTAGGTAATTTCACACTGCCAGGTACAGTACAGCGCTCGTTACTACTCTACCTACCACACAGTATTATCAGCAAGGCTCAAGACCTCGAGAGTCAGGGTCGGGCATGGCCAGTACCAGCACCGAGAGGCCCTAGCTCTGCCGGGGATTCAAACCTTCAGGCACGCCAGCCAGAACCAACCAGACCCCCAACCTCCCGCCCAGCCGTGCTCTCCACCCGGCATCAAATCCACAACAGAGCCAATCATCGCCCGCCTTCTCTCTGTCAGCACGCAGCCAGAAAAGCTTCCTTGGCCCGAGCCCTTGTTCGACTTGTTGCCGTTTGGAAGCTCCCCCGAGTAGTGTGTAGTTAGCGGGACCCCATTTCTTTGTGCCGGATCTCTTGAGTCTCACATCTCCATCCCCATCTTCCCTTCTCTCAACCACCCATTCCGTATATACGACGACACGGTGCTCGACGCGGCACTGCTCTCCTTTCCTCTCCTCTTTTTGCTCCTTCTCCACTTCCGCTTTACTTTTGCCTCCTCGACGGCTCGAGAGTCAGTGCTCTCGAGCGATATTGTCTGCGGCTTGCTGGTTGAGATCGAAGAACATCCACTCCTACTACACACTCCTTACCGGCCACATTTTCCTATCTATCCTTTCGAAACCGATTCGCGGGCGGCATCTATCATCAACTTCTGCCTACCAAATTGGACTGTTAAAAAAAAGAATTCGACCTTCTAGCAGTATCAGACGTATTACGAAACACAGTCCCCAAAGACATTCGATTCTAAGCCTTCAAAAAGACCGATATCTTCACTTTCCTTCCTGCCTCCCTAGTCATGGCGCCATCACTCAACACACACGGGTCTTTCGTGCGACCACGGACTGGAGACCGTGATGGCCGTCCAGCAACCCGCGACCAAAACGATCAAAACCTGATCATCCCGAGCCGGACCTCGTCTTTGCATTCGCGAATCACACAACCAATCCCATCGTCACTGAACAATGCTAAGCCGCTACAGCGGACACCCAAGACCCTCACCCACGCCTATATGGTCTGCGGTGTTGGACGAGAACCATCACAATGGGTAAAGGCAGCGCCACCGTCGCAGGGGAAGATTGGACACATGAAATCAGCTGTCGGTCAGTTCTGGTTGCCAGAGATTCTTGGAAGCAGTCCCAGATTAGAGCAGGATAATGAGATTGCGAGATCTCTGCATGCGGCAATGAGAGTGAGTTGGCTCGCACAATATTTGACCTACGAAAATGCTAATCTCCGGAAAAGGCTTGTTTTCCACACGATGTTGAAATTTGCACAGGGCGAAGCCAGCCGCACTGCGTGCATCACTCATTTGTCCTGCAACAGGATTCTTCTCACACTCTTTACGGGATAGCTCTGCGGGTGTGGTCAAGAGCAGATGAGAAGCGTGCCGAGACTATCCGCGATCTGCGAAAGAGGACCGAGCCTGATTTCTATGATTCTCCGGATGAGACGTATTGGATTCCATACTGCTTGTCGTTCCTCTCCAGATATCCCCTCTATGACCTGTTGGGAGACTACCTGAGGGGCATGTGGATCCACTGGAACAAGGCGACCAACCTGTTTCACGCGGAAGAGGTCTCCCGTATCCTAAGCTTCCCTGCACCCAGACTGAACGACCTTGTCCGCATCGACATGAAGGATTACGCTCTCTGCTACCAATTCCCATCATCTCCAACTGGGTTCCAGAACTTTGCCATGTGGCCATTGTTCCAGTGTTTATCCATTCCAAACATTGTTGGTGTGATAGAGGCCGCTCTGTCACCAACTCGTCGCATTATTTTTGTCAGTCATTACCCGGCTATGCTTACCGTAGCGGCTGAAACCATCCGATACTGTGTGCGTGTTTATGAGTGGAGTGGTCTTTACGTTCCAGTTGTGCATGCTAGACATGCCAAGGAACTCGTTCAGGAGCCCGGCCCATACATTCTGGGTATCACTGCGGAGTGTCGGTCGCTCTTCACGGCACCACCCGACGCTCTGGTGGTGGATCTGGATCGCAATTTCGTGTTGACATCAAGCCCCCCGACTGCTTTGACTCCTGGTCAGAGGACAAAGATGATCAATCGTATGACCCAAGCGCTGAATGGGGATGTTACACCATCCGGTGTCCCGCAACATCTTCGATCTGCGTATGGGGGTGGGAAGCTGGTTCCCGCAGGCCAGATCATTGTGATGCGGGGAGAGGTTGAGTCGATTCAAGATCCGGAGTGGTGGAACCAGGACGCTATTATGGCTGTCATGGACCATGTCTGCGAGAAGATGGTGAGTCTAGATCTCAGCACATATACCCCCATTTATCCTATTGTTTATCGCGAATTCTAATCATTGTTTCATAACAGGGTAGGAACACCGGCATGAAAGCCGTTTTTGGCGGGGCTGTGAAGAAACCCCTGATGACGAAGGTATCGATGAGACATCTCAATGAGATTGTGCGAGAGCGCAATCAATACTCCAGGGATGCTCTCGAAGCATGGCAAGATTTCATTAACCTCAAAGGTCGTATGGACACAGAGCTCGGCAAGGTCAATAAGAGAAATAACTTCCTCGTTGAGGAACTGGAGAGCTGGAAACAGCAGGTATGTAATATCTTGAGGGGAATGCTCATTTACTAATTCCTTATTAGTTCCTCAAATTCCAATCGTTTGCCGAGCAACTTACCAAAGAGACTCAGGATCTCAAGGTCAAGATCGAGAACCACAAACGCGAGAACAGACGCCTCACGGGTCTCATCGATCAACAGAAGGATGACGCGGCTCGTCTGGCTGCTCGCCTTGCTGGAACGGAGAAACAACGTGACGATGCTCTCGAGGCTCTCGTACTCCAACAAGAGATCGCCGAGGAGCTCGAGCGTGAACGGAAACGCAACAAGAAAGAACTTGCTGCTCTTCAACATACTAACGTCACTATTCTCCGCCAACGCGATGAGGCTCAACGGGTTGTTCTTCACCTTCGTGCCTTAATCACTGGACAAACTCACCACATGGAGCATATTGTCCGGACACTCGGTCAGTCCCCAGAACTAGCCGATTATATCGAGAGTGCTTATGAGGAGGAAGGAGAAGACCTCGAAGACATTGTCGAAGAAGAGAGGGGCGAAGATTCCGGCGCGTATGATTCCCGTGCATCATCTCGGTTGTTCCGACACAGCAAGAACGGCGATGACAACAACCCGGACATGGAAACTCGTCTGGTCAACGGTATTCGGAACAATAAGCGATTCAGTAACATGAGTATTGTAGACGTCGCCGACCGACATCTTAGGGATAAGACAGATGCTATTGCGCACATTATCCGGAACATCAGCGAGCAGTGCGCCGCTGCGGTCGAGGGTCTCCAACTTGCTCACGATGCGGAAGTTGAAGCCGAAGAGCTTGCGCTCCACGAGGCCCGGGGTGGGGGACATCGTGAAAGTAACCTCTCAGTCCTCTCCGCTAACAGCGATGATGGGAAAGGATCAGAGACTGGTGATGATAGCATGCTCCACCCAGGTCGTGCGTCGAGTATCCCTCCGACGCCAGACCTCATCCACAACCGGTCGAGCACCTCGATGTCGATTTCCAGTGCGACAACAACCCCGGAGCGAAGCAGTCAGCAATACAATATTGGAACAGACATCCCAACGAAGATCGTAGAGGATAGCGATGAGGAGATTGAAGGGAGAAGCGAGGCCGAAGAAGTCCTCGACAAGAGCGGCCTGATCCACCGACCTGCTGGTGCCCGGATCAGCGCGCTGGGTGGCCCTTAGACGTTACGGCGATGGAAAGCGTGTGCAGTATTTGATATTTCTCAGGCGGCGTTCACAGGCGGTTCTTTCTGGATGTCAGATTTGATCTTTCTTTGCGAGTCTACATTTACATTTCTTGATCCCGCGTGGAAGAGGCAGGAGAGGAAATACCGGGCTGTTTAATACCCGATGCAAGGAAACAATTAAAAGAGTGGCCGAGGAGGTACTTACCTTACTTTCGAATGTAACTTACTGCAGTCTTAGCTGGGCTAGTCAATCCACATCAGATTCTATGATCGAGGTTTCATGGGACGTGAAGCTCAGTCTGACTGGGGAAGACACCAACCCTGTCTACGCATGATATCTGGTTTTGGCGGAGGGGCATAAGCCGGGTTGAGAACCTGCTTCCCCGAGAAGTTCGTCAGAGGAGGAAGGAAACGGGGAAACAGGGTTATTAGTCCGCGACTCTCTTTGCTCTTGTTCGCCGGAGCTCAGCTCCTTCCCTGCTCCAGACGTGCAACAAGAATTGCATCGCCCCGCAGTGCCATGTAATATGATATATAATGAATGGATCGTGGTTTCATAGGTAAGTGCTACACTACTTACCTGCTCTATAATCTTTCTCTCCTTTGCTCACTCAGCTTTTACCTACCTAGGTAGATAGGTAGCTAAGGTACCCATTGATCATGCCTGAATCAAACCGAGGCATGAAATGGCATCCACGCACTATTCCCAATCCATCCTGTCAACAGAAGCCCCGCAGGGATTAAACAAGAGCCCGCGAGACGGCTGCAGGGCCCTGATTTGCGACGTGCAACAAAACCCACAGCGCTGCGCGTGATTCGATGATGTGTATGTCAGCCACGCGGTGGCTGGAGTGCATTAGGCCATGTCTTGACTGTGGTTTGAGGAGGGAGCTCTCTGCTCGGAAAGGAGTGGCATCAAGATTTCAAGCCAAGCGATGTTCGACGGTCTATAAGATTGAAACTTCTACAAATATATATTGGACAAATCGGTATCGCCCTCCACAGTCCTCCCAAGGAGCGTGCTAATCCCCCGTTATGCTTTTCAGAATCACGTCATTCTCCATGCTTGCAGAGACGTCCTTCAGATGCTCCATATCACTAGCCAGCGCCCTCCGCTGCGCCTCCAGCTCTCCCTGATCTCGCTCCAGCTCCCTGATATACTCCATCGCCAGGACCAGCACCTCACCCTTGCTGATCTTCTTCTCCGGCTCCCCGCCCGGCCCCTCAACCTCGCCTCTCCCGGCCCGCTTGGGCACCGCCGAGAGCAGCGTCTCGAAGTACCCGTTCAGGCGCGTACGGTACTTCTTCTCCGTCAGGTTGTGGCTCCGCTTGCTCTTCGAGCTTGGCAGGTCCGGGGAGCTGCATTCTGCTCTGCCTCCCGGGTCGTAGTTTTTGGACAGTGGCTGCTTTCTCAGGCTGCTCCGTCGGTCCCTCGCGGGCTGCTTGCTACCGCTGCTATGCTTTCGGCGTTGAGGAGATGACCTGGAGCTTTCGGGGCGACGGCTTCCCCATGCTGTTGCCCAGCAGGGCTTGTACGTTGCCGTTGTTGGGAATGGATCCAGATCACCCGACGGGGCTGTGAAGGGCTGCGGGAGAAGCTCCTGGTCATTTTCAACGGGGGGTGCACCCGAGAATAGGCTCTCGTCGGAGTTGGATGTCGTGCTCTGGTTCCGCGTCTCTGGATTCCTAGCCGTTGCAGTCGACGTCGTCGGCGCAAGACCGTTATTCAGATCGGCTCCCGATATTGTAGATGGCAAGGGCAGCATGGTACCGAGTGGATTGTTGACCTGGCCCCCTAGAAAATCAAACCCTTTCCCTGAGGCGCCGAGTGGCGGGGTATATATCGGGAGCGGAGACGTGGGGGAGGTCTCCAGGTCGGCGAACAGCCATTCCTGAGGTAGCAGGGCTGACGGGGTCCCCAAGTCGGGAGCATAGTAATCGCCGACCATGCTGCCGAGATTGTTGCACGGAGCGACTTCATCGGGCAGCGACATGTTGGCCTACATGGCTTTTAGTGAGATGTACTCTGGAATACTGCAGAGGCAAGAGGCTACAAAGATGGGCATGGGGTGTAGGGTGCGAGATAAGATAGTACGAGGCGGGTTTCAACTCTCTCGAGGTCTCTACAATCACGCAAGTAGATTGGTGATGTACAGTTTGGGAGTGTTGAGATAATGAGAGGGTGCAGCGGACTGCTTTCTCTGCCCTCCGCACGTGTCATTTATATCCCCACGTCATCTTGGAGAGATTTCTCATGCTATCAGCGCGGAAAAGAGTTGAAAAGAGTGATGCCATATCTTTGCCTGCCAGAATAGATGCCACCCTCTACATCATTTCCAAAGCAGCCACATTCCAGTCCTGGGAAGTGGTTATCTCGGGATGCGATTGGCCGTTCGGCTTCCATCGGGTTCCGGTCTGGTTATGTAAAGGAGCTCGATCATCCCGAGTCGATTGCTCTCGAGGGAATTCCCGGGCACAGCACCGTTGTAGGCGTCATCCCGGGGCTCTCTCTCGGGTCCCTCACATCTGATCTTATCAGGTCGTCCCCTACCCGAGCCGGCGGGAAAGGAGGATCACTCATACATACATCCCAAGAACTTCGCACGAAAATGCAGATACGGAGATAGCACATGTAGGGTTTTGTAACGGCGTGTTAATCAAAACCATAATTAGGATTTCTATCCTCATGGCTGGGATATCAAGTAGTTGGAAGTTATGAGTTCTGCATGAGTTCCGAGGCCTTGGGAGCGGAGGAAGCTCCGCGCGGAAACCCGCCAAGCGAACAACCAGAAAGCGCTAGTAGAACCGCCCCTCCATCGCCCCTCCACCAAACTAATGTAAGGTACAACTCCCCTCACTCATCACAGCATCTCAAAATGCCTGACATTGGCACCACCGCCCCCTCTCCCCCGCGCACACCGCCACACAAACGTGCCCCTAAACCCAAACCTCCCAACCCCATCGAATCCGCAATCCGCACCTGGTTCGCGACGCTCCCCTCGCCGCTCCTCGCCTCCCTCCCCTTCACCCTCTCCACCCTCCTCGCCTCCTCCCCCAAACGCTGGGTCGTCTACCCACCCCTCGTCCTCCTCCCCTCCGGCAGCTTCCACTCCCCAAACTGGACCTCCCTCACGCCCCATCTCTCCACCCTCTGGCCTCTAATCCTCGCCCAGATCTCCACACGCGAAGGCAAAGGCGCACTCACGCACCTCGCGATCAACGCCGGGATCCCGCTCAGCACCCCCGACGATGGCGAAGCCGAGAACATCCTGCGGTCCCCCAGCGGGCTGATATTTCTGCACGGGGATTTCGGACCCGAGATCGAGAAGGGCCGGGAGCCCAGCGCGCGCGATTTCCAGGAGGCGTTTTGGGTCAGCTCCAAACAGAATGGCATCGTGCAGGTGTGGGCGCCCCGGTATACGATGTTTAGCCGCGGGAACGTGACGGAGAAGGCGAGGCTGCTGGGGTTTCGCGACTACGCGCAAGTAATGACGGCTGTGGATCTATATGCAGGGATTGGGTATTTCGTGTTTAGTTATGTGGCGATAGGGACGCGGAGGGTTCTGGGGTGGGAATTGAATCCTTGGTCTGTGGAGGGGTTGAGGAGGGGCGCGGCTGCGAATGGCTGGGAGGTGAAGGTTGTAAGGCCCGGGGAGGAGTGGAATGGGGTGGGCACTGAGAGGATCGTGGTTTTTCTGGAGGATAATAGGAATGCGGAGAGGAGAGTAGAGGGCGTGAAAGCGCTGGGCTCTATCAGGCACATCAACTGTGGTTTGTTGCCAACGAGTGAGGCGAGCTGGAAGATGGCGCTACGGATCTTGAATGCGGATGGGTGGCTACACCTGCATGAGAATGTAGGGGCGAAGGATGTTGTAAAAAGGGGGGAGGAGATCAAGGAGATCTTGAGGACGGAGCTGGAGAAGGGAAAGGCTGGGCGAGAATTGAAGATCGAGCATATAGAAACCGTGAAGAGTTTTGCTCCCGGTGTATTCCACATAGTGTATGATGTCTACGTCTCTACTAAAACATGAGGCGTCAATGAAGTCCTCGCCCATAATATACATGAGGCGCCAATCATCAAGCCGTTGCCCATAATCCGAATAAACTGTGCTCCCTATCATGATCGTATCCTGCGACGAGCGTCGAGCCCGATGAAAGATGGCGCTCAATCTCTCCTGAACTTCCGTGGTATGTTCTGCTCCACAATCGCCAACTTATCCAAGGCTGCGACCCTGGCTTCCTCATCCTCCAGTTCATCATGTTTCTTAAAATGCTCGATATCCTCCGGGTGTACCAGATCCTCCATCTTGGTATTCTCGTCGTGGTATCTGTCCACTAATCAGCCACGTCCTCTCCCACACCCCCTCCCCTCTCCCCCGGGGCATCCAAACTCACCTCTCCCAATGATGAATCTCATACTCCGTCTCCATATCCCAATGATGACCCGGCCCCAGCCCAAAATCCGGCAACGTCTTCCCCTGGCTCGTGAACGCCTCCCACTCACCACGCTGCACCACCCCATCCCCATCCCCATCCAGCAAGTCTAGCACCTCCCTCAACACCTCATCTCTCTTCTCACTGCCCACGTTCGCAAGACTCGGGTCCTCAAACCCATACGTCTTCAGTATCTCCGCTGCTTCCCAGCCGCCACTGCCGTCGTAATCATGAAGCTGGAAGAACGCCCCGGCGTCGAAATCTGCAATGTGGTGCTCCTCTAAGAAGTGTTAGTTAGCTTAAGCTTGGTAATGGTGTAAGAGGAGGGGGGAGGGGAGGGGAGAGGACCAGCCATGTGCCGCACGGCCCACGGCGCGTCCGCGGGCACCGTGAGCGGTTTCTGGTGAGGATTGCCGTGCGCTGTTGCGCGGCTCGCGAGAGCCAGAGCCGCGCCAAAGAATCCTAAAAGCTGCCCGATCGCCATGCTGGTTTCGTGGTGCGAGGTCAAGGTCAGAGGGCAGATTTCCTCAGTGCTGTACTTATCACTGTAGTTGGCAGGGCAGGGTTCAGGGGTAAGTTGCTACTAAGATACACTAGGCCGTCCCGCTTCAGTACCGGGAATCGGGTAAAAATACCCGGCCCGGATTTCGCGACGCGACTTCTAATCCGTTTGAGATTACAGGAAATCCAGTGCAGAACGTGAGGCTGCGCGCTCTTCGATCAAGGAACCTGAAGCCCATTACTTATCATCCATTGATCACGCTCCCTCTCTACGGTAACTGGATTTGTCAAGAGCAACATACAAGCGCAGAAAATGAGCAGACCCGTCGAGAAAGCCCTCAACGAGCTGATTCCTCGTCTCGCGGGCCCGCTGCCCCCAGAGCTTATCGAGCTGGCCAGCTCTCTGCTCGCGCAGTCACGAAATAAGATCAGTAATCTCAAGGCTGAGGAGGAGATCGGCCGGACTTTTGCGTGTGCCAATCTTGCTTGTGAACGGTATGCTACTCTCCCGCGCTGCCCTCCCCATCGGTCCAAAAAAAGCACGAGAACAAAATGTACTAATGTTAACATGCACAGATTGAAAACGACCCTCAACCTCCCCCCCATCGAGCCCCGGCCTCCCTGTCCCCCCCGCGTCTATGCTAGGCTCTACTCCTATTTCGACCGCGCCCTCCCCTCCTCAACCTCTACCCCCAGCCGCCGCGCCCGCCAACCCCGCCCCCCCTCGCCCTCGCGCCCCTTACCCTCACGCCACGCCCCTCCCCCCACAAAGAGCCTCGAAGGCTTCCGGACCCCCAGACGCGGATTACGGGGCGGGAAAGCGAAGCATGAGCTACCGCGCTGGATCGGCCCCGCGGTGCGACAGGTATGCAAGGAGCTAGGTGCGGGCCGCGCGATGCCGCATGTCTTGGCGGGCGTCGAGAGCGTGATGCTGCTCCCGTGTCCCGGGCCAGAAGACGGAGATGAAGATGTCGGCGGGGAGCGGATGAGTGGGAAAACACCAGCGCTGATCGCGGCCGTGTTCTCGTTCGTGATGGTGCGGCTCACGGGCCAGCAGACGGATACCAAACAGTATAACGAACAAGTGCGGAGAGTCCTCAGCGTCTTGCGCGAGCTGCGAGAGGATGAAGCAGCGCTGGCTAGGATCGGAGAGGGAGAGGAGGCGTGGAAGGGCTGGGAAGAGGTCCGGAAGAAGGATGTCGATGATTGGTTGAAGGAGATTAGCAACCATGGCTGGTTGCGCATGGCTTGGTGGGAGAACATCATCGATGGATCGGGCGCCAGCGGCGAGGTCGAGATCGAACCTCCTGAATCCGAGGAGGAACGGGAGGACGCGGATGAGGAAGAGGAGAGCAAGCGCTTGCGAGAGGTGCGCGCTGGATCCATGAGGCAGGAGGAGTTCGACTACCTGAGCGAGACGAAGAGGGAGCAGTTCGCGCGCTGGAAGAAACTGATGCTGGTCAAGATTGATGAGCTGGTGCAGAGCGGGATCTTGGAAGAGGAGGGGGAGGATACGGAGATGCGGGATGTTAGCTGACGTTCCTATATTTGTTATACCACATATATATATATTTATGAGAGTTGAGTTGACTCTGAATCTAGAGATACCCCTTTTAAGAACAAGAACAAGAATCCTCCCCCGGTTTGTGAGTACCTAGGTATATTACATTATCCCCTAAATTTTGTCTCAACTTAAACCCAACTCCCTGACCCCGTCAATAATCCCAATCACAACCCTCAAACCGCCAGGGACAGACAGATATTCCTGAAGACAAAGAACGAAGCAGGAAATCAATAGCCAGTAATAACCAGCCCCCATCTATAGCTGAACAGCTCATGTAGATCACCTTGATAAAAATGATCGGTACGGGATTGATAGATAGGAAGTACCTGTAGGGTCGGTTAGGTAGTAAGTAGCCGAGTTACGCTGCGTCTCGCTTACCTACTCACAAAGCCATACATACCTAACTTATAAGCGAGCCCACGATTAGATGGACAGTCTCTCTTCTTTCCCCAGACTTAAAGGTACCTAGAAATGCTACCCGGTAATAGGGGTCCTATTACCGAAGATCCGTTGTACCAATTTGCTACCTTACCTGTATAGGTATATAGCCTCTCTACCTAGACTCTACCTTTACTCGCAGACCGAACTTGGGGATGATAGTAGCAGAGATGATAATTTGCTCTGCGAATACTGATGTATGAATATGGCACATGTATTTGACTTGAATTGTCGCTAACTTATCGATAGAGCAAACTTTGATAAGGGTACTTGGCCCAGCAGCGTGGACAGAGAGCGTGTTGTCTTTCCTTGATTATGCTTATTCGACGATAAGTGCAAGCGGTATCCACCATTGTGTACTCGGTACATCAAGATTTGAAGGTTGGGCTTCCTATTGGTACGAGTCCGCGCTGTTGATGTTCGTACGAGTAATGGTGCGCATGCCCGTCCAACACGGCGGGTTCTAGGTATGCAGGTTGAAGTGGTGTATAGCACTTAACTAACTACCTACCTATTGATAAGCCGACGACTATGCCAACTATGCCAACTAGTAATGGTACTGCACATGTGGCACGGCACGTAGATGAATGTTTCGAGTCGTGAAGATCATGTAGCATTCTTTTACCTCCTTTGGTTCTTTGAAGAGCCGCCGAGAAGGAGTTCGGCTAGAGGATAGCCGGCGTCGGAATCGGCGCGCGGCGGGGACCGGGCCGGAGAGGAGAAGAAGGGTTTCGGGGTTCGCTCGATCCGCAGATGGCTCGGTTCAGCGCCGGAGAGAAAAGACGGAACAATGCACGATCAGAAATCTTCCGAACACAATCAGCTTGCTTCAGTCCTGTATGCATCCTGTATGCAGACGACTCTCCTATCGCTTGTCGATAACTTTAATATTAGATCATTGTACGTTAAGATCACCACTTGTGGATATAGCATACAGCCTTATGTACCTATCGTGATCTTTTGATGCATTGGAAGAGAAGCCCGCATGAAGGAAGGCTGGAGCCGGAGCCACCACCAGCAGACACGAGTCGTATGTTCCCATCACAGCAAAAATTACCGTCACATCCAGCTCGGCCCTCTGCCCTCTGTCGATCTTCTTCGGCCTCCGAGTCTCTCAGAACTCCAGAAATGTGAACCATCTCAGGATTCTCAGCACTGTCAGCAGCCTCACTTATATATTAAGGATGCGGATGGCTGAAACGCACACTTTAACCGACGGGGGGTGGAGCAGCAAGGAGAGATCTCTGTTGTACATTTTGCTGATAATTCTTCCTCTTCTAGTAGTATTTTTGGAGCTGCCCAGGCGACTGCGAGCGCAGATCTCTTGCTCGGACGCGACCCGCAACCGACAACGCCTGTCACTGCGAGTCGCTCAAGGTCGAGCACAGTTCATGGAGCGGCGTGTGCGATGAGGGCGATGTTCATTCTGGGTGATGATGTTCGTTTTGAGCTGTGCCCTGACTCCCTGAGCGACTACTGGCGGAGTTCCTACTGCTACGGTCAGGGCACTCCCAGCCTACAGCGTCCCTCTGTACCGGATCCAGCCTTTGTCTCCGACGCTGTTGCGGAACCCTGGTTGCCGTGCGTGCATGCTTCCCTCGACAGGACAGGACGACTCTCCGTAGGGATCCGGGATGAGAGAGCATTATCTCCTGAGGGCCAGTCAACATGTGCTCGTGGAAGGGAGGAATTCTTCTGGAGAAGGGCTCCTTTGCTCTTATATTTTCATGGTTCAATAGAAGATGACCCTTTCATGATCTCGACTCCCCTCCCGTGGGCCGTTCCTCGCACAATTCTCTGTCTGTGATTCTGATTCGCGTATGGAGAGACGGGTCCCAGATTCCCAGCCTGCCAGGCCAACCCCTGGGCTGTTGTCGCTACTAAGTTTTGCCTCCAGGCCTAGAAGCGTATAGCGGCTGGTGTTCCCCTGGACGGCCCCTGGATGGTTGGAAGTGCCGCTGTCATGATGTACTCGCTGTACACGACTTCTACGGAATAACAACTTCTAACCGCTCCGTAAATGCCTAAATGAGCCTGTACTAGCGACGAGGCATTTCTCTGCCTGTCCTAGACCCTGCTACCAGAGGGAAAATAACCCAGGCCAAGAGTGCTCTGTAGACGGCACAAGGTACCTTGGTAGTAGGTACGTACATACTACTGGACTAACAGTATTTTTGTACTGCTGGTCCTCAGTGTGTATACTACTCCGTATGGTCTCCCGCCCTCAGTCCTGTCAACCCTTGCCCATCCCCCCGGGCCTAACAACTTCGCTCAGTCCCCTATCTTCTATCTTCTATCTTCCATCTTCCTGTCGCCCCCTTCTTCGCCCCCCGTGTCAATGCGTCTGGATGCATCCCTCGTCTTGCGACCGGTATCCCATCTCTGAATTGCTTCTCTGTTGACATCTCAACAAGGCCGTCTACTGCGGCAGAACGCGTCGTCCGCCCGCTTTGAAATCCAGAATCGACACAAGCGACGCGTTCCTTACCCCTGGATTTCCTCGACATAATATTATTCTGTGATAAGGGAAACACAGAAGCGAAGCCTGAGACGCGGTGTCTTTTGTTCCACGATAGACCGTTGCGCGCTTGATAAACACGACTCTCTTGATTCAATTATAGCCTGGTCCCCGAAAACTACCTAGGTAGATTCTACTAACTTCTCGACCGCGCGCTACCCTACACCGCATTCCACCACAACACACCGTCACATCTTTCTCCCCTCACCTTCACTAGAACTGGTCGCAACGAATCTTCGTGCAGAGCCATGGCAAGCTCTCCGCCAGCTTCGCCTGACGTGGCTCCTTCGAGACCCGTGAGCGCCATGATGCGTCCTCCGCGAGCGAATAGCCGGATGAGCATGACTAGCAGAGCTGGAGGAAGTAGAGCTTCGGATGAGGATGGCAAGACTTCAGTCAAAGTCGGTATGTTAAACCCGCTCTACGCCTGTCTGCCGCGGCGATACACTGACGCGTTCATCCTACAGCTGTCCGTGTACGACCACCGCTCAAACCGACAGATCCGGGGTACGAACTCATGCCGCAACGCTTCCAGCGTTCCATGGTCCAAGTAACATCACCCACGAGTCTGGCAATTGAAACTCCCCCGCAAGGACGCAAACTCTTTGTATTCGACAGGGTCTTTGGCGAAGATGTCACACAGGAGGGAGTCTGGGAGTATTTGCTTGAGAGTACAAATGCCTTCATCCAAGGGTACAATGTCTCTATGCTGGCGTATGGCCAGTCTGGTGCTGGAAAGTCCTACACCATGGGGACATCCGGGCCAGCAGAGCAGGGCAACTCGGATCATATGGGTGAGTTGATATGGTCAACAAGCCTGACCTACCGCAGTGCTCCGATCTCATATATTTGAATGACTAGCGCTAATGTAACTGTTGTGCCAGGTGTCATCCCGCGGGCTGCCGCTGCGTTATTCGAGAAACTAGACGGCGGGCGGTCGACCGGCAATCGCAATTCCCTCTCCGGCTTACGGACTCCTACGAGATATTCTTTGAATGCTGCCTCTACGACGACGGCTAGATCAGCCGAGAAGAACTGGACCCTCAAGGCGACATATGTTGAGATTTACAATGAGCAGCTCCGAGATCTCCTGGTTCCCGAACACATACCACCCAGCGAGAGAGGCACCGTCACAATACGAGAGGATGTGAAGGGGAACATCCTTCTTACTGGTCTGCATCAGGTTGAGGTCAACTCCGTTGATGATCTAATGGCTGCCCTTAACTTTGGATCTATGATTCGCCAGACCGATTCTACTGCTATCAATGCAAAATCATCTCGTTCGCATGCTGTCTTCAGTCTAAACTTGGTCCAGCGAAAGAGCAAGGCGCAGACAGCACAAGGCGCAGATAAACGATTCTCGGTCCCGTTGGAGGCCATGATGAGCGGTGGTGATAGCATAGTCACAATTGATAGCAAGCTACACTTTGTTGACTTGGCCGGGAGTGAAAGACTTAAGAATACCGGGGCACAAGGAGAGCGCGCCAAAGAAGGAATTTCGATCAATGCTGGTCTTGCAAGCTTAGGCAAGGTCATCTCGCAACTTTCATCACGTCAAGCCGGATCCCACGTATCGTATCGTGACTCCAAGCTTACTCGATTACTTCAAGATTCTCTAGGCGGAAACGCGATCACATATATGATTGCATGTGTTACACCAGCAGAATTCCACCTCAGCGAAACCTTGAACACGGTCCAATACGCGCAGCGCGCTCGCGCGATCCAGAGCAAGCCAAGAATTCAGCAAGTTTCAGATGACAGTGATAAGCAAGCAGTGATAGACCGTCTCAAGGCAGAGGTTGCTTTCCTTCGCGAGCAGATTCGAAGCACCGAGCGCACGGGTGATCGGCGACCCCACGCCGCCACCACGGAGAGACCTGAGCGGCAGAACGAACGCGAGGTAGAACTCCAAAATCAACTGCTTGATACCCAGGAGAATTATAATTCTCTGAGCCAGCGATATGCAAAAGTCATCTCCGAGATGGCGAAGGCGCGGGATAAGGAGGCCGCCAGCAACCAGGCTGTCAAGGATTCTTTGGGTGACAGTGCAACGGAACGATTGAAGCGCTCAAACGCGTTTGCCGTAGCAGTCGAGGGGGTCGTTATGGAATATGAGAAGACAATTCAGAGCCTCGAGCAGTCCCTTTCCAGCACGCGCTCAACCTTGTCAAGCACCGAGACGATTCTTCTCGAGAAGGAAACCAAATGTGCTTATGTCGAAACTGTAAACCAGCAACTGCAAGCCCGCCTCCAAAAGTTAATCGACAGAGAGTCGAATACCGAACACTATCTGCATGATCTTGAGTCCAAACTTGATGCCCATACCTCGGGAGAAGAGAAAAACTCGGCCATCATCATGGAACTTCGAAAAGAAATCGCTCGGGTGCGTGAGAACGAAGCAAGCTGCGAGGACTATATCTCGACTTTGGAGGAGCGACTAGCGGAAGCAGACCAGGATGCCGAACTAATGCAACGCGAAATTGATCGCCTAGAGCACGTGGTTGAGCGCCAGAGGAGTCTTGGAAAGCTGGATAGCTTACTGTATGAGCTCGATCACATCCAGAAAGACGGGAAGGATGGTGCAGAAGAGGCTCCGGTTCTCAATGGCAAACATTCTGCCGCGGACCATTCCCGACAGCTGAGCCATGCTAGTAGAATAAGCCACAAGGATACTATCCCGGAGGTCGAGAACGAGGAAGAGGAGCCTGTTTCTCCACGTGGGGGTCAGGAGAGTGTCCACAGATCCGAGACGGATGGGCCTGTTGACAGAGGCGAGCCGCTCGAAGACGATGTCCCGGAAGAATCGCTTGCTATGCCCTCCGAGGAACAGTATGCTCCTCAGAGCCCTGCTCAGTCGAAATTTGTAGAGGACAAGTTAGAGAATGTCACTCAAGAACTGATCAATCTGAAGGTGGAGCACGAAGCCACAGTCAATGAGTTTGATCTTCTGTCAGCCAAGTACGAGGAGGCCCTTCGCACCCTGGCCGAAATGCAGGACGCGGTGGATGAGGCACGTCATAACCCAGGTCCTCGCGACTCCTTCATGTCTGTGACCACACCAGACACGACAAGGCCTTCATCTTTTTTATCAAGCGCGAGGGTGAACGGGCTAAAAGACGGAGGACAACATTCATCCTCGCGATCGCTCTCATCGGAATTGTCCTCAGCTGGGGAATCACCTGGTACTATGGAAACATCTGATGCTGAAGCCGCGAACAAGGAGTCGGAGTCAGGAGACGCTTCCAAGGGCGTGGCAAGTGACGAGACGATAGCGGTGGAGGTAGAAAACTTGAGAAAGCTCGCGTTAGAGACAGAGCAAGCACAAACGCAGTTGGCGCAGAAGTACGCCCAGCTAGAGGAGCAACACTTAGATACCCTGGATCTTGTGGAAGAGCTCAAGGCGGAGGTATCCAAAGCCAGGATGAACGAGAGCTCATCTCCACGATCCTCAACCCCGGTGATCCGTCGCAAGTCAAGTCAGAACGTTATGACCATCGACAAAGCTCACAGAGCATTTGCTTCCCTTCGAAATCTCGCTAGTGACAATTTGGAGGGCAATCAAGATGCCATGGCAAGTTTCGAGCTGAACCTGAATACGGCAATGCATGAGTTGCATGCACGCTCAGAGCGAGTGCAGGAATTGGAAGCAGAGATTGCCTCCGTAAAGAAGGAGATGGAAATGAAGATGACCATTATTTCTGGGCTTACCCGCGAGCGATCAAGCATGAAGTCGTCACCGGTGGATATATCAGTGGTCTCAACGATGCAGGGCCAATTGGAGCAGAGCGAAAATCAAATCCGACTGCTTCAAGAGACTCACGCTGCGCGAGAAAAGGAATTGCAGGCGGAGATAGAAAGTCTCCAGGCCGAAGTGAATGGTCTCCGTGCCTCTGTCGATGCTGGCCCCACTCCCACCGACAGCGAGGGAGCTTCGGCCGAGCTTGAGGCTCAAAAGGAAGCACAAGACAAGAAGATCGCGGATTTGGAGTCCGAGTTGGCCAATTGGGAGGGCAGGCATCAGACCGCTTTGACATCGATGGAAAATTCAGAGAAGCAGCTCTTGAAGACTATCGCCGATCTTGAACAACAGATATCGGCTGTTGGTGAGCAGAAATCTGGTGATGATGATATTGTCAGCTCCCTGCAGAAGGAAATCGAAGAGCACAAGACAGCCGTGGCATTTAGTGTTGCACGTGTGGTCGAACTTGAGCGATCCCATACTTCAACACTGGAGCAACTTGCTGAAGTGACAAAGGCCAGAGATGCCAGCAATGCAGAGATGGAGGAGCACAAGTCGCTTGTTGCCAGACTTGAGCAACAAATAGCAGAGCACGAAAACATTGTCAAGACCCATCAAGACAACCTCAATTCATTGCAAGAAAATCACGTCAAAGAACTTGAGGAGATCAAAGCAAGCACCCAAGCCGATCATGAAGCACAGGTGGCAGATCTTACTTCCAAACATCAGGAAAGCATCGCAGCTCTCGAGACTTCTCTTGCAGAGGCGCGTAACGATCTTACCAAGATTGCAACCCAGGTTGCTTTTGCACTGGGCTTGGATGTCAGCACGGAGAAGCTCGAGGATAGAATTGCTGGCCTTCTCGCTGATCAAGCGGCCTTGGTCCGAGAGCAGAAGAAGAGCAGCGAGATGGAAAAGAGCGTTCTCGAGCTATCGGCCATCAATGATACAATCATGAAAGAGCTGGAGACGGTAAAATCTGAGCTGGCCAGCTTGCTGCTCCAGACCGCTGAAGGAGCCAAGCTCAAGGCTGAGCACGCGACTGTTTCTGAGCAGCTCGCAGCCCTGAAGCAGGAGATGTTGGACCTTGAGACAAAGAACAAGAAGAACTCCCGTCTCGTGGAGGAGCTTGAGGATCAACTCGCGACAAACTTCGACCAACATCAGGCGACCAACAATCGCCTCTCTACGCTGCAAACCGAACGTAATGCTCAATTGGACGAAGCCAACGCAGCCTCCGCTCGTGCTCAAGCTGAACTGGACACGGTCAGAGAAGAATATGCCGACCTTCAAGTAAGCATCGCCTCTACATTTTCCTTTCCACCTTTGCTAACTTTCTAGGCCAAATTTGAGGAACTGGAAGCCGAGCTTGCTCCTAAGCGTTCAAACTCGGTAACGTCACCTCTTCACAAGTCTGCGTCCGTCACATCTCTGCCATCGCCTCCACCGGCTATCCCCTTGCCACCCCTGCCAGGGAGCATTGCAACGGTGATGGCTCCAAACAATGCGGCTAACATCCCGGTTCCACCAACACCGACTCTCCCGAGTAACCGACCCAGCAGCAAAGACTTTGCTGTCTCACAGATGCAGGAAGATCAAGAAGCTCGCATCCGCACCATCGAGAAGCACTTGTTTGCTGAGAGACAACTCACCACGACCCTTGAAGAAGCCCTCACAGACTTAGAGAGGCAGAGCAACAAGGTCAAGGCTGATTGTGATGCGTGGAAGAGACGCGCTGCTGATCTAGAGACGGAGTTGAAGGAAGCCAAGGAGAGAGAGAAGAACAACAGCCTGGAGAAGGAGAACCGGTGGAGCATGCAGCAGGTCGAGGAGGAGCGAAAGAAGAGACGCGATGCCGAGATCGCTCGAGCCCACCTGGAGGAGCGGATGAACGCCATCAGCAAAAAGAAGAAGAAGAAGGGAAGCTTGAACTGCTTCTAAGAAAACTTTCTTCTTTTCTTTCCTTCGGCATTTTCGGCGTCCCTCGGCGTTCTTCCTCTGCACGGCCTTTCATTGCGATTCTCGGTCATGTTCCATTACGCAGATTGAATTTTTAACGCCCTTTTCTTTTCTTTTGCACCAAATTCTACGACTGGGATATGAGCCATAGGCAGAGCTTTTTCTACTCGGCCATCTCCTAATATGTCTGTTACGTGCGCGCACGGTTTTTATGTATGAGATACCACCTCTTTTCTGCTTCGGGTGTTGTGGTGGGCTGGCATGCTCTCGATAAATCTTCCGCGCAAGCTGGGATATCCTGAGACGAGCCTGCAAAATATTTTTTTTTCTTTTCTATTCCCCCCTTTCTTTTCCTGCTCAGTCGCAATTTGCTATCGCGGTATGAAGCCATGATCACGACGAGTGAGGAGATCTTTTGAGATATGGATGCCGTGATGGGAGAGTGGGAGATCAGGATATGCGATATGCTAGCTTGCTGCTGTGATGTAGGGGTTGGAGAATGGTGATGGATGATGGAGTGGGTAGAGGGGTAGAGCATGCTACATAGAACAGATCAGACGGACAGATCTCTCTTGTATGAAAGACCAATCGAGCGATACCTCCTACCTCTGTGCTTTATCTGCCATACACAATGAGTGATATCGCCCGGAAAATCTTGCATTATCGGAACCCTGTAGTCAACACCTAATCCTGATTATTCGTCTCGCACCCGGTTCTCAAGGGAAGGATCCTACCTGTCATGTAGCGTAGCGGAGACATCTCTCCTTAGATTTAGCAGGTAGTAAGGTAAAGTATCTCTTCTTGTTTTTCTTATTGCCTGCCAACTTGCGGCATAATATGCAGTTTTCTGGATATCTATATAGGTACCTCGCAAGGCGTGGAAATGTTGTCAACCTCAAGTGGGCATACAGCGAGACATTTCCACATATCAAAACAAAGCCACATCACTTCTACAACTTAGCCTTCCCCTTACCACTCTTCTCCCACTCATCAACTCTCCTCCTACCCTCCGTCTCCCTCCTCGCCTCCTCCCTCCCAAACTCCCGATCCCTCCTCTCCCCCTCCTCAAACCCGTCCAAATACCCCAACGTCTCCCTCCACATCTCCGCCCTCAACACGCCATACACACCGCCCCTCGTCTTCTCCGTCAACTTCCTCTCCCTGACAAACCCCAACAGCTCATCCATGCCGCCCAACGCATCCACGAGGCCCGCATCCAGCGCCTCCTTGGCCGTGAATCGTTTCGCCTCCAGCACCAATTTCTGGAACGTCGCCGCGGGCAGCTTCTGCCGGAAGATGGACGCCATGGGCGGTTTGAGGGGCACGCCCAGATCGAGCTCGTTGAGGCAGAGGAACCCGCGCGTCGGGTTGAAGATCCGATAGTCGTGGTACATGGCGAGCATGAGGCCGCCGGCGAATGCGTGCCCGTTTAGTAGCGCGATCGTGGGCATTGGGTATCTGTGATTCGTTTCGTTTCCGAGTTAGTATATCTATGGATAGATAGATAGATAGATAGATAGATGGTGAGGAAAAGGGGGGGAGGGGAGGTACGTGAGCAGACGGCGCCAGAGCGCGAATAGGGTGTTGGGCCAGTAGCCTGGGGTGGAGGTGGCATGTTGGAGATCGAGACCGTTGCTGTAGAACTTGGGGATGCCGGATGTGGTGATGACGACGCCGGGTGGGTGCGAGAACTCGAGGATGTCGAGCGCGAGGAGGAAGGTCTGGCACACGGCTGTTACGAGGCGGTTGTCGGGAGGAGAGGTGAAGGTTAGTAGGTAGATCCCTGGGCTGGGGGTCGTGCAGACTATGCTGCCGGTGCCTGTGGTGGTGGGTGTGGTGGGAATTGGCAGCGTGAAGAGGGTTGAGGTGGCCATGTTGAGGGGAGTGAAGTATGGAGAGAGGGAGAGTAGGAAATCGAGATGCTTGTATGTGGTTGTGGTTGTAGTTGTAGTTGTGGTGTTGTGTAGTGATCACTGATCACTGCTGCTAGTCTGGACCTCGGCACATGGAGACTGGAGCTCTCCAAGATGTCTCTTTTGCATGATGCATGTGGAGATTCGGCTATGGCTGGATCGATCCGTATAGACTAACTTTATAAGCTTATCCTGCGTCGACTCCAACCTCTTCGGTCTCTTGTCATGAACGGGGAATTCTCATTCTCCCGCAAGGCTGGATGAGATGCGTGGTTCAGCCTCCTTCACATGCATCATCGGAGCTATAAATAGATCGGATTACCACACCCCGAAGAAATCTTAGCGCAAGGCTGGCCTTTGCGTCCCCTATCCGAAAGTTCCTTGCATTGCGGAAGCTGTCCTCACGTAAAGCAAATAGATAGATACTTGATATCTGTTGCCAACCTTCCTGTGCTGCCCTGCGGTTCCCAATCATGGCTCAAGCAGACGACAAAAAGACCAAGAATATCGCATTCTTTCATCCCGACCTTGGGATTGGCGGGGCCGAAAGACTGGTCATCGACGCTGCCGTCGGACTGCAAAACCGTGGCCATAAAGTCGTGATCTTCACCAGCCATTGCGACCCCCAACATTGTTTCGACGAAGCCCGAGACGGTATGCTGATTCCCCTCCTCCCGCACAGCTCGGAACTGACTTGACGCCCAGGCACGCTCGATGTCCGCGTCCGCGGCGACTGGCTGTTCCCGGCGTCCTTCCTCTCGCGATTCTCCATCGTCTGCGCCATCCTCCGCCAGCTACACCTCATCCTCTCGCTCTACTTCACATCCGAACTGGCCCGCTTTGGCCCCGATGCGTTCTTCGTCGACCAGCTCAGCGCGGGGGTTCCGCTCCTGCGGCTCCTCTACCCCGCGACGCGCATCCTGTTCTACTGCCACTTCCCGGACCTGCTGCTGGCGCAGGGCCGATCGGCGTGGTGGAAGCGCGCGTACCGGGTGCCATTTGATGCTATCGAGCAGTGGAGCATGAGTTTTGCGGATGCCGTGGCGGTCAATTCCGGGTTTACGAAAGGCGTGGTGGGGCGGGTCTGGCCCGAGCTGGCGAAGCAGAAAGAGCTACAGATCATTTATCCTTGTGTGAGTATTAAGGAGACGAAACCTGAGGACGACAAGGCGGCGGCGCCGTGGGGCGACAAGAAGACGATCTTGAGCATCAATCGCTTTGAGAAGAAGAAGGATATAGGTCTCGCTATTAAAGCCTACGCGGGGCTTGGGAAGCAGGGCAGGGAAGGTGTGAGATTAGTGATTGCCGGTTTGTAGACTCTTGATAGGGAACGAGTACATTTCACTGACTTCTAGTTTAGGTGGCTATGATAACCGCGTGGTAGAGAATGTCGTATATCACAAGGAGCTTATCAGCCTAGCCGAATCACTCGGCCTCAAGTCCGTAACCACGAGAACGATCGTCACAGCGCTCACCATCCCCAAAGATGTTGACGTCCTGTTCCTACTCTCAGTTCCGAACACGTTGAAGGATATGCTGCTCAGCTCCTCTCGGCTGCTCGTCTATACCCCTTCTAACGAGCACTTTGGTATCGTCCCGCTCGAAGCAATGCTGGCTGGACTTCCTGTCCTGGCGGCCAGCACAGGCGGGCCCCTCGAGACGGTTGTGGAGGGAGAAACCGGTTTTCTCTGCCCCCCTGAAGAAGTTGAGAAATGGACGACGGTCATGGACAAAGTATTGCACAAGATGTCAGATGAAGAGGTTCGCAATATGGGCAATGCCGGTCGCGAAAGAGTAAAAGCAGAGTTCTCTAACATCAAGATGGCGGAGAGACTTGACGCCCTCATTGACGGCATGGCCAAGGTCAACAGAAAGAGCACTGCAGAGATCTATGGGTTTTCCTTCCTCGCGATCATAGCCGTCGTCTTCTTCGGGATTGGCCTTTCATAATCCCAAGGAGCTAGTTCAATCCCATCTTCCACTTCACCCCTACTTCACTTCACTTACTATGTACATATAGATTGGTGGAGTTGCATATCTCGGCGTTGCATTGCAGGCGTCTTCATGTGCGGATACTGATAATCAAGAAATAAACTCCTGAACTCAACTTAGAATTAGAGAAAGATTTGCGAGCAAGGTTCTCAAAATGCATCTATTGCTATGTAAGACCTGAATTTGTTTACATGTGTGTGGCCACAGCATGTTCAATCTTTTAGCTTTTTCAATAGAGAGCTTTATCCAAGGACTTCCATATTATATTCCATTTTCTGCGCGGTGGTATTGAAGGATGGTAAGGTAGGTAGGTACTTTTGACAGTTTCAGGAGGGGATTCGGCAGCGTGAGATGAACACATGCATCTTGCATCAACATTCTGCTCCAAAGCCATAGCCTCATAATTCAGATATATATCCTATTCTAAGAAGGTATTATATCCAATATCCATGAATTGACTCATTTTCTGTTTTCAGCTTGGCGTTGATCACGTGACCTCGCCCAACCTAATATAAACTCGGAGAATTCGACTTTTCCGCTCTTTTCATACCAGCTCACTCCTGATCCCTGGTAGTGGCTCATAATCATTCGGTCGGTGCTTATAGGCTCATAATCTGCCCTGCTCAGCATCGCAATAGACGGGTAGCTGCGTCTGGATGGCTCGCAGCTGATCGAGTACATAACGAACACCCATCCCACTGTGCACCACACAGACACGCCGCCATGCTGTTAATAACGCTCCCTCCGCCCGTCAGGATGCGGGCAGCTCGTAGCTTTATCCTCTATGCGATGAGCAGCTCCAGATCCCCGGTTGGGAAGCAAGGGGGCTCCAGATATTTTTCGCAGGTCGTGGGCCAGAAGGACGGAAAATACTCGGCGGTGGTGGTGGGAGCGGGACCAGCTGGTGTAGCAGCCGTGGGGAATTTGCTGGAGCAACAGAAGGCTCCAATCCTATGGGTGGATGATGTGTTCCAGGGAGGACGTCTGAATAAGTACTATCGACTGGTTCCCAGGTGAGTCTTCTCCCTTCCCCCTATCTGGACACGTGATCTGATAGAGCCTCATAGCAACACCAAAGTCAAACGGTTCGTAGACTATGCTGAAGGGATCTCTCCTTTCCGAGACATTATCAAGGAGACTCCGACTCCAAATGCCTACAGCCATCTTAAAGACCTGGATCAGGAGGCCACTTGTCATATTGCGGAAGCTGCAGATCTCTGCATCATGCTTACCAAAGCGCTGGATCAATCGAGAGGGGTCTACAAGCAGCCAGGGCAAGTATCTGCTGCATCGTGGTCCCATGTGAGTCTTCCAATCTTCAACTTATCTCTGACCACTAGCTGACACCAAGCAGTCAAAGAATTGGAGCGTGAAAATCGATTCCCAAGACGAGAAGCTCCCTGGACCCATCACCGTCTCCTCCGACCTCCTCGTCCTCTGCACCGGCTCCAGCCCCACCTCAGGGCCGCTGCCCCCTAGTAAGGCGCTCGAGATCGGGCTAGACCCCGCGCTCAACCCTCCCGTGCTCGCCCAAACCATCCCCTCCTCGGCGCCCACCACCATCGGCGTAATCGGCGCGTCTCACAGCGCCATCCTCGTGCTGCGCAACCTGTACAACCTCGCGCGGACGACGCACCCGCGGCTGCGCATCAAGTGGTTCACGCGGCACCCGCTCCGCTACGCCGAGGAGCGCGACGGCTGGATCTTCCGCGACAACACGGGGCTCAAGGGCGACGTCGCGGTGTGGGCCCGCGCCAACCTCGAGGAGGACCGCTTGCCGACCTCGGACGTCAGCAGGTTCCTGGAGAAGGTGCCGACGACGAGGGAGCGGGAGCTGGACGTCTACAGGGAGCATCTGCCCGCGTGCACCCATGTCATCCAGGCGATTGGGTTCCAGCCGAATGCCCTCCCGGTGCTGGAGAGGGAGGGGCAGAAGCTGAGCGTCAAGTATAATCATAGCACGGGGGCTTTTGAGGATGAGCAGGGGAAGAGGGTTAAGGGGCTTTATGGGGCCGGGATTGCGTGGCCCGAGAGGGTAGTCGATCCCGAGGGGAATACGGAGTTTGCTGTTGGGCTGTTGAAATTCATGAACTATCTGAAGAGGGTCGTACCGGAATGGAGTGCAAACTAAACAGATGTGTTAATGTCTAGATGGTGTAAAGAGGAAAACAGAGGGTCTCAGTCAAATATCGTGAACGGCTGTATAGCGATCATGAATTCAATTCGGCCTCATGCGGTTATTATCTATACTCCAGTGGTCCTCTAGTGTAATATACCTGTACAACAAACAAACTCCTTCCCCGTGTTATGAAACCACCAACGCCAAGACCCAACCCCTATGGAACAGGCATTGCACTCATAAACACATTTCTTCAATCAGGCAAAACTATCCTCGGCTTGCCATAGCTCCTCCAAGCCTGACTTTTCGGGGACCTCAGTTGCGGCGGGTTCCCCCTTTTCCGCAGGTTCCCCCTTCTCCATAGATTTCCCGCTCTCCGCAGGTGTCCCATCCTGCCCGGATTCCATATCCTTCGTGGGTTCCACATTGCCCGGCATATCCTCCTTTTGCTCAGCCTCTGCAGCTGTTTCAGGCAGATCGACATGCACGATGCCAGCTTTAACCAAAGACTCGCAGACCTTATCCTTGGCCACAACGATAGATCTGTTGATACTCAACCCATCCAACGTTTTAAGACCCCCAGAACGACCGAGAACCATCATTTCATAAAGCCTCCTCATCATCCTCGTCTCCATATCCAAGCAAGAAGCGTACTTCTTGTCCTTCTCCGCATCCGATTTTCCAAGAGTGAAAGGTTCAATAAATGTATTATCCGTCTCGGCATTATCAGGCTCGACCAAACGTGTTTCGGCTACAGGCGGGTAGAATCCCATTGTGAGTGGATTGCTCCTTAGATCAACCAGTGTCAAGGTCGGTAAATGTGCCAAGATATTCGTGACCATCTTCACTCCAAGTAGTCGATTACCCGCTAAATGGAGTTTCTTCAAACGTACAATACCAACCAGAGGCTTGATGTCCCTCAGAGCGTTAAAGTTCAAATTTAATACTCGTGTATTCGGAAACATCTGTCCAAAGTCGATAGGCAGTGATTCTAGACCGCAATTGGCAAGTTCGAGGTATTGTAGATTCAGGAAGTCTACCGAGGGGTCGAATGTGTTGAGGAGATTGCCTGAGAGAAACAGCTTGCGGACCTCGAAAGCTTCTGAAAGGAATGATTGGTCAATGACAGCACCTTCTTGTTGCTCACGCATGGAGAGGCTGTCGAGGTGTTTTGTTCTGAGAAGACCGGTGACTCTTCCAAGACGATTACGATCAAGATAGAGGAGTCGTAGGTTTGGGCATTGACTAACATCGATGCGTTCCAGGTTGTTTCCACTCAGCTTGAGATACCTCAACGCTAGCAGTTTCTCGGAGCTATCGATCTCAAATGTGGAGAGATTGTTGCGCTCCAGGCTAAGGCTCGACAAGGCGGGTAACAAATGTATATTCTTGACATCGCATATGCGATTGTCATTGAGGTCCAGATCTGACAACCGCTTGAGTTTCGTGCCCTCAAAATCGATTGACTTGATCATATTTCCTCGTAGCCGGAGGCTAAGCAGCCCATCTAGATTTTCAATGCCATCTAGAGATTTTATTTTGTTGTTGTCGGCTTTCAAACCCCTCAAATGGACCAGGTACTTGAATGCAGACAAACTTTCAATTTCGTTGTTCGAAATGTTGATATACTGCAGATTGCTCAGGTGGCTCCATGCAGTAAGATCCGAAAGATAATTGTGAGTGATTCGAAGGTGTCGGAGAGTTCGTGGAGCACCATTGAGCTGGCTTATTTGATTGTCTGATACATCGAGTTCCTCAAGGCGCTCACAGAACTCATCTAACTTATGGAGACTGGTGAGACTTTTGCCCTTCAAATCCATTTGCTTGATATCCCCCCAATATGGCTCGTATGGCTCGACTTCTGCAATTCTTGTTACGAGGTCTTTTATTGAGAGAGACAGAGTCTTTTGTGTGCCATTACCAAGCGCATAGCCTTGACCTCTGTCAATATAGCTAACCTCCAAACCGAATGATTCGTCTGCTCTGTTCACAGTGAAATCAGATAATGGTGTCAGTTCGAGTGTCCCAATCTCGTGATACGGCCGTGGGGTGTTTAGAACCATGCAGGAGGCTCTTCTCGGCGGAACTGGGGTTGCCACCAGAATGCTTATACTTCCCCGGCGTTGCTCATCATCATCTTCATTGAGAGAATCCTCGTCTCGCTCATCAATCGGCGAAACCGGACGAGTTGGAAACCTTTGTCCTCTAAGTGGGATGTGATGAGAAGGATTTTGAAAGGCGCTTCCAATCCTGACCGAAGAGGCCTTATGGGTATCACGTCTCTTTGCTACGATCGCGCCACCATCAACAAGATCCTCGTCCTCATCATTGTCCAATTGTCCTGCATCGCCTGCCTCGCGGTCGAAATCGAGTTCATTGTCGTAGATAGACGGTTGAATAACGGATGCCAGGGGGGATGAGAATGATATTGCAATATTTCGTCGTCGTGGACTTGATGGGTTGATACGATCCTTTTCAACAGAAATCTCTCTTTCAATATTCTCAATGAATTCTTCTCTGATTTCCGTCGTTGTTGACTCCCATCTCTGATGTACTGTTCTGTTTGTTTCCGAAATATGAGCAGCCTCATCTCCCCATGAGGTTAATCTGGTATGCGCCTCTGGGTCGGTAGCCTTTGTGGCAAGACGGGTGAGCCTCGTAAGTTCTGATGAAGGTGCATCTTCTAGGTGCGAATTTTCATTCGTTGGACTTGACATGTCGAGCCTCTCCGGCTTGGCAGCTTTACTCGTGGGAGTTTGGCGACTTCCATCATAATGAATATGCTTCATTTGTTCCTCTTCTTTACGCTTTGCGGCTACAGATTTAAGCCGTTGAAACTCCTGCGTCTCGTCGACTGACAGATCAGGAATATCTCCAAAAGGATCTTCATCATCTGTCTCATCAGAAGGCAAGAAATTTTGTGCTCCATTTTCACCACTGACTGACTTCCCTTTGACCCAAATATTTCGTTCCCGATCAAAGACCATGCCAGCTAGTTGCTCGGGGATCAAATGGGACACTGTATGAGGAGCAATAATTCGACGAGAATCCGATCCTCTTGATGTAGGTATTGAGGGGGATGAGGAAATATTCGACGATGCATTTGATCCATAGGAAGGAAACTCCGTTTCGTGAGGGTCATCGCCGTTGGGAGGAACGGAAGAGGTTGAATGCTTCCGCTTTCGCTGCTGCTCGGGGTTTTGGATGATGCGTATATTCGGCGGATCACTTTCAATAACGTTGCCCTGGTTCAGTAATCGGCCAGAAGATCTTGAAATTGTCTCATCAGCAATTCTGTCAATCTCTCTGGCAGAATTGGCCGCCTCCTTCGCCATCGCAATGGATTTGATCGAAGAAGCTACAACCTCATCCATATCACTTATTTCCGCATATTTGCGTAGGTGGTCGAGGAGCTGGGGATCTTGCTGCTTCATAGGTGGTCTTTGAACAGGACGGCCCTCTCGACTAGGTGGTCTTGAGAAGGGCTCTTGTGTAGACTCTTGGTATGAATCCTCAAACTCGTCGTCTTGTGTGGCATCTCCAGCAAAGGCGTTTCGATCAATCTCAAATTCAGACTCTTCAAGACTTGCTAGTCCACTACGTGGTCTAGTTTTCCCTCGGATGCCTGCCATGATCTTCTTCGCCTCATCAAGAAAATCTTGAGTAGTCACGGAGCCTTTGCGACTATCATTCTGCATTGGCTGGCCTATCCCCAGCGCGGCCGGCAGCTTTCGTGTGTCAGTTGAATCCAGCTCTGCCTGTACCTGTGCAATCTTCTGTTGTTGTAGCAGTGCTACGCGTTGCGTTGAGGCAAGGTCCTCCTCTTGAAAGGGCGCATGTTCAAGTTGTTGACTGCTGTGATGACTGGGCGTTAGGGTCTGAGGTCCAAGGACCTGACGCATGGCGAGGACTTTTGGATCGGCTGCTTGCTGATCATCATCATCCCTCGCATCACTTCTTTTCCTGCCAATGACTAATTGTATTTGTTGATGAGTCTCCCTCAATGAATCCATTTCCGGTTCATCGTTAGCTATCTCCGCAATCTCGGATTCTTGCAACGTGCGCCGACGTTTTGGCGTAGGATCTTTCAAAGGGGACTTTGGGAGACGTTTTCCTTCCGAATTACTATCATATTTTCTGGGGGTTGCCGGCTGCTCTAGCCTTTGAGAAGACCCCTGAACAATCGATGGTTCAAAAGAGGCAGTGTTAGGTCGGGTCATTTTTTGAACACTGACTGTATGTAGTCTAGTGCTTGGAGAGTCGACAGACTTCGCCCTCTGTCGCGTGGGTATATCTTCCCCAAGAGCCAGTGAAGGATCCAATTTAAACTCAAATCTAGTCTGCCTACCTGGGTCGAGCGATGGCAGAGAAATGTTCTCCTTATCCTCATCTTCAGAGTTAGTTCTACTCGTGTCGTGCGAGATCTCCTCGCTGAACTGGAAATCATCCAGGTCACCTTGTCCAAAGCTGTTCATTTTCTTTCGCATATGCTGTTGTGAACGACTCTGCTGTAGTACTTTTTCAGGACTTGATTCCGCCACGAAAGCTTCGTTAAGGCTAGGGTTCATTGTTCCTTGCTCCGAAGTGGGCAGCATCGGCCCATCATCATCAAAGTGTTCCTCAAACTGGCTCAGTCTCCGTAGCAATTTTTGATTCGTAAAGGTATCATAAGCCCCAAAGAGCTTCAGCGGACTACCAGAACTACTTTTGGAATCTTTCTCGTCAGGTTTGGAAGGACTTAGATGGGGCGTGAGTGGAATATGAGGCGAAGTTTGAGCTTCTTGAGAACCCGTGAGTTCACTGGATGTGCGCGTTTCCCTCAGATTGGGATATTGCTTCGGCGTACTGGCCTGCATGGATTCTTCAGGTAACAATACCGATTCATCGATGGCTGGAAGAGAAGAAGGGCTTAACATGCGCTTTCGAAACGACCCTTCTTGAGAATGATCCCCTCTTCGGAGATTAATAAAACGGCCATTATGTGCATAATCATCGGTCTCTACCGTCGTATCTCCTGGAAGGACTTGTGAGGAATCATTGGTGTGTTCGGATTGAGTTTCGGCCTGAAGATTTTCCAGACGCGCTTGTAATTGACTTGCCGAGAGGTCCAATGCAGCATCACCAACTTTCCAATCATCGGTATTATGCCTCGAGATGTATATGGGACTCAATCCTTCATTCCTAGTGTCGCTTTGCGTGCTAACCACACGTGCGGCGCCACCCTTCACACCTTTTTGTTGCGCGGACAAATTAGTATGTTCCCAGGTGGGATCCGAAAAGGATTCCGAATGTTTGCCTTCGTCCTGAGGTGGCGCCATAGTTGGCCGAAAGCTACTGCTTCGGGTGAGATCATTGACTGAGAATTCGCTGCTTTCCTGATCTACCAAGGTATATCTAATGGCACGCGGCTGTTGTCGATTCTGGGTTTGTTGCTGTATCTGCTCTTCCGAAAAATTGTCGATTTCTTTAACCTCTTGCGATTTGTTGTCTGACTTATATGGCGGGGGACTTGATGGCATTGAAATATTACTGTCCTCAGGCCTGTATACTGCAACTCTGGTCGGTGGCGTTCCTTGAGCCGGTGGTGGACGGAAAATGCTTTCGAGACCTATAGGACTGAAAAGATCCCGCTGTTCGCCGTACGCAACATCTCCGTGTAGTAGGCGCCTCTTCCATTCGGGCGTTTCCTGCGCCCCTTTATTCGGAGATAACTTGACTGACATATTGTGATGTATCGTGCTATGCTGCATCGTTTGTGTAGTTGAAGTGGAGACCATTCGTGATGTACGTCGTCCTGATGCGTTGTTTGGTATCTCGTCGCGAAGCTTTGAGGGCCGTCCATGAGCCCGCTGTGATGGGATATTGTTATCGCTGGGGCTCCTTTCATTCAGAACATTATTATTGCCGTCATGTGCAGCGGTCCAGGATTTCTTTTGGGGGTTGTATTTAGGTATGCGACTCGGTGTTGCGCCAGCATAGGAAGAGTCGTACGCGCTATTCGATACTGAGCGCAATGATGGTGCCGGAGAGCCAGATGATCTCGGCTGTGAGACCCAGTCTTCAGACAATGAATTCAGCCAGGCCTGCTCCATGGTGGTGTTGTTATGGATATTGAGGAGGGGTGGGGACAGAGGGCGTTGTTGTTGTCGACCGCTCTTCGCGAATATAGTTGTTGTGGTGAGTGCTGATGTCTGGACGCGTTGGTTGTGTCTGCCGTCCTGCAGAGCGGCGCTTGAAACTCTGGGGTTCCCAGAAGAATGCTTTCAAATATATGTTGTTAACATATCTGAAGGTCTCTTGATGCGCGCTGATCTATTCCTTCAACGAGATGTTGGATCGCGTTCATGATATCAGAGTTCGTGGCTTAGGAAGTTGTCCCAGCAACAAAAGAGCCTCATCCCCTTGTTGATCTCACGGGCCACCCTACGGAAAAACAGAGCGAGCTAACCAAAGCCCACCTCCCCACCCTCCCCCCAAAATATCAGTTATTCATTGTATTATTGGGTGAGGGGGGCCAAATCCTATTTTTGGTGTATTTATTACCTGCCTAATAGCATCAAAAATCAATAGTTATACCACTACCCGCAACAACCCAGGTATGTTGTCAAAGTACGATTTGTGAAGTCCAAGTACTATGTATTCGCCCTCCCTCACACAATACAGTGATTAACTAACATTCGGTGAGTTAGGTATTATCGAACGGTCATATCTTTCAACCATTCTGATTCTAATAAAGTACTCTGTAAAGCCTTTGGGCCATAAAGGGCCAAGCAATTCTTCACGAACCTATGATTCCCATCACTAGAGTCCTTACAAACCGAAGGACACATATATTAACAGCGATCGATCAGGAAGTCCCAGGGTTGTTATTAGCCCTAAAAGACAGACATCTTTAACGAAGATCCTCAATAGTAATTCGATAGGCCAGAACCATGTATTCTGTCCTAACCACCTATCCTGTCCCTCATTTGAACCCAGGGCGTATTCGAGGTAGGGGCGCCTACAGAAGTAAGGTAGCACTATCGAAGTGTTGGGTAAGGTAGGTATCGTTCAGACCAAGAGGCCAGGGCCGAACTGTGATATTTTGGTCCTATAGCATAGTGGGCAAGCCTAAACCTACTGCGCATAACAGTAGACTCTATAGCTACTGTAGCGGCCGCTTTAGCTAAGATATATAAAGGGGGTACGGCTTTGAGGCTATACATAAATTCAAAATCAATGAATATGTATTTAGAAATAGCGTCACCCTTTTGTCTATCTATATTATAGAATTAATTGTTTTGAGTTATTTGCCAGTATTGACGCATCTTGTGTTGCTATGCTAATCAATGCTGTAGAGCGAAGTCCAGAAGGTTAAGGTCTAGATAGACCTCTTGGGTCTAACTTATGACTGCCTATGCTGTAACATGTCCATTACAAAGATCCAGTCCAACCTTTCTTAATTCTGTTGCCGAAACACCAATGCCGAAACCACTTCGGAATCCTTCAGTCATAAGAAATCTGAAGAAGCAAACCAAATTCCCAATTTCATTCCAGATTGGGGACCCACAAGACCCCTCGATTGATAGAGTGCGTAGACTGTCCATACCATGCCCAGTCCTGGCTAACCCACCCAGTTTTTGATATATTTCCATCTGCAGGGACACGTTGCAACTCGTGGCCATAATAGACACCCTCAATGTAACCTGTAAAGGGGTTGTCCACGTAGAGTAGGCTACCAACACACATTACCCGAGGGGATTCGATGATTTGTGTAAATTTCACCCCGGTTAGGTTGAAAATGTTTTGAAAGCTCATAACCCGGAGGTCCCTTGATCGAAACAAGGTATTGCTACCATGTAGAGGCTGCCTTCTCACCGTTATCACCCTCGTAGCACGTACGCAGGTAATTCTTGGTGATAGGGTCTTGATTGTCTAAGAGTCCTCTCGAACATGATTCCATCCCGCAATTTTATTAACGCAATATCTGTATCGTGAATTGGTTTCACGACCTCACCAACGATTTTGCCCTCAGGATCTGGGTGGAAAACAGTTTCTTCTCCGAGGAAACCCATGTTCAGCAACGGTCACATAATCATTGCCATCCGTATCTCTAACGAGCACACCAAACTCTGAGCGTGGGGGGGGCAGAACCGCCTCCCAAGAACCGACCCTAGGAGATCATTATGCCAGGCCGTAAGATGTCGTACGTAGCATCATCCCTGATTGTAGTCGTCGGGGGGCCTTTGACGGAAGGCGGCTTCTTGCGGCTGGGGAATTTCTGATTGGTAGATGTATAGGCATGGGGCCTGGCACAGACGACACGGGAGAGAAGAGAAGTCGGCGCCATCAGGGTCACGGTCGATTTCTCGTCAAACCACCGGGTCACAGCTGTGAATGCTTCATCACTGGCATGGCACTGCGCATTGATCTCTTCCAGGACGAATTTGCCAGTCTGGCCCTTGATTCTTCCAAAAGGCGTGGGAAAATCAAATCTGTCGGCAGTGATGTAGAATGGGAGTCCAGCGACAGAGAGGGGCCATGGTTGCGGTGGGAGCTCCGTTACTCTGATAACGAGAAATACTCCGAACAAACCAATCGAGTATTGTGTCGGATAGAGAGAGCTCAATATCTCACTCTCTTCCTCTGTGGGAAAGCGGGCGCGGCCGCCGTCAGCGAGCGTGAAATCGAAGACGATATGCCGAGCTGAGGCATCGACCAGGGGGACTAGAGCAACATTAGCATAGGTTATTTATACATAGGAATATGATTAGGTACTTACCTACCTCTCTTCGGCGTTGGCGATTCTTGAGGTGAAGAAGCCAATACACATCGTTTGGAAGGTGAGAGGTCGATGACGTGACGCTTGACGGCTGAAGCCTTTTGCGGGCTGGGAGTAACCTTACGGCGGGGCAGACTTGTTGCCGCCATAGCTGCGAGGTCAAGGATTTTGCGAGCTTTGAAGATATATTATTGGGGAATTGGGGAAGAGTGGGGAGGTGGAGAATTATTATCATGGGGCTACCTAGGTAGGTACTGAATATTCTGTACCTTACCTTTGTAGATGCTAGTGGCACATTTAGCGAGCAATGCTTCCTTTTAAGGGAATAGTCCTTTAGGGTTGCAGCCCACGTGAGCTGATGGTCACGTGTACACTTGATCTTGTCTAGGTAAGGTACCTTACCTACCTTACCTTTACTACCTACCTTAGGTAGTGACAACCGTATGAAGAGAGATCTCAGTTGTGGTTCAAACACTGATATATAGTTAGTCATAATCAGGCTCTCTGTCCTCAATACGGAGTCCTCAGCAATGATAAGAATTGTTCAAGCGCGGGGTCCGGAAAAGGAAAAACCCGAGTTTCCACTCTACGCCAAAGTGTCACGAGAAAATGCGGCGATGAATCTGCGGCGCGTCGTCACTGGGACGACCAGCCACCCCTGAATCAATCATTCGTTGTAACGACTTGATGCCGTCGATAACTCAGTTGCCAGTAACGTGCCCCAAGGTCCGTCAGAATGGACACTTTCGACAACTCCAACCCCAGCGATCCAGAGGATGAGGAGCCTCTGTACTGCGCCGCTCCGCAGAACCCTGAAGACATCATTTGGGAGGGATCCGACACCGAACAAACCCCGCAAGAGATATACGAGAAACGGCTTCGATATGAGAATTACGCGCGGAGGTATCTACGAGGCCAACTACCAGTATTGCAGTCTGCCAGCCTGCGAGGACCCCTGGACAAAGAATGGGTCAATCCGTGGCGGTACCATCCACGCAAAGATTTCGATTGGTGGCAGCCAGGCTCGGAGGACATGCTATTTACTCGAGAAAATGTGATGAAGAGGGCTGCAGACCATGGATTGGGGCATTTAACGCCGGCTGAAGCTCTGGCTTGGTGCAAGGCTGATGCGAAAGCTCAGGCTAGGGCGCAAGGAGTTGAGCTCTCAGATGGATCCTCTTCGAAGAGCACAGGTTCCCGATCATCTCGCTCAGATCTAATTTACTCCCAGGCTTCCTGTGGACAACCTTCGGCGACTGTAGTACCACAAAGTCAGTGTGATAGGGAGCTCAGAAGCGAGCCTTCGGGTTATAGAAGGAGTTCCAAAAGGCCGGCAGATTCACAATGGTTAAAAGGATCATACATCTCAAAACGTGCTCGGTGGGGTGCCCCAGCGGCATCTTCACCTACCCCCATGCCCAAGATCCAAGCTGAAAGAGACCGACGACGACATCGTGGGTCCACAGGACCAGCAACATCAAGCACTGCTCAACTTCATAAGGACCCCCAACCGAAAACCTCCTTGTCACATGGATCGCAATACATGGGATTTGATGGGAGCACAGAGACACTGAGGCTAGAGCAGCGAGAGCGAGATTTGGACGAATTTAACGAAAATTCTGGAGAAACGACTTTTGTCTCAACAATCGATAGTCCCTGTGGCTCCAAATCCACACAATCTACTCCGTCGGATATTGCAGATCTATCGGATCATGGCCTTGAGCCTGATGACACTAATGTAGCGTTGCCAATCAAGAGGTGGCATTTGACAACACCAGCCCCAGTTCTCCGCGGTCAAAAGTCGAACACAACTTCCACCGGGTTGGGTTCATTTGAACTGCCAAATCTTCCTCGCAGTCCGGAAAATCATGTTAGTTACAGCATTAAGCCATTAGAAGATGATAGTTTCATCACCGATGTAGCTCCATCTTCCAGAAACTTAGAGAAGTTCGAATACCGGAAAAGGCGAAAGAGGTCGAAGCCCCCCCGGTCTCCTGGTCCCGGTCAAGATTTTGAAGGTCAGAGCGAGATCACTTCAAGATCATCAACGAAGGCAGTGATCTCTAAAGGAAATGGGAAATCTTCGAACCTGCGACTGTCAAATGCTCCGCCAACATCGTTGCCAAATTCAACGATAACTGAAATCAATAAGGAGCATTCGATGTCGAACACTTCTGTTGCAAGTGATGCCGAGAAGAAAGTATGTCCGAGAAGCTGTAAGTCAGACACTAGTTGGGACATACGGGATGACATCGGTCAGCCCTTGCACGAAAGTCTTGCAACAGATGCAGTTTCTTCGAACAATCTACAGCTCTTTGAGTCTAGGCCTAGTTCGACTAAAAAGACACTTACCAAGGATGAAAAGTCAACTGCAGAGAAGAGGAGAGATATTCGGTTACTGGCAAGTAGTCAATTATCTGCAGGGCGAAGCGAATACACGCAGGCTACGGATCAAACTCGAGACACACATCCTCCTAAGTCAGAGGTTGAACTCTCCCTAAATAGTAGCCAACATTTGCAACCACCGACCGACCCGAGAAATATACTGCAGATCCACGACCCTGCAGAACCAAAGAAATTAGGGGAATTCGGACTTGACCGAAGTCTTGCCCCAAATTCAAGCCCGGGGGACGATAGTACCCAGTCACATAATTCAACGCACATTGGCTCACCGACAAATGCACAGATTTCAGTATCTACAGAACCTGGTAGAGATCATTTAACATTCGAGACCAATCATGCGACAAGAGATACAGACTCAACAAAGACGTGTACGCATGATGGGACACAGTCCGAGGAGGCGATTACTGTGGACGGCGCATATTTAGCGGACGGGAAGCTTCAAGATCAAACAAGGCACCAAGCTGACAGTATCATCAACAAAGTAAATTTGCCCGAAGAAACCGTCGAAACCCGGGCCAGGGTTGAGATAGCGATTTTGACGGATGCTACTGAGTCACCCCATGGAGAGGCGAAGAATGAAACACAAGTACTTCAGAAAGCAGTATCACGGGATCGCACGACCAGCTCTCAGAACAGCAGTGGCAGTGATCGAAGCCGCAGAAGTCATTCTTCTGGAAGACTTTCCAGTGCAACGTATGTGGTAAGGGGAAAAGACAATGCAGCCGAACCTCATGACCTTGGAAATCGAACGCCGGGTGGCTTGGATGGGGATCAGATGGAAGAAAAGGATAGCTGGCAGCGTGGCTTACAGAGTCCATGGACGGCTGAGACTATGGAACCCATTACAGCAGTGGATTCGCGTAAGGACTACGAGGATGAGGCTGCTAGCAACAAGAACAGAGAACTGTCGCCAAAGCAACGCACGATTCGAGAAGGTTCAGACTGGCAGCGTATTGAACGTCCTGTGACTCCGGAAAATGATGGAATTACCCCTTTTAAAGTGTTTATGACTCCGACTCCACCACCCGAGCCGACTACAAATCGTTCAGCTCGGGATGGTTTTCCAAGCACACAAATCCTCGTCGAAGCTATGACTAGCAATCCATGGGCAAGCAATCCGAACAATCTGGCTTCAAAGAGATCTAAGAAACGTGTTTCTTTTGGGGTGCTACCTTCAGAAGATAAGGGGGATTCGCAGCCGGAGGAGAAAGGCTTCTTGAAGGAAAAGCCACTGTCACCACCACCACCAGCTGTAGATCTACTAGGTGGAGATGATGCTTTCGATGACGGTACGACTACAGTCGGAAACAAATTCGCAAAGCATTTTGCCGCTGCTGGAGATGCCAGCCGGATACGTTCCCATAATGGTCTTTCTCCATCCCTGAAGAGCAGTCCGGCAGTGGATGCTATGGCCGAAGCATTTATTGCGGCAGATCGCGAGATCTCAGTGGGACAAGAATGGCGGAAGCTCTCAGGTCACTCACCTTCTCGGCATCTCAGACCCATGAGTGAGGCAATGGCAAACATCAACACGGAAGAATTGTCGCGCATAGGTTCATCCTCCTCCGCGCGTAATGACAGAACCTCATCTAGCAATACCAAGACGGTAGGCTACGACATGGGGAGTGATTTCGGTGATTTCCTTGGCGACGCAGGGGGCTTTCTTGAGGAATGGTCAGTCGAGACGGAGCTCAGGAAGACTACCGAGGGGAAGGATAGCCGTGCGCCTTCAAAGAAGAGAGGTAGTTTTGGGATAAGGAGTAGATGGTAGGCACTTCTGTATGCGACGACAGAAACGCATAGATGTTTATGACGATGCATAGCACTGGCGCTGGGATATTCATTGTACAGGGAACTAGGAGACTGGAATTGGCGTTTGCTTTGTGCATTTACACAGGCCCGGGCACCGGGTTCAGGGAGTTGGTAGTCATTAGATACCCCAGTCATACTCTGTAATCGCTATGTCTGTTCAGAAGTTCAGGGCTGTGTTCTGTACCAGTACCACCGGATTTAACGGGTCTTGATATCTTCAAGAGATAGCAATCGACAAGATTATTTCTCATTCTGGAATTGTACCGTCATATTCATGCCTCGTCAATAATCGCGAGTTGAGATTTGAGACTGTTGAGGGACTTCGGTGCTGGGCATCCCGTCGCCCAATAAGCGGTCGCGACTATGATTTGGCAGAGGCAAGTCGGTCTGGGCATGTGTTCACCTCCATTTCATTTTCAATTCCTCTGTATTCTGGATGAGTGGCCTCTCTCCAGAGTCTCCACCCAGCTCTGTGCACGTCGAAGGTGGTATGGATGGTGCGAAATGTCGAGTCATTGTGACAACGTGGTCGATTGATAGGTTGTTAGGCCATGCTGCCGGGGGCCTTTGAACATGAAAGAGACGCCTTTCTTCAACGGGCGGGGGAGATCAGAAAAGCCGGGGCTATTTGGGGCGGTATAGCGCGTCTACTCGGTCTAGATACAGCTCGCGGCGAGTGGCGGTGGGAGAACAAAGAGACGGTAGATATCGAGATATATCAAGATATATCATCGAGACGAGAAGAACAGGAACAGCCATGTTAAGGCCAGGAGCAACAGGGCGCTGTGATAGGGCGGCCTGGGGATGGAGTAGCTGTAGCCCTATAGATAATTCCTCCGTCCTGGATCCTTTGGTAAATTGCTAAATACCTTATTTTCTTTTCTTATTTTTCACCTTACCCACGTTAGAGCTGTGGCTGTTGCTGTGGCGGTGCAGCGGCGAACAGTATTTCTCGAACGACTCCACGCCGCCTTAATAGTTTCCACCTTACTATCCACACCCACGCCTGCGTCTCGGAAAGCCCATGTTGGTCTTGGTGATCAGAGCCAAAGCAAAAGCACAAGCACAAGCACAAGCAAGAGCCAAAGCAGACGGCACTCAATAATATCTGCCGTCCACTACCCAGGTACTACCCGTACTCATAACCCTCCGCTCCATAGAATCACCCCCAAGAACCAACGTGACCCTTACCTGGCCTTAGCATTCTGACAACAGGGTCCCTCCATCTCCAACTACTCCAACTCGTGCCATCCCATCCCCCATCCCACATCCAATCCCCCCCCCGTTGGCACGTCGTAATCTCATGCCCGTCGAGCTGCCCGTCCCCCGGCCCAGGTCCCGTCAGACAGCCCGCCATTGAGGCCCAACAACTGCGAATCAATCCCCCACATTGCGGTACCACTCGATAGATGTCCGCCTCATGTCAAGCTCCCATTCTGAGCCCGAAAATGCCGCACCCACCGCATTGGTGAGGCCCGAGCCGGCTGAGCAGGGCCCCGAGAACTCTCAGGATGGCGGTCTGGATAAATCTCGACGATGGGCGCCCGCCTCCCGACCCAGCTCTACCTCCTTGTTGACCCAGGCGTTGGCTGCGAGCCAAGAAGCAGAGAGGAGAGCCAGTCGCCCGTCCCCTTCTCCAGAAGCGTTGGCAAGCTCCGCACAGTCATCCTCGCATCCAGCAGAAGAGCAAACCGACAAAGATGGACTGAGTCAGGCGGGATTCTCAGAGCATTTGTCGGCAGCCGAGATGGCAATTCCTACACCAGGCCTTACAGGCGATGCGCGGAGGTCTTTAAATACTGGGATCGTTCCTGCCAGCCTTCATGATAGACACGACAGGCACGTCACGTCACTGCCCGTGAATCACCGCGAACTCTCGAACGGCGCTCGAGCAAGGGGCACATCGTTAGAAAGGACCGAGAAGGAGAAGAGAGTGCAGGATTCTCCGAAAGGCTCCTACTCGACTAACCCTGGGGATACCGCCCTAGCACCCTCTCCTGTTCGACGAAACCCCGCTCCGTCAGAACCAATATCGAACAATCAGCCAACCGAGGGCGTGAGAGCTAAATACAGATCGTGGAGAGATTCTCGTACCAACATGGCTGCCGAGAAAGCCTGGTCGATTTGCGAACAGGGAGACGACGACGGCGAGGGAGGGCGAGTTGAGAAGTCGATCACACAGGCAATGGCGGGGGTCGAGCCCAACAACCGAAGTAGGAAAGCCAGTCACAGTCTAGGCTTCTTCAAGGAGGGTCTTCCAGAAGACAGATCGAAGAAACGGGAACATAAACGCAAAGGCCGCTCTAAAGAAGGGTCCTCCCCTACAAAAGGTTCAGGGGCGCTCGAAAACGGGAAGCAGAGACTGGGCCACGATACTCATACACGAGATTCCATTCAGGATTTTCACAAGCCAGACCTTGCCGCAGACGGAGGAACTCTTCTCCCACCGCTTCTTGAGGAGGAAGACTATTCATCTAAGCCTCTATCAAAGCAAATGAGGTTCGATTCGGCCTCGAACCAGAGTCCTGGACTTGTTGCAGACGATGGTTCTCTCGACCGACCTGGTAATCCTGAGACGGCTCCAAAAGAGCAAATCAGGAGGATGCCGCCTCAGCTGCTTGCCGGGATTCGGAAGCATCATAATCTTACTCCTGGAGCCGCCAAAGGAACTTCATTTTCACGAAGTCTTCCTGTCACTGAATCAGAGAGACCGAAGGACGATAATGATGATGAACAGGAAGTCAAGCCATCATCCTCCGTGCAGAATGAAGAAGAGGGCAATGATGGGGCCGAATTATCCCTCGTCAAAAGTACGGACGATGAAGACGAATCGGGGGAGGAGCAGATTTCTTGTGCTCTTTTCGTGCCCCATCAGACCCCTCATGACTCACCTGAAGGGGAGAATAGTATATTTGAGAGTGTCACAAGTCCACCACTCAATAATCAACGTCGCCTAGATGTCCCAAAACCCCAGCAATGGCTTGAAGAACATGAAGTCCCATCACGTGACCTGTCAAAGAAATATTTGAGCCAGGAAGCTAAACCTCGACGAACGCCATCACCTATTTATCCAAAGCTACCAAGTCCACGTGCTGAGAAAGAAGGTTTCTTTTCTGAACATGAAGATGGCTTGACTTTAGATCAAGAGACCCCAGATGATGGAGGCTATACCACAGCCGGCGAAGAGTCGTATGATGACCATGATATTACACCAACAGGTTCGGTGAAGCAAGGAAATCAGATCCCCAGTGGTTACGATCGACACATCCACGTTCATCAACAAAAGCAGCCGTTGGAAGCAATTGAGCTAATCCCATATCGACATCAAGTCGGAGGCCACACTACCCTGTGGCGATTTTCGAAACGTGCCGTCTGCAAGCAACTGAACAACCGAGAGAATGAATTTTACGAAAAGATTGAACGCTATCATCCACAACTGTTGAAGTTCTTGCCAAGGTGCGTTTGATTCCTTGCTCCCCTTTGTCCCCACAAGTTATGAAGTTGAGTGTTTGTCAAAACCTGACACTCAGGTCATAGCTATATCAACAGTCTTGGATAGTTGCTAATCAACCGGTCACGGTTTTTCAGATACATCGGCGTCCTCAATGTTACCCTTGAGAAGCAAGTACGCCGCAAGTCTGCCAAAAAAGATGGCGGCGATGCAGCTAGTGAACGGCAGGATACTGCTCCTGATGGTGGAGAACTACGGAACCGGGAGATGGCTGACGGTGTATCCACTACCAATGGTAATGCGTCTACTGAAAGCCAACCTGAGCAACCGCGGATAGTCAGCCAGTCTATGCAGCACTCGTCTTCCATACCTATTCCAACCGTCACCTTTGCGGATAATAGGCATATCATTCCGAAGAGCTTCTTGCAGCCTCATCCCCATCTGGCAGATCCACAGCGTCGCACGAAAAGCGACGGAGCCGCAACAAGAAGTGCACCAGTGGGCCTCGACCAGACAAAGCCACTGCCTGTTCAAGATGGCGACTCGGCATTTCGACCGACTCTGTCAGATAAGCATGCAAACAGTTGGGGTGCGACCATGATCAATAAGAAGCTACGAAACCAGGTTTTTGGTGAAGCGTTCTTACAGCAGCCGATACCAATCCATCGCCACAAGAGACCTGCATCTCAAAATCGGTCTTTGCCAACTCGCAATGGCGGTTCAGGCCTACGAACAGCAAGCTCTGAATCAAGTCTCAAAGCTGCACAGCAAAGTCAAAATTCATCTTCACAACCAGCTGAGGAATCGATCCGTAGAAAAGCTATAAAAACAGCTGCCGAACGGAGAAATTGCCTGGCCCCGCTAACAAGTACCAACCCCGCTGACCCTATCCTGGACGAATCCGGTGTAAACGACGATGAAGGCGACATGGAGTTTGGTGGGAAAACGGGAACGAGCGCTCCAGAACCTGAAATTGCACGCTCTCCAAAAGGAAAACGCCAAAGACGTTATTCCAGTGGCGGTCTGCGCCGGAAGCCCGCTGAAGTAGCTCAGGATCGTGGCAATTTAAAATACTTTGAAGAAGCAGACGATGCAGGTTATAAAGGTGACGCGGAGGAGGAAGTCTTTCCTATGGATCTCGAAGTAACTCCGTCGTCCAAGGCTGCAGAACAAAGCAACGAGCCTCTACCCAAGGCTGCGAGCAATGGAAGGATCGCTTTGAAGTCCGAGGTTCAAGAATCAGACCAGGTGCCGGCTTCTACTCCCGTTAAGCCATCAACCATTCTTGATGTTCCCAGACCTATAAATCCCAAGGAGGCGCAGACTCAGCGCGAATCCCGTGTGGAGTACTTCTTACTTCTCGAGGATTTGACAGCGGGCATGAAACGTCCCTGCATCATGGATCTAAAGATGGGCACACGTCAATATGGGGTAGACGCCAACGAGAAAAAACAAGCATCACAACGTCGAAAGTGTGCTGCTACCACATCACATGGACTTGGCGTCAGAGTTTGTGGATTGCAGGTATGGGATGTCAAAACTCAGAGTTACATCTATAAGGACAAGTATTTCGGGCGCGACCTGAAAGTTGGACGTGAATTCCAGGATGCCCTCACTAGATTCTTGTATGATGGGGTCGATTACTCCAGCGTCTTGCGACACATTCCCACCATATTACGAAAGCTCTCCGAGCTCGAAATTCTAATACGTGGTCTGGTCGGATATCGCTTTTACGCCGCAAGTCTGCTGATGGTCTACGATGGAGAAGTGCAAGGCGATGATGAAAGTGACAGTACAGCCACAGAGAGGGATCTGAGTAAGAAAAATGAGATCGACTTCAAAATGGCAGATTTTGCAAATTCGGTCATAAAGGAGGATTTTCGCCCAGAGAATCGGCCCTGTCCTCCACAGCATCCAGATTTGCCCGACAAAGGATTCTTAAGAGGTCTGAAGAGCCTGAGGAAGTATTTCTTGGCTATCCAACATGAGCTTTATGGCAGAGAGATGGGAAGGGCGTTCAAAAGCGAGGATGATGAAAATATGTTATTACCCCAGGAGGATGAAAGCGGAATTAGCTACTGATACGATTCCTTGCGGGCTGGTCATGAATGTTTCTCTTTTACCCTTGATGGGTTTGTGGTGCCTGGCTTTCTGGCATTATGGATGCATGGCTTTTGTATCATTTGGCGATTTGGCGTACAATTTGGGTTCGCGCATACCCGGCATTGGCACTGGCGTTAGGAATTACTTATGGCGCTTATGTATGTAGATACCTTTGCAATTTCTGCTCCCAAGAGCTGGGCACTAGTTACTTAGCAGTGCTCAAATAAATGAAATTCGCTGTTCTATGGCTTCCTGGGGCTTTCTCAAGAGCAAATGCTTTTTGAACGGGGAAAAGGCGCAGGCGTCAAAGTGCTGCACGTGATACCGTTTATATTTCGCGCTAAATCGGTCGCGTCTTCTCGGTCGACACGACTCTGAACGCTTTCAATGTAGGATCCACGCAAACTCAATTGCATACACACATTTCCGCAGGCTCAATTAAGCTGCAATCAATTTAAAATGCCGGTTGAAGTCATTGATCTTATCTCAAGCCCTGAGCAGCCGAAACCTGTTATCACTAAAGTCAATTCGACAGCGATATCTAGACCAAACCCTCCTACGAAATCCCACACCTACGAGCCCAAGGAGAATTGGTTTACGCTGTCCTCCGAAGATGAGGACAATGCTCTTGATAGGCCAGCTAAACCAGCCCTCGACTCTTATTCAGAATTGACTGAAAGGCCGAAATCCAACACGATCACTACGAAACCTCTCCAAGCCTCACAGACAGCCAAATTTGGCAAGGACTTCTTCTTCCTCTCCGACGATTTTGATAGCACCGTCAACCTAGATGATTCTTTTGACATTGATGCGCCATCAGCCAAGAAGCGACGACTATCTTCATCTCCGCCAGCAGTGTCATGTAAGACAAAAGTTCCTAGAACGTCAGGATTCAATAGATCTATTTCGAATATCGAGTCTTCGTCGAAGTATGGCATCTACAAAAGCAGCGCTGAGAGCCTGCGGAGGTCGAAGGCGGTGAGCACGGTTTTAGAATCCGACCCTATCGTATTTACAAGCTCGCCGGACCCGTTTGCGGATGTTGCGAGACGTCGAAGGGAAAAGAGGAAGGAAATATTAGCGGCGGATGACGACGATGATATTTTTGAACTTGGAAAGCCCAGGAAGGAGGTATTGGAGGACGATGAAGACGATATTTTCGAGCTCGGGAAACAAAGGAAAGGAATATTGGGGGATAATGAAGACGATGATATCTTTGAACTCAGACCTTCCAAGGAGAAGGTTGAGAAAAAGTTCACTTACGATACATTAAATGATTCGTCTGATATAGACCTGCCAGATCTTGATCAAATACCCGTAAAGGGTATTCCCAGAGTCTCGTCTAAGACGAGTTCGAAAACAGTGCTCGACAATTACAACGCCGAAAGGGAAAAGGAGAGGAAGGCAAAAGAGAAAGCCCAGAAGGCAGCGGAAAGAACGGTTTCCAAACAAACGAAGCAGGCTTCCAAGGAGGCCGAGAAGGAGCGGAAGCGCTTAGAGAGGGAAGAGAAAGCCCGCGAGAAAGAGAGAGCAGCAGAGCTTGCCAAAGTCAATATTGTTCGTACGAACAAACAAAGATCCAGTCATGAGATGATCGTGGATTTGCCGTCTAAGCTCTCGGACTCGATACTTGCCGAGCAGGTTCTCAAGTTACTTGGAAAGTCTGAAATTAGGCATTCGAACTGGGAAAGCTCGATACCGGTCATAAAGTGGAGGCGAGAAGTAAGCTCTGCGTATAACGAAGAGATGGGACAATGGGAGCCAGTTGCGCCGCACATAAAGCCGGAGAATCATGTCATGTTCATCATGTCCGCTAAGGAATTTGTCGAATTGGCTACAGGAAAGGAAGGCAAAGACATAGACGCTCACGTGCTGGGCTTGAAAGCCAAATTCACGTCTTGCGATATTATCTACCTGATAGAGGGCTTGGCGGTTTGGATGAGGAAGAACAGAGCTATCCAGAACAGAAAGTTCACTGAAGCGGTGAGGAACCAGATGAGCCAAGACGAGCCAGCTGCGACTCAGAGAGCAAGGAAGAAGAAGGAACAAGAAGAGTATGTTGATGAGGACTTGGTGGAGGATGCATTGCTTCGATTGCAAGTGATGCATGGAACGTTGATTCATCATACAGCTGCTATGATCGAAACAGCTGAGTGGATAGTTGTGTTTACACAACACATATCCACCATACCATATCGGTAGGTCACATCCCGTTTTCATCCATCTCCTATCATCACATGGTACCTCGGACGTGCTAGATTGTTTTATACTAATCGTTTTTATTGCTTTGTAGGCGCCAGGAGCAATCCCTCAATACATCATTCTGTATGGCTTCTGGTCAGGTTAAAAGCGGCGAAAATGCAGCCGACACCTTCACCAAAATGCTACAAGAAATGAAACTGATTACAGCACCGGTTGCTTACGGTATCGCGGCGGAATATCCAAGCGCACAGAAATTGATGAAGGGCTTAGAAAAGCACGGTCCGCTGGCTTTGGAGGATTGCAGGAAGACTGCCAATAAGAACGGTGCCTTCACGGATCGAAGAGTTGGGCCGGCTATCAGTAGAAGGATGTATAAGGTGTTCACGGGCCGAGACGAAAATAGCTTGAATGTTTAGTCTTCGGGTATCAAACACCTATACCTATACAGAATATTATATATTCCTGTTCTGTTTTTAGATACCTGCCTATCCTACCTATTCCACCTACGCACAGTAAGTAGCCCCCTTTTCCTGCGTCTGTTTTCCACCATTTTCGCTTAACCACAACTTCTTCAGGCTCACCCCCTGATGTCAGATGATTGATGTCTTGAACCGAGTTCCAGCGTCCCTCGATAGGCGGTAAGGTTCAAGTCATCGGCCATAAGGGAAGAGGTACTGTAGTATATCTGCAAATCATCATTGGATCCTGAGCCAGATGAGTTCGGTAGGTTGAAGGCGAGCCAAAGGTGGGATAGCGCTGATGGGGGCCCGCCTTTCCGCTCTTGAAGGCGGAGGAGCGCTCAAGTGCGAAGGAGGATCGCTCAAGTGCGGAGGGTGTCGCTCAAATGCGAAGAAGGGCTCCCGCCTTGTCGATGCTTTTATAGCTCCCGACGCAAGCCAGCCTCATGGAGGGGTAGCAATCGTGCGCAGAAGGCAGCTACTCGCGGCTTCAACAACACCCAGAATCGCGTTGGAAATGGCCGTGAGTTCTAGCAATGGCACGGGCCTGGAAAGGGTCGAGCTGGCGGGTACATCACGAGAGGTAAGGAATCAATGCAGCGCACGCTGGTTCCCTAGATGCATGTCTGTGGAGGCTGACGATCACATGTTACTACTAGATTGGGCTCCAGCATGGCAGACTCCTCGCGGGCAAAATCCGCAGCCAGATAGAAGTCTATGGCAACATGTTCCTGCACACGTCGAAGCTCGATTGGAAGGCCGTACGAGAGGTAGCTAAAGAGTATGCGGGCCCGATCGAGCGCCTCACGCCCGACCTGTACGCTGAGATGCAGGGCATTGCGGACGGGGCCGGGCTGGAGCTGATGGACATCGTGGCGCTGAACTGCAGGAGCGAGATCGCGCTGGGCCACTTCTCGGATGGCTGTACGAGTCTGGGCTGGAAGACGCAGAAGGAGGGCGTCATCCTGGCGCAGAACTGGGACTGGACTGAGCCCGTCAAGAGGAATCTCGTCTTGATGTCTATCGCCAGGCCTGGCTACCCGAAGATCTTCATGATCACTGAGGTCAGAATCCCCTACCTACCTACCGTCTTACCTTCCATATGTACATATATACATATGAATATATATTGTCTCAGGGGATGCTGATCAAGAACAGGCTGGCATCGTGGGCAAAATCGGTTTCAACTCCGCGTCCGTAGGCACATGTCTCAACGCGATCCGCGCCAAACCCACCGACGCCAGCAAACTGCCCATCCACATCGCGCTGCGCATCTGCCTCGACTCACGCAGCTCCTCAGCCGCGATCGCCAAGCTCGAGGCCCTCGGCGGCATCGCGTCCAGCGCGCACATCCTGCTCGCCGACGTCGACGACGGGCCGCGCAGCCTGGAGCTGTCGCCGCGCGGGAACGTCTACATCTCGCCGGACGCGCGCGGCATCGTCTGCCACTCGAACCACTTCATCGAGAACCGCCACGTCGTCGAGCCGCCGTGGCTATCCGGGTCGGCGGCGCGGCTGGAGCGCATCCGCGCCCTGACGGCGGACCTGGCGGATGAGGGGACCCCGCTGACGGCCGCGCTGCTGCGGGACCGCGTCTTCGCGGATACGTTCAATGCGCCGCAGGCCATCTGCTGTCAGGAGGATCCTGAGACGCCTGAGGTGATGCGGAGTAGCACGGCGTTTAATATCATTACGCGGTTTGTGAGGGGCGAGGAGCCGTCCGCGGAGCTGGTGTATGGGAGGCCCGGGAGTGGCGAGGAGGGTCCGGTGTTGAAGATGCCTTGGTGAGGGCGGGTGTTGGTGTCGTTGTATGTGTGTTTTCTTCCATAGGGCAGCTTGATAGATAGGTCTTCATGTAGCCAGCCCTCTCCTATATAGCACGAGGAGAAGAAGAATCGGTTTGCTGAACATCCATCTTGCAGTATTTCCATCCCCCCCCCCCAAAAAGAAAAGAAAATCCCGATCCTGCCCCTCCAATTTAATCCCAGCTCCAGAAAACAAACACAGTGCTATATATAAGGTAGCCAAGCCCAGCTCCTCAGGGGTAAGCCAGTATATTTCCAGATTCCGGACTCAAAACTTTTGTTTCTTTAATATCATTCATATCGAGGGAAAAGAGGTTTCAGTGAATTTTGACTTTATGTACATTGTACATGGCTTCACTAGCAGCTGTGGAGGAACTAACGAACTCAAAGGAAGAGAAGGGTCTGGCTAGGGTGCAGCATGGATATTGTAGTTGGGATCTTGGCAAGGTGTCGACTGTTGCCAGCTTGAGATGCTTGCTGTAGGGAAATGATGTTTTGTATATACATACTATACCCCTTGAAAAGCATTTTATATCCCCCGATTTTTGCACTTCTTAGTCCCGGGTGATTTATAGCTAGCGGTCAGAAGTATCAGACACTTTCAATCTGGCCCACCATACCAATCTTCCCATAGCTATCGACAATCCTGACCTCCGTGACCTTCTCCCTCTCCTCATCCATCACAACCCTGTACTTCTCGCCCGCGTACAGGGGACTCGTAGCCCTATAGCTAATCTTCCTCGGAACCGCGTTCCCTCCCCTCACATCCCTCCACAGATTCACCATGTTGATCAGGTTCAGCGGCCCGTGCACGACCAGATCGCGATGTCCCTCAACCTCCCGACACCACTCGCGATTGTAGTGGATCTTGTGCGCGTTGAACGTCAGCGCCGAGAAGCGGAAGAGCGTCACGGGCGTCTGCACGAAATCCCGCACGTACTTGCCTTCGGGCAGCGGCACCTCGATCGGCTTGGACGCTGGCGCCTGCGGGGTCGTGATCTCAGGGCGGAAGATCCAATTCCTAGACGCCGCAAATCCAAAGTGTCAGCAAAAAGAAGAAAAAAAAAAGTCCCACGGCCACAAGCAAGCAGACGCCAGCCCCGACATACATACCTCTTATCGACCAGCGCCACGCCATGCTCGTTCTCAAACGTCTTCTCCACGCCAACCACCACCATCTCCTCGCCGGCCCGCGTCTTCTTCCCCACCGCCGACAGCAGCCTTGTCGTCTCCACGACCTCCTGTCCTACGCTTAGCCCGCGCTCCGCATCGTCGCACCACTCCAGCTCGCCCCCGGCCCACATGCGCCGCGTGAACGGCCGCGGCGGGTTGAACGTCGTGTCTGTGCCGTCGCGGCCCAGGAGCTCCTCGGGCTGCGCCGGCGTGAAGTACGCCAGGTGGTAGCATGGCGGGAGGAGCGTGCCGTGGGCGGGCAGCGACGCGGCGAGCTCGGCCCGCGAGAGCGTCGCGGAGAAGCGCTGCAGTTGGTTGGCGTCTAGGAACTGGGTTTGCTTGAGCGGTGGGAGGGTTTGCGTTTTAGTGAGGAATTGGGATGCGATGGAGGTCGCGCTGGGCGTGGAGGAGACGCTGCTGTAGAGTCGGCGGAGCGTAAGAGACATGGTTGAGCTGCTGGGAGGGAGACATGGTGAGAGGTGTTGTCGCGAGAGGGTGAGGAAAGTCGGAGTTGGTGATGCGCGGATCCCCGTCGAGCTTAGAAGGGACGTCGGCCCCTGGGCGTTTCCGGAGCTTATACCCGAACCCCGCAGAAGATGACCGGGGATTTCGGATATCGGCAGTCGGATGTCGCTACCCCACCATGATATGTACTAAAGTCACCACCGGAAATTCAATTCCAGAGGCACGGTGCTTGATCATACGCAACATTTACTTGCAACTCTCAGAACTCGCTATTATACACAATCCAGGTCCATAACCAACCAATCCGACTCCCTTCGCATGAAACCTTCCCCCAGTGTCAACGAGACTTCCTGTACCGTTTATTATATAATCGGCCGTTATGAAACTCCTCAACGCCATCATAATGCCAATCGTGTCTCCATAACGAAGTCGTGAAGTTTGCTACCAATCTGGCATTTATGATGCCTCAACGCTAGCCATGACCACATCCCTAGTCTCGCGACTCTCTTCCATCCTCTTGATTAGCTCCCTTTCTTTTGGGGATTTCGGGCTTGCATCCTATTACAGAAATATCAGCAAAGTTCCAAGTGGAATGTATGTGAGGTAGAACTTACAATTCCCAGCAGTGCTGAAATGCTCGTGGCACTAGTTGGCTTGTTTTCAGGGGCTGGAGTCACGGGCTTCGGTGCTGGCTGCGCGCTGTATGCTTGATAACTGGTAGCAGTATGGGTGTCTGGAGAGGTGCATGGTGTGGGTGGACCGTCGTTCACGATTCCTCGCTTCCATGCTTCCTCCAAGAGGAATGGGGATGCAGATCCGCCATATTCTTTTGCGATAAGGCCCCAGAACGCTGCTCTGTGAATTTCATATATGTGGCGGAGGCGTTCCTTGTCCACATTGGATATGTTTGTTGGGGTCACGACCACGTCGCAGTCCAAACGCAGGGGATGACTTAAGGTAGCGTCAGATGCAGGACGGCAAGGAGGGGAGGATTTGGGAAGGATAGCAACTGGCTGGCTGATGTTTCTGGGAGGGCTGTTCGAAGTAGAGCGCGAGAGCAGTGTACTAGCGGAGGGGAGCAGCGTGTGGGCCGGCGTCTGAGGAGTGTACGTATGCGTAGGTGGGGAGTCGATTCGCATATTCGCAGCTTCGTGAACGGGAGACGGTATGGAGACTGGTACTGGCAGGATGGGTGATTGAGAAGCAGAACCGGGGCTAGACGAACTGGTGGAATTGGTCCGCTTGCGGCGATTACTACCATGAGAGAGCTGATGATAGTGGAGGCGACAAGCCAGCTCGGTCTTTTTCAAGTGCGCGGCGATGTGCTTATAGGGCATCTTCTGGAGACGAGTTTGGAGAAGATAGACTTCCTATAGACGCTGTTAAAAGAGAATCAAGCCTGCAAGCAAAATATATCCGTACCTCATCCTCACTCCAAGCTCTGCCTCCTCCTGTGGACGATGGCTTCCGGCTCTTCTGGACGCCATATTCATGTCGGTGAGTCGCATCAATTTGGGGGTAGTTGGTTGGTGCCGCGAGGGCAGAGGTATTCATCTGATGCATTGATGAAGGCATTGCGGTCATTGATCATCAACAACGAGTACTCGTTGCAGGTAAAAAGTATCTTGATGTCCAAAAGCTTGCTTGATCCGGAAAGTGGTGATGAATAGAACTGTCAAACGAGGCAGTCTAGAGCTGCTGCACAAGAGAACAATTCCTGCCAAATGTGGTGAAGAGAAAGATGAAATAAAGTTTTAATAGTGTGATAAACTACAGTAAGGAATGTAAGCAGCCAAGCCAGTTGGACAATGAAGGAAAGTGATAATTAGCTGCGGAAGAGGGTAGTCGACTTCGAGTGCAGGAGGCGAGAAAGAAAGAGAGAATAAGAGAAGAGCGCAGCCTAGCTGGATCATATATGAAGCATTGCCTTGCATAGGATCGTCTGGTGTAGGTTGGTTGTCATGGGAGCTCACGGCCGTGCACTTCTCTCTGGGGTTGGACGGCCATGCTAGCCCTGAGATTCGCGTGGGACGGCTGGTGTTTAACAGTTTCTGATTGAGCATGGTTTGGTTGCACATCTCGATAGAGATACACACTTCGTCCCGTTTCTGTATCATGCTCACGTTTCTCAGGGACTGGGGTAGAGTCGGATTTGCGTTTGAAGTTCCAGGTGGGTCTGCCGTCTCCGAGATCTATAACACAAGAAATTGCAGCCTCATCCCATTTCTATCAACTCTTCCAGCTCTTCGATGGTATGATACTCCGCAATTTGCGTCATATAGAAGAGAAGAGCTTCATTGATTGAAGCTCGTATGCTCTGTATATTCGCAAGCAATTGAAAAATGTACCGTCATTCAGATTGAATGTTTTCGCAGGGTGGCCTAATATGGGGGCTGTTTGTTGTGTCTCTGGTTGGATATCCGAAACTTGGGATGTCCAGAAGAGGCCCCTGTCGGAAACGCAGCGAGGCCCGCATCTTCAAGGAACCCTCGAGCCATCTCTTAGGGCTTAATTTGAGATCCGACCAGATCACTGGGTTAACGGTGGACGTTGACACTACGTTCTCATTGATCAGATGGAAACGGCCAGAGGCTTGCACCAAACAAGAGCCCCGCTTGGCGGATCGCCCATATCTTGAGTGGCGGAAATAGCGCCCTTCGTTTCGAAAACGGAAACTTTCGAAGCAGAATAGAAACAAGACCAAGATAATAATAGGCATTGCATGGTCTGGGCCAGCCTGCCGCCAATATTCCAGAATAGCAACAACAATAGTCTCGAAAGAAAGTGGACAACTAGACTTTATCATGATATATGACTTTTCATGATATCCACAGAAGATCTGGACTAGAGCGGCCAGCGACAAAGCAGCAGCAGAGGGAAGGAGAGAAATTACTTGATGAGCGACCGATTAGCTCGAGGTACAGTTGACATTTTGTCCTGTTAGACCTGTTTGCTGTAGGGACGGGATAGCCTTCGGGAGAGCAAACAAGAGAATTCCTGCTTGCTTACATAGGATACAAATTTTGATGTCGTCCCTGTCATGGTCTGGCGGAGAGGATGTAGCGGGGAAGCAGAGAGGAGGGAATGGTGAACCTATTGTTGGATCTGACTTTCCCAGGAGGAATCAGAAGGCTGCTGCAGACTTGACAGCCACAAATGTGCCAATGGTGCAATTAGATGATGAACGGGAGGGATGAGGGATGAAGGGGATCAAAAGATGGCACGGTCGGGCGTCTTCAAACACCAGTCGTTGGATGCGCCTGGGGTAGGAGAGCCCTCGAGACCGCCACAGTCTGAGATATTCACTGTCGCATGAATCGAGGAAAGGATCGCGACTGTTTGAACTTTGAAGGACCAGGAAGTGCTGATTCATGCGCTCTGTCTTGTCTTTGCTCTTGGGGGATGGGAATATTTGTTGTGGCGTCTGGACCCGTCAATTGAAATATTTCCTGTGGGTTTGTGTGTTGTGTCCGGAGACACATCTGATGTTTCTACCTTACTTTAGGATAACGAGCACCTTCCAATTGCCGATGCACTGATGAGAAACATGCCTCGACTAGATCAATATTGGTGGTATTCTTCCCGGTTTTTTTAGACGCCAATACAGGTACACAGCAGTAGGAGCAGATGGTCGTCGTCACTTTTGAGACAGGTCTCGACTTGCCAGAGCCGCTACACCGTGGAGCAGCCCCAACAGCCGTGATAAAAGTCTATCCTTATTGTGGTTGAGAGGGATTTTTGAGTTGTGTCTATTCTTGAAAGGGCCTCGCCATCGCTGTCAGAATGAGACAAGAAATCTCTTTTCCCCTAGCTTTTATTTTATTTTCCTTGTTTTCCCCTTCCCAACTCAACTAACATTGCTTGCATGAAGGTCGGATGAAGCTCATTCCACTACACCCATCCATCACTTCCTGGGGAAGCCCATGGGTACTTGGGACTTAGTCACGGGTCGCCCGGAATCTCATCGGGATGGCTATGAACTTATGAAGGGATGAGGCCATACATAATACATACCTTCTATAACCGCTATCCCAGAGCCTTTGAGCGAATTGTACAGGGTCAATCTGCAAAGCGCCAGATGCGACAACTATATTGCGCACTATCTGACATGATATAGGCGCCATGATATATCTCCTCTCAGGTGCAAGCCTCAGAGAGAACGTGATCTTCCTCCCCGTTGGTGGCGGTTGGTGGCCCGGGTCTTCGGCTGGGGAGGTTGGGGTCTGCAACGACTGATGAAGCTACTTGGAGGCACAATGCGAACCCAGGAGTCCGAGAAACCATGGTACATGGTACATGGCACGCGGTACACACTTGCCAGTTCGTACATACGGCACAGGACTACTGTATGTACATCGCCCGTTTGATGCTCGAATACGAAAGGCGGAAGAGCGCGGCAAGAGAAGATTGCGGGGTACATACAGGATACACACAAAGGAGGAAGAAGGCCAACACTCGAGATGTAGGTTGTAGGTACTGTGCTTGCGCGCGGTGGAAACTCGAGAGGCTCTGGGCAGGAGCCGGACATACCTCCGTACAACCGACCTTTCGTGCTCTCAATAGTGAGACATACTACTCTGTAGGGTAAGGTACTGCAGGATAAACTCCAGATGGAAGAAATAAGGTCATGTACTAGTCATCGACAGACAGCTCTCTGTCAAAATGTCAAGTTCCAACCGGTAGGATTCTTAGCACCGTACCGGATGGGAGTAGCGCAAGCGTACACAGAGACAGGACATGCACAGAGCACAGGACAGCGCGATCACCACGGATGGGTCCACGGATGGCGGTCCCTGGGGCCCGGGGAGGCCTGGACCCCCTGAGGGCTGAAGGATGGTGGTGTGTGCGGTACGGAGTAGTGTACGTTCTGGGTCTTGGGTGCTGCGATAGGAGTAGGTATAGTATATCCTGAGTATTATCAACGTACGGGGGGGGGAATTGTGATTCTTATTCTTGCCTTATTATCGCTGCATGGTCACGTTGATTGTGATAAGTAAATATATAAATAATTAATGAATTAAATAAGGTAAGTCAGAATCAGAATCAAAATATATATCCAGAATAATACAAACATATACCCAGATACAGCGTATACCCCGCGCCGACGAGGCATTTCCACAGCGCCCACACTGGCCAGGCGAATCCCCGGCACAAACGCCGCATCCACAATTCTCACTCGAGTCCCGGACCCTGGGCTCGACTTCAGCACTAGGCTCTTTCCGGCCCCCCTGTGGTTACACAAGTCTTATTGGCTGTTTTATACCTGGATTCTACCGTCTCTGTTGAGTGTTGACTTGTGATTTCTCTTCCCTTTCCAGGTTTCTCTGCGTCTTGTTCAGGATACCCTATTCTTCGTGATCGACGACTTCTCATTTTGGGGTGTGCGAGGGGGAAAGGGGGGGTGCGCGGAGGGAAGGGCTGATTGATATTGTCTGTCCAGAAGGGGGGGGGGGGGGGGGCCAAAAGCAAAACCAAAAGAAGGAAAATAGGAGGCGATAACGAATAATAAAGTTTCCATGGAGATGGCCGCTCCACTCGCCGTGGATGAATGGGCCATAGAAACAATATCTGCTTCCGCTATCACACATTCATTGCCTTGTTCTCGCGCGACCTACCGCTATCGCGACCTCTTTTTCTCCTTCTCCCCACACTGCCTGGCCGGCGATTGCGAGTCGTGCCCGTTCACGCGTTGTGCCAAGATCATCGCCAGCTGCCACCGGCCCCCCCGACAGTCCTACCTGCAGGGAAGGCATGTCAGCCCTGTTGACCACTTCCCCATTTCCTCGATCATTTGAGATCGTAAGTACTCTGTACCTCGCCCCAGCCTCGACCCGGGATTCCTGGCCCAGTCCACACGCGAGGAGCAGCGGCTCCTACCCTTTGCGCCCACAACACGTTGATCTTTCTCCCTCACTTTCTTAATTGTACCCACGACACCCGCATCTGCGCCATCACGTCTACGCCTCGGTTCCAATGTCGAGACGTCCAGACAGACAAGAACTCGACTTCACTTCAGGAATCCCGCCTTACTTCGCCTTCCCAAGCCCAGCTGACAACTCTGTGAAGCCCGAAAGCTTATCGCCGACAGGTGCGCGGAACAAGCGTCCTGCGCCAGGCCCCGGCACCGCAACGTTCACAATGTCAGGTCTAGGTCCCGGCATGGCGTCGTCCTCAATGGCGTCGCCTTCAATGGTGTCGCCCTCAATGGCCTCGTCTTCAGCAGGCGCGGGTGAACCAAGCATGGCCTCTGCCCCCATGGAGCCGCCCCCAAAGAAGAGTCGGACAAATACTCCATGGACCCCTGCTGAAGAGCAGAGGCTGAAGAACATGAGAGACGCAGGAAATAGCTGGGCGGAGATCGCAAAGGTGAGGTTGACTTACTCGGAGGCTCAGTTCGCACAGGGATCAGGACTGAGACTCCGTGACAGACATTTCCAAGCAGAACCGAGGGCAGCGTCAAGAAGCACTGGTATAAGGTACGATCCCCCTGCTACGGCAAGTAGTTGAGCTCGGCACTAATGGAGACACAGGATATGCATTATGCCGAGTTTGCAGAGGACGAGGTACGCAACCTGCTGAGCCTCTTCCTTGCACTGATTACTGATTGATGCTCTCTAGAGCCAGGCCCTCCTCAACGCCATCAAAGAATACGAGACGAATAAGTGGAAAGTGATCGGTGCGAAAGTTGGCAAGCCTGCGAAGGTTCGAGGTCTCCGGAACGCTACATGAACGATGTGTTTCGCTGACTATTAGCGCAGGCATGCGAGCAGTACGCTAAAGAACATTTCGCTGGCCGCATATAATGTAGGGCAGTGTGGCACAGTTCTGGAAGCCATCCTGTCCTCTGGGACCGACGTTTCCACCGCACGCCCATCAGTATGCGCGTATCCACTACCGCCGGCGACAACTCCGCCATCCCTCCTATTTTTGACCGTGGATACCCTCAAGTTTCTCGCTTTTTTTTAGAGCATCGTCGTTGAGCATTATTGTGGGGCCGCATGGCGCAGGCGGAATGCCCTCTGATACATGTTCGGTATATGCTCGGTCTATCATGCTCATTTCCAATTCAAAAGTTTCATTTCTACGGTGTGCTTCTCCTGTTACGGATTTTTCTCCTAATTTTATGGTTCTACGAGGAATGGATGGACGGATACCAGGCGCACACGGCATCTCTGGTCAGAAAGCTGGATTGGGATTCGGGATTTTATTGCTCGACGTGGGCAAGGACAGGAGAGGAAGGTCGAAATAACGTGTGCAGTAAATGTGCAAAGGGGTCCCTTTGTATTCGAATGATGGGCCGCAGTTTTACACCAACTTTCTTAGAGTGGCTATGAACTACCAACTTGAGGACCAATCCTTTGTGTGCTTTCGTCCGAACGTATGTGAGTGAACGGGCTTAGTGGCAACGCCCACGCGGATTTGATTTGATATCGGAACCAAGGAGACACGTCGCGATGAAGAAGGGGGACTTGGGAAGGGGCTCTGTCCAGAGGTAAGTTGTTGCAACAGTTGGCGACAACCTGCGATGTCATACGAACGACGTACTCGGGGAAGGACAGGCCAGCATGTGGGCAGCCGTGCTAACAAGGAACAAGGGAAAAAGGTGTGCGGTCGAGCCTCGAGGGCAGCCTTCGACTCTTCGGCTTCGGCCTGTGCACGCGGTCCAAGGGGGGCGAGGCTCTCGGGACTTGTTCCTCTATCCGAAGGGGATCATGCCGATCGCGTGCGTACCGACGACGTCCATTGGGCACAGGTACCTATATCATAGGATATAATAGTATCGGTGCCGTACTGAGAGAGGAGCCTCTGCTCAGCACGTCCACCCTTCACATTCCTTGTTGTGACAGCACGCCCTGGTATGTTGTTCGTGATGACTTACCAGCGCTCGTCGCGAAGGGCCAGGTTTAACTACTTCCAAGGCTCTAAGGCTCTAAGCATTCCAGAGACCCACTCCGTACGCATCCACTCCGCACACAATGCACATCCACTCCGCACACCAGACACAGGAATCTCGTCCGGAGTCCCATAGATAGATGGTTACGTTAGGTAAGCGGGGCTCCAAGGCCCAATCACATATACCAAATTCGCGAATTATTACCGTAATGCCTTGTTATTTGCTCTCTTTTTGCTTTTTCGTTGCTGGATCTATCTCGGTGGCTGAAGGTTCCAGCCCTTCTGATTCCACTCACCAAGCGTCAAGCGTCAATCGCTCTTTACGTGGGCTGGCAATCCCCAGAATCCAGATCTCAAAGCCAAAGAACTGCCGTACATCGCATTCTGCTGGCCCCGCACCTGTGCAGTGAAGTACATGCGCAAACCACTCGAGCATCTCATTTCGCAAGTGTGAACCCAATGCTACGGTCGTAACGGCTCGTGAAGCGTAATACGAGAGGCCTTTGCATTCTTCGGCAATCTCGCTGGACGGCGCGCTGCGTGCGTAAGGTCAGGTAAACATTACCGCGTATAATTACCTCCGGAAGGTGCGTTACGGTATTCCTGTCCTGAGTGATTACCGTGTGTTCAGACTTCTCTGCCCCGGATCAGGCATAGCGCTGTCGTAATAATAGCCCGCGCCCCAGGAGATGGCGCGCTCTGATTGGCCCGGTTCCTCGGAACCCCCAGAGGCCACGCACATCCCCCCCAGAAGGGGCTAGAGCAGTCCAACCCCTGTTTCCACTCCAGAAGGTCTCCTCCAAGTTCCAACGCCGAACTTTCCCATCTCCTTCTCCTCCTCTTCTCTTTCTCCTCTTTTCTTCTTTTCCATCCCCCCTGCTCGACAACACCATCACCCCGTCGACAACCTTTTTCTCTTTCTCTCGACTCGACGCCTCTCCCAGCGCGCCGACGTCCCCTTTTAGATCGGCATTGCCTACCACATTCGCTATTTTTCGCTCATATCTTCTACTAATCTCCTTTCCCCGTGGACGGAACGCGACTCCCGAGACCTCCACGATCTTTCTTATATCAAGTGTTTTGCCCATTGACGCCAACCAACCACGACCCGCAAAGCAATCATCAACAGGGCCGCATACGTCGAGAGACACTTCCGCTCAACTCAACAGGACCTTTGTTGCCTGTAACCGTCGCTTCCGGTTGATCTCTTGGATTGATTATCCGCCCTTCTCTCGTTACCTCGAGGATCGTATCGCCAATCGCTCGATTCGGTCTTCGGTGGTCTTCAATCCCCATTTCATCTTCAACGCTCGTTCACAATGGTTCGAACATCAATATTCGTGACCGCTTTGGCCATCGCGTCCACGGCCTTTGCGCAACAAACCTGTGACCTTAACACCAAGTGTCCAGAGGAAGCACCCTGCTGCTCTCGTAAGTGACCATCCGCCTCGGGTGTCGTCTTGCCTGAGCTAACAAACTTCTTTTCCAGAGTACGGACAATGTGGTGTTGGAGCTTACTGCCTGGGTGGCTGCGATCCTCGTTCGTCTTTCTCCCTTGACTCATGCACGCCCGAACCGGTTTGCCAGAGCAAGACATACGACTTCACCAGCATGGACCGCATTACCTCCAAGACCAAGTACCTTGGAGATGCCTCCAAGACTGACTGGGTCATGGATGGTGATGCTGTCATATATGATAACAACGTTCTGTTGACGATGGCTCCCGGAACAGTGGGAACCCTGTTGGCAAGCTCGACCTATATGTGGTACGGAAACGTGAAGGCAACATTCAAGACCAGCAGAGGTGCAGGTGTTGTCACTGCCTTCATTTTGCTCTCGGATGTCAAGGACGAAATCGATTACGAGTTTGTCGGAGCTGCTTTGGATACTGCTCAATCCAACTACTACTTCCAGGGCATTCCTGACTGTGAGTGCCGAAATGAAACCCTTAGGCGAGATGGAGCTAATTTGGCCCAGATAACAATGAACTCAACATCAGTCTTTCAGACACTTTCGAAAACTACCACACTTACGAAATTGACTGGACTCCGGACTCGATCACCTGGAGCGTAGACGGACAAGTCGGCCGCGTTAAGCAGCGCACTGATACCTGGAATGCCACTTCCAATCAATGGATGTTCCCTCAGACTCCCGCTCGTGTCCAGCTCTCCCTCTGGCCCGGTGGACTTGCCTCCAATGGTCAAGGTACCATCGACTGGGCAGGAGGATTAGTTGACTGGAACTCTCCGCTTATGACTAACGGATACTACTATGCAACCTTCGAATCCGTGACTATCTCTTGCTACAATGCAACTTCTTCTCTCGGCACTAACACTGGTGTATCTTACACCTATGACAATGCTGCCGGTACCAACAACACCGTAGTTGCTGGTGACAAGCCCACGGTTCTCAAGTCCCTCCTCGCCACGGGTACCAATATGTCTATCGAAGAACCATCTGCTGCTGCATCATCATCCACATCCTCCAGCTCATCCAAAGGCTCATCCTCCAAGTCAGCTTCCAGCACTAAGCCATCGGCCACCGTACAGTCAATCCCAGGTCTCACCGGCGCCGGCCCGGGAGCTGACCCTCACGCTGGAGGGGACAGTTCCAGCTCTAGCTCTAGCTCCAGCTCCAGCTCCTCCGACTCAAGCTCCAGCTCCACTCAGTCTGCGAGCGGCAGCTCCTCCACTGATGGTAGCACCAGCGGATTCAGCCAAGGAGGCTCCAACTCCGGCTCAAGCTCTAGCTCCAGCCACAGCTCCAGCGGTGCAGACAAGCTCGGCGCGACTCAAGAGAAAGTGTTGCAGGGTAGCCTGTTCGCTGGTATCGTGGCAATGGTTGCCATGGTCGTTCTGTGAGAGTAACCAGCTGTCTGACGCTGGATCTGGGCGGGATCGATCTTGCATTTTCGGGTGAGCATTGCGTTTGTATCCTGTATGTTATGAATCTTTTATTTACCTAATGGCGTTGGCCATCTATTCCTTCTTGAAAAAACCACCACTTTTGGACTTTCAAACAAATGGGGGGGTTTGAGATGAGAAGATTTGGCGGAACTGCTTCTTGTACAAACTTTTTCTGTCGCTGGGAATACATAGCATTGCGGAGGAGCCGAAGATTGTGGGACATTTTTTTCCAAATGAGAAATATGCATGTAGGTAGCTGAGAAATATACGAAATCTAAAGAAACGGCCACTGCAGCACTAGCCCTTGATGCTTCTTGAACTGGGTGAGAGATGTATTATCCCAGAAAAGAACACAACACGCGGTCCGAGTCGACTCTTCCCTAAATGAGCATCGGTCAACACGCAAAGAGAGAGGCCAACGCGTTCCTTGTTAATTTAAATTGATGTACAAATAAATCCTGGGGTAACTAACTATTTTCTCTGCACCTCTACAAATAAAGCTACCCTAGTGATACCCGATCTCAAATCCGGGATTCATCACAGAAGCCCAAGGATATATCTTATCTACCTGTACTGTAGATGTTAGATAGGTACCCATCTAAACCACCTGACTCCATGACGCCACCGGTAATAAATAAATACCTCCCTCCATGCAACAATAATGGCTCAGGACGGGATACATGGTAAACAGAACAAAGAAATCCCTAAAGAAACCCTCTTTCTCTTTCTAGGTACTTATGGAGGGGGGTACATATAGTCAACTCCGCCAGATCCCTAACTAACTCTCCATAACCATGAACACGGTGCCCCCGATAGCACTGCTCAAGACTGCGAAGGTCATCAACGCCGCGCCCACCTTCTCCTTCGTCGTCACGGGTGTCGTATCGAACGTCGGCGTCGCACTCGTGGTCCCGATCCCGGCTGATGGGTTCCCCTGGCTTGTGCCGCCCGTGCTGTTCGTCACCGGCGCGACGACCTTCTGGCCCGGGACCTGGATCAGCGAGGATTGGATGGCGCCCAGCGCGCTCATCTGCTGGCCGATACCGAACGAGCCGTCGTTCGTCCCGGTCGTCCATTTGGAGCCACATTGGGTCCCGCTGTTGCCCCCGTTGCATATCTTCGCCGCTGCGCGCGCGGAAGTGGCTAGGAGGGGCGCGATCTGGTTGTAGGTGAACGGTGCTAGAGTGGCGGTTGCGGCGAGCCAGGAGGAGAAGTAGGTTTTGAAGGAGAGCTGGTCAGTGTCACATGTGTTGGCACTCTCGCAGGCTTGCTCCTGCATTATTCCGTTGTCGAAGAATATGTGGGAAGCGTTCAGGATGCCTTCGGTGCGTTCTTCCCAGATAGCATTGCCCTTGGTCTTTCTAAAGTCAGTTTCCGAAACACCATATATGTAGATGACACATACGTAATTAAACATATTCGCGGCGCCGTGCAGGTAGATACCAGCATTATATGTCCATTGAAGTTTATCGATGGATGTGCAATTTTGTAAATCTGAAGCTCCGTCAAAGACATTGTAAGAGGCATCAATTAAACCAGTCGAAGTCTCCCAGTCCCATACCTTTTGGGCCCACTGCGCGTAGGTATCGTTTCCAGTATATCTTGCTAGTCTCGCACCCAGATTGAACAAGCAGCCATTTGCAATGCTGTTCTTGTACGTAAACCCGTTGTTAAATGTAAATATTTGCCAGCGGAGGCCGCCACCGCACGTTGTCTCATCCCATCGAGAGGCAAGTTCATTAAAGACCGCTTGTGCCAAGGCCAGCCATTGGGGTTGGTCAGCGGGTGGATTCTGGAAGTTCGTTTCAGCGGCTAACATTGCTGCCATGCCCCAAAACCCTTGATCATCGTTGCCTTCATCTTTGGTCTGATTTGCTGGCATATAGTCGTTATCCGCACCAACTTGAAAGAGTAATGCCTGCTGCACCACATCGTTGTAAGTCGAATCACCGGTATAGCGGAAATAATCCAATAAAGACATGAACATTCCGCCTCCTTCCCACCAGAAATATGGCTGTGGTAGTAGTCCGGGAGTACCTCCCTTGACTATGTTAGCTACACAGCTAGACAGAGAAGATGCGAGTATGGCAGACGTACGGTATCATTACCGTTGTAATATTTCATCATGTCGTAGGCAACGGTGCTGGCAGCACTCTTTATAGATGCTAGGAAGAGATCAAATCAGCATACCGCAGATTTTAGCCCTACTGCTGCCAGAAAAAGACTGCACGTACCTTCCGATGTTGGGTCGAGTGTAAGAGCAGCCGCCGTTTGAATAAGTAAAGACTGCCATAGCCAAGTGAAAAGATGCATTATGAGAAAGTAGGGATGAAATAATTATTGTTTGCAGCAGAAGAACAACGCAGGTTATCGAGGAGACCGATGATACTTTGCGATAAGTGCAAAGAATACGTGTAGGCAACGCCGAACGATGGAAAAGAAAATTAAATCAAGGCCCTGTCAAAGGTGCCGAGTAGAAACGAAATCAAGAATGACCACAGGTCATACGTTGATAATTTAGCCTGCCGGAGGGAATGCTGTGGTGTTGTGAGAAGAGAAATGCTTTTATCGCAAGCTCGCCAGCAGCTTGCTGTTGTAGGAAACGGCCAAAGACGGGACTGACACGTTCCTGGTCGGCGAGAGGCTGCTAGAAACGTGTAAGAAGATATAAGAATTGAAACGACTATACCTGTCCCATGGCCCATGTCGTGTACCTTCTGCACCAACACGAGCTGCTGGAGATGTCTTTCCAGGGGCTGTTGTCCCAGATCTGAGCTTTGAAACCCGCGCAGTCGCAATCGGGTCGGCCTGACACAGCGATTCACAGCGAGGGGTTCTAACTTTGTCCCATCGGTGGGGCATTTGCTCCAGCCCTCAGATGCCATGGTACACGGGGAAGTAAGATGTTCTTTCCAGAAAGCTTGGTCTGCTGTTGAAGTTGAATGGAGGGACGAACTGGTGATGACAATAGGTAAGTCGAACCCCTGCATCGCCTATTTACCCTAGTCAGGGCTAGTGACATAGGGGCAGCTTGCACGTGACACATTCTAGGTAAAGTAGATCATTGCATGGTTTCCGGAATTGTGTTCCCATATCCTGGTCATTAATATCTGAAGAATCGTCAGCTTGTACCTACTTCACTTCAAGGCAACCAGTTACGGTTGAAAACTGCAACTTGCTTCGCTGTTTATGCTATACGCTTGTACTATAGGTAAGGTGGGCTCCTGAATGATGCAAAGCCTCGACAACCCTGGAATCCGTCTCCTTCACGAGCTTATCTTCAAGTCCTTCATCTTTAAATCCACGTCCAAAGTGAACATCGCTCCATTCCATCCATACTCTCTGTTCAACCGCCAACCCCAAACCATCATATCTCGTAACGGGATCTTGTCATGTGGTTGATAGAAGTGGATACTAGGCCAGGTATTGGGGACAGTATGATTGAACTGCCATAGACCCCCTACTCATATGTCAGTACCACAATCTCATAGGGACAGATTCATTTGAGGCTTTGATCCGAAAAGTCAAAGGTGTGAGTCACTTGGAGTTTAGGCCTGTATCGAAGAATATTTTTAGGGAAGACTGACCATGTAACTTCTCCGCCTCGTAGCCCATGGCACTCATAGCGTAGACGAAATCTTTCCAAGGTGTATCTCCAACTGGGTCTGATTGTGATGCGGCATAGAACAACTTCTTGAAAGTTTTCAGAGCCCGACTGTTGACTTTCACGGTCTCCAGGGGGTCCTCTTCCTGCTCTGCAATTGGTTTCTTCAAGAAGAGATATTCAAACTCTTGAAAGAAGCATATTTTATTTTTCTGCAGGAATTGTTGACGAAAAGTCTCCCAGAACGTCTCCAAATTCTGCTCTGACAATTGCATTCTCTCTGTAGTAAGCTTTGTTCGAGGCTCATCTGATGGGTAAAAGAATTTTCCATCAAATGGAATTCCCACACTAGCAAGAGTTATATCGGGTACCCCCTGAAAGAGGTGGCCTTTCGAAGAAACGAAGATGTGGGCAATTTTGTCGATTTCCCCAATTTTCTTCTTTCCAATGAACTCAATCCCACTTGCCCAAGGCTGATAGATATCCAGTTCATGCAAAGCCCTGGCTACAATCCCTAAGTCGCCAATCATTCCTCCTAGATACGGCGATATCATTTCCTTGTGTTTTGGCTCAGCCTCGACCGCTCTCTCGAGCTCATCCATCACATCTAACAGGTTGAAGAAGCGTGCCTTAGTTCGGTCGTAAATTATCTCAAAGAAGCCCATTACAACGTCTTTCTTTATGGCATCCATGTCCGGCTTGAATCGTGCAAGGGGATCTGAATCTAGCCTGGAATGCATAGACCGATAAGCTGGGGAATACGGAACTTGTCGCGCTAGTTCGCTGATCAGTTGCTCTTCTGCTGTTTTAAGCGTATACCTTAGGGTCAATATTGCTTCCATGTACTCATCTGGTAACTTCTTTTTGGGGGAGATGACTTCGGAGTACTCTCTGTTGAGGTGTAAGACGTTTCTGAGCTGTATCCAGGCTAGGTCCCATATGAAAAGGTCTGCGTATGAAAACTGTATCAACTCGCTAATTATACAATCCCAAAAGGATGGCGAGTCTAGATGTGGGTGACGACCCCCGGATTCATCCAGCAACAACTCGAATCGATGCTGTCTTCTCTGTACCAATGCGTTGGCGAAGTAGCCTGGGTGCGTTCTCAGGGCACAAATATGGTCCTCAGCGGCAGCACGCCTGGCGAGGAACACCTTTTCAAGTCGGCCAAAATCAGAGTTAGTCGGAATGCGATATGGAGCTTCAGCAGCAATGACATTCAGTTTTGTCTTCGGGGCACTAGTGAAAGGACGGGTCGGTGCAGGATGGACAAATGATGTAGTCAGATCACTGAGGATGATTTGACAACACTTCACCAGAAATTTCATGATCCGCTGTTGTATCTCCAAGATCATCAGGCCTTTTACAGTGAGAAACCCGCTTCCGGAAATCAGTTGGTTGTGAGCTTCGGCATCCTCATCCCACGCAACAAGTCTCCCATACCGGATCGCTGTCCGCCCATCGAGGAACATGGTGTGGGATTTTAGCAGTGGGCCAGGAGGAATTGAATTGGTGCGACGTCCAAGAAAGCAAGACGCCCAATCTGCATAAACAAATGTTTGCGGTGCATGACGTCCTCGAGAATCAATGTAAAGCAGCAGGGTTCTTCCGTACGTCAGATCTTCGAGGTTGATTTGCGGCCACATATAAGCATCCTTGAACTGTGTCTTTCCTTGAACATACTTCCCAGAATTATTTTGGAGGAAAGCTTCAAAGTCTGGTCGATGAGAGAATGCCATGTTCGGCCAAGCTTCGAGTAAGATGAGTGCCTTGTGACCCCTTGTTTTACTTTCCCAACGCTTCCGCAACTTGTCTTCATAGTTTTCAACAACCTCCTTTAGTTGGGCGAAGTCGGAAAAGATTGACTTGGCTAGATCGTGGGCTAATTGTCGAACTTCAGCCACAGTTGGAGCTGGGGATGGTTTGGACGGGCCAAGGCCAGAGCTGAAGGGGAAACGTTGTGCATCAGCCCCAGAGGCTCCCGCATTCATGTGATCAGCCTGGACAATGTTCGGAGTAGTGTTGGTAGCCATGGCTCGACTCAGGGCCAGTTCTTGGAATCGTGTCAATGGCGGGGGCTGTTCAGGGTCAGAGCTAGGGTCGAGAGCCTCTGGAGGAGTCTCAGGGGTATTCTCATCCGATTCATCCCCGTTCATCTCGTCCGCCCAACTAAAACCACTAGATGTAGCTTTAGGCGCCATGTTGCGGGATGACTTAAACATATGGACGTCTGAATGAATGAAACGATTTTGGAAAAAGAAGATACCGCAGGCCTTTAGGACACTGCTCTGATTTGGGTTGTGGCTATCGATAAAGGTAGCACAGTAAAGAATGCAAAGCTGATTCAATTTAAACAATATTTGGGAGTATTCTTATTGTTTGGATCCCGGAGGTGGTGCAGATAGAAACAAAATTCATCAACATACCTACCAAACTTAATGTGCTTTAGCGTCTAACTCTGCTGGAACTGGGAAATAACTCATGACATACAGAGTATGGCAAGAACACTCATACGAAAGATGTAGCTTCATCCAAGTCCTTAGACGACTAATCTTCCCAGCCTGGAGCTCAATCGCATACTCAGAAGATGTAGCAGTCGTGACGTATGGGTGCTCTTCGCTTAACCCCTTTTCCCAAACAGCGGCCATGCGCCAGCCCAATCTTTCAAGAAACTGCTAGCTGTCCCGGTATACTGAAGCAGCGCCGGGGATTCACCTGCGAGTGTGCGAAGATTTGTATATTTTGCCATAGGAGCACCTGGTAGGATCGGACGTCTCTTTCTAGCCGCTCCATCAGCTCAAGATTTCCAGATTGACAAAGGGGGAATTTTGGGAGGATGAAACTATCTCATATTATAGACCCTTGTTCTGTTTCATTCGGGACAGAATCTTCGCCCTCCTCTTCTTCCTCGTCTAGATCCTCCAATGGGAAGGTTAATATCGCAGCTATTCCTCCCAATCCTTCCAACCTCTTCCCGCTCTCATGATCACTACTGAGGACTCTCGCGTCCCCGCCGTCCTCCTTGACTTTGTCTACCAGCGTCACCCAGCGCTTCCTCGTGCCTATCTCTTGGCTCCTAAAGAGGGCATTGCTAATGAGGAGCACGCCTCCACCTCGTCCAACCGCCCCTTTCTCCACAGCCTTCTCAACCTCACTAGGACCATACCATGCCCTTCCATCATCCTTGCGGAGCAGCGTCAGAAAATCATCCATTAAGCGGGTCTCCCGCGCATATTTTGTATCCTTTAGCTTAGCCAGAACTTCTGGACTCTTCAGCACCTCATTCAAACTGTGTAGATGCCCGGAACTCGAGTGTACCACGACAAAATTGCTCTTATTTGCTAATAAAGCCTTGTTTCCCGTCCGAGTTGCTTCATCAATGATGTATTTCTGAAAACCCGCAGCAGTGAATCCGGGACTTGCTAGCAGTAGCGGTCTTGGTTGGGTGATATCCACATGCCGCAACAGAGTTTCCAATGTAACTTGGTAAAACTTTGACAAGCCTTTGTCGTGATCGCTCGCTCTCCCCGATCGTTTTCTCGGTATGCCAGTCTCAACCCGTTGCTTCAACACAGTCTGGTACTCTGTGATCAGACAGATATTCGCCAATCCTTCCTGCATAACAACCGCAGGTACCGTTCCCTCTTTATCCTGCTTTATAGCCTCTTTCACCACGTCTAGAGACACCGAGTCCCATCCCTCGCTTTTTTCTAGCGTGAAATTCCTCTGTAACTCCAAATCGAGGGTATGATAGGCCCCGACCTTCACCCATTTGTTCTCTTCAGACACGCGCCCGCTGACATGCAGTTGCCCAGCCTGAGGATCAAAGTCGATGGATGTTACACGTATGGAGAGGGTTATGTGGACCCGAGTGGAGGATGTACTGCCGGTTGAGGATTCGGTCGTAACTCGACGGATGGCAGATGCGCGGAGTAGGTCGGTGGGTTGAATGAGATTATAGGCATGCCACTATTTTCTTGATCGTCAGCTTTGGCGGAACCATATGGAGTTATAAGAACTAACCATGTCTTCTGGTTCTTCAGGGTAGAGTGTGATAGAGCCTGAGCCATCTCGCTCGATATTTTGTTTGATAAGGCGCATGGTGACCGGCTTCTATTGCAGACAGAAACGGTAAATATTTAAAGACTGGGGTTATCCTCGCCCGCAGATTTTTCGAAGAAGGTTAGGCTTATTTCAAAGGGTTGTCGTCCGTACGTGTGTGGAAAAGGCATACGGGAATTCGCCTAGACATTGAACAGCTTCGTGGTGCGATGATACTGGTTAGGAGGAGTGGATCATAATAAATGAGTCCGAGAGAATAGAATTGAAGTACTTGGAGTCAACCAGGAATGCAAAGGACTAAGTTGGTCTCCACGACACATGGTGTTCTGCATTCCCAACTGATCGATCACCAGAAACAAAGTTGAACTTTTCCCCGCAAGTCACCTGACGTCAGTGTTGCTGTACCCCTCACTGCTGGAGAGTGGGATATTCTTTAACTCTTTATCTGCCCTTTATCTTCGGACGTCGTCCGACAATCCACACGGAACACAGCGTAGGTTACGATATATGTCTCTCTCCAACCGCCGTCGTCCTAGATTCTCTTCATTTCAGATTGTGCCGGGCAAGCGTTTCACGTTTCATCATCGCTAACCAACACTCGAGCAGTTGTGATTCTACATCTACAGAGTAGTATTGAGTGAGTGATTATAAAGCGTTTTTTTTCCTGGCCATCTTACCTCAGACTTATTCAGCTGGTGAAGCATCTACAGCCAAAGCAGTTGTAGCAAGGCTACAGTGAGGGGAAGCTGATTTACATCCGTCTAAAGCCGCTATCACCGATCAAAATGGATCAGGAGTCCCACTGGGCCACTAGGATCGTCATACGGCACTTCTTGAAAATAATGGGCTTGTCGTTCAGAACATCTTGTTGGTTGGATTGTGCAGGGTCGCTGTTGGTGAGGGGTATAAGAAGCAGCTTGCCAGCCTCTTCCAGCCTTTTTCTTTTGCACCTTGTTGAAGTCTCCCCCTTGGCTCCTCTAAAAGTAGATGGCCTTCAATTTGCTTTCTAACGCAAGAATATTCAGCAGAACAATGGCCAGCTTCACTATCAATTCCAAGGCGCGCCTGAACTCAGGCTATGAAATTCCAGTTTTAGGATTTGGTGTAGGTCAGCCTGTTCCAGATTTGCCTTGCCTTATACTTATGTGAACTAGGTCTATCAAACGTGTGTAATATCTGACTATCAGCTCTCGCGGCTATGCTAATGCCCTTTTGAAGACCGCCAGCCGAAACTGAGGGCCTAGTCGCCCACGCACTTGCGAAAGGATATCGTCATGTATGAATCTTTCTAACGCCCCACCCTGTTTTTGAACTAATATCCTATAGGTAGACTCCGCTGTTTTCTATCACAATGAAGGACCCTGCGCACAAGCTATTATGAAGTCTGGCATCCCACGTGGGGATATCTTCTTCACGAGCAAGATCCCACCCCGCACCCTGAGTTATGAGAACACGAAGGCACAAGTTGAGACCACACTGAAGGAAACCGGCCTCGATTATGTCGACCTGATGCTCATTCACGCCCCTTACGGGGGCCGCGAGGCTCGGAAAGGTACCTGGAAGGCTTTGGTAGAAGCAAAAGAGGAAGGCAAAATCCGCAGCATTGGAGTCAGCAACTATGGTGTTCGTCACCTTGACGAAATGGAGGGCTACATTAAGGAGTTGGAGGAGGAGAGGGGTAAAGGCAAAGGCGGAGTAATTGATGTGGGCCAATGGGAAATCCATCCTTGGCTCCCTCGCAGGGACATTGTGGAATGGTGCCAGAAGCGTGGCATTGTTGTGCAGGCCTATTCACCACTTGTGCGTGGCACACGCCTGGACGACCCGTTGCTGCAACCGTTGGTGAAGAAATATAACAAGACGGCAGCACAAGTCCTTCTGAGGTGGAGTCTACAGAAGGGTTTCGTGCCTCTACCAAAGAGTGTCACCCTGAGCAGGATTGAGGAAAATGCGGATCTTTTTGATTTTGAGCTTACGGCCGAGGAGATGAAGAGCTTGGAGACCTCAGAGTATTCTCCTTGCGCCTGGGACCCTACGGTAGAATTTGATTAAGAGACGTATCAGATAGACAGATATAGACCGTAGCGAGTTTTCAATTTGCATCGCTTGATTGTTGTAAAGGCCCTCGTTCCGCAACGACAGCTGTCCAACTACTTCTCATTCCTTTACTTATATCTTGAGCATATCGCAAACCCTTCTTGAGAGTTAAATCCAGGAACTTCGCTTCGTAAGACGCAAGCTGTTCAGAAGGGTACCGTCGTAACGCATAGAGCGCCACGCGACCTGAAAACAGACACTTTTGTGAGCTGGCAAGACCATATTCATCATTCATACAGTACTGTAGTGATAGCATAATGTCAGTTGCTAGATTGATTTGTCGAGAGCTACCGTGTTCGTTTTTGAGATGCTCAACGGTATTGCGTGTTGGGAGAGGAATCTCCTTTGGTGCTCGACTGCAAATGATATCAATCGTGGTGCTCAGAGCAAGCCTTAAAGCCCAGAAATCGAGCATGAGATGCGCATGGTAGAGACTAGCAAACAAAATCTCGGGCTCCTTTCCGGATGGTCCCGACTTCCAATACATTGGCGAAGGTGACTCTTTGAGCAGTTGGCGATACCAGTTCTGGAAGTCAGAGTCCAATTCGCAACATTGCTCTATGTACTTAGCTGCGGCAGCCGCATCGACTTCACCGGAATTCATGGATCGATCAAGTGTTTCAAGAAGCGCTGCCAAAGTATGTCCTTTGGCAAAAAGTTCTCCTTGTATGTCCCACCATTGGGTTTTGTCAATCAAGTCTTTGATAATTGATGCTTTGCGATACTGTAAACCCTTGACCATCTGATATTGTTCAGTTAAACTCCGGTGTAAGCCCTATCAATAAACTCACTGATGTATAAACGACGTTCTTTAGCAACGCCTTGGCTAATGGCGAGCTGTGTTGCCCTGGGCCCCGCCACGCAACAAGACGCTCGATGCCACTTATGTGATTCTCATGACCTTCTGTCGAATTGGTCGTTGACTCGAAAAGCTAGACTATGTCAACATCTCCGAATAGGACCCCAAGGGCCGGCATCTTCACCTCGTAGATGGACAAGATAAGGCAGGCAGCAAGTGTGTCATCTTTACCAGCGAGCTCCTGGGACTCGAGAGACCTATGGAGTGCTTTTAAGGCCAAACCATAGGTAGCGTTACCTTTCAAGATCAAATCTTGATCACGGTTAATTCTCCCGACACGGGAAACGCAAAGCGCACGGAGTGAGTACTCCAACGCTTTTCCTGGATTGTTGACGCGTATAGCCTCCCAGAGCCAAACTTGTGTCAAACCTGGTCCTACTTTTGGATTTGACGGAAGATAGCTTTCTATAAAAATATTTTGGAATTGGGCCTTTATTGCACTGGATGGATTCACTTGCAGCGGGGGCCGATATAGCGCCCGGTAGAGTTCGGGACGTGATTGTGATTGTTGTTGGAAAGTCCTCAGATCGTCCCCCGGGGGGACCTGTGGCGCATCATGCCGGGGTAATACTTCTTCAAGCCGGGATCTCTTCTGCCAGCCTTGAGCCGTTCGATTAAGGAAGACCGGGCCGCGCTTGTACCCTTCACACACTCTCCCACTCTGCATACATCGCACACAACTTGGCCTTTGTAGGTCACACTAGGACGACTTAGTGGAATGCAAGTAAAGTGGACTCATGAATTTGGGACTATCCTCACTTTGATCTTGCGCCTCCTGCAGGTGTGACAGCCTTTGGATTTGCCTGGGATCCCAACCATGATGCACGGAAGTTGGGAACTACTACCTACTTGGTAGTCCCAGAAAGGAACTAGACTGTATGCAATAAACTGGTCGTTCTGAAGAGCCCAAGGTTCACAACAACCAATCTTGAGGGCCTCAGACAAAATCTAGCCTCTCATGGCCGAAGGGGGCTGGCCATGACACCCAGGCAGGATACGGCGTAAATGACCGGCAGATCAGGGACAACTAATTAAGCTTAATCGTAGTATCGTAAGCACCTCGATGCTATACAGCGCGGGAGTGTCGCGGCCGGAATGCAGTAGTGAGACCAGTTAACTAGCACTGATCGCCACTACTCAAGACAAGAAGTTGATCAGGAAAAAAAGAGCCTAAACTGAATCTGGGTGCGATTCTGCGAGCAAATGATCAATCATATAATTGCATGGGTCGTACGCTGGTGAAGGGGTATCTGCACGCAAGGCTGCATACACCGTATAGGAGGTACAGATTCATTCATAGGTAGCACTGGCCATGACGTCTCTGGAGGGTTCTTTATCTTTAGCGAGTCGATGCTGCAATTATTCTGAGAGTCTACGACTGAAAGGAATGATTTCTTATGTCTGCTTGTAGCCTTGTACAAAGCTTTTGCTTTGGTTCGGGAGTTTTATGGTAAGCCTCGCGCTTGTGAATTAGCGACGCGATCATGTCGACCAATGTTCGCCAACATGGTCTACACCTCTCGACGGCGACGTCCTATGTATTACTCTTCGTTGCGACCATGCCGGGTCGGCAGCAAACCTTCGAGTTAATTCCAACCTCACTGGTGAGGTCAAATGGCCCAAAACCTCCTATGACCAGCAAGGCTGCCAAAAAGGCATACCTCAAGGCGAATCGAGGTCCTCGAATCTCTCGAGCCGAGCGACGAAGACTTGAACAAGAGGAGCTGGCAAGGCAGAAGAAGGAGTACGAGAAGGAACGAAATGCGAGGAAGGCGAGAGCTGCGAGAGAAAAGAAGGCCCAAAAGGAGCGGGAAGAGAGGGAGGCGCGGAAGAAGATGGGTATACCAGAGCCAAGCAAGTTCGTAAGAGCGAGTCAACCAACGATTTCACATTTCATTAGAAATGGTGCCAAGCGATTACGACAAGACATGGAGGCAGTAGCAGAGGAGTCAGATAGCACGGTAAATGAGGACCAATACAACGCCGACCCACCGGCAAAACACGCTGCTGTGGACGACAGTTCCGAGGACGAGTTTGGAGAGTTCCCCCCTCTTTCACAATCCGACCTACCTAAACTGCTTGACACCATTGGGAGCTCCATGGAGCCATTGAAGGAACAAGCAGAGGAGTCACAAGAGCTGCCGCGGAGGAGAGACACTGCCGACGAGGACGAATATCCCTTCGATGACGAGCATATGATTGCGGAGTTAGCAACGACTCAGCTTCTTTCAGAAGTAGCTGAGGCAGCCAGCAGATCTGATGGTCCACAGTCTCCCAGAAAATCGCCAAATCCACCGAATAGCGCTCCGCGATCAGTGGACCAAGAGGAAACTTCAAAGGCGAATGCGAAAGGGCCCGCGATACTGAAGCCTCAAGAAACAGGGCGACAAGTATTACAAGAGCGACCAGTGAACATCCTACCACAAACGAAAGCAAAAAAGTCTATATCCTTTGCATCTACGCCTCCAAACCGAATCTTTCCTGCTTCGACAGTCAACAGGACAAACATGCCCCCTTCAGCAACTCAGGCCTTCCTGGAAAACCACCTCGACGACTTCTTCCCAAGCCCAAGCCAAGAAGTTCGCGAACTGCTGGAAGACATTGACGACCTTCCAAGCAATACGCAAATTGCCAGAGAGCTCAGTCCGAGTAAGCCCGACGAAGAAGATCCATTCGCAGGAATGATCTTGACGCAGGACTTTGTCCTGTCGTCTCAAGACCTTCGCGAAATCACCACACCGAGTCAAGCAGCAGCACCGGAACGAGCTGATGAGTACGCCCCTTCTCCACCTCCCCATATTGCTTCAAAAGAGAAGCGTCGCTTCTTTGAAGAGAAGGAGGAGGATCTCGTACATGCGGCGATCCATGAAAGTAAAGTCACAGCAGAACAGGAGAACCAGCGGATGAACCCTCCGAAAACAGCGCCGGGGGCGACGAAGAGGACGTTTCAGCGGGTCCTGTCCGCTGCTACGGATTACGGGGATGAGGAGTTTAGTGCTGTCGAGGAGGAATTGTTGGCATTATTTTGATTAGGGTTGGTATATGTTTGTTGCATTGCTTGGTCTTGGGGCTGCCCATAGGAAAGTGAGCATTTTGACGTAACGGTATGGATGGCATTGGGAAAGGGCATGGAAAGGACGTATATACCATACCGGTGGGTTCTGGAACTTGGGGTAGGCTTTTGTGTATTATTTTGTACGATGCATTTGTTGGAGTACGGCAGCATATGGAGATACCCCGGCACCATTGATTTAGAAGGAAAGAAGCTCGGGACATTTGCAAGACATGATTATGTCTTCAAGATGGTTTGATGGTAGTCACAAATATGAACTTTGGCTTCATAAATTGTCTTGTAGGGGACACTCATGTCATTGACATTAGTTCATGCGAATCTATCTGGGGTATGGTGAATCGAAAAGGAAACAGCGCAATCAAAGCAGGGATCCCAACCGTCCAAGTAATGGAACGTGGAGTATCCGCTCTCATTCTAACCATCATATCCTTGCATTATCATCAAGTCATGAATCATCTTATCTATCCTCTTACGCAGTTCATCAACACCTCATTTCCATTAATGAGAGCAGGGTTCTTTGAAGCGATGAACTTCACAGTGTTGATAACCTTGTGCCGTGTGTCATCCTCCAATTGCTCGGCCGGCTCGCCCAAGACCGACGCAAAAATGGGAATGAGCTGTTGCGTGAGACCGACGATGGTGGGGTTCTCGTGTTCATCTACTCAATTAGCTTTCGAACCTTAATAGACATTTTGAAGTACTTACATAGGCCAGTGATGCAGTCGAAGATCGGCTTGTTCTCCTCATAGTCGTCCTTCAAAGGTAGCAAACCCACAAGGACAGGCATAATGGCATCCACTGGTACTTGATCTTGGTGCGCCATAATCATACGGCTAACGCAGCCACATGCATTATCAAGTGTCCTTGCCCGCTTAGTTTGGAGGAGGGGCTCGAGTTTGGACAGGATGGTGTTGTAGCTTGGGAGGTAGGAGGCAGAATCCGTTGAGTGGAAAACAAGCAAGCCCGTCGCGTATGCAGCGTTCGACTTCGTCTCAGGATCCTCGTCTGACAGTCTATGCAGAAGTAGCTTCAAAAGCACAGGAGTAAAAGGTGTAACACCTTCACCCATGCCCGCTGTGCATTCTGCAATGACCCCAACAGCCGTAGATCTTTCAAGGCTAGTCTGTGATGAAGCGAACTTCATAACTGGCTTTTGGAAGATCTTCCAAAGCTCCCCGAATTGGCTTCCCAGCGCACTAGACAGACCAATAACAACATCCAATGCAGTATCGATCACAAGCCAGTCATACTCGGATGATTCCTCGTCTTCCAAGCCTTCGTGGTCGTCCTCATCGCCAAGGTCTTGCTGGCAAGGGTGCGATCTTGTTATGATCGAAGCTAAGATCGACGTGCACCGCTCAGCGAATTTGTCTTGCGTCAGGATCGCAGGACCGCAGAGCTTCAGAGTAGCTGCAACATTTCGGTTGATGTCGGTGACCACAGCTCTAATGCCACCATCATTGTCAGCAAGCATCTTTCAAGAATGTATTATAAGTAACAAGATGTTTTTGAGATCAGAATGTTGATACGCGTTCGCAGCATTCGCAACTTGTGCGTCTGAGTGAGCTGGGTATAACGTAATGTTGTTCATCATTTCAAAAAGCAATCGGAAAATGTGGAAAAGTTCAACGTACCGATCAGGCTCATCCTCCCAAACCGAGAGAGTTGCAGTAGTAACAATCTCGCCCAGTTTAAGAACCTCCTCGGAGGGCTGGAACTTCAAAGGCAAACCAGGGGTCCACTTCTGGCCGGTGTGGTCCTCCATTAAAGCCCAGAGGCAAGCATAGGCTCGCCATAGCGTACCAATAGCTGCCTTTCGTACTCCCTCATAGTTGTGCTCAACCAAAGGCATCACGGTCTCGACAGCCTTCTGGAAGTAAGGGACAAAGTGCTTGCGAGTGTGAGAGATAACGTCGCCCAGAACCTCGACTGCGATCTCCTTTTCCAATGCAACAGCAGTGACGGCGGTGAGATCGTCCCAATCATCGTCGTCATCATCCTCCTCCATACCATCAACATCTTCTGAAGCATCAGCTGCGTTTGCAACCTTGATCTTCTTCCCCGCGATAACAACCTCCTGTCCGAGTAATTCTTTTGCCTCTTCACCTAATTCGACCTCAAGGTCTGACTCCTCCTGTTCCAAGCTTTCCATTAGACCTTTCACGACTCCCTCGAGGAATGGTGTGAATTCTTCTTGATAGACTTGGGCCAAGACGCTCCACAAGATATAGCTTGTCTCTCGTAATCGAGGATGTCCAAGGTGCAATGCTTCTTCACTTGCTTGCATCAATGGTTGAACGTACGGTTGGAAAGCGGCAGGACCGACTGCTTTGGCCATACTTCCCATAGCATCACAGACGGTGCCACGCAAATCAAGCTCCTCCTCACTGTCTTTCATTGTGACATATTCAGATAGAGCTTTCATGGTCGTCTCGAAGTACGGCAGGAAAGCATCCTCAGCAGAACCGGCAATAGATCCCATAGCACCTGCAGCACTTGCTTTGACGTTGAAATCTGGATGACTGAGTAATTGACCGAGACGAGGAATAAGCTCCGAGATATATGCGGTCATTGTTTCCTTGTCCATACCATCTGCAACGGAATCTAAGGCACCACAGGATGCCTTTAAGATAGCAAGATGCTTGAGTTGATCGGACTCATTAGATGCTTGCACGGAGGCCGAGTCAAGATTTCTGACCAATGCTGGAATCAGCTCCTGGTGGTGTTTGCACAGCTCCTCAGCTAGATCATCGGCCAATCTTGCAACACCATTCAAAGTAGCATTCCGGACACCAACGACCGGGTCATTGAGAAGCTTGAAAACCATGGGCATAAGACTGTCCAATTGTGTGGCAATGAAATCTGGAGCACCTTCCACACACATACCCACAGCCAGGATGCCTGCCTGCCGATACTTTGGCTGCTCGTTATTGACGAATTGCGGTAAGGCCTTGAGAAGGGGAACGATCACCTGTCTAGGCGGGAGACTGTTGGCAAGGAGATCCAAGAGGCCTAAGGCCGATTTGCTTGGAGTGACCTCATCGTCATCCTCGTCGTCATCATCAATTTCAGTTGCGATCTGCATACTCTTCAGTGTGAGAGTCTCTCCCATATCTTTGATGCCCTGGATCTTCATCTTCCGGTATCTGGCACATTGCATTAGGAAGGAAAGGGCTTGTGTCCGTGATTCGTCTGGAATATTCGTATTGGCTGCAATATCAATCATGAATGTCAAAAGATCGGCGAAGTGCTTGTTCATCAGAGCCGATTCGCAGCCCAAGAGGGTCTGGAAAACCTCGAAGGCTTGCATTGCTCTGTCCTCGTCTTGTTGGTCTACCGCAACCTTCAACACGGCAACCATGTCGGGAAAAGCTTGAACAAATCGGGCCAAGTTCTCCGGATCCTCATCAGGTTCTATCAACATCGCAACTCTGCTGAGGCAAAGCAGAGTGTTGATACGGACTTCTGCACTCTCTGGGTCCTTAATCGTCTTCTCGAATAGGGAGAAGAGATCGGAAAGCTTATCGGTGAATATATCACCGGCAGCCTCGAGAAGAGTGAACAATATGTAGACACCAACTTCCCGATGTGCGACTTGTTGTGAAGTGGAAGCCTGGGCAAGAACGCCCGGAAGGGAGGCCCACAATCCATCTTCGAGATCGATCTTGGCAATAGCAGAGATAACACGCGCAGCAGAATGGCGGACCAGGGCTCCTTGTTCATTCAAAGTAGTTTCCAAGAGCTTTTCTCGAATAGCTGGCTTTTGGTCTTCAGGTAAAGCAGTCCAGTGCTTTGGAACCAAGCGGAGGGCCTCAACAGCAGATTGCTGCCGGACTTCAGTCGCATCATGCGATGTTAGGATATGGAGGAGCCATAGAAGGGATTCAGGATGAGGGTAGTAGTTCTTTCGAAGTTCGGTGGTAGCAGCCTTGACCCTTTCGGTGTCAGCTGTGGGAGGAGGGGTTAGCAGTGTGAAATTGAGGACCATCATAGAGGGGACATACGGATTTGAATGCTCTGCAAGAGCTCAAGAAATTTTTGTTGATCCATGTTCACTTACTGTAGGCACCATATGATGCGAAGGTCAGTGTCGGGAGGAGTGGAAGAAATGTCCCTGAAGTTCAGGGCATTGAGTGTTTATATAGAGGGGCAGAGATTGTGGGAAATTTGGAAAAATAAAATAAAAAAGTTCGCGCAGGGATACGTGGTCGGCTTAGCGCGTGCCAGCCTTGCACACCAGGCAGATTTTCAAATTATTTTCCGGCGCCCTCTCACGTGCCACATCCGGCTGGCCCGGAGAATTTCGACCCCTTTTTCCCACAAGATACGCAGGATCAGGAAGTAAATGCATGATCATTGCTCATCGAGATATATACGATGAATGAAAGAAAGATTGTTGAAGAGAATGCTTTGACTTTGATGTCTAAGAACCAGGGATGAGGATGCCAGGTTCTGGCTCAAAGAGCAAAGAGCAACTAGCGGATGGTCGATGTTTTCTGGGTCTCGTCTTCCTCGAGAGCGAGAGGCATGTTCTATCAGTGTAGAAAAACGCGTGGAATGTCGTCTCAGTACGGCGTTTTGTGAACTTCCAGATTATTCTGTCCCTCAAACCTGTTCAGCTGCTACCTACCTCATTCTTGTTGCACAATTCAATGGGCGGACAATTTCGAGCTGTCTCCTAAGTCTAGGTACAACCGAAAAATCCCATTACATTTCGAATTTACCACGAGAAGTAACTCGATGCGTAATTTAAGATTGATATCAGGTTTTTGGAGAGGCCACAGTCAAGAGCCTCGCAGTGGTCGCATTATCAACGAATGGAAGAGACAGGTCTGGCGGTACTGCAGAGATACAGATATTCACAATGTTCCCACTGCATAGGGCACAATGAAAGATATGAGCAAACTCTCTTCTTCCAAATACTGGTTTCTCAGTCGACCTTTTGCAATATTGAGGGGATAGGCGTTGAATTCTTGAATTCTCTTTGATTTCTGATCAATGTGCCATTTGCATCTAATCTACTATGCACGAGACGACAGTAATATCTCAACGTGTCGTATAACCTCCATTGGCGAAAATGGTCTGGCCAGTGATCCATTGACCCTCTGTGCACAGGAATTTGACGATAGGGGCTATGTCCTTCACATCTGTCAAACGTCCGTCCAGTGCACTGCTCTTATGAAAGGCGACCGCTTCTGGTGATTCCTGGGGATAGAAGAACGCTGTGAAGTGGATCGCGTTAGCAAATGAATTTCTAGAGATACAGTGCTGGCTGAAACCACGATACTGGGAGACAAGTTCTTGAGTTTGTTACGATTATCATTTCGGTAATTGTGTTCGGATTTTGGAGCTTAGCAGTCCAGATACCAATAATCACTGAAACCGTTTTGATAATTGTAATATCTTCAAGGGTCTGTATTTCTTTCCGGTCGGATTTTCCTAGTGTAGCCTGGCTAAATGCACGGGAAAGGGAAATGAGTACTTACGGGTATCCATGGGCCCTGGTGCTATAGCATTGACGCTGACCCTCTTACTCATCAACTCTTTTGACACACCACGTGTGAAATGCTCAACCGGTGCCTTCGATCCAGCATATGAAGTGTAGAAGCCGGTGAAAGCTGCGAGCAGAGAAGTCACAATGGTAATCAATTTGCCGCCTTCCTTCACATGGATAGCCCCAGCTTTCAGAATGAAGAAGGCTGCTTTTGAGTTAATACTGAAACACTATTTAGTCTCTTGTTCGATAGAAGTTTGGGCCTGGAGCCATTGAAGAGGTAAGAGCTTACGCAAACATCTTGTCATACTCCGCTTCAGATATCTCAGTGATGGGCTTCTTCAAAACCATTCCAACTGTGTTGACCACGATGTCGATTCGGCCAAAGTCTCTTGATACATCCTGGAACAGCTTATCAACCGCAGTGGCAGTGGTCAAGTCGGCAGCATAAAAGACCACCTTGGTGCCCGGATACTTTTGCTTGAAAGTTTGCTCGAGTTTCACGGCATCATCTTTGGTCTTCGCAGAGTTGTAATGGAGCGCAAGGCTTGCACCGAGGGGAGCAAGTTCGAGAGCAATTTGAGCACCGAGGTTCTTTGCCCCGCCGGTTATCAGTGCGACTTGCCCCTTGAGAGACATGACAATGGATGAGTTTTTGTGTTGGGGGAGCAAGGAAAGAGTGACTTGTAGAGAGCTAGGAATTTCAGGAAACTTTCGCAATGGATTCGAGATATTTCACCGATGGTGGCAGGGAATGCGGGCACGGTGTGCCCCTTTTATAGGCAATCGAGGACACCAGCGAGCCATTGCCTGGCCGTGACGCAAACATATCAATACTCAGCGGGATTGGTCGACCTAATGTTGAAGGACGCTACGTACGAAGGTACTCAGGGAGATCTTGGGGGTCCTTTAAGAGGATATTCGTACTAGATCGAATTAGGAATATGCACAGTGATACGCCGCGCCGCGCCAATCTGTTTCGCGGAGACCCTTAGGTAGGCTTTAGCCTTTAGGTCCCTTACGGTGTGGCGGGCCCCCTCCACTCCACACGGCCGATGGGATCGGGAATCTCCCGCCGCTTATCGCAATGGACCACCTCCCTGGATCTGATTTCTGATAGACACCACTCCAGACTTCGCCCTCGTAGGCAACTTGGTTCTTAGCTGAACCTACCTTACCCATGTACTCATGCTGCTATGGATACTCCGCCACTGGGGATAGGCCAGTCATCGCCAATCACGACGTCAGCAACCACTCTTACTTGCTCGTATCCGGGCTTGAGCTTCATCACGGTCAACGATCCCAGCCAATCCAAACTTCCCGACCAGAGAAAGGCAGTCCGATCCCATGCTGCGTTCTACCAGCACCACAATGATAGGAAAACTCAACAGGCACACGGGACACAAGTATGCGAATCCACGCACGTATCTGTTGGCCAGCGGAAGCGCTCCCGGAGACGCAAACACAACGTCGCCGTCCCTCTTGAAACAGGTATATTGAGCCTTGCTCAAGAAGCTCAAGAACATCAATCTGACGAGAAGCAATCCAAGTCTTCCGACCAATGGCTCAGATTCATCGCAATTAACCTACCTTTTTCTCCGTGCAGCATGCTCGGTGAAGGCCGAGTTGATCCATTCAAAACATATCCTGTGCCGTGGGAGCCTTTTCTCCCCCTGTTAGTAGACCACTGTATGTGCTGCTTTAAAGCTTTTTTTTTTTTGTTATGATCATCGTCCGAAATTCGCACCCATTTGAAGATGTCAAAGTCATTCCAATGTACGAGCAGTGGCTGATAACTAATTCTAGATGTTGTTCACGTGGCTCAGGACATGCCAGAGCTAGATGAGCCGCAAAAGCCTGGCCTCCTCAGAACGCGATGGTTTCCATTCGTGTTGAGCGAAGCCGCGACGTTCCAAGTTATCATGTTACTCGCAGCATCTCACTATGCTTCGCTTCGGGAGCACAGCGGAGACGGGCCCAAACTCTTGCTCCTCAAATCCAAGGCGATATCTTCGATCAACAAGGCTCTTGACGTTATTGATAGTTCCACAAGCGATCAGCTGATCGGAGCCGTTGCAAAAATGGCAAGCTACGAGGCCATATATGGCGATCAATCGGCATTTGAAATGCATATGACAGGCCTGCTAAAAATGGTTCAACTTCGAGGGGGGCTGTCTTCGTTGGGTCTCGGTGGCTTATTGGCAAGGATTTGCATCTGGATTGACCGCAATTCTGCCTTCATTCATAATTCTCGCATACACTTCACCTCTGTTCCTGATGAGCTATCGGCCCAAGCAAATCCAAGTGGCTTTCTCGCCGCTTCTTGATGTGAAAGATTGCTAGTGCGAGTCATCTACCGCACATGGGCCCCGCCGGTACTTGCAGCAATAAGTGAGGGAAAGATAGTGAAAGGACCCTGTGGTATAGTGCTCGCACTTAACTATGTTTACTACCCAGTAAATTATATGGTGATATGGAGACCAAAGCAGGCACTGTCGATTTCTATCGCGTGGTTTTCTGTTCTTTCTCTACCTAGGTACCTTTGCCCTTCTTATCCAAAATTCTGGAGATGAAACATAGATCGGAAGAGCTGTGGCACATCTCGATTTCTTAGTCTCTAGGATACTGGCTGGCTATCTGGAAGAAAAGACCCGTCTGCATGCTCTCCATGAGCTTTGGGTGTCACAACATCCGATACAACCAGCCGCAAAATGCATGTAGCTGTGATCCAGTCTTGGCGGATCCGTATAACAAGCCCCCAAACTTCAAACTCAGCGCATTCAGGGCTGATAGGGAGAATAGCTCTCTGCAATGTCCGGCAAGCGTCCATATAAGTCATGAAAAACTGTACTAGCGGTCAAGCTGGAATCATGCGACCAATTGATGGTGAAGTGTTTGATCGGAGGCGAGGTCCAAGCGGTATGCAGGCTGTGGTTTTGACGAGGACTTGTTATTATCTACATATTGCTTATTGCTACATATGTCCTGTCAATCAAATATTATACGTGTAGATTCCCCACCATGGCAGTATTGTCGCCGTCTTGCCAGCAACTTTGGAGACGAGAGGAACGAGTTCTAACATGACATATACTGTTTGTAAATACAGTACAAGAGGTTCCAATGCACATACACATGACGAGAAATGAAGCCCTATCTCTCCAAAGATTGGAAAAGAAACCTTTCCACATCTTCGACGCTTTTCGCTTGATTCCATCCCCCCCCCCCTCTTTTTCCCCCAACCCCCGCCCCGGGCCAAGGTCTAGGTCAACGGAACAAAAGAAAAGAAAGATTGCAATCCGTGGACCTCATGGTCATTCTCGTTTTTTCATATCTATCAAACATTGATTTCTGAGTCGTTTAGTTTGAGGATTAATGAAGAATACTCGAAAACAGGCGTGGTGTGCCTGTCCTGCATAACGAGGAGGGGCATCGTGAAACCGCAACCCTTCATTGCAGTAATTGCACCACCGGTCCTATCCGCTTCCAGGCCAATAGCAGTCGGCCCATCATCTCAAAGCAGGTAACAGAATATACTCCGTAGAACCTTTCTCAGCCTCAACATACCTAGGGATTACAAAGAGGAGTGAGAGGACCATTGCGGGGTAATTAAGATAATTATTAATCTTGTTTCCTCGGCCCCGCCTCCTTCCCTATCCGGGAATCAAAATCCCAACGTAAGAACATGAGAATGTCGAAATTTGTTTTTGAGACGCATATATATTCCATCGACTTTTGACCTCGGAAGAAAATACTACAAGAACAGAGTCTCACAGTCTCTTCAACTGATATATAGCCATCCGCTGTTTTTCATCATGGCCTTACAAATCAAAAGCGTGATGCTACTTGGGGTCAGCCATGTGACCCTGTTTTTGCTTCTGCTTTTGCCTTCAAAACTAACCATTGGATTCAGGGGAGCGGAACACTCGGCCCATTTATCATCGATGCGTTACTTCAAGCAGGGTCCTTCGATGTTTCTGTCCTCAGTCGCCCGACATCGAAATCTACCTTCCCTCCCAATGTCAAGGTGCACAAGAGTGACCTCTCCAGAGCTTCCCTCACCGATGTATTTCGCGGACAGGATGCAGTGATTGATCTTATTGCTCAGGGCTCTCTTGAAGATCGAAAAAGATACATTGATGCCGCTGTGGAAGCTGGTGTGAAGAGATTTATCCCCAGCGAATTCAGCTCCAATATGGAGAATGAGGCAAATGTTGCACTTATCCCCCCACTGTTCATGACCCGAGTTGCTACAAGGGATTACCTGAAGTCAAAAGCTGCTTCAAACCCCAATTTCTCCTATACGGTGGTATCGAATGGCCCTTTTTACGAGTGGGTATGCCAACCCTCTTTCATCCGAGAACTTGAAGCAAATGTCTAATCGTACCGTACTCAATAGGGTTTGAATACTAACTTCTTGGGCTTCAATGCCAAGGAGTGCAAAGCTGTGATTTATGACGATGGTACCCAACGCTTTAGCAGCACAACTCTCAGCAGCGTTGGTAAGGCGGTCGCAGGAATACTTTCCAAGCCCGCGGAGACTGCAAACAAGGGTCTTTTCATCGCTTCTTTTACTCCCAATCAAAATGAAATACTCGCGACTCTGGAGGAGATAACGGGAAAGAAATGGGCTGTGGAAAAAGCCTCAACCACGGAAGCTTTGCAGCAGGGCCGGGAGAAATTAGGAAAGGGAGACATGTCTGGATTCTTTCAGCTACTCATAGCCAGTACCCTGGGTCCCGAGAACGGGAATAACTACGAAGAGAGTGCTACCCTGAGCAATGATCTTCTGGGGCTGCCAAAGGAAGATCTGAAAACCGTTACCAAGGCTGTTTTGGAAGGGAATTGATGATTTGAGATCGAGGCCTAGCCCGGAGCAACGGTCTGCAGTTATTGATACTCAATTGCCACATGCTGTTTAGAAGTCCAACACTCACGACTTGTGAATGCGTGACTCAATAATTCTACAAATTGGAGAAAATATGGTATACTTCCAGGTCTCCTAACCCACCGAGACGATTCGGGCTTTCAGCCTCGTGGTAGCCTTGCATGTGAAGCTAAGCGAGACACGCGTAGAGTGCTTGCCTGCTCCAATCAGCTCCTACTTAGGCCCCTCCAAAGTCCATACCTCACCAGAGGCCCTCTTTTCCCTGAACTGTCTCGTACCAGATCAATTGAAATCCACCGCACATTCGAACCCTCCCAGATCCAGATCTCACCATGTCGAACCCATATGAGAGTGTGTCGCTCCAGCCCCGCGATGTGAATCCAGGCCCACTGACCCGTCCACAGTCGAGCACAACATCAAAGAGAAGCCCAAGGGCCGCGCGCGCCGGCCCTCGATGTCCTCCTTCTTCAACCAGCTCAGCCAAGTCGAGACGGACACGCCGGAGCAGCAGCACCACAACCGCCACGCGGTGCCGACGCCCGTCGAGGTCGCGGCCGTGAACCGCCTTCTGCAGGACCAATACTACGCGCTGCTGCAGACGGGCGACAACCCGAACGCCGATTTCCTCAACCACCTAATCGAGGATCTGCAGCGGGCCATCGACTCGCCCCCCGAGAAGGTCGCTGGCGTGCCGCAGAGCTATCTCGATGCCCTGGAGCGCGTGCCGAAGAAGCTGCTGAAGGAGTCGGATAGCTGCCCCATCTGCGGGGAGGCCTTCTTGGACGATCCGTACCCGCTTGTGGTCGAGCTGCCCTGCCATAAGACCCATCGCTTTGATTTGGATTGTGTGGGCCCCTGGCTGAGGCTCAATGGCACGTGTCCGCTTGATAGGAAGGATCTGATGAAGAAGAAGGAAGTGGTCAAGGCGAAAGATGACGAGGAAGAGGTGGAAGACGATTATGAACTCATGTATGCATGAATGTATTGCTTGATGAGATTGTGGCATGAGCGTGGCGTTCAGGGTACTTTTCTATTAAACATTTGAAGATACACCATATCATGATCGATCCTGTTTGGGAAGCTATTTGTCCAATATTGAGATGATACCCTGTCCTTTCCAATAAGCCAATTTACCTATGAAGTGTACCGCTAATGATTAAGGGGTAATTCAATGCGATTTAATCCCTATGATAATAGCCCCCTGAAAGGCGGTGTCCTCGGTTACGTTCCCCCGTTCCATAAATGCATGAATGCAATCTCTTCCACAGACCAGAGACTGCAAGTATGCATCCCCCGGGGAACCATCTTAATCGAAGGAAAATCTCATGGGGATTTCCGTGTGGTAGGAGATCGAACACAATGGCACCAAGAGGAGGTTGGACAAGAAGATTTAAATTGGTCTTTATAAAGTCAATATCCAGAAAATGCAACAATTGTGCCCCTTCATTCCACTACCAGTTAATCGTACCCTTATCGCCATCTCTTCTCCAAACACTCCAAAGCAATCCCCCAACTTATGCCTGGCCCTCCTGGCTCTGAAGGTACTTGTATGCGCCGAAAGCAGCCGCTCCACCAAGAACAATGAGAGCGTAGAGCCCGAATCCAATGCCGGTAGAGCCGCTAGTTTTTGATGGGGTGGATGCGAGGGCCGCGGACTTCGATTTAGGGTCTCCGGGCTATCGTAGAAAGTCAAATTAGTCCCAGTTGTGGAGAATAAAATACTGAGGTGAGAGCTTACCGCGCGCTTCAATTCTCCAACGAGCAGACCAGCAAGGATCTCTCGTGCCTCATCACTGTGTCCAACGTCCTCGAAAGCTTCAGTTGCGTCTTGTCCACCAACGTCAAGCAGGACTTCCTCTCCACCTCTGACCGCGAGTTAGCAATGCTCCATAAAATGCGATACCACCAAAATAGACACGATAACAAAAGTGGGAGTGGGGGACAAGCCACCGAAGTTAGAAAGCCAAAATGAAAAGGGCCAATCGGAGATTGGAAGATGAGATGCGAAGCTCATCCAGCGCGAATGTAGCTGTCTGCGAGGATCAAGATGCGATGTCCTACCCTTTGCTGATCCCGACCGGAGCGACAAGGTGTCCATATGACTGACCATTTGACGACCTGCAAAATATGGAAAACTGGAAGTGGAAAACTGCACTTACGGATGCTCATCGACGAAGGATGTGGTGTTGTAGACCTTGTCGTGAATCACGAGCCACAGGTCCTTCTTCCCCGAATGCTTCTGGACCTCAGAATATGTGATCTCCTTGGACATCTTGACTGTTGTCTTATTGACCTCCTTTCTTCTGCTTGAAGTTGTTGAGAAAACGCTGCCACGCTCAATGGACTGCCTCTGAATCGGACACAACTGCGCAAAGAGACCGACAGGTAGTTAAGGGAAGGTTTATAAGGTTGGGAGGTTGTCAATGGGGGTGTAATGGGGGTGCTCGCGGTCGAACTTTTGAAGCTGCCTTATGTACTTCCCCGCTAAATCCCGAACCCTAACCCGGTTCGGATATCAAGAACGAGACGGTATATCACGTGATGGTCATCAAGATTCCTACTATTCCTGATTGGTTGCGGTTAACGGTTTAATCTGTACCCCGACCCCGCCGGGATTGCCGAGGGTATTCCGGACGGATAGATTGAATTCTGAAGGGTGGGATGGAGACACGCCGACAGAGTTTTCTTAAGAAGAGCCAGAATGGGCTTTGGCGGGATCGACGAGACTTTCAGAGGTACAGAGGTAGAAAAGTCTTGCGATTCCGTCTCTCAAAAGTGGTGTGTTCAACATCGTACGTTGTATTCAGTCAGGCCCCAGATATCTACCCCGGGCTATCTTCTCGAGCTCCCGCCTCCAATGTCCTGACCTAATTTATACCCCGCAATTTTGTCCCACTCAATTTTCTGTCTTGTGATTGGTAATTGTCTTCGTAGCCCCTTAAATGCTCCTTCGCTCAGATTGCTGAATCCCCTATTGATCTCTTCCTGGTATTTCTTCTCTGCAACTGCAATTTCTCTAACGATCGAGGTAGCCGAATCTGAGGATATCGATGCCGAGACTGGCTTTGAGGTCAAGAGACGTACATTGCCATCCTCGTAGTAATGGACATCTACTTTGATGCTTCCCTCCAGAGAAGAGGATGACGGTGAGTAGATGTAGAGTGAGCGCCAGCGACCATTCCTAATCCATTAGCTTTGGCGGTTCCGCAGGGGCTTGGGGGTGTTACCAGAAGTTATTCGGACTATACTTGTTTGCGGCCACGAGTATTGCGAGCTTCGAATCGTCTTCGATCGGATAGACGCCGTACGAGGCATTGGGGTAGTGTTCTTTGACGTGTGCTCCTAGACTTTTCAGGAGGGATTTTCTGCGAAGTGTTTCAGTAATTGCATGCCAAAACAGGCATGAGAGGGCCATACACCAGATCTGAGTGACTGCTCTCCAACACATGGCTCTGCACTGCACTGGCTTTCTGCTTTCCATCAGCCACCATAAATAAAAGCTCCTCGGCCTCCAGCGTGATCTACCTGTGTGCTGTGGTTGAAAGCAAAGCTGGACGAGCTTTCCACATCGTAGTATCGTCCGTCCCCAAGACTGTTGTACGAGCTGACTATGACCTGCCAACATAGCTATCAGCTCCATTCCAACCCAGACCCCCAAGATTCCGTATGTGTTGACTAACATGTTGACTGCCTCCTGGGAGTTTGACCGTCACGAATTGTTCCTCATTGTATTTCTCGAAAGCTGGCCCGAGCTGTGATATGGTGTCTGGACTCGAAACTGTAAGGGCTTTGATATCTATTCCCAAAACTTTAGTACAAGCCGCACTGGTTGCAATCGTAGGAATTGCGTCGAACCTGCGATAACATCTGCCAGCTTGGAAGGGGTTAGAGATCTGTTATATCGGTGAGGGAGGACACCTTACCTCTCCCGGAGGAGCTCCTTCCACAAAAGCAGAGACGATGTCCAACTCTGAAGAAGCCATTTTGATCAATCAAGATGTTTGGTCTCCTGCCACAACCTCATAAAGGACTAGTTCTCAACAGCAATGCGTTCAATCGGGGGACTGAGACGTAGGAGCTAATCGAGAGTAGGCTAAGGCTAAACTCGACCCCTCGTTGTGGCTGTGGCTGACGGCTGTGGCTGAGCACGTGATTGAGCGGACCCTTGAGGTCTCTAATGAGTCCCTCCCTATATCTTCGGTAGGATTTCGGTGGGACTTGGTAGCTCTATTCTATGCATTTTAGGGCTCTTGAGAAATACAATGACTGTTATATGACATTTCTCATTGTGTTATATGTTAAGGTTTGAGGTTGATGAACAACTATGCAGTCCTATCTCAAAGATACCTTGTTCCATGAGGCACAGCCGCGCAGCATTCCATGGCGATTTGGGTTAAATACAATAACTAGGGTAGCTAACCAGCATAGAGATGTCTGTGTGGATTCAAACTTCTCTTGGTGGATTTCTTTCATCCAGACTTCTAATAGCTCGCTATCAAGCAAGTCTACCTTGTTATTCATCCAGCATTCCTTCTCTGTTGAATCAATACTCAACCGATCGTTTTATGGTATCGTACACTCCTACTTCAAGTCAGATTAATTGGAATTTTAGTTCATAGTCAGAACTTACTGGCGACATCTGGAATATTGAATCGCTCGAACGCCAGCGCCATGTGGGTATCCCACCCGGCAACCCTCATCACTGGCGCTTCCAGTCTCAAAAAGGTATCTTTATCCTCCTGTATACTCGCAGCAACCTCAGCACCGATACCAGCGCTGATCATGCTTTCGTGTACAACAAGACATCTCCCAGTCTTTCTCACGCTTTTCAGCACACAGTCTTTGTCCCAAGGATACACTGTCCGTAGGTCAATTAACTCTATGCTTATACCGAGATCTTTCTCCGCCTTTTCAATCGCGGCGCTGCACGTATAAAGTGGATGTCCATAGGAAACAATGGTCAAGTCTGCCCCTTGTTTCAGAATTTCGGCTTTTGAAAGTGGCAGAGTATAGGGAGCAGTTGGCACTTGCTCAACAGCAGCTCGGTACAGCGCTTTAGGCTCCATGAAGACGCACGGGTCATTGCTCGCAATTGCTGAAAGCAGCAAGCCCTTGGCCTGAATAGGAGATCTCGGTATTATAACTCGTAATCCTGGGATATGCGTGAACAAACTCTCCGGTGATTGCGAATGGTATCTGTACCCTGTTAGAGAAAAACTCGTACAACAATTCGTCAGATGCATACAAGGCTCCGTGTCCAACTCCCCCACACGGCATCCTGACGGTCAATCCACCAGCATTTCTTCCCCCTTTGCCGTCCCTATACCTGAACTTCGCTGCTTCGTTGACCAATTGGTCAAATGCGGGATACACATAATCTGCAAATTGGATTTCTGCCACTGGTTTCATGCCCTCCGCAGCAGCTCCAATGGCAAACCCAAGAATTCCCTGTTCACTTAACGGTGTGTTGAAGACCCTCTCGCCGCCATATTCGTCTGCAAGGCCCATGCTACAGCGGAAAACTCCACCGAAAGCAACATCCTCTCCAAATAGCAATACTGAATCATCCGCAGCCAGAGCAATGGATAGAGCATCATTGATAGATTGGAAGAGGTTCATCCGTTTTGTCGTGCCATTGCGAGCATCAGGAGGTAGCTCGGGGTTTTGCAGAGCGGACTGAGAGCTATGGGCGAGCAGTGGGGTCGTGGAGAAGTCTGTGGGGATATTTAGGCGGGCGTTCGGGGGATGGGTGGAGTATGGGCGGCGGTGTCTTGACACGCTGGAGGCGCTTTCAGTCGTTCGAGGTATTGAAGAAATCAACCCTCTTAAGGGGAATCTGGCCAATATCCGCATTTTGGGTGAAGAGTCGTATAGCAAGTGTCTGGGACGAAAGAAGGGCCATTCTCATCCAGCAATACTTGTACTTGGAACGGTGTCTGAGGGGGGCTGCGTCCCTTTCGCCGCGAATAGCCGTCGCTACCGCACCTTTGTTAATCCGCTACCGAGCCTCGTGTTCTTATCGCCGACGATTGTTGCTGTGGTGATGGAACACGAAAAGAGGGTTCAAGATGTGGTCGTGGCACGGAACGCACGCGGAGTACTCCGTAGAGCTGACGTGGATGATGTGCCTTTGGATTGAATCAGAGGGAGCCTTTGCAGAGCTCATGAGAATCCACACATCGAACTGCTACGAACAATACTATGGCTCCGCGAGAATCGCCCCGTCCAAAACCACGAGAACGAACACATCGTCAGGCAAAGCGACCATCACATAGTCGAAGTCCACGAAAATCAAGATCCCACGGCACATCCTCTGAATCCAGCTCTCATGCTCTGTCTGCAGATGCGTTGGCAAAGTTAGATAGGTTTAATCAACTCAACCGACACTCCACAAGACGACAAGAGGTTACCCCCAAGAAAAATCGACAAAGAAGAGAACGAGCTCTTATAGATGAGAAAAACGTGGTCGAACGAAGTAGAAAGCAACATAAGAATAAGAAGCGGCGAGTAGTCAGTGGGGCTCTGTTAGAAGAAGCAGATGGCCAAAGGCTCCGGGGACTGCGAGGAGGATATAACAAGTATGAGAAGGAAGAGGAAGAGGAAGACGAAGAGCAGGATTTCTTGAAACGGAGAAAGCGGTTATGTCTGTGATCCTCAGAAAGGGCTAAAAAGTTTCAGGACTGACTGGCTATAATAGGGATATGCGTTGGTGTTTTTATCTTACTTCTGGCTATTATAATACCTGTTGCGGTGGTTGTCAGCAACAAGCACAGCTCGAACTCGAATTCTTCCTCAAACGGAAATCCCACTGGAACAGGGACACCTTCAAATCAAAACCTCGGTGGAGAGTCGGAATCAGATATCCCAGTAGCAGCAAGAGGGTCGTACCTTGATCCGTTCACTTGGTACGATACAACAGACTTCAATGTCACCTACACGAATGATACCGTAGGCGGGCTTCCTATTATGGGCCTAAACTCGACATGGGATGATTCAAAGAGTGCAAATCCCAATACCCCACCTATCGATAGTCCCTGGGGCTCCTACGCGGATCGACCAGTACGAGGTGTCAACCTGGGAGGCTGGTTATCGATAGAGCCCTTCATTACGCCCTCCCTATTTAACTACGATCCTAAACTCGGAATTATCGATGAGTGGACATTGACCTCTTACCTAGGCGCTGATGGGGCAAAATCAACTTTGGAGAAGCATTATGCAACGTTCGTGACCGAGCAAACGTTTATCGACATTGCGAATAGTGGACTCGATCATGTTCGGATCCCTTACTCCTACTGGGCAGTAGTGACTTACGATGATGACCCCTACGTCTTCCGGATTTCTTGGCGCTACCTCTTGAGAGGTATTGAGTGGGCGCGTAAACATGGACTGCGGATCAATTTGGATCTTCATGCGCTTCCGGGGAGTCAAAATGGATGGAATCATAGCGGACGTCAAGGCACGATTGGGTGGCTGAATGGAACAAACGGGCAGCTGAACGCCCAGCGTTCTCTCGACATCCACAACCAGCTGTCCCAATTCTTCGCACAAGACCGTTACAAGAACATCATCTCATTCTATGGCCTCGTGAATGAACCTAAGATGACGGCCCTTCAACCCTCGGACGTCATAAGCTGGACAGCCTCCGCCTATGATATAGTCCGCAAAAACGGCATCAATGCCTACATCGTCTTCGGCGATGGTTTCATGGGCCTCGCAAAATGGCAAGGCCAACTCCAAAACCAGCCCGGGTTGGTGCTCGACGCGCACCAGTACGTGATCTTCAACTCCGGGCAGATCAAGTACAATCACACGCAGAAGGTAGCGTACGCCTGCTCCGGCTGGACGCAGCAAACCGAGCAGAGCATGAACGTCGCGACGGGCTTCGGCCCTACAATCTTCGCCGAGTGGTCGCAGGCCGACACGGACTGCGCGCAGTACCTGAACAACGTCGGCTGGGGCACGCGCTGGATGGGGACATACGCGTCGGGGGACCCGAGCACGCAGGTGCTGTCGCCGGACTGCCCGACGCAGGACGCGCAGTGCTCGTGCACGAACGCCAATGCCGACCCGAGCCAGTACAGCAGCACGTACAAGCAGTTCCTGCAGATGTTCGCTGAGGCGCAGATGGCCAGCTTCGAGAAGGGCTGGGGCTGGTTCTACTGGACGTGGGCGACGGAGAGCGCGACGCAGTGGAGTTATCAGCTGGGTCTCGCCGCCGGCATCTTGCCTGCCAAGGCATATGCCCCGGAATTTAACTGCACGGCGACCATCCCGAGCTTTTCCGGGTTACCTGAGTATTATTAGGCTGTATATAGATGAGGGTGGATTATGCTGGTTTATATAAGAGGGGAGGATATAGCGTTGGCGTTGGCGTTGGCTTTTGGCATTATGTGGAGTTCTGATGAGGCATTAGCGATGGAAAGGGATATTGCATTTAGATATGAAGCGAATGTGAATGATTGTAACTAGGAAAACTTTGAGTGAGCTACCGATGTAGTATATCTTGTCAAGATAAGACGCATTCACTTGAGCTAATTAATTCTATGCGTCTGGTATACCTATATACAAATAGGCCCTGTGAGAACGAAGGGCAAGATCAACCAACAAATGAGACAAGTACACCTTCCATCCGTATATACAAGTACAATATCCAGATGCCGCCTTATATTACAAAATAGTAAGTGTCTGCAAAAGCTCCGCAGACGGGACAGACGTTTTTAAAGGGGGCCGCTCAGCGCTCTTATCCCTACCATTCCCTACAGCCTGTTTTTTCCATTAAGACCCTCAAGTGCGCCTCCTCTTTCCATTATACCGGTTGTTAGATTTGAAGGCTTTTCATTCTCTCTCGATATTTTTGCCTGCTTCACTATTATCCATAGTAGCAGTCGCGGTGTTGGTGTCAGCGGCGTTGGTCTCAACACCACTTTCTTTGGCTCCCTCATATCCCAAATCTTTCATGGGGCGTATGCCTGCAGCACCCGTGAGAGTCGTCATACTAGCACTCGTGCCCTCTTTGTTTTTTAAAGTAAATGGGTAGGCAACTCCATCTGTCTTTGGTCGTTTCTGCTCAGTCTCTCCTGTCGCTTTGGCTGCTTCGATATTTTTCTTAGCAGCAATCTCAGCGTCGATATCAGCAGCCTCGGCCTCAACGCCATGGTCTTGAACCCCCTCGGTTCTTATATCCTTGACGGGAGGTACGCCTGCAACGCTTGTGAGAGTCGTCATGCTAGCGTTCGCACTCTCTTTGTTCAGAGTAAATGGATAGGCAATTCCATTTGCCTTGGGCCGTTTCAGCTCACTTTCATTTACCCCGGGTTTCGGAACAAAGACTGATGGCACAGGGGATGGCACAGAGGGGGGGAAGTCTGGATCTCCAGAGCCGAAATCTAGATTTTTAGAGCCCTCAACATCTGCCCTCTTCGCAGCAGATCTTTTTTGCAATTCGGCGGCCGGAGTATCCTCGTCAATGTCATCGGCTCCAGTCTGGTTCTCGTCGGTGACTATCCGACGTCGAGACCTGCTGCGACTATGGCCCCTCCTCGTCAAGTCATATAGTGGCCTTGGATGAGCACTTTCTGCAGAGGTTACGATGACGATGTCCGGTTCTTTGTCGATCTCCAGTTCGTTCTCTATAGACCTTTCATCGTGCTTGCTGCCCCACAGAGACCAAAAAACCAGCCCCTTGCTTAGTGTCTTTTTCCGCTCCTTGAGATCCTCACCCAGCTTTCTTCTACTGGCCAAGGCAGACGGTGGGGGGACTTCGCCATCATATTGCTGGAACCCTTTGGCAAATTCCATTGCCCTCTTTTTTTGTATTCTTCGTTTCGCAGAAGCATATTTGGTATCCCATTTTCTCTTTGCAGCTATCCACTTTCTGACTGGCGCTTCCTTGATTACGCCAATCTCGCTGGTGGGGAGATTGCAGCCAGGCAACTCTGATTCGGGCTCAAGTGGGTATGTATTCCCATGGCGATCAACACGTTGACGGATAAGATGATGCCTGAAGCGTGGAAGTGGATCCCAGGCTTTGCGCATCCGGCCAGAAGCCGCAGCTTCATGCCCTTTCTATTTGTTGATTAGTATATAAATTCGTGGTTCTTGCGGATCAATCTCACCTCCTGTCCTGCCGGAACCTCTGCATCAGATTCCGATCTCGAGATCACAGAAACTTCATCGTCATCGATGATCTCTATTTGGGACCTCTGAGCTCTAGCCAGCGCCCAAGCCCCGAACTGGGCTACTGATCGATACATGTATTTTGCAGGCCGTGTAAAGCTTAGAGTCGTTGCCACATGACATAGGTCGTCCCAAACTTGTAATTGCACATCCGTAGGCCTCCATTCGTTGATCAGATTTCTGTTACGATCATGAGTAGTATCATCCAAGAACGCGTCTCCTGGAGGATACTTTGCCGGGTTTGCTGCCTTATGAGCCAGGTAAATCTGCTCATCTCTGAGCATCTCACCGCCACCGGTCAAGATAAGCAGCGGTGGTAGACCCCCAAGGGACGGCTGTAATATAGGGGATACCAAAGGATGGGAGATAAGCTCGTTCGGGGCATACATCTGAATCTGGTCCTTGATCTCTATCAACTCCCCATCGATCATGATCGACAACTCACGACCAGGCAAAGGAATAGTATTTGCGGCAGGCGAAGTGCTACCATTAGTAATAATGCCGTTACCAGCTGTGGCATTTCGCGTGCCCGGAGCTGGGTGGTGATCCACATGAAAACCTTGAATAGCATCTGCTTCATTTTCCCCTGGAAGTTTGGGGTACTCCTTGGAAGCTGAGTCTTTCCCCATAACCGCCTCCATAGCACGAATATCATCTGCGGTTGGAGGAGGCCAGGAAGGTGATGGCCGATGATGGAAGCCATAAGGTGGAATATAATCAAATGGGTTATCTTCACCAACACTTGGAAAAGAATGCGTTAGGTCGACCCACGGAGATATCAGAATAGCTCCCGCTGGTAAGGGGAGGCCTTGGTCACGCAGAGTGACGAGCAAGCTGGTGATAATTAGCTCATATCTAACGACATGTTAATTCAAACAAACCTCAAGATCATGCCTCCACCAGCTGAATCCCCTGCGAAAACGATGGTTGTCGGGTGCTGGATAGTAAGGAGGTATAGGTATGCAGCCAAACAGTCCTGTATACCGCATGGGAAGGGGAATTGAGGCGCCAAGCGGTACCGTGCTATATAACCATTAAAAGGGGCCCGACGAATTGGGAATCTCGATACTCACTATCGCCAGTCAGTCTTCACGAGGATCAGCAGCAAGGACCAAAACATCTTACCGAGCAAAAACCCTAGCCTTCAACTTTCTCGCATGTCTTTGCATCTGATACCGATGCTCGTCCACACTCCCAAAGTAATACGCTCCGCCATGTATATAGAGCATAACCCTGTTGACCGGCCTATTGTTTCTTATTCTCCTCTGAAAGTGAGTTCGCATTTCAATCCATTCGGCCTCCATCTCGTTGCCTGGTCGCCGCCACTGCCACCACGTCTTCCCTCCAACTAACTTAATTCCTTGAGCTCCCAATTGCATCTGGATCACTTCTGCGGCTCTCGTGAGATATTTCTGGGATATCTTGACATCCTCCACAAGGACCCACGCTGGATGAGGGACCCATTGTGAAGTGAAGCGTTGGAGGTCTTCAACAGAGTGGTGCGAAGCGTAGACGAGGAATCTCTTGATCAGACGGAGACCTTCGTCATAGGTGATATGTGCCGTGGGCTTGTGCGAGCGAGCTTTGCGATCGAAACACTGCATAGTTCACTTTAGCTGCTGTCAGGTTGCCAACCGAGACGTCTGCAATAAACTCACATGTGCCAGAAGAGTCTGCATCACAGTAGGAGTCACTGCGCCAGCGACGGTGGCAGTATTGAACACCATCTTGTCCCTTCTTGCTCTTTCGTCAGCACCAACAACCGCAGCCTTGCTTGCCTCGGGTCTGTTCCTTGCCAGATGAACAAACAGTCTTCCGGAATCCGCAGCGCAATCATGTATTCAAAGTCACTTGGGGAAGAGACGGGTTATCCAGTATTGCGGTCGCGTTGCTGTAAACATTGAAACGGGACAATCCAACTAAAGTGAGCTGAGCCCACGGCCGTCAACTGACGTCCCAATCGCCAACATATCCAGAGAAATTGCCTCCAGCTCTTCGACGTCATATAATGAGCCGGAAGTGGACTAGCGCCTACGGCCCCTGTCTGGCGATTGCAATCCCTGCATCCCAATCATCACAAATTTCAGATCCCACACTTCGACCCCGCGGTCACATTCAACACAGAAGGATGGCTTCAACAACACAGTTGCCCGGCCCCATGGAGGTCAGTGAGCATTCACTTGATGCGCAGAACCTTCCTTCTCTCGGTACTTGGCCTTCTCCCAGCTCGCGAGAGCCGCTGCTAATGGTAGGAAAGAATCTCGCAAGGCGCAATTCGAACTCGGCATTACCCTCGCCCTCTTCTTCTGGCCCTCACTCTCCCTCGCCGTCACCAACCAATGGGGCGGTCCTGACAGCGCTGAAAAGCGCGAATGGTTTGCGCAAACCACCATCGATCTCCTGAATGAAAACCCCGACGCCGATAGTGCTTGGATCGAGGAGTTTCTGCTGCAGGTTATGCTGGATGAGTTCGAGGTCAATGTGGATGATGAGAGCGGGTTTGAGGTTGCGGAGCAGATCGTGAGGATGAGGAAGGATTGTGGGAGGGGCAATTTTGAGGAGGTCAGGGCGATGAAGGAGAGGTGGGATCAGAGGGGTGGAAGGGACGTGCTGAGCGGTCAGTTCAAGGAACAGCAGAGAGCTGAAGAGGAGGACGAGACAGACGCTTCTGAGGACGAGGATGACCAAGGTGATGTGGACATGGATGAGGCGCCGCAGTTGGTAAGGGTGAAGGAGAAGGTAATCCCGGAAGTAGACGAGGAAGGGTTCACGAAGGTCACGAAGAAGAAAAGATGATTCTTTCGAGGAAAAATGGGTGCTTGTTACAAAGGGCGTTAATGGAATATCCGAAATCATTGTATCCTGTTTACAGAAGATGCAGGGTCATCAAGGAGCTGAAAAAGAATATAAGGCTACCATCCAGAACACCATACAACCAGCGAATTACCCAGAACAGCTATTGCAACGCGTATAACCAGGGCATACCAGGAACCCTTACTCCCAATCTTCATCACTATCGTCTTCCTTGCGCGATTCCTTAGGACTGCCAGGAGCGTGGCTTGCAGCAGCGGATGCGGCACCAATAACATCATAACTTCCATCACTGTCTGCCTGGGATTTCTCATCATGAGACTTTCGTGATTCATCTGGTTTGAGAAGTGTTTGCTCGGGAACTTGTGTTGCAGGGTGAAGGGTGGTTGATGATGCTGTGGATAACGGCCGCTCTGAAGCAACATTGGGCTTGGTGGCCTTGTTAGGAGCCTCTTCGTCAGAATCTTCATCCCATCCAATTTCTTCTTCTGTTTCTGCCGCCGCACCTAGAAAAATAAGCATGTGTAGTATTGTTCTTGACGTCAATACATACCTTTAAGCAAGTCCCTTCTCCGTGCCTCGGCCGTTTCGATGCTGTGTCTGAGGAAGTAGTAGCGCTTCCAGAAGTCTTCATATGTGACATTGTCAGGTACCAGCTTCTCCATCGAAGACCTCAATTCGCCGAAGTTCTCCAAGTCCTTGCTGATGTCATCTGTCTTTTGTTCCACGTTGAATGTCTTAGCCCATAGCGCGTACTCCTCGCTATCGGGATCCTTCGTGAAGCTATCCAGCGATGAATGTATGACATGGAGCTGAGCATCGAATCGCGTTGTATGAATGACACGTTTGCCATGGGCGTCCTTACTCTCGAATAATAAAGTACTTCCCTGCTTATCCGAATCGCCAGACGGCGGTGCGATGCTGACGGCATCCCGAAGGAAGTTCCGTATATTCGTCCCAAACTTCAACAGCGCCTCATCCGCCGCATCTTCGGCCTTCTCAATCTCCTTCAATCGTTTGCTCGCCTCGATGCGTAGTCTAGCGAGCACACCCTCGGATTCCTTCAGTGCATCCTCTGTTGAAACCTGCTTCTCACTAGATTCTCCCTCCTGGTCTTTTGTGGCTGCTTCGCTAGGCGGCGGGGCTTGAGAGAGGGCTCTTGTGCGCTTGATGATTGAAGTTCGAAGGTCTGTGAAACCTTTCGATGCTTCTTCGCCGACAGCAGAAAGCTCTTGCTGTGCTTCTTTGTAAACAGACTCACCCTATGATGCGCTCAGTATACAGTTCAATGCCAAACACGGAGCTCGTACTTACCTGCTTCACAACACTGCCAAAGAAACCGCCCAGTTTCGCACCCCAGGGACTAGATGAGATGGCTTTGTATGCCTCTTGAAAGTCCGCATTAAGCGTGGACTCGGACTTCTTCTCCTCGTTTCTCGAAGGCTCTTCTTGAGAGAGAGCCTCCTCCTGGATATGATCATATGCAAGATCCATCGCTTTGTCTTGGTCCGTCTGCCAGGGGGGTTAGTGAATCATGGGGGAATAGGCTCTTGAGGAGGAACGCGGAATGATGCTCGGGGCTTACCTAGCGCAATCGGTCGCTCGCTCTCTAGCCGCCTTACCCCAAACAAAGCGCACGCTCGGCACTGCGCCAGTAGGAGGGTTGTTTGGGCAAATGTAACAGGATCAGGAAGCAAAAGCTGATTTCCAGATACGCTGCACTTTAGGGTATTCTGGGGCAGGCAAGGTGATGGTCGCGATATACTAGAAGGCTAACTTGTATCTCACTAGGATATACAACACATATAAAGATTACGCACGAAGTTGTCTAGGTGAATTTACGCACTAATTTATTTGCCGAATAAGGTAGGTACCTTACGGAGTAATTCCTGGGGGTGTATTTAATACATCTACACCCGATAGAGTAGTAATTTGTATAGTAGCGCGATATACCACAAGCAAACAGTTAATTAGCAACTCCATCTGATAAGTACCTTAGGTAAGGTATATCTTCGATGTTTTCAAGGCGTTGTGACATCTTGTTTTAAAAATGCCGACCTTTAGTAAAGACGAGGTCGTCATACAAACCCCTGTGCAACGCGTTAATCGTCGGCTCGCTTGTGGACGGCGCAGGGGGGCATCGTCTAGGTACCTTAGCTTAATAGACCTTGGATCTGTCTACCTGACGAGGCTCTACGACTCTTCGATCTGCGCGAAGATCCTACAGACTTGCTTGAAGATGTGCAGAAGTTTCCAATACCTAAATACCTCGACGAAAACATTGCTAGGATCTACGCTGTCACATCACAAACGGTGGTCTTGACAAGAACAATCAATGCCTTCTCCCGCACTATCCTCGATCAAATCAAGTCCTCATCTGCCGCTACGAAGAAGGCCATAGATCAGACCAGCAACCCAAGCAAGCCAAAGATAAAGGTTCTAGCAACATGTGCACCCCTCTACTTCGGATACGATTCATACGACCGCGTAAGAAGAAGACCCCGCTAAGCTTCAGCTGCTCCATGAGATACCACTATCGAGGAGTGTTATCCATCAAGGACAAACCAAGCTGCTGACGGAATTTGCTGATTATAGTGTTTGGTATGATAACCCAGACAAAGAGATGTTAGCAACGAATCTTGTGGTTGTGGAAGCCAAACGTGAGTCTTGTACCGACAATGCAATGGCACAACTAGCCGCTTGTATGAGGATCGTCCACACTACATGCAAAGAGTCGAAGGAGAACTGTGTGGTGTATGGTGCCTCGTCTGCTAGGAGGACTCTTCGCTTCTGCCGGATTGATAATGCTGGCGTCTTTGTGGAGCGGGCTTCTAGAGTGAAATTTCCAGCACAGAGAATCTATTCTATCATGCAGTCCCTCCTCCAAGCAGCAGCACATTCATCACCGACACCGATGAAGGATCCTATGGAAAAGGGCCCTTACGTCATTCGGTAGCCCACGACGGTCTCTGAAGTTTGACTTTGTTCTTAGTGGATTGGAAGTTTTCTACCAGGACGATGTAGACATGGAGGAATGCGAAGTCATCGATCACTTGCGAGCGTGCTATGTCTTATATGCTTGGCAGTTGAGGTTCAAAGAAGCCAGAGTCAAGAGAGCAGTGGAATAGAGAAGTTACTTGTACACCTTCCATTGTCATTCAGCTTCCATTGTCTGTACAGCTTTTATTGTCTGTACGTACGAGCTCTGTAAGGAGGCATGTGCAAAGCTTTTAGATCTGGAGATCAACGAGCAAGCCCTGGACACAGAGGAACTAGAGATCAAACTCGAACGGATTCCACAGCTCCAGACATATGTGCGCGAGCTCGAATACATGGTATGTATGCATCTCTTAGACTCGAACACGGCGCAACATTGCAAGACGAGGTTCTGAAGCTGAGGCAACTCGAGTTCTATGCTCGCTACGGAGATTTTTTGCGGAAGCCTGTCGACTTCCTAACCACTTTGCCGATTCAAGAAAAGTCCCTGGTCGCGAAACACTCGGAGAAATTTGAAAAGAGAACCGATTTTGGGAGAAGGCTATGGTTGGGAAGGAACCGTACACTCTGTGAAACCCATATTGGTCAACAAGAAATGGGTAGAGGGACGCCGGACTGTTTCGACTTTGGGGCGAGCGAGAAGGTGTCAACGACAGACCTTGAGGAGCATCGAGGAGGTTCTTGACACCCTGATCAAACCAGAATTTGTGGTTTTCTTCTTGTCAGACGCGACTAATGGGTACTGGGCAATGCCGATGCGACCAGGAGATGAATAAAAGCTGTATCAAAACACCAAATGGGCAATATCTTTTTCGACAAATAGGCCAATGTTTGAAGGGGGCACCGCATACATTTGGTTTTCGGACCACTCCCAAAGACAGACTCAGTTCCGGCGATGCCTACATTAATCCTGGATCATGGAGATGTTGGTTTTGCACCATTCATAGACGATCATATTGGAGCAGCGACCAGTTTTGAAGCCATGTTCCGATTTCTGCACGAAAAATACTTCCCGCGCATTGTGTTTGGTCCATGTCACTTTCACCACCTCGAGGAGAACCTCGGATCTGCTGGTATTTGTGACATGTTAAAGCGGCTTTCGTCTGATATTTCCATTGTCATTTTCCTTGTTTTCATCAACCTTGTTTCGGTTGTCATTCTCTTTCCTTCATTGTCATCCCTTTAACTGCGGTCATCGTGCCTTGTTCACTTGTATTGTTGTCAGTCTCGAGTCCCACGTCAAGTCTAGCATCATGGCCTGTGGTCGAGTCGACATCTGGGTAACATGTCTCGATAGAGGTGTCTCATGTAGTAGCTCGAGCTTAGCTGGGTCTTCTTGCGTATTGGTATCCGAGGCAGAGGGGTGCACATGAGAAAGATAGGTCGGGAAAGCAGCGGCACGATAGACCGTAGCAACTGGATATAGCGGTGTGAGGTGTCTCCCTATATGGACAAGGCTGATGTACAAGAAAAGGGGTAGCTCCCACGTGACCGGCAGCACGTGGTGATCTAGACCGGGCCACCGACGTCAGCATTACGTCGGGCGAGAGAGCCCATGTGGCACACGCTCCTGTAACGGCGATTGCAGCGAACTGTAGTCTGTATCGCCAGGACCGAAACGGGAAGGATTAGTGCGCCTAACAAATAAGTCCGTAGTCATAGTAAGGCTCTGCAAAAGAACCAAAGGATCTAATATACGCCTTTTCTCTTGATTTCTAAGCCCCGTCGTCCGCCGCGCCTGAATGCCCCTCCCCCCGTTTCCTCTCTGGAGTCCTGCACCCAGACACCGTCACCAACCAACCTCCACTTCCAGAGCATTCTAATGCTCAACCATCCAGACTCGACTTTTCCCTTTTGGCCCTTTTATTGAGGCACCAACAAAACAGTCTTCGATTCCAATAGCCGGGCCGCTCTGTCCTGGTCTCGTCCTTGTCTGAGGAGCGAAGAGAGGCCCCCCCCGAGTGATTCATACTGGCAGAGCCTCTCAACTCACTTTACCTTACCCTACGTTGACCTGTTCCTCCGAATCCCCGATCGTTTCCCCCCCTCGCTCTCATTGCCCTCGCCCACTTGCTCGCTCCACCACCACCACCACCCACACTCCTCATCCCCCGCCAACCACCGCCCCATCTCTCGCGCTGCTCTCTTCTTTGCTCCGTCGAAGAAAAGAGGGTTCTGCGAGGAAGAAGTGTGTTCAATCACCCTCCAATCACCGCGGATAGAGACTTCCGCATGGACAGCGTCTTCGCCACACCCAGAGTTAGCCCCCGTCTCACCCTCTCTGCCCGGCAAGAGGAGCTTCTCTCAAAGGCTCTCAATTCCAACAAGCAACCAACCGTCGACCTCTCCTTCCCGCTCTCGAATCCCGCTCTCCCCATGGCTCCCGGCTCCTTTTCAGGGTCGCCCTTGCAAGCCCCCGGCTCCGGTACCCTGAACGGCTTTGAAGAGAGCCCTTTCATCGACTACGATTACGAATTCGACGCCGACGGAAGTTTCGACTATGATTTTGGCAACGAGACTCAGGGACAAATGATTGGCAAATTGCCCGGCACCTCTTCAGATGGGGATGCCGATGCCCACGATAAGCGTTCACATCCCGACGATGAAGGTGAAGATGAAGAGGGTGGCGGCAAACGGAGGGAAGGCGACGAGAAGGCATCCAAGAAACCCGGACGGAAGCCCTTGACATCAGAGCCTACCTCTGTGAGTGACCTTCAATGGGTCTTCCTCTTGTCGCAATGGCTACTGATACTCCTAACAGAAACGCAAAGCCCAGAATCGTGCTGCTCAACGCGCATTCCGCGAGCGTAAGGAGAAACACCTGAAGGATCTGGAGACCAAGGTTGAAGACCTCCAAAAGGCATCGGAATCCGCAAACCACGAAAACAGCATCCTGCGTGCACAAATAGAGAAGATGTCAATAGAGTTGCGCGAGTACCGGAAGAGGTTATCCTTGAACGGAAACCTCGCTCGTACCCCTTCTCTGAATAATGGAATGCAGCCTTACATGGCCGGCAGGGGCGTTGCCAGCACCGGTCTTAGCAACCCCAACGATGTCAATTTCCAATTCGAGTTCCCTAGATTTGGCCGGCTTCCTGGACCGCCTAACAGCGGTTCTTCAGTCGTCAACGGCACAAAACAACCCACCACATCGCCAACTTCCACAACACAAAAAATGTCAAGTGCTGGTGAGAAGGCCCAAGTCAGTCCGCTCAATCAAACGCTGCCATATCCGTCTACCAATGGTTCCAATGCTGGCTTAAAGCAGGCTGCGCTTGACGGTGGGGACATGTCTAGCCTTTCCGGTCTTTTCAGTCCCGCGCTCCTCGACAGCGTTGGTAAGAGTCCTAGCTTTGAATTCATCTCGAACGGGACGAACGGATCAAATGGATCAAGGACGAGCACAGATTCCAATGGACAGATAAGTAACGGCCAAAGCACATCACACAGCTCACCTTCAGCTTCATCAAACTCAAACCATGGGGCGAGCTCATCTTGCGGTACTTCTCCAGAGCCTTCTATGCAACAGTCGCCAGTCTACGGCAAGCCCTCCGACGCCACGCTTTCAACCATTGGCGAGGAGAACTGCGCCAATGCTTGTAGCGAAGGTGAGCTTACCTTCTGTGAACAGCTTAATATGGCTTGCGGCAATCCAAACAATCCTATCCCACGTACAATGTCTGAGTCTAGTTCAGGGAATATTGAAAACCCCGCCTTCGACATCCATGGGATTGACTGGTTTGCTCAACAAAATGGAAACCAGTTTGATCCACAGCTTTTCGGCGATTACCGGGAGCCACAGGATAACATTCTCTCTGCCGACGGCTTCAATGATAGCTTCTTCAATGATGCATTCACCCTCCCAGAGTTCAATACCCCATTCAACCTGCCGCCAAGTCCCGCGGCATCCAAGAAGGATCTTGTGGCGCAAATCGACGAGAAACAGAATGAGGAAGAAGAGGTTGTGCCTGCAGAGGACAGATCGCAATTGCTCAACTGCAATACAATCTGGTATGCTTTCAGCGATATTATAATTCTACGTCTCTTTCCGGAGTTCGCTAACATGACTGTCATCAGGGATCGTCTGCAAGCTTGCCCCAAGGTCAAGGAAGGCGAGTTCGATCTCGACTTGCTTTGCAAGGATCTCCAGAAGAAAGCCAAGTGTTCGGAGACGGGCGCCGTTGTCAACGAGTCCGATTTCAACAAGATCATGAAGTCATATGTTCATGAAGATACAGTCGGAGCGCACAAGGCTTAATCGGCCCCACAATCAGGAGGCATTTTGTACTAATGGTGTGGCTCGCGCAACAAAAGGAGCCATCAGTTGATGTGCCAAGGATATGGATCATGGTTATTATGGCGTCGTGGTCACACTTGACCTTGGGCGGTTTTTGAGGAATGAAATGCTTATGTTTCATCGGAATTTAGCTGGTGCAGGGCTAGGTAGGGGTCTTTTGGTTCATGGGTGAAATGAATGGCCATGTGTTGGTTGGAGTTAAACTACTTATCATCGCTACATGCCATAAAACATGCAAAATAAATCATATATATCTTCTGTAACTCGATATCCATGCTCTCAAGATCTGCCTCACATACACGGGAATAAAAGCTAGTCGCATCCCTCCCTCTCTTCCAAACACTGCTTTTCAAAGCCCGGAGAATACAACGATATCTCATCATCTCCTTTACATGGGTATATAATCTAATCTAATCTAATCAACAGCCCTTTAAAGTCCCCATCCTGATCTATATATACATATACACATATGCATACATACTAACCATGACCTCATTTCACATATGCCATAACCTCACCTCACCTCACCTCACATCAAACTCCCTCCCTCCCTTCTATAACTATATAGCACGCTCATATACTATTCAATGTTCATACCATACCCCCCTCCCCCCCTTTCTCCCAAATCCCAAATCGGAAATGGCGTCTCTATCTAGCAATACAGACATACTTGCATAGGTAAGGTAAGGTAAGGTAGTTTTCCTTTCTCTGGATGGGATGGGGGTTTGGGAGGGGGTGGGAGAGAGCGGGAGTTGGGAGTGATATCAATGTTCTGAGTTGGTTTTCTATGGCTGGGATGAGATGGTAAGCCATTTTTAAGGGGGAATATGTGGGAGTAGAAACGTGGAGATGACAATCGAGGGGCTGCGACTAGATTAGAAGTAGAAGTGAAGTTGATTAAGATGATCTTGGGTTTTAAGATCCTATGCCATGTTGAGCTAACTGTATGAGATAGGACATAGCGGGTCTATCTCTGTCTGCAATGACTTTTCTCGAAATCCCAATCAACAGTTCATCCATCCTCGAATTTTCATAGACGCAGAGGCGCTTGCCATAATCGCCATAAACCATGCATGCTTATTGAGATCCTTCCATGTCTGCACCCCGTTCGCAAAAGCCAAAGACTGTAAAGAGCGAGTGGCCTGCCAGCCGCCATCACGTCTTTAGACTTTGTAAAAGCAGAAGCCCACGTAAAAGCTGGCGGCCTCCATCTCCTCGTCAGTGACTTGAAATCGGCCAGTACCTCTTTCCCTGACACCCATCCGCTCACTCAGCGGGCCCAAGACCGGGTCATCTTTCTCCGTCTTCCATATCTCATCAAAAGGCTTGTGGTACTGCATCTCGAGATTGTAGTCTTCTGCAATGGCACGGAATGCCTCCCAAGGAACGACGTATTCCGGGACTTCCTCGACAGCTTCGTGGAGGAAGAAACTGTACTTCCAGCCAAAAGGAGGACGGAAGACACCATCGGCCGGAGTATTGCCCGGGAATCGAACGCGGTAGACATCGTTGCCCCACTCGGCTGTTTCTTCGGCCTCCCCTTCCTCTGCTTCTCCCTCTTCCTTCTTGTCATCGGCTTTTGCCCCATCTTCACCAGTTGTTTCCTGTGCTTTGGCCTTTTTCGCGGCCATGCGTTCGTTGAACTCTCGAACCTTTTCGCTCAAAACATCTGAATTTGGTATACAGCCAATGAATCTGCCGCCCTTTTTCAATGCACCCGCAACATTCTTCAACATGCAACGTGCCTTTTCCTCGCTCTCAAATGCGTAATGCATGCAGAACATCTGACTGACGACGTCGAATCCTCCCCCACCAAATCTTGACGGTCCACCAGACCCGTCGAAACCAACATCCCTAACCAGTGGGACCTTTTCAATTGTATCCCCAAAGCAATCCTGCACGTAGAATTCTCCTTGAAATAGTCGAGGAGGTGGTCTGCTGTAACCTCCGCGGCCGCCTCGTCCGCCGCGCCCTCCACGACTCGCCATTTGTCGATATCGTTCTTTCGCCTGGTCGATTGAGACATCGGCGGGGTCCAAACCAACATACAACTCTACTGGTTGTGGTGCTGACTGCCATTTCTGCAAGTCTCCTCCCTTACCACAACCAATGTCCAGCACCAACAGGCCTTTAGTAGTTGATGGGCCTTCTGCAAACACCATACCCCCACGCTCCTGCGCTCCAGGGGTATAGTCTTCACTAGGTGAGAACTTCTGAATCAGTGTGCTCTTGACCCAGTTGTTGAAGCTTCGAAGACCTCTGATACGACTGTCTGTCTTGCGCCAATCCCGGCCTCTTTCTGGAACAGCATTGTAATGTTGTCGCACAGCATCATGAATTCCTTGCGCGGCAACGACAGCTTCTAGCTCTTTCTCTCGTTCGAGTTGCTTTTGTCGGATAAGCTCGCGTTCTGCATCTGTGATTCGGGCTCGTTGGCCTGGACGCTTCTGCTTGCGAGGTTGGGGTGAAGGGGATCTTTGACGCTTGTACGGATTCGAAGGTGAGGGGGATCTTCTGGATTCGGCGCGTCTTGGTGTAGAACCTGAAGGTGATCGGGAACGTTTTCTCTTTTTGGCCGGTTCTAGTTTTGTGGCATTGAATGGCTGCGGTTGGGCCTCGACGGGGGAGACGTCGTCAGCAGCGGTGCTTCCCATGGTAATTAGTGGAGGAGAGAACCTCTTTGAATGATTTGGGAGGTGCTGGTATAGGCAATAGTTGCTTCAAAGCGTGTTGATCATTTAGACTGGCTATAAAACGAGTAAAATTGGTACCGCATGTCGTCAGGCTGAAAGTTCATTCAGACTGGCCTCGCGTCACGCTAGCGCCTGGAATGCTCGCGAGAGCTTGAGCTCCAAAAGATGGTCATCTATATATTCCAACATTCACGAATCCAGAACAGAACAATCTTACTCTGACCCTCTTAAGGCCAGCTTTTTTGTCCCTCTCCAATACCCAAATACCCAAGCCAAGATGGGTTCCGACCCTCAATATGCGAAGTACCCTCTCCTACCTCTCGCTCAGCACATCTTCACTCTCACCAATCCTGCCGCGCCCAAACCGGCCCAGCAAACATCCCTCAAGAGCCTTCAAGATGCGATCACCGAACATAAGATGGCTCCTTTCTACCGGTACCTAGCCCACCCAACGGAGGGCATCCTCAACGCCGCTGGCGTAAGCTCTTCGCATCCGGGTAAACCACCTGGACGGAAGCCAAGCGCAACGGCCATGATAGCCAGCAAGAACTCAATACCTAAAGTTGATCTTCCATGGGATGAAGCTCTTTACGAAGATCTGAAGAAAGATAACGATGCGGAGTTGGAAGGATTCAAGAAGGAAGAAGAAGAGGCGGCGGAGAAGGCTGGTGATACCGAAGTGCAAGCCGCAAGGGGAAAGCGAGCAGAATTCTGGGCACGAGTTGGAGATAAGGTAGCCATACACAACATCATGGTCATAGAGCACAGCTAACAGTATTGCGCATTAGGACCGAGCCATCGCCGCATACGAAGAGGTCCTCGAGAAGACTGGCGTTTTGGGAACGAAGATCGACCTTGTACTTGCTATCATTCGGATGGGTCTCTTTTATAACGACAAGTTACTGGTTAAGAAGCACGTTGAGCGTGCTAAGACGTTGGTTGAAAGTGGTGGAGACTGGGATCGAAGAAATCGATTAAAGGCCTACCAAGGACTCTACCTCCTCACAACTCGCTCGTACAATCTTGCCGCCCCACTGCTTCTCGACAGTCTCTCGACCTTTACCAGCTACGAGCTGTGCACTTACTCATCCCTTGTCGTCTATTCCGTCCTTGCGGGGTCAGTATCGCTGAAGCGAGTGGACTTCAAGTCTAAAGTTGTCGATGCACCAGAAATCAAAGCCATTCTCGGCGATGGTGAAGACAAGCTTCTGGCGCTTTCAGGGGCAATATCCGCAGGTCCTGGAGCAGATGAGGAAATGAAAGATGTAGCAACCCCAGTTGGAGCGAAGACCGCCGTTAACCTTACTACACTTGGAAGCGACCAACCCGAGGCTGAGACTGCCATTGACTTCTCGCCACTGGCGCAACTTGTCAGCAGCTTGTACACAGGAAGCTATCGCTCATTCTTTGGGGCTTTGGCAGCTGTCGAGGTCAACTTCCTGAGCCAGGACCGCTACCTTCACGAGCACAGGGGGTGGTTTGTTCGAGAAATGCGTCTTCGTGCCTATCAGCAACTGCTCCAGAGCTACCGAGTTGTGGGCCTTGAAAACATGGCTAATGAGTTTGGTGTCACTGTTGATTTCTTGGACCGGTATGTAATTCCTATTTTGACATTATCGATGATTTTGCTAATTCTCTTTCAGTGATCTAGCCAAGTTTATTGCAGCCGAGCGCATTCCCTGCACTATTGACCGTGTGACCGGGAAAGGTATTATCGAGACGAACAGACCGGATGACAAGAACAAGCAATATAATGATGTGGTCAGGCAAGGCGATCAACTTATCACCAAGCTTCAGAAGTACGGGCAAGCCGTGCGGTTGAGAGGCAGTGAGAGAGCGTAATTGGGAAGTAAGGCTTGGATCGTAGATGGGAGTACGTGGCGTGTGGATGTACCATATCACGGTGTATAGTAGAGTACCTATACTATTGGCACGCAAAATGGCATTTTCCTGGAAAAGAGCATTCGTCGACTTCGAAAAGAAATCGTGATCACATTTGATGAATTATGCCCGCTGTCCTCAACAAGTGTTGAATTTCATGTCTCTGCCATCTTTCCATATGCAGTATCTGTCGGATGAATCCTTCGAATCTTCTGCAACATTCGAGAGATTTTACTATTGAACTGTTCCTCTGTATGCTTATGGAGCTAGGTCATCTCAACTCAACTCATGAGCTTGCAAACCTATTCGAAATCCTTCCCTGGCCGGATCCAAGAACTGGTTCCAATGGCATCGCCACGAAGATAAGACTACAATACCCTCTCCCTTATCTGAATCGAGCATTAAGTGGCATCTCTACGAAGACAAGACTACAATAGCTCCTCTCTCTCTTATCTCGATTAAGGATTTAGTTGGATGAGGAGGTTGATTAAGTGGGATGGGTAGAGCCTATTTCCGGATTACCCCCCTATTACAATTACTCTCCTAGTTCCATCTCCTCGATATTCGAAACTACAGAAGGGGAAAATAATTTTCAAAAAATAAAATCTGTCTACTGCAGATGTGTTACATTACAATACCATTTATGCCAGGCACTATCATCCATGACCCTGCCTAGTAGCATATTCATAGTTGGGTATCATTCGACATACTCTCATGAACACTATGACTTGAGAACACTCAATCTGAACTTCCTCAACCATCCGGCTGCACGCAGACCACCAAAATCCTCTCCCGATCAGCAATCCCCGTCAGGAAAGAGCCATATTCGGATCAGCCTGGAACCCGACGATGTACCTCTTATACCCGGTACTCTGCTCTCCCTCACCCCAAGAAATAGGGACAATGGTCACGAGATTCACGAACCTCTCACCACTCTTCTTATAATTCACGAGCCGCACCTGCGCCTCTTCCCCTCTAGCGATCTTCTCTCTCAGCACCGCTCTCGCTTCGCGATTGACGTCCGATCCCACGGTTGTCTCCCGGCCCGCATAGGGGCTTTGCAGAAATCGGCAGTTGCGTCCCAGGATCTCCGAGCTGAGATAGCCTGTGAGCGTCTCGAATGGCTCGGAACAGTAGACGATGGGGCAGTCGGGCATGGCGGCGTCGCAGAGCACGAGTGGGGCGGAGCTGTCGACGTTCCCTAGGCTGATGATGGGGTTTGGGCGCGTGCCGACTCGCACCTATGCGTGGTGGTGAGGCTATTAGTGACTAGCCTGGAAAGAGTGGGACGGGTCGTTGGGGATATAGAATGAAGATGGCTAAGTGACAGCTGTTGTGAACAATATGTGGAAAGGGGCATGTGCTTCGGGAATATAGCTGTAGGGAGGAAAAGAAGGCAGCCCCCTGAAAAGACACGTACCAAGATACCCATCATATCGAAGCCACTCGGTGCGTATAGGCCAGGATAAATCAAAGGATCATGTACAGGTTCACCCTCAACACTTGATCTCCCGGGCGTATACCGAATCTGTAAGCCCTGACTACTTGCCTCCCTCGATCCGCCTGCTAACCCGGAACTCGAAATGGCTGGCTTGCTCTGGCCGGCGACTGAACGCCGGTACTGAGGAGAGATTCAGCCTTGTGTAAATATAGCAGCGATCAAGTGAGGCTCACCTGCTGCAGCCGCTGCATCTGCTCGTGATGTTCCGGGTCCATTATGATACGGACTTGGCTGCCCAAGATGCGGATGTATAAGAACGATGAATATCGAACTTTGGTATTGATACCATCATGGCCATTGTTAAGTAGTATTTCGAGGTCCTGCCGGGATGGTTTGCAGGTTTTTGTTGGTACTCTTTGGTTGGCTCGATCGTCGGATTTAGTAGATAGGATGAGAATCGAGCTTTGCTACCACTAGCAGTACTTCACACAGCAGTTGGCAACTAACAGTCCTTATTCGTAACTTCCCTTGGCTACCTGACTCAGTCTATCGATCTATAACCGGTATCTTATTGAGATAATAGAATCAACTTTGAATGAAACGGGTAGTCCTGTTACTCGGAATCCATGTCATGTGATATTGCCCACTACTAGGTAGAGCTCTTCCCACAAGTCTATCCTTCTCTGTCAGAACATCAATGAAGCAAAATCCACATTCAAGCTGACTTGGGGACTACAATAAGAGCAGATGCTCATCAAGAAAGTTCATGGAAGAATATCCCAGAATCACATAATCAGATAGACTGTTTTCGGAACAGTTCGAGCAAACACAGACTCCTAGCAAAAGCTATGTCGAACAGATCACCTAGCCGTAATATCTATGTCACTCCCATTCCCTGATGCAAGTGCTCCATAATCGCAAAGGGAACTTTCCCGAGATCAGCAGTCTGGTTCTGGTTCTTGATACAGAAAAGATAGAACAATGACTAGGTATGCCAGAAGCACTCCTTCCTTGAATCTAGCACATTGAATTAAAAGACAGTAATACTTGAGCAGGCTACACATGCCATCGATGGAAATAATCAAGTCGGGGAATGTCAACCGGTAGGAGCGGGCCATCCCGAACACCCCTGAATACCTTTTTATATCTCATCCCCAGATATTCCGTCTTGGCGGCCCGGAAGCTTCGGCCTCTGTAAACGGTCTCTTGCTGTCAATTTCAACGTCAACTCATCGAGCCGTCCCTTGTTGTATTTCACCTCTGTGATATTCTCGAGAGTGGGCTAGTGTACCCAGTACTGCAGCAGGGCTGAGGAAATGGTATGTATCGGCAGTATTAAGCCTGTTCTCCGGCCTGGATTCTCTCCCAAACCGCTCTCGAGGTTATCAGTTCTTTCTGCTCCATCTTCAGCCGACGAGGTCAACATTGACCCCTATGAGGAGCATCGCGACGGATCCAAGGCTGCGGTATTCTCCACCGATGGGATGACCGCGGGCTGATGAGAGCGGCATCGACCTGGGCAGAAAGTCCCAGACCTAGAAGGAAAGGTGCGCCAGGAGACAGATCTAGATCAAACCACTCAATGCCTCTCACGAAAGCCAGCTTGGATAGAAAGAACTCGAAAGCCCGATTTCACATTTCCAGATTTAAACACCACTCCCCCCTCCAAAGGGATAGTTCATGGCGATGATACGAATACCCACAATGCGGAGCCGTCTTGTTCTACGAAGTAGAGCCCTAGAGAGGCCGAAAGTAAAGAAAAATTAGAATTCTTCATCTCTGGGCAGAAAAACTGTGTGGTACAGATTAAACATCTCTTCCGATACCTACCTCGATCCACCAAGGCCGATCCATCACACGAGTACGACGCCAGAAAGCCGTCATGCTCATCAACGCCTACCGTAGGGCAGCGAAGACAGGGCTAGAGATCAACGCTGGTTCGTGGATTGAGGATTGATCGGATTGATCGATGCTCGTCGTCTTCCTGATCTGGATGTTTCAAGACAAGCAAGACCGCGGCTCCCCGACTCACCTGATCAAAGGACCGAACACGTGACGCCGTGGAATGAATCTGCAGAAGCTTTGCCAGCCACCCTCAGATGTTACAATATGCAAGCAGGTGTCTAGCTGTCGAGGATACAGGCAATCCACAGATCTAGAGTGGCCCGCGGATCCACTGCAGAAAAGAAACGGGACTCCCTGGAGTCGCACTAGGTACATGTACTTCTTGGTCTCCTCCCCGCCGCTGCGATATCTACTGAGTTCTTCCTTGACCTCTCACGATACACGCGCAACCGAGCACTAACTCGGCTACTCGCTGACCGACCCTCTATCCCGAGGAAAGTGGAAACCTTACATGAAGCCCTCTTTCCTCTTTTACTGCGGGGAATGTCCTTGCTCTCAGGTTAAGAAGTTAAAAAATAGCCCCCGGATTTTGTTTAAGGGAAGAAAGAAGGAGGTAAAGGAAAGACTGGATTTTGGAAAGACCAACAGAAAGCCACGGACTCAGATAGAGGTATTGGAATAATGATGAAGCGCGAGCCAGCGCTTGCGAGGTGATTTGGAGTTACTTGCTTAGAGGTAGTGCCTTGGTGAGTGTGTCTCGGATGAACTTCAAGCGTTGCACGAATATGGAGGAAGTCGAAGAGAACATAAGTGGGTGCAGTTCAATAAAAGATGTGGGAGTAAGTGGAAGGCCGTAGTTGGCTTCACTTTTCTATTAGTGCTACAGATATCCCATCTGAACTCCGATCTTTTCATGCCAATGCTATGCTCGTCCCTTCCCAAAAATCGCTTCAGGGTAACGCCGGTGGAAATGCTATTGGTACTTGCACATGTTTGTAATTTCAAAATGCCTTCCGTGAAGGGAAGAGCAGCTCGACCTGCGAGCTGTCTCTTGAGGGCTCCCTCGAGACTTCTCTCGAGACGCTATGCAGCGAGTCTCCCACCGCCGTGACGGAGAGACTTGGAAGGCCTTCCAACTCCTGTTCTATTGGCGCCCGTTGCTCAACATCGTCAATCTTGCCTTCTTTTTTGTTCAAGAGATATTTTTGCTTCTGATACATCTTGTAGAAATTCCAAGTTCCCCATAGCTGGCACGACATGAAAAGAGCGTGGAGCATTGGCGTGGTGATCTTGAAGGCAAGGACCCACCGATCCCATAGGCTGCCAAATAAGTACATCGTGAGGATCGTCTCGGCCATCGTCCCCGTGAAGGTCGTGAACATGGCCAGCCGGAAGAGTTTCATGAGGAATCGATGGGAGGTTGGGTAGACGCGATACAGGATAATCGAGATATGGGGCAAGAATTCCGAGACAATGTCGAAGGCGCCTGCGAACACAAATTGTCAGCAGGCGAGTTCGTCCAGGGTCTGCAGAGGAATAGGGGAATCTTACCCCATACTGTACAGAGAATAAACTCGATCGTTGCATCCTTCTCCTTCACGAGGTTCAAGCTGATGGCGATGGCAGATTCGCCTATAATGATTGTACCGATGTGATGGCCCACGCTGACGGGCGAGATCTTCGTCCGATAAAAGAGCTCGAAGACGTACATGGCGATGAGCATCTGGGCGGCAATGATGAGCACGTCGCCTTGCGTGACTAACTTGGAGCCCGCAAATGGGCTATGGAAAGTGGCGTTCCCAAAGGCAACGTCTATAAAAGGATATGCGGCTATAATCAGGATCAAGAGCTTGGTGCCGCCTGCAATATGGTGGTTGACGAAACCTCGTCTCGCGGTGTCGTCCATGCGGGTATAGATTTCGCCATATACTTTCCTCAGAAGGAAGCCCTCGAGGATATAGAAGCGGACGAAGAAGTAATTGACGAAGATGATGCATAAAATGAGGGCGCCGAAAGGAGCGAGACGCGAAATGGATTCGAGGGGCACCTTGGTAACATGAGGACCCCTCCCCTCCACGATGCTGCCATTCAAATTCAAGATGTCGGTGGAGGCCATGATAGGCTGACTGGAAGAGGACGATCTGAAGGAGGAAGAGGAAGAGGACAAGAGAGGGAGAAGAAGGGGCAAAGGAGAAGAAACAGGAGGGGAATTAGATTGCCAAGCAAGTAAAGGAGAGTAGTGGCATGTTTCGATACGGCGAAATGGATGTTGAGGTAAGATATTAAGGTGTGTTGTAGCGTTCTAGGCCATATAATATATTACAGGAAGACAACGTGGAGACAAGGTTGCCAGGACCTACCTGAGGCGGGGGGAGGCAAAGCTGCCCCGTAGTAACAGTTGTTCCAATCCAATTTTCGTAGCAGGGCCCTGCCGTTTCTCGCAACTTCGCAAGACTTTGGGCAATCGTTGTGAATCTATGAATCTATGATGGCTCGGTTGTCAGTTACATGCTGCCCTCACTTGATTGGCCCGCTGGAGGTGCAAGAGGGCTGAAGCTAGGAATGCTCCTCGACGGATTCTCTCCACAATGCTCCACTACCCGGCTGATGCTCGAGAATATTACTGTCTCCGTGGTGGTGTCCCAGAGTACTCCGCCTGTGCGAGGCGGATTTGCAGTTCCACTCTCCGTATGTGCTGTAATAGGTACGGAGGTGCGAATTAGACCTCGCCATGGCCCCCTCCCTGCCCCTGCGCCTCGCTCCATGGCTTGTCAAGAAACACGCGAGGAAACAAGAGGAATAAGCACTTAAGGTTCCCTCCGTGATTCCCCTAGCGGCTGTCCTGTTGTCCTGGTGTCTTGTGTTGTCGATGTGTCGGAGACACAGGGCCTTGGAGATGGGCTAGTAGGCGGCGGAGCATGTTTTCTTGACCGCATTGATAGAACAGTTACTACCGCTGTGTGCGAGCAAAGAGAGGTCCCGTTCAAAGAGGGATAGAGACCTTACAATGTCATGAGAGAAGAGGAACCTTATGAGATAGATGGGTAAGGTACTTCGTGTCAATTTTAGAACGTCGATTTTCAGGGGCAGCTTGCCATGATCTTGGGAAAAAGCTTGGTATTGCCAGCAGCCAATCATGCCTCTTTCTACTGCAGCGGCGCGGGTCCCTGTGTGGGCCAAGCTCGGTACTCCGCATAAGGTCGAGGCTGGGTCTGGGCCGTCTGGCGCATATCTGGCAGAGACGAATTTATAGTAATTTCGTCGCTTCCGGTTTACAGAAAATCTACCTATCACGTGATACAGTTTTCCACTATACCAAATCTGTAGCGCGTTTTGCAAACGCGTCGCCTCTACCTCGAGATCCTACCTTAGGTCGACACTCGAGAGGAACTGCATTTATTCACACCGCCATCGCATACCCGGCAAAATGTCTTCCAGGAGACAGCTACTTTCTCGATCGCAACTCAATGATAACTCTTCGCCACTGCAGCGTCGTTCTCGAAACGAAGAAGCGGGAGACCTACCATCCATACCCCTCCCTCCGTATGAGCCACCCAGCTGTCCGCTCACAGCTTCCCAGAAACGCGCTCTTGACGAGCTTCGCCTCACCCATGACTATTCGAAGTACAAAAAGCATTTGGCCGCAGCCAAGAAGACTATTACGATTGCGACCGGGGAGAGCAACGACAGGTTTACTCGCCGGAGGGACAAAGTCCGAAAAACTGCAGAGCGAATCCGTCAGCAAGACAGAAAACAGACGGAAGGCGAAATGGAGGAAGAACAGTATACGAAAAGCATGGAGAAGAAGGTTGGAAGTCTGACAGAAAAGGCAGAGAAGGCGATGAGAGATTTAATCGACTATACTGATGAACTTGCGATGCACGACCCAATCCTGACGGAGATCAGTGAGAACATAGCGGATGCGCCTGCTCTTCGGCCCGCAGCAAGAAGACAGAGGAGAAGGAATGATGACGGAGAGGGATATGAGGAAGACGATGCGGACGAAGCAGGTGATGAAGGCCCTGCAGCAGACGCAAGTATTCTCAGTGCTGTGGAGTTGTTGAAGAAGGCAAAGGAGAATTACGTTGAAGCATATACATCGAAGAGTATGCGTGAGAGGTAACACACTGTCTTGTGTCAAATTTCCATTAGCTGTACTGACTCCGATTCTAGATACGTGAACAACGATTATAGGGGATTCAAACAGACACTTCACGACGCTCTTCATCCTGGAGATGATGCGCCTCCAGTTCCACATCCATCTACCTGGTTTCCTACAGATCCTACAGATAAAGCGGCTGGCTCTCGAAGTAGGCGACTCGGAAATAGTACGGATAACATGAACAATGCATCAGACGAGGATGACGACGTTATCATCGCCAGTGCGACAACAAATTTGAAATGTCCATTAACACTTCAGATGTTTGTAGAACCATACAGCAACACTGTCTGCAAGCACACCTTCGAGAAAGCGGCAATCATCGCGTATCACCACGACAATGCGGTGGCATTTGCTCAACCAGGCCAACGACGTGGGCACAGGGCTCCGGAAGGGCCAAAGCAAGTGAAGTGTCCGCAACTCGGCTGTGAAGCTGTAAGTATTATAGTCGGATCCGTAATCCCTAGGTATCTAATAATTCCACACAGATGCTTGAGCTCAGCGACTTTTACGATGATCAACTGATCATCCGACAAGTAAAGCGTGCACAGAGGAAGGCAGCACTCGAAAGGGAAGAGGACGATGATGAGATTGAGCCGCAGAGCCGCGGAGTAGAAGCGGAGGGAACTGATGACGAGGACCAGAGCGTATTGCATGACGGGGGTCGAAGACATAAAATGGCGAAGACTCAGGGCGAGCATCACAGTCATCGAGGACAGGCTTCCGGGGATGAAGATGATGAAGATGACGGGGTCTGATTGAATTCGAGCTACTCCAAGTAATGGCTGCAACATGGCGTTCAGGGTTAAAGGTAGGAATGAGGGCCCGGAAATTCATGAGAGGTTGATGATACCTGAAAGTCTATCAGAATATTGAACTGAGAGACATGATTGCAAGGGATTAAGAACGATAGCTAGCTTCACTAATGCTTTGCTTGAGAAGAGTGGATCAGGAGAGTGAAGCTTAAGGCGGCGGCCACCGCAATGAGAGACGAGGCTGAATAAAGCGACGGCAATACCGAGCAGCCTCGCGCGGCCCAGAAGTTCCTCACCAGAGTCACCACTGCCTACGACTCTGATAATGTATATTCCTACCTAAGGTACCTAGGTAACTATATATAACATAACCTTACCTCAACCATACCTAGGTACCAAGCACCTTAGTCTCTACAACTTGCAATTGCTCCCCTGTTCCCCAACGCAAGGCAGTCTCAGCATACAGGATCTGAAATGAAGCCGTCCTCAGATCCTCCCGCGTCTCCTCTAGATGAAGGCGTAGAGCTCGGCGCGCGGCGTGGACATGGGACTGGAGTCTTCGCGGGGGAGGGCTGCTAGATGGATCGGGGGTGAGTTGGTTTTTAATTTTAGTAAGAAGAGAATATTTTCAAATGGAGGATTAGACTTGATTCCTTCTAGAGGATTATTATTGGAATGAATCCAACAGCTGCAACGACAGAAAACAGAAACACAAAGCGCATCTGGACGGGGTCGGAGAGACCGAGCGGACTGACACGCGCGCCGCGCTCTTATCGGTCTCCGCGTGGGCTCTTGACGGGCGCTGGTTGGCTGCTTGAACCGGGCAGACCGAAACGGGACGTGGCGTCGATGGATCATGGCCGAACCCTGTTCTTTGAACGTGTGAGCCGCGCATGTCTTGTCGGGGCCGGTTTTTATATAGGTATCTTATGATTGGGGAGGAGGACTCCACTGGGGCTAATCAAGCCCCTCCCCCGGTCTGGAGCACGAGAGAGGAGATTGCGGGTTTGGAGATGGAAATAATGGAGAAGAAGAGGTTATTCGAGGTATGGAGTGAGGGCAGAGTTGGGAGGCAAATAAATGACTTTTCGGATTCTGCTATATGTGAGGTAGATAAGGTAGGTAGATTAGATACCTGGGTATTTAGATAAAGCAGCATGAGTGCGGCGAGTACTTATTATTGCTTTGTACCACGTTGCACGTTACGCGGAGATGTGGGTTCGATCAGATCTGATATGATATGATCCTGGCCACGCGCAGATATGAATCCCATTTCATGAAAAGCATCTTTTATCCATATCCATCTATACCTGGGTGAGGGAGAGAAGAATCTCACTGAGGCCTTAGGTGCATTGACAATTAATTACCTTGGGGCTACGAATCCTTCTTTCACCTATTGCCGTATCTACGGATTACCATTTTCCCCACTGCGGTATCGACGAGGACCGCGTCAAGATTCAAGGAAGAGAGACCGAAGCTGGGCGCCCCTGTTCATCTATTGTCTCTCTCATTGGACAAGCAAAAGCTTCTTCGCAACCACACCACTAAAGCCGCTATACTGTGCCCTTCTGGGCTTTCTCTCACGCTCTCTTATCCGCGACAGAGCAGTGGGGGAGGCTCGCAAGTTTCCCGTCTGGTGCTAGCCAAGTTCTGAACCAGCGATCTACAGGTAACAGTGACCTGGTACTCCGTATGATCCTAGTAATCCTGGACCATACCTTGCCTACCTACCTACCTACCTAATCAAATTCTTCGTGTCTTCGTGTCTTCGTTTCTTCCTTCAACCCACCCCATAAGATCGTTATATAATTATCTTGCTTTCCCCCTCTTGTCCTTTGGCCTCGATTCTCTCTCCGTCTCTTGTCCCCTCCCCAATTACCCTATACCCCCCTCCCCCACCTCTTCCCCCGCTCTCTTCCCCCCTCCACCTCTCTTATCTCCCGCCCGCCATCCCCCCTCCATTTGCGACAATGTTCCGACGGAAGAAGGAACCTGTCACGACCGAAGCAGTTGTCAATGTTGATTCCAACAACGATCCTCTAGCTGAGGTGCCCAAGAGTTTCTGGGAGCGCCTCTGGCCCGTCTTGGCTTGCGGTTCAGGGCTTTTCTCCGACGGCTACATTAACAATGTAAGTCTGCCATATGCGACTACTGCGCTGCCCGCCTCCGATATCACTTATCTAACATCTGCCAGGTCATTGGTTCCGTTTCCACCATGCTCTCGACCATCTACGGACCGGCCTATACCAATTCCTCCGCCAAGAAGAACGTCTCGTCCATTACCTTCGCTGGTACCGTGGCGGGGACCCTGGTGTTTGGCTACCTTAGTGACAAGTGGTCGCGCAAGAATGCGCTCCTCCTATCCACCATCATCCTGATTGTCTTCGCCGCGCTCGGTGCCGCCTCCTACGGATACCATGGCAATCTCCAGGGCATGTTCGCAGCTCTGACCGCCTATCGTTTCCTGGTCGGGGTGGGGATTGGAGGAGAGTACCCCGCTGGGTCGGTAGCTTGCTCTGAGGCGAGTGGGGAATTGAAGAGTGGATCGCGGAATCGCTGGTTCATCCTCTTCACGAACGTGATGATCGACTGGGGATTTGTGATCGGTGCTTTCGTCCCATATCTTCTGGTCGTCATCTGTACCGAGAAGCACTTGCGCCTTGCCTGGAGAATCTCCTTGGGATTGGGTGTTGTTCCCCCAATGCTGCTTCTTTGGCTCCGAGTCAAGTTGAAGGAGCCCGAAGAGTTTAAGAGGTCCGATATCTCGCATCTCCCCCTTCCAGACACGTGCTGACCTAGATATCAGAGAGTCCATGAAACACGTCAAGATCCCCTACCTCCTCATCCTCAGGTTCTACTGGTGGCGGTTGTTGGTTGTAAGTGACAGCTAGGCGTTTTTTATCGCCATAACACTGACAGTATATGCAGGTATCTTTGATATGGTTTATCTACGATGTAAGTATCTTCTCCATGCGACATTGGGGAAGATCTAACCGGAATTCTCACCATAGTTTTCGACATACTCCTTCGGCATTTACTCCTCGACCATTGTTGACACCATTCTCTCCTCTGGGAAACCGGCTTCCTACACCGCACCACTTTCTAGATCATTTGGATGGAACACGGTCATTAATCTGTTCTATATCCCAGGCGCCATGGGTGGTTCCTTTTTCTCCGATTGGATTGGCCCACGCTGGGCTCTTGCATGGGGTATGTTCGCCCAGGGAATCGTCGGATTTATCATGGCGGGTCTCTACAAACAATTGTCCGAGCCCAAGAACATCGCTGCTTTCGCCGTCGTCTTTGGCATCTTTCTGTCCCTCGGCGAAGTCGGTGCAGGTGACAACATCGGTCTGGTCGCGTCTAAGACCTCTGCGACTGGCGTCCGCGGTCAGTACTACGCCATCGCTGCAGCCTTTGGCAAGATCGGTGCCTTCGTCGGCACCTACGTCTTCCCGTACATCGAGGCTGCGGGTGGCAACGACGTAACCTCTGCGCAGTACCCCTTCTATGTCTCGAGCTCCCTGTGCATATTCAGCGCCGCGTTGGCCGTCTTCTGCCTGCCGAGTATTGGCCAGGACACCATCACCTACGAGGATCTGAGATTCAGGGAGTATCTGGAGAGCAAAGGCTGGGATACCAGACAGCTGGGGTTGTTGAAGGGGGAGAGCGTAGAGAGCAGAGCGGCTGCCGAAATAGTAGGGGCGGAGAAGAACTTCTAGACCGTTTGTATGTATGTACCTAAAGTAATCCTTGGATCCGTGCTTTGCCGTGTCCTGTTTGATCAAGCGTTTTCTCATCAAGGGCGAGAATGTGGAAATACCCAAGGGTTTCCACGTCCCTTGTCCTGAAGAAGTGAGATTTGAGAGGTGCTTCAAAGAAGGGTCGGCAAGGACGTGTATTGAAGTGACGGTTACAACGAGGTAATGCCTTCTTATATACCACCTTCCCTTGAACCGCTCCGTGCATCGTACACGTGATATGTTCTTCAATACTGCAGCCAATCAGAATGTGTAATCTTGGTCAAGAAGGAGAAAGACTCCCAAATCTACAAAGGACCAGTCCAGTAACACCTCTAAAGAACTCATACCTGGTTAATGATACTTCAGGCTTCTCCAGATTTCAAATTCCAAGACAGGCAGGGCAGTCTGAAGGCGGGACTGCTTGATAAGCAATCGCTATCGGCAGAACTCGCGGCCCGAGGGAGAGGATTGCGGAGACACATGTAGAATGTGGAACTTCCAAATTTCCTTCTCTGAGGAAACGTCCCATTTCAAGCCTTCTGTATAAGAGAAGTATCTCATGAAAGAAGCAAGTGTTAGCCAGAGAAGAAACAAGACGGTTTGCGATCTTCCTCTCGTCCCTTTCTCAACACGTCGAGTGTAGCTGTACTCCAATCATCTGACCATAGCACATCGTTGAAGCTCTGTCATTGCGTCACCTCTTTACCTTACTTCTGCTTCCTTACCTTCCAATCCATCTGCAATCAAGTGTTGTCATGATGTTTGAATTCATCGGGTTCGTACGTCGGAACTGGACGGCCTTCAATCCACCACAGGCTGCGAAAGCAGCCGATGCGTTGAGGATAGGTCTATTGGGGGCGTCTAACATCGCGTGAGCACACGAGCATCAATCTCGTGATCTGATCCATTATGCTGATAGTTTACCTGAGACCATTGGCTATCATTGGGCCTGCGAAGTCACATCCGGAGGTTATCATTGCTGCCATCGCTGCGCGCGATGAGAATAAGGCTCAAGCCTATGCAAAGAAACATAGCATACCGGTTGTCTTCAAGTCGTATCAAGGTCAGCTTCGCCTTCTGCGAGATGCCAATCAATAAGCATCAACAGGACTTTATTTACAGTAGGTTTCTATCTACTGACTTCTGTTGTCCAGAGTTGATTGACGATCCCTCGATCGACGCTGTTTATATTCCGCTCCCTAATGGCCTTCACTACGAATGGGCCTTGAAATCAATCAAAGCTGGCAAACATGTCTTGCTAGAAAAGCCGTCGACCTCGAATGCCGACGAAGCTGCGTCATTATTCCGCCATGAGCTCCTCAAGCAGCCCAACGCGCCGGTTCTTCTCGAAGCTTTCCATTCCCGCTTCCACCCCGCTTGGCAGGCATTCCTTTCCCTCCTCGATCCCCCTAATATTACGAGCGCACATGCTTCAATGGTCTTGTGGGATGGGACCTTTCCTAATGATGATATACGCTTCATATACGATCTTTCCGGTGGGACGCTTATGGACCTTGGTACATACATGGTTCTTAGCTTGCGACAGATGCTGGGCACGGAACCGGAGGAGTGCCTCGAAGCTGTCCCGAGGTTGATGCCAAAAGGGTGGGATCAGAAGTGCGACCAGGCCATGAAAGCCAAGTGGCGATTTCCAAATGGTGCCATTGCAGATATTGAAGTGGATTTCGCTGGGAAAGGCGCCTATGGCCAGCCCAGAATACGCTTTCCCAGGTGCAGTGCGACGCATCGCGAGGTCGTGGTGAAAGATAGTAGCCTGCCTGCTGGGCGGGAACATGTTATGGTAAAGACAATCACGTTTTGGAACCAGATGTTGCCAACACTGTGGCACCGGATTGATATCTTGGAAGCACACACGATCCGAAACATCAACGACAAGAAGGCTATCAAAACCTGGACGGAGAAGTCTTACAAGAAGGAATACGTCTGGGCGGATCAAGGCGAGTCCAAGCCGGCCGGCGAAGAGCATTGGACGACGTACCGATACCAGCTCGAGGAGTTCGTGAACCGGATCAAAGGGAGAGAAGGCTCAGGATGCTGGATGGATGGCGAGGATTCCGTTAACCAGATGGCCATGATCGATTCTGCATACAAGAAAGCTGGGCTTCCGCTTCGACCTACAAGTCTGTACAAATAGGAGATGTCGAATACTATTTGACTCGAGGGAGTCCTCTGATCATTCAATGCGCAGATCATATCTAATTTTTCTATTTGCAGTTATGTATCTGTTGAATTATACTAATCACGACGGGGACTTTCCTCACAGAATGGCAGCAGGTCCGCATTTCCTTCTATTCTTCTACTGCTCTCTTCCCGTTCCCCAACATTCCTGCTACACACCCAACAGACCACATCAGGGAGTTTAAGTTGAGAAAATCGTAGGTGTAAGTGCTTTGAAACATGATATTGAATATTTGCTGAGCTCTATATAACCTTTCCAGAGCTGAACCCCAAGGCCGATTTATAGCCGTCTTTCCCACGCTATCCCGATGCCGACGCCGAATGCTATGCTATAGATACATCCAAACCCAAACAACGCTCATTAAACAGGCCAGCGCTTTCAAACAGGCCCTGCGCTCCATGTCCGCTTCATATCCGCCTCATATACTTCATAACCAACTCGTCCATGCATCAACCCAATATCATCATCATCATCCCATCAATAAATACGCTGTCATAGGTATATATATGCGTGCATGCAATTTTTATGCAATCCCCCAAAACAAAATCCCAAATTCCAAATCCGAAACCCAAACCGGTGAAAAACCAACACAGCAGAGCAGCAGCAGCAAGAAAGTGAGGGGAATCACTCAATCATCGCCATCGACAATACTGGATTCCGCGCTGCTGCCGTCCCTGCTGCTGCCGGAAGCGCGCGCCATGGACACGAGGCGATAGATGCCGAAAGCGATGAGGGCCAGCACAACGAAGAGGACGATGATGATGATGGCGATAACGTCGTTTTCTTGCATTTTTGCGAGACGATTGTGTGTAGATAAGATGTGTATTGAGAGTGAGGATCGAGGGAGGAAGAGGATGGGATCGAGTCTTCGATTTTTCTTTTCCTTGGAGGGCGCTGCTATACGAGATGGTTTTCCGGGATGAGAGGGATTGGAGGGTTTGGTGGTTTGAGGTAGGTAGATAGATGGTAGGATGGATGGATAAATGGAGTGGATAAATAGTTCGAGTGTAGGTATGTCGAGGACGTGATATGTATTCTTATTAAATCTATAAAGCCAAGCCGTCAGCAAAAAAAACAGAGTCTTTCATTTAAACCCATACAATGTCCAACTAACCTCGATAGATACTCTTTTCAGTACTATATAAAAGGGCGACGACGACGATGTCAAGTCAAGTCAGCCTTATCGCTCGATCAGGAAACCAAGTAAACAAATCGATTCCTTTCGTTCACTTAGACGCAGCAAACGGACGCCTGCTTTTCAAAAGTATAATAAATAATCTCTCGAGATGATCAGAGTTTTGATAATGAGAAAGAGAGAAAGAGAGAAGAAAATGTAAGTGATGCAGCATTCCATCCTTCCTTCTTGTACCCGGACAACATTGTTGTCCTGCCATCCCAATTTCTGGGCGTGCAGGGGGGCGAGGCGAAAGGGGAAGGCTGGGGGTTGGTTCAGCCTCGTGGTTTTTTTTGAAGGGGTGCGTGCGTGGATTGATGGATGCCTGATATATTGGGCGAGATTGGGTTTGGGCTGGCTTTTCTGGGGGGGTTTGGGAGGATTGATTGATTGATTCATTTGGTTTATTTTTTGTTAATTAGGAAATGTGTTGACTGATTGAAAATCAAAGAATGCATTTTATTTTTATTTTAATTCATTTTATTTTATTTTATTTTATTTTATTTTTTTTTCATCTCTTTCCATCTCCCATCGCATCGCATCGCATCGCAACATTTCGCTTCCCTCCCAGCCCCCCCCTTCTCTCCCCTGAATCCTGATTCACCAACCACCGTCCTCGCTCTTCCAGAACAGCACCAGAACCCGCTCCCGCCTCAAGCGTCAGGGGCACGACGCGCTCATGCGCTTCCCTTTCCTCTTATCGGTTGCGTTCCGCGGTGCTAGGCTTGGGCTACTGGCTTGTTGTACCTAGATACTGGGTCATGCTGGCCACGTGGAGGGTGTGGGGATGAGGGCGGTTTGGTGGTGCTGTCGATGGGTGGAGTGGAGTAGATGGTGTGTAGAGAGGAACTGGAGATGAAGCTTGGCTGGTGGATGGTGAAGAGTGATCTAGTGATCTCCGGAATCGTGAGGGAGGACCAGCTGATGCGTGGAAGTTGATTCCTATTTCCAAGGAGATGAATCCCGCTGTCTATGTCTCTTTATCTGTCTGTCCCAGTCTCTTTATCTATCCGTAAAGCGCCGCCATCAGGTCATGAATCGTCAATGTCAACATGGGCATTCCTCCCTCTCTTCCATCCCACATTCCTCCCAACCCCAACCTATCAACTCTCCTCCCCCCACAGATACGCATCCTCGCGGCGCTTCGCCCACGCATCCCTCGCTAGACTCCTCTCCGAAACCTCGATATCCGTCTTAATATCCTCGATCAAGCTCTCCACACTCACATAGTCATACTCCGGCCTGATATAGCCCAGGATGCTGATGGCCATCTGGCTGCCGTAGAAATCCTTCTCGAACTTGTGCATGACGTGCACCTCGGCGCTGCGCACCGTGTTCTTGTAGAAGGGGTTGTACCCGATCGACATCACCATCGGGAAGATGCGCCAGCCCTCCGCGACCTTGTTCGGTGGTGGTGCCTTGGTGTCTGAGGGCACTGGCTCGAGTGAGGGGTGCGAGGCCGGGAGTTGGATGCCTGCCCAGCCGAAGTAGACGCCGCTCTGCGCATCTGCGATCCAGGGGACGTCCTCGACGGGTAGGTTCGCGGTTGGGATCCCGAGCTGTTACGCAGTTGTCGTTAGCTTTGCTGCCTCCCTTCACTCAATATGGAGATTAACAGGGGAGAAAAGGAGGAGAGCACGAACATCTTTTGAACCTCGGCCGAATCCAGAGACGACTTTACCATTCATGCGCAGGGGAAAAGGGGCTTCGGGACCAGAATCTGGCCCGATTATCGTGGGACGGGGACCGTCTGGTCGCATTTTGCTGGTAGAGTAAGTGAAAGGTGGAGGAGAGGTGGTGGAGTCTAGAAGAGCGGGGAGAACTGGTGGGACACTCGCATGAGCTAAGCAAGGCTGTCATTCCGGCCCGGAATCCTCCCGATGGACGGACGACCTTGGGCAAGGCTGGAAACTCTTCAGATAAGTGCCACTACAGATCAGTATTATTTGTTCGTGTTAATACTTTTATTTTGCTTATTCTGATCTTATCCACTTGTATCTACATGCGTGCCCTGCACTATGCAGATGCTCCCAACCTAAAGAAGCAAAAACCAAAACGCCGCCCAGGGCTCACAGAGCCACCAGTCTCCCATGCAAGTCCCAACCAATCCGTCCTGTCCGTTTTCACGCCAATAGCCATGCGAGCCCTAAGATCAAGTACTAGGGTATTAGATGCAGGGCAGGAACTGAAGATTCTCGTTAGCAAGAGCCCCGGTAGTGAAGAGGGCGAGACTTACGTTCATAACAATCAACATAGGAATATCAAACACGTCCCTCTTCACCGTCCAGCAATAACTACAATCCATCTTTCCATCCTTCTCCAGCCTTTCGATGCCATGCTTACCATCGATCTCCCGAACTCGGTTCCCCATGCCTCCAATATCCTGTCTCTTATTCATCCCCTCCTCCTTGATCTCAGGCGCGCCCTGTAAATCTTCCTTCGTTTGGTATTTCAACAGCTTGCACCTTCTCGTCACACTTCCTCGACTATCCCCAAAAGCTAACTTCGCAAAGTCCTCGTAGAACTCTATCGCACTATCGTCATCCAGTAATTCAGCCAGGAACACGTGCTGTGGTCTCCCCTCCTTTCCCTGTTGGTCCGTGGGGTTCAAAGGCAGCATCCGCGGTGTTGTAAGTCCTGCCCGCCCACTGTTCCCCCCACTGGCAGATCCAGAGCCGGTTCCGTTGTTCCTGCCGGTGTTGACATTTAGATTTGGTTCTTTTCCAAGAAGTACATCTTTCCTCCAGCCGGTCAGAAGTGTGAATTCCTTATTGACAGCAGCAACCTCGCCCGTTCGTCGGCAAACCAGTGTTGGCGTACAACAATTCAACATAAACTCTTCATATTCGAAAAGGGTTCTCTGGAAACATTTCTCCATAAAGATCAAATCTTGCCGGTTCAACGTCTTTGTGCAGGAGATGAAGGAAGGGCGAATGGAAGCGAGAGACTTCGCTATTTGCAGAGTCTTATTGGCAGAGAAGCGCCTTTGGATACACGCGGTTAGGTTATGGAAACCTGTCGTGTAAGAGTAAGGCTCGCGGACAGTATCGTAAATGGAAGAAGGATCCCTCGATCGTTTGCCGAGAACGGAGCCAGGGAACTTTGAACCTGTGCCTGATTTAGGGTCCTGGAATTTTGTAGGTCGGTGTGCGGTGTAGTTATTCGCGTTGGGTGATCCATCGAACCCCATCCCACTTGCTGAGGGGCTAGCATCTGTACTCGGACTGTGATAACTCGTAGGGCCCGTTGCTATAGCATATGCATGAGGAAGGCCATTTTGAACGTTGTTGCCAGAGTTTTGAGCAGTGCTGTTCTGTTGGTCCATCCCAATGAAGTCTGGGAGCATCTCTTGGGAGAACATTGGGCCCGACTGGCCCATATTGTAACCAAAAACACCCCCGTTGTTGAAATTGGCATCATTCATACCTTGCGAGGAGATCGATCCATTATTGTCTCTGGGCGGGGTATCAGCAGCCCCAGAGGACATATGTCCTAACATGCCAAACTCCAAAGCACCATAATGATTGCCAAAATTCAGGCCCTCGAGGTCAAAATTGAAGAGCGCAGGATTGCTGGGATCGAAAAGTGCTCCGTTAAAGGAGTTTTGAACGTCATTTGAGACCTGCGGGACTGAGAGCCCTTGCAGCGACTGTCGGTTGAGAGGATTTTGAAACGTCGGCGAAAGGGGCGACTGCTGACTGCCATACGATAGCCTCCCCTGCAAAGGTGGGTGCATTTGATTTTGCTGATTTCCAGAGTATATGGAATATGACGGAGAGTTAGCTGCTTGTGGGAAGAAACCAGTGCCAATTGCTGGTGAGGTATCGGAGACGGTAGTGGCAGTCGTGGTGGTCTTGGGTGGCTCATTACTGGATAGGCCATTGTTATTGACCTGGTTATAATTGGGACCTAGAACAGGTCTCAAAGCTTCAGGAGGTGCATCGTGAAGGTATTTTGCTTTCTTCCTAACACCATCTTGGCAGGCGTCCGCAAGACCTCTTTTAATGCAACGTTGACATGGACGCTCGTCCCCTAGAGAAGTGGATTAGCTATATCACATTTGAAAAAGCCGCCGGTATGACGAGTCAAGCATTGAAGAAGGATAAAGAATTATTATTGATAATGCTTGGTAGCGAGATTGTGTCTCTTGGAAAAGCACGACAGATGAAGGCAAACGTACCACAAGTCAAGTGAGCTCTTTGACAGGCAAAGCATGCTCTTCTTGCCTTCTTTCTCCTCGGTCTCAATGGATCCTTCGGATCCAATTTCGGTTTCGTCGTTGCATTCGAGCCCCCTCCCTTTCCATCCTCCTCGGTGTCTGGTCTGAATTTCTGCTCGGCCATGTCCGTATTATCGCCCTCCTCTTTTCCTATCTCTTGCTCGTGGTCACTGCACTCATTTTCCGATGCGCCATCCGAGACTTCTGGATCATCCATCTCAGTCTCTCCCGACATCGTGTCTTAATATCCACTTTAGGGATTTTGACCAAGACCACGCCTCTTTGCGAAACCACACCTCAATCAATCACAGCTCCAGCTGGCTTCAGTTGCCAATCCCTGGAATATGCGCTGCTGCAGAGACTCGTACGACGAAGGGGCGAGGAAACACTGGACGCCGTGAATTAACAGGCGTCTCAACAATGCACACAAGAACCTTTGACCCTTCCTTTCACCTCAGCTCAAGCCTCTCGGTATCCAGTGCAAGGCTAGTGTGTATGCGCGCCGGCGGCCACAACCGTCTAATCCTAGCAGCGATGCGCCTCAGCGGTATTTCACACACTGTGCGCAGAAAAGCAGCTATCCGCGCTCCCAATGATCACCACGTTTCGCCGCGTGCCTATCCGCCCATAGGCACGCGTTCGCATACGCTTCTGTATCCTACCCAGCTCCCCCGGGGGGTGTCGTAGGTGTATGTGTACTACTAAAAGCACCTGGCTCACCAGGTTCGTGCGGTTCGTGCAGAGACTGCCGTCCCGTGGGGTCGCGTGCAACGTCCGACCCGCGCCAAACAATGGGCGTAAGCTTGTATATCCAGCTCAGAATCACGCGCCGGGAGAATGTCTCCTTCGGCGGGCGCAGTTGGGAATTGGTATTTCGATCCCAACGTTGTACCACCAGTCTCATCTGCAAGTAGCCGTGACTAGTCTCCACCACAATGGCATTGATGCCCAAACATCCCTTCGTGTGCAGCGAGGGTTTCAGAGCATTGGAACGCCAGCCCTAACTGCTTTCGTGGCGATATCCGGTTTTCGAGTTGCGGTTTGGATTCGCAGTATGGGATTCGGAGGTTCGATACTTTGGGGGTGGGTATTTCGCTGGGGGGGGGCGAGAAGAGTGTATTCGCCCGAGAGCTGAGAGAGAGATGAAAAATTGCGGGGTTAGCGCTAAACGCAAGAAACGACCAGCAAAGGAAAAGGTTGGCGGGAACCGCGCGAGGACAACGCCAGGACGTGGCGTAGCTATGGCAAAGAGTCAATCAAGATTCAAGAAGCAAAGCGAGAGCGCATGGGCATTGGAGGAGCAGGCGGGAGCAGAATCACCGGCCGGTTCGATTCAACTGTCAGTACAGTAAGCAGTTAGACAGTCAACAGTCAGCAGTGAAGAGCAGCGCTTGGCGCGTGGCAGCAACGCCGTGTTGGTGGCACTGAGATGCAGATTTTGCAGAAATGCAGAGACGGGGGATGTGATTAGGGATGATGCTGGTCACAGTGCTAATCGGCTCTCTTGAAGATGTTTTCCTGCGATGCTCTTGGCACTGACTGAGCTTTACCCGTCCCTCCATGTGCCCGGCGTATTAGAACAGCGTATCGATACGCTTAGCGGCAATCCTAACTCGCTTCCTCGCGATTCTCCGTGGTTCATGGATCATTCATCATTTCGGTTTATTTAATTTCCTTTCACGGTCGAATCTGGGCGGGAACCGTTTCTCTGGCCAACGTTCCTCTCTCTCGCGTGGTGACGGCCACGGGCGGTGGGTCTTGCTGACAGGGTCTTCATATGCAGCCCGCAGAACTTCTACTACTGGGTAACTGGAGGCACAAACATCACAGATGGGAAGAGGTCACATGTGTCATCGCGGGGTCAAGGACGGGCATTAAACCTTAACATGGACAAGGCAAGACAAGGCAAGGCAAGACATGTCAGCATCTCGGGGATCTCAGGGTCTGGGCGCCGGGGATCAGCCTCGATAACCGTATCGCCGTCGAATTGAGTGGTCCAGTGTTCGACGAAGAGAAACATGCGGTGCTTGGCAGCTCGGATGGAAGAGTTACAAGCCCGGCAACAGCAGGGGTGCCAGTTGGGCTCGGGCTCGTGTGCTCCACGCTCACACTCATGCTCATGCTATGAAGCTGACCATGAGCATTGCTGTGATACCTATGTGGTGCTTTGTGAAGGGGCAGTCACGTTATGGGCTTTTCTATCAACGCATATGTGTGTGTGATGGCCCTCCGTGCCAAGGTTCATCCAACCAATACCGTGGCTCCATCCTTGGGATCTGCATTGTAGAATTCAGGGTCACGTCGCTTGATGTACGCAGTTTTGCCCTTGAAACCTCGTCGTGCTGAGTTGATTTCTCTACTTGTGGTTACCCAACCTCCTCACTGGCAAGAGTACATCAACACCGTGCTATATACCTCCTATCGGACCTAGTCCTAACTATATATACAATTTACCTGCTAGACATCTTAGGTATTCATTGCGACGTCGCAAATCGACTTTTCCCTCTAATCCTCTTCCCATATTTGAAGAATATGTACGGAAACGGCATCATAGCCACCGTTAAGAATGCCAAAAGGCTCGAGGCCCATTGATCGCCCAATTTATGGTACATCTGTATTCCAAAGAGTGGAAAGCCCGCTGGCAAATGTCAGCCTCAGGGTACACCTACAGGGAGGAAGGGGGGGAAGCTTACCGCCGAAACTGCTTCTCACAAAGCTATTGGCGGCTAGGGAAGATGCAGCGTACAGCGGATACGCATCTACCAGGAATGTGAATATGCCACTGAAGACTAGGAGCGTTCTGCATCATTCGAAAGCGGTTAGCGACTGGAGCTACATAACATGTACATATATACAGATATGGTGCATCAGCAAAAGTTGAGCTGGGTGTGCTTCCTTTTGATGGAGTTAAGATTCAATGTGGGAGATTCCATCAGTCTGGACCAGGTTTAGGAGTCGCAGTTGATCGGGGACAGATCCAATGCAGGAACGATTCGTATCTGGTGCCACTGGACACCGAATCAATGCTGGCCAGAGGCTGAAATCCAAATACGTTCGAAGTCACCATGCGGGGCGTAAAAGGCTGAACTCACCCCATGCCAAAGATTCCTGAGCCGATGATTGGGACGACCCAGTGAACTGATGCATAAGTTGTCCAAGCAAACCAGAAGAGGCCTATAGGAACGAGAATAGCGCCAGCGATGGCAGGAGGGAGACGGTACTCGGGCTCACTGCCACCAATCTCCCCCGTTGCTATTTCTCGCTGCTTGATGAGTCGCACATAGTTCCTGTGCCAAAATGGATCGGTTACTGCGCCAGCAATCATGCCGATTGTTATCCCCAAAAACGAGAGACCGGTTTGAGAGAGCGTAAACCCATGGTTTCCCTCGAATACAAGAGGGAAAGCACCGAAGAATAGATAGATGATACCTAAGAGGATGGCCGAGAAGAGACAAAGGTTTAAACACATTGGCTCGAAAAGTAGCAATTGGCCAGGGCGGAGTAAGGAGTACGCAATAGTCCTAGGTATCGATTTATTCATCTTCTCGAGTGGTGCTTTCCATCGTTCATCGCCTGTTTCTTTGCGGAGTTTCCGAGCCTTGGCTCGCAGAAGAACGGGATGATATGTCTCAGGAACCAGGAAAAATATCAGAGTTAAGGTCACACCTGCCCACATCAAGAGTACGTAAAAGGTCCAACGCCAATTTGTGTACTGATTGATAAATCCTCCGATAATTGGCCCAACAGAGGGTCCCAGGAACGGGGACGCTGTATATATCAGCATGGGAAGCTGGAGTTGATCTCGGTTGAACAGATCCCCAACAGTGCCTCCAGCAACCGACAAGAAGGCGCTGCCTGAGAGCCCAGCCAAGAATCGACTAACTAACAGTGTTGCGATATTCCTAGCTACCGCGGATGGGATAAGCCATATCAGGAAGAAAGTGAAAGAGACGAGATATATTGGCCGGCGACCATAAAACTCACTGACCCCATGTTACGGAATATTCGACCAGGATGGAGGGAAGACTCACGATAAAGGCCCTAGAAACATCGGACCTAAACCAAGTCCCATAATGAAGAGAGACAGTCCTAAAGTTGCAACCTCGCGCGAGCAGTCGAACCTGGCTAAAACTTGCGTGTAGGTCGATGTATATATCGAGGATGTACAGGTTCTAGTTCAAGACGTCAGTATAAGTCTGATCGTCAATGATAATAACATCTTTTGCATCTTTTGAAATGTCTCTTAACAGAAACCAGTTTTTAGATATAAGCATCCAGAAAGCTTCAGAACATAGAAATGCTATGGCCCTTCAAAATACTAGGCGCACTCCCTTGACTCGGACAATAATTGTGAAACCTGCAGCTGCACAGAACTTACACGCATAGCGAGCTCGCGCTGACAATTATAACGATAATCCACTTCCTGAACAATGAGCGACTTTTTGGATTCATCGGGTCCCTTTCCCCTCCCTCCCAGTGCACTTCGAAAGGGTCTCTGCCCGCAGCAACGGCATCTTCGAGAGCGATTTCCCCAACGGTATCCTCATCTGCTTCGTCACACCCGTAACCATTGTTCGATCGCGTCCGGCTGATTGAAGACAGTGATGATCTCGGCTTCGCCTTTTGCTGCTCGCGGGTCGCGTCGCTGCTGGCTTTCGGCGCAGAGCTGATCGGCTCGAATTCTTTCGAGAGGCGCGGGAAATCCGATTGGAGTGTTGCCGCTGGGGAGTGAGAACCCTCCTCAGATGTCTCGGTCGTGTCCGCCATGTCGAAGAGCAGAAGCGTGGAGGGTTGTCGCAGCTCCGACTATGCCAAGACTTTCCGACGAGGAGAGAAAACACAAACTCCAGATTCCAGAGAGATGGACCCCCAAAGGTGCGGGCACCTTCCGCTTCCTGGTCGAAGTGCGTTATTACGGAATGCTATACGATTACTGTACATCCGACAATTCTTAACTCCGCCGACCATTATCAAGGGCAGTACGGACTAGGCACTGCGTACCTTGGAGACCCCAGCACCAGGATCACGTCAGGGTTACCGGTCCAACGGGTCTACCCCGTATGTCACCCTTACTTTCTACTGTATAATGCGGAGAAACGCACTCTGGTGTGATCATGGATTCAGGATCGTGGATATCGAGTCTCAAACCGAGATGGTCGAGGAACAAGTCAGAATAATGAGATGCCCTTCCAGGTACTATAAGTGGGATGGCGATCATCTTGCAAGTCAACCTGTAAAGAGTGGGAAGCCCCCATCAGAGTAGTGGCGGACTGGCGATTTGGAAGGCTTGTTTGCCTAGACAGGCTCTAAGGCTTACCGGTCCATTCTGTGGGCCTCTTCTAAGGTGGCTAGTGCAACAAGGCTCGACGACGTCTAATACATTATACGGAGTATATTTACCGACATCTGGATTATCATTGCCGTCGAAAGTACGACTCCTAGGCTTACCCAGTGATCCGATCTTTCAGGCATTCCGGGGAACTATTACTATATTCGAGTACGTCTTTCTTGGAAGATACGGGAACGAAGTCCGCCTAGTTGGCCTGAAACCCCTGAAAGTTCTCATTATGGCCTAGGCATATAACCTCTATGGAGGGCTCAAGAAGTACCGAATCCCGAGTAGTTCGGAGATGGGTAGCTCAAAGCCATAGTTGGGTTTTGCTAACCATTCTCGGCGGAATGATAGAACTGCCGTTCTATACGAAGTCGTTGGATGGGCTGCGCAGAAGAAACGAGAAGCTGGGAAAGTTCACGGTGCTCAGCAGTTATGACGAATTCATGGAGAAAGATGCTATGGAGAGATTTGAGCAGCTGGGCGTTGGCCCCTTTGATTTAAGATAGTACCTTACAGAGTTTATACAACCATCATTGCGTCTTCTAGCTTCTACAGGCCTGCTTTAGAGGACCGAGGTAATGCTTTCGCGGAATCTTGGAGTGCCCAAAGCTCTATGCTCTGTGTTCACAGATGCTTGGAGACTGATTTCTAAGTCGGCGGCGAACCCGCTTAGACATCTTTTGATGCCTACAACGCATATGAGAATTGACAATATGGCCGGAATTAACCCCATTTCTTTCAAGATGATTGCATTGTTGTATGCACATCTATAAGAGTCCATTATCGTGAATCCCACAAACCAATGAGATATATTGCATCCTTTATCATTCAATACGAAATTGCGTTATGTCGAGCCAGAGTTATCGGCACAACTGAAAGCAGATCCTGGTCAAAGTCAGCCATGTACTTGCACATCTCATTTGGGAGCAGGTCCAACTCACCAATTTGATTATCCGCATAAGCGTCGATAATCAGCTGTACAACCCCATAAGTTCCACCTACACAGAGAAATGCACCAAGCAAGGGCAAAAACCAATGCGACCAGAACTCCACCCTCTGCCTTACGGATCCTTTCCTATAATGCTTGAAGTCACTCAGCCACAAGAACCCCGGAAGGGCAATACCTATGGGCGCGAAACAAATCGACCCGGTGAGTGCGAGCAGGTAGTTGAAGATGGGGATGGCTTCGGCGAGGATGAAGGAGATAGCCCCCAGGCCGAAAGTGCATCCCAGCCATGTTCCCCAGTGAATTACGGTATCTTGCTGAAGGTGGCGAGTGTTACGCAGGATTCGGACGAACAGGTACTTCGCTGCCACGTGAAGATACAAGCAGGCGGAGACGATGAGTCCAATGAGTCCGATTCCATATGCGACTTTCTTTACTGTCTGACCAGCGCTTCCAATAGAAGGAGAGGCGACCCATTGTCCACACCACCTGTATACCACAAGAGAGAAACAAAGGTAGGTGGACTGTACGAAGGCCATACTAGAAGATATAGGGATTAGCGATTGCTTGTTCAGCAGGGAACTGGTTTTTGAGACTATGATTCACAGCTACAAGGCAGTAACTGTGATCAATTCTCATTGGAGACTGTGTCCCGGATATCCTTACCACGTGAACAGAGCCTTCCTGTAATCCTGCGGCCTACGCATCTCTGAGATAACGGGCAAGAATGCCGATGTCCCTGAAGACGAAACGAAGATAGTAGCTGAAGCCGTAATACCAGAAATAAAAGTTGGGTGTGCGATGGCGTAGTATCCTAGCTCATAGTCACCAGTTTGAGGGGCTGCTGCTGGTCGATCGCGGGTTGTCACTGCAATCACAACGATGAAGACTGCAGCAAATATAGAGGCGAATCCGACGTAGGTAAGCCATCCAATGGAGTGAAATTTTCGAACTGAAGCAGTTACCGAAACAACGATGAATGCGATGAAAGACCACCACTAGATGAAGTGAAAGTCAGTATTCGCTTCAGGACAGAAAACAGAGGCGGAATGATTCATGAGTCGTAAAGCAACGTTATTCTTTAGACGCTGTCTGGGATTAAAGGATACCTTAATGCTCATGAAACAGACCAGAATAAGGGGGTTATAATGCAGGGAAACCTTACAACTGTGCATGCAGCGTGGGTAGAGAGAGCATTGAGAGCAATGGACACTCCAAGAATTCCTGAACCAGCACAAAGAATATAGGCGATCAAGAAGAGCACACCGACAATCTCTCTCAGTACCACGCCACCCAAAACGCCCGCCATGTCGGCGATGGAGTGGCAGCTGGGGTGTCTGTTGCGGTAGTCACCTTGAATCACCGCGGTGTAAGTGGTCAGTAGGCCCCAGCCAACGACTGAAAGGGAGCCCCCTACTGCACCCAGAGAGTACATCGCCGTTGGGATACTGAGGACACCGGTCGCGAAGATAACTGTTTGTTGATTAGAACAATATTCTCCCCCGGATAGTCAGGAAGCGACTAACTCTTCAAGAATATAACAGAGGCTCTCATCCATCCCACTGTTCTGAAGTCGACACCCCCCTCAGTCTTCTTGAAGACCTCATTCTGCTCCATAAGATCTTCCACAGCCCCCTCACATTTTTCTATGACCCCATTGTCGTAAGTCGGAGGGGCCTTCTCGTCACCCGAGCTATAGTTTTTAATAGATTCCGTTCCCAAAGACATGATGTTGAACTGTTGACTTGAATTAAAGAATCATGCAGGAAGCAAGCAACGTGGAAACGGCGACATGAGCGAGGACCCCAGATGTATATAGATATAGATTCTTCTATTCTTATAACTTCGACCTTACCACAAACCGGCCATCTACACATGAAGATTCCGACTCCAAGAGATACGGAGTAAAGTGTGATTGCATGGCATTCACAAAGATAACGCCCACACCCACCTCGGTATCATGGTAACGGATGCTACTGTAATTGGCACTAGCCATCGTCATTCGTCCCCTTGGTCAATCATTGACAATATGATAATACATGTACTTAAGAGACTGGAAATAATAGCTGGTTCTCTTATCACAGTTGTGGCCAGGAAAGGCTTATCTGGAGATACAGTAGATATTGCGCCTTCGCCCGTTGAGCGGAGCTCCGACGAGGTGGGAAAGATTGAGAACGAAAGTGGGGAAGGATTGACTGAGGGACACAAAAACAGTCGCCGTCGGGGAGATCAGCGGAAAAACAGCCCTCTTGTCGGGTAAGTGCTCGCAGGGCGATGCCGATGATCAACCTGGCAGAGGATAGCATTGATGTTCATGCCATGTGGTTGGTGTTGAAGCTGTGAACGCCACACGCGGTGCAAGCGAGCCCCGACCCGTTCCTGGCCTCGACGCTTCGGCTAAGGCTCATGGCAGTTGCTGTTGAGGCTGAGAGGAGGGGAGGAGATGAAGGCCTTTTCGGGGAGTTTAAAGGACGGGCTCGTGGGTGCTGGACTTTCTCGATAATGTCAGTTCCGACACGAAGCCATCAAAGATTTTTCACCCGTCACTGACCCATTCCCATTAAGCTGCAATTGCCAATTTCACACCACTCCTTGAAGTACAGAATCTACCAAGGCAGCTTGAAGAATTGAGCCCCAAGGAATCACCATGGCTGCAAATCACAACAACTCCACCTGGTCTCTGGTCTAGGGCAATCGTCTGCTCGATAGCGAGATGAATAAGGTAGGATCTGGTGTCGAAACATGTAAGTATAGAGAAGATGACGGCCAGTATGAAGGCAAAGTATGCCTTCTCGATGGCCCGAGTAGAAAAGTGAACCAGGCTGTAGGTTAGGTCGCGCAAGAGGTAGCAGAAGGGGGGGCTATATGGCATGAGGAGATATCAAAGAGAAAAGAAGCTTCACGCATAACATTGGCTTTGCACCGCATCACATGGCGAAAGTACGACAAAAAGATTCTTACTTTCTGTACACTAGAAGAGAAGCCATTGTGATATCAATCCGACCACTCCCGCCAGATGACGCCAACCTGCCCCCCGTCCGTTGCCATTTCTTTACCAATAAAATCAGGAGAGCAAGGACAGAGTGACATGCTTGAGAGAGCCTCCAAGACAAAGGAAAAGTTGGCTTGCAAGCAGGCATGCTGCTGTAATTACCTTCCTGTATCTTTTCGTTATCTATCCTGAAGCCTAAGCTATGCTGTAAGCTATCTCCGGTCATCTCTCATCCATCGTCCCATTCATTCATTCAACTCGTGATCTAACTCCACATACCAGGAAGCGTTTAATGGTAGCCATTCTTGAACGTAGGGCCGACACCGCGACCTGAATACGCAGCACTGCCTTCCTCGAAATAAGGGTGCATGCAGGCTTGTTTGGCAGATATACGACCGGCGGGATCATAGACAAGCATCATCTCCAGAAGGTCAAGTCCGTGTTCGTCGAGGTTTGTACAGAGTGGTTGAGACATATCGCGTTGCCATTTTGGAAAGGAGGATTTGAAATCCGGGAAGCAGGTTTTGTCCGATACACCAGGCCATTCGGCCTCAGTGGGTGTGCCCAAAAGTCTGGTGTGGCTTGTTAGTATTCCAATACACACAGTATCAAGCGAGGACGTACCGGAAGATCTTGAAGATTTCATCGATTTCGGAATCTCCTGGGAAGAGGGGCTTTCGTGTGCACATCTCGGCAAAGATACATCCAACGGACCACATGTCAACACCAGTAGAATATTGACGTCCACCTAGCAGAATTTCTGGCGCTCGGTACCATAGAGTGACCACCTCATGCGTGTAAGTTCTCAGAGGGACGCCGAATGCTCGAGCAAGACCGAAATCTGCCAGCTTGAGATTACCTTCGCGATCAATAAGCAAGTTCTGAGGCTTAAGGTCTCGGTGTAGAACCCGGTGGCTGTGGCAGTATCGGACACCCTCGCACAATTGGCTCATGAACTTCTTGACCATTGCGTCGCCCAGGCCAAGTCTTCCCAAATCTGGTCCAGATCCATCAGGCAAAGCCTTACCCCTTCCACCATCGCTCACTGGGAGAGCCTCCATGTATTTCTTCAAATCCAGGTCGAGGAACTCAAAGACGAGGTAGAGCTTGTGGCCATCTGCGTGCACAATGTTGAGAAGGCGCACGATATTTGGGTCGTTCATCTCTTTGAGAAGCGAAATCTCACGAATGGCAGTGCTAGGAACCCCTTCATCTTCAGCCTCGAGCCGAATCTTCTTGAGTGCTACAACCCGGCCGTTATGTAAGAGATCGAGGGCTTTGTACACCACACCGTATGTTCCTTGGCACGCAAAAGGTCAGCAAGATAGCTCGTGTTCGGCAGTACATATTGTCCTGCTTGTTCATTATCCAACTGTATTGACGAACCTTCTCCAATCTTGTCCAATTTCTTGTAATTCTCCATGATGAAGTATGTTTTGTCTTGTACGCAAAGGAATGTGGAGGACTAATTGATGCAGGTAGCTCTGCTTCTCGGGGCTTCAGCGAAACGGTGAAGGAGGGGTAATCTTTCTCGACGAGGGCATCTGAGTTGTAGATAGAGAATTACCGAGGGCCGAAACAGCTGTAGAATCCAGAATTGTCGCCGTCGAGTTGGTCGTGGAAATCCTGGGTGTCGAATTGTCGAATTGTCGAAGTTGTGGTGTTGATGGTCGGAAGTCTACCTGGTAAACAAACGCTGGCGCGCAAGTCAATAAGCGGAACGCGAGACTGGAGCTCGTCTAAATAAAAATATTTATTTAAGGTTATTTATGGTTCTCAAAGAAACTTTATAACTTCTCACGTCAACACCACTTCCTCCGTATACCTCGTAGAGCTTTGCGGTAGCCTTTGTTGCTCGGGTTTGAACCTGACGCCAGAAGACGAGAGACTTTCCATTGGTCGACGCGTCTGGTCTGGTTCTCCATATCTTGTTAGAACAGGTACGCCGCAATGCTAATCAACTTATTCTAGTTTGGCTCCGGTAATGACTGAATTAGAGCTACTGGAATCCATGGACATAGACTTGTCAGAGAAAAGAGAGCTTCCAGGGGAAGCCTCCCCGGAGGAGGACTTGGATGCTCACAGAGCGCCGCCCCAAGATTTGAAAGATGTGTTCAAGCGCTATCGTCGTGCGACAGTATCGCCAGAGGATCTAGCACAAGTTGAGGACTCTGCTTGTCTTAGGGAGCCCGAGTGGTCTTTACAACGACACATAGGCCAGGACTGTTTGAATGAATTATTCGAGTGTTTTCATGGCCCCTCGGACGGGAAGCTGGTATCATTGTGCCCCCAATTGAGCGAATACCAGAACCGAATGCAAAATGCATCCATCTACCAGTCCAACGTTATACCAGGTAGGTGGGTTGCTAGACTCAAGGTTTCTCCTTTGGTGCATTGGTTTTGGTCTCATTCGTGCGACTGGCTTCTAGTCTTGTTTCTGACAAGGCTTTAGGGTTGTTTGTAATACCGTCCTTCTTACCAACTGATATTCAGTTGACGCTGCTTTCTCGCTTGCTCCTCCGTGACCTCTCAAACCCAGCCCACAAGACGAATCTTCATCTACATTATGATATTCAGTATCCGCCACCTGGCGAGTCTTTCTTCATTCACCCGCGAGAGAGCATAGTGTTCACGCCAAAGGAGCCCGAGAAACATCCGGCTCTCAGCATGGAGCGTGCCTTCGAGAGGAAACTTCGTTGGATTACTCTTGGAGGGCAATATGACTGGACAAACAAGGTCTATCCTGAAGAGAGCCCCCCAGATTTTCCAGAGGATATTGCTCGTCTTCTTAAGGGCGTCTTTGCTGATATGGAGCCGCAAGCAGCAATTGTCAATATATACTCTGCAGGAGATACACTGAGCCTGCACCGCGATGTTAGCGAAGAGACCAATAGAGGTCTGGTTAGTATCAGTCTGGGATGTGACGGTCTCTTCATCATTGGTCTTCGCGACAGTAACGACCCCTCAGATCCCCGCGCCTCTCGCTATCATACTCTACGTTTGCGTTCTGGCGATGCTGTCTACATGTCAGAAAAGGCGCGATATGCTTGGCACGGAGTGCCGAAGATTATTTCCGGCACGGTGCCCAAATTACTTGACAGTTGGCCGGGTGCTCAATTTCCTAGCTGGCAAGACTACAGGTTCATGCACGACAAGAGGGTCAATCTAAATGTCCGGCAGATGCGTGAAATATCTCGTAATTGAGATGATATCTAGGCTAGGCCTTGACTAGGGGTTTGATGCTCATATTAAGTAATTGGGCTTGCAGTAGAACTGGTGGATAGCCCAACCGGTTAAACGCGCTCTGCCGAGCCGACATATTATAATCACCCCACGTTTTGGCGATAAGGAAGCTCTCGTTATCAACGCACTCTTAATGCCGAGTTGCGCATATATATCCCTGGAACCAACAGCCATTGTAGTTGGTATTTTAAAACATAGTTCTCCTTTTCCTCCAAAACGCAGCCAAAATGATTGATTGGAAAGCTCTAGCTACAGAGAAACGGAATTCCGTAAATTCCTTGATTCCTAAGCCATGGCGCCTGGAATCTCCCATCCCTCCCGCGTCAGAGCAAAGAGATGTCACCGGCAAATTCATTCAACAATTTCTATCCCCTCGAGAGATTGAAATTACGGAAACCGATGCTGTAGGCATTGTCAAAAATACAACGTCTGGGTCATGGAAAGCCCGAGAAGTTGCAGAGGCCTTCTGCCACAGAGCAGCCCTCGCTCACCAAATGGTACATGTCCATTGGTGGTCAAACTTTCATCTGTGGACCTTCTACTAAGAATTGCGCAGGTCAACTGCCTCCACGAAATATTTTTTGATGCTGCTATTTCCGATGCTCAGAAGCTCGATGATTATTATGCGGAACACAAGAAGCCAATTGGACCCCTTCATGGCCTACCCGTCAGTCTAAAGGATCAATTCCACGTCAAAGGAGTCGAGACTACTATGGGATACGTAGGCTGGATTGGTACATTTGAAGGCAAGAAGAACACCGGGAAGGAGAAAATCTTTGAAAGCGAAATGGTTACGGAATTGAGAGCCCTCGGCGCTGTCTTGTATTGCAAGACGAGCGTTCCGCATACTCTGATGGCTGGCGAAACAGTGAACAACATTATTGATTACACCTGGAACCCGAAGAATCGTCTTCTTGCTTCTGGGGGAAGTTCGGGAGGAGAGGGTGCTTTGATTGGACTGAAAGGGAGCCCTGTGGGCTTTGGTACAGATATCGGTGGCAGTATTCGCATCCCTGCTGCATTCAATGGCTTTTATGGAATTCGCCCATCCTCAGGGCGTCTGCCATACGAGGGAATGGCCAACAGTATGGATGGCCAGAACTCTATCCTTTCAGTCGTCGGACCCCTTGGAACTTCCGTGGGCTCCCTGAAGTTAGTGATTAAGAGCCTTCTTAGTCAGCAGCCCTGGCTTCACGATCCATTAGTTTCTGAGATACCTTGGCGTGACGAGCAAGAGCAGGCTATCTTTGATATAGTCAAGTCAAGTGGAGGTGGTCAGCTCGCGTTTGCTGTCATGAAGAGTGATGGAATAGTTCAGCCTCAGCCACCTGTTCTAAGAGCAATCGAGATGGTGGTAAAAGTTATTGAGAAGCTTGGGCATAAAGTCATTGAGTGGAACCCCCCCTCCCATTCCCGAGCAGTTGATTTAGCGGTATGTCTCCTGAATCGGTTCTAGAGACGCTCTGACATGTCTAGTACAAAACATGGGTTTATGACGGGGGCGCTGATGGTATGTTTCCTGAGCTTTCTTCGGTTTGATTACTCTAATTAAAGTACTACGCAGTTCATGATGCTTTTGCCCTCTCTGGCGAACCTATGTCTAATCAAATTAAACCGGCTTACGGTACTCGGAAGGCCGAGTACACCGCTTCTCAGATTGCGGCTGTGAATATCCAGAAACGCGAATACCAAAAGGAATATATGGAATACTGGAATTCCACATCCGCCCTGACAGGAACGGGTCGTCCAGTCGAAGCAATTATTGCTCCCGTGGCCCCATTCCCTGCTGCCCGGCCTGAGATGTACACTTATTACGGTATGTTTTACCGCTAAGGCCCAACTGTTTGCCTTTCCACAGCACAGAATTGTAATCGACTTAACTAAGCTGACATTGACACCAGGCATGAGCACATGGGTCAATCTGCTTGATTATTCGGCTGCCATCCTGCCTGTCACCCAAGTGGATAAAAGTATTGATGTTATAGACAAGGAGTACAAGCCAATGAATGAACATGATGAGAAGGTTTACTCAAGCTGTAAGTAGTTGATTTTGATTTACGAACGTTTACTAACCGACGGATAGATGATCCCGAGATATATGACGGGGCCCATGTCTCAATTCAAGTTGTGGGACGACGGTTCCAGGAGGAGAAGGTACTGGCGCTCACCGAGATCTTAGGTGACGCTTTGGGGAAGCACATTGCTTGAAAGAGTACTTAAGATGGGGTAGCTTTAGTGATGGTCCAGCATAAGGCCGGCCATCAACAGACAGTGACCATGAAATTTATATGAATTGATACCAGTCAAATCCTCGACATTCCTCACTGACATTGATGACCTAACTTGAAGGGAGGCAGAACTCTTCGCGGGAGTTTCTTTCTCTGAGTGAAAGGTAGAGTACAATCTATAATTATGTAATTCATGCGGCAACATGAACTCTTATAGAGACCTCAACGAGTTCATGGCGAAGGACGGTTCCTCAAGTCCTGAGCGACGACATCTACGTGACGAAAACCAAGCCTTGGGCAGAAGATATCTGCCAAATTATCCCGGAACCCCAAATCATATAGATTCTCTACATCAGCGAGTTTCCAAACCTGCTGCCACTCTCCAACACCAATCGCGCCAGGATCTCTTGGTGGCAAACCATCATTGGTCTGCAGAACAATTTGCTGGCTCTCGGCTGGCCATGTAGTCCATTCTGGTTCGGTGTGTATGTCTTTCTGGCGATCCGCGGGGAGGGCACGTTTGAAAACGTAGCCATATGACATCTCGGCCTGCCAGTCTGACCATTTCATTGATTCATTTGTTGTCGTACCGGCCCAGATCAGGTACATATGATACCCCAAGAGTCCCCAAACTAGAGGCGATGTCAGGATACAGAGTAGAGTCACAGATCCGAGGCGGGTATTCTCCTGCAAAGCCCAACCCCAGACCTGAAAATATTGAGACCATGTGAGCCCACTGCCGAGTGGTCTCCATGATGGGATGTGCTCTAGAATGAGGGAGGAAAGTAGAGAAGTTCCGATATAGGTCGCATACATGATCAAGACGCCTGTGGTGAACAGCAGGAGCAGGAACCAGTGTTGGTTCCCGTACCCTACACAATTATTGATGAAGACGCAGTGATGATCAAGCTTTGATACACAATGCTTGCATACGCTGCAATGTTTTGAGCGCGCTGGTTTGAGGAGGCGACAGGTAGGGCATTCTTGGCCAGGGTGAAAGATGGTAAAATCGTAAGGGTAAAGGGACATCTGACTGGCGTGATTTTCTGGTGTGATATAGCCAGGGTCACTTGCTGCCGCGGCGTACAGAAATACGTAGGGGAAAAGGAGAAGAGTCATAGAGATAAGTTTCTCTAGGACGCTGAGCAACGGCCAAGCGGGCGGAAGAAACATAATTTCCGAGATGGATAGGAGGAGAATGAAAAATATCTACATTGAGATCAGTAAACAGGCGCAAAGGCATAACAACATAAAGTAACATAATAGCATATAAGTGTGGAAGACATTCAGGGACACAAAGAACTTCTGGACTTAAAACACAGGTAGAAATTTCAGCTGGTGATCAGAATCCTAGAAGACGTTGATTCAACACCCGGGCGCTCAGACTTGCTTCAAGGTCGCAAACACTCGCGGCTCTCCCCGCGAGATGAGAAATGGTAACGAAAGGGACAGCAAAATGAGACATGCGTTTTCTTACCATAACAACAGGATGACGGTCATTCCATAGGGTATGAGCCAGTCTCAATATAGAAGCGCTGAGACGGCCGTTCGTAAGCCTCTGGTCTGCAGACCGGAAACCATGGGGAATATAAAGCCATATAAGTCGGTGCAAAGCTCCTATAGGTGTATTCCTTCGAAACATAAGTTCTTGATCATTATGTTTGAGGCGAGGGACACTTACCTCAACGCTGGAAGTCTCCCAAAGAAGGCGATGAAGACCAAGAAAAAGACCGTTAGGGTCACTATGACCACGTTGCGGACAGTTCCCATCTTGACAGTAGCTCCCTCATATAACAGAGAAACGCGATTTGAAAAGCATCGTTGGCAACCTACGATCTCTAGGCCACAATCCCTGCTCAATTTTCCATGTTTACATGGGGGACTCCGCGTCGTTGCTTTCCTCCATGGCGGCGCTGAGTTCTGGGTTTCGCTTACATAATCAGACAATTTCAATCAATGTCCAGTCATGTGATTCCGTGCCGCCGCGGGATATTCACGACGCGTGTCTGGCCCCAGCATTTGATAACCCTTGTTGTACAACAAACCTCTCTTCTGAATAGTTTTATCTCACGACCAACCAACCGTTGGGATAAGCAAGCCTCGCTGGCTACGCAGGCGATGGCAACCGTCGTCTATGATGGTGTCGGTAGTGGAGGGAATCTATTTGCGGGAACAAAGTTCTTCGTCTTACAGCGTGTGCCTGATCGTCCGAGGTGGATTGGGCTAGTGAAGGTTCACATATCACCTCAAGAAGCCTGACCGACGCTGACTTGCTGACAGGATAACGGGGGAGAAATTGTGATGCTTGAGAAGCAAGCCGACATCATTATTGCCGACCATGCGAGGAAAGAATGCCCAGCTGGATCCATATCTTGGAAATATATCCAAGACTCGGTAAAGGCTGGCGAACTGAGGGATATCGAAGAGTATCGTTGTACGCCGATGCAAGTTGGATCTAGGAAAGTTGGATCTGGGCAACCTACAAAACAGGGAAGGACGCTTTTTACGGCCGAGGATGACCGTGTCCTTGAGAGGTGGGTTACCAAAGCTGCACGGCAAGGCCTCTCAACCAAAGGAAATGAGATCTATAAACAGCTAGAAGCCGTGGTAGGTTTTAACCGTGGACTGTCGATTCTAATCGAGCTGATTCATCGCAGAACAGCCGGCATACTGCCCAGTCATGGCGTGACCGTTGGATCAAGTACCTTGCCTGTCGACCACGGTCAGACATTGCTGATGAACCCTCTCCAACACACTCAGGCAGACCAAAGCCAGTTACGGAGGTGAACCAGTCTGTTCGAAAACCCACTCCCCGACATGGCGAACGCACAACCCCATCTCGCATAAGTCCGGAACCAAGACGCCAAACTCGACCAGAAGCTTCTCGATCAGCATCGAGGAATCCACCAGCCGACTCTTTTGATACAAAATCTACCACAGGACCAAGGATATTGACGCCAGGAGAAGAAAGACCGCGCATCAGAAAATCTGCGGGCGGAATCAATTTTACACAAGAGGAGGCAGAACTTTTGAGCAAAAGCTATGATGATATTTTGAATATACATCCGGATCATGATATTGATGCATGGATGGCCTGGGCTGCTGAAGTGAGTACTTTGACCGATATACCTTACTAGCTATGTACTGATGCTGCGGGATACTAGTATCCCAACCATACTGCCCAAGAATGGCGAGATTACTTTTTCAAAGAGTTGAAGCCTCTTATGGAAAAAAGAGCGAGAAGACAGTCCGACAAGGAAGCACTACAAAGCGAACCAACTTCGACTACCAGATCAAGGTCAAATTCCTCTAAACGAGAGTTATCCTGGCAGACACCCAAATCAGGATTTCGGGTATCAGCTGCCGAGATCTCTGAATCTCCACCCCCCGTGGAGGAAAGTACAGGCCATCCGGCAATGGACGAAAACTTATTCGTTAAACACATGGTGTTGCTTGCCGAAGGACTGGGGCTCGAGGTAAACTTCAAACCTATTATCTGTGGGAGGACCATTCCACTTTTCGCACTTTGGCAAGTCGTCAATTCAGATGAACTTGGCGGGTTTGACGAAGTAACTGCGAAACGTCTCTGGGGTCAGGTCGCCAGAAAACTCAACTTCAATACATTTACACACCCGAATGCGGCGAAAGATCTTGAGGCTTGTTACAAGGAGGTCCTAACACTTTTTGACGAAGCAGAGGAGGAACATAACGAGAGGAATAAAGATTTGACGGATTCGCAGGAGCAGGCGATGATTGAATCTCAACTTCGAAAAACTGCCACTCTCGAAGCCCACAATATTGAAGAGGAAGTTTCTGGAAATGAGGCAATGGAAGAAGACCAGGATTATGATGATAATCTTGACATGTCGTTATCCTTGCGTTCACAGTCGGCATTGTCATCTTCCGGCAAAAGGAGAATTGGACATAGTCATAATAACTACGGAGAGTCTTCCCTTCCTGGATCTTACGGCAAACGTCAGCGGATCGACAAAGGCAAAGTCAAGGAGCTGGAGATCCCATCAACTCCCGAGGACACTAATAACCACCATATACCGAAGCCATCTAAGGAAATCGACCTTTCTCCTACCCCCAGCCGTGTAGCACGACGACGAATCATAGAGCCTGAGACCCAAGAGTTTCACTTCCCGTCTCAACAAGATGATGTGCCTGAAAGCCCCTTGTTCATATCGTCTTCTCCTCCTCGCAGAGATACCCCACATCGAAATGGAGACTCGGCGGTGTCTAGAGGGGCACGCAAAGATTCTCCAACAAATCTCACGGCTGAATCTGAACAGGAGGCAGAGCTATATGCCTTCATAGAACGCCACATAGCGCTGGGCTATTCTCAAGAACATGTAATAGCAGCCCTGGAGGCTACAACTATGAACACCGGTGATGCAGGAGTGGTTATGGAAGCACTACAGTCAGGTGGTAGCATACCAGATAACATTCAAGGGGTCTGGACTAATTGGGATGACGAGGCATTGAAGGATGTTGATCATCCTGACTATCAACGAGTTGTAGAGAAGCATGGGAGGGAAGGAGTGGTTTTGAGGCAGAGATTCCTGGAGGATCAGAAGATGGCAAAAGAGCTGTTGGATCAGGGTTCGGTAGACTGAGCCTTGAATATCCAAACGGCATGTGGAGACATCGTATGGGATTATATGGGAATTCTATTGGGATAATGAAGCAGGAGCCAACGGTGGCGAGTGTTGGAAAAAAGGGGGTTGGATGCCTGACGCTCAAGGCATAAAGATGATGCGAGGCACGTTTTGACCGCTAAGGGATTGTACAGTGGGAGAGTTCGCCTCAGCTTTCAGCGGATCGACTGGAGGGTGCTCCTGGTAAAATGGTATATGCAATGTATTGCCAACGATCTGATTGTGCTGTGCCAATTGATGACCTTCTTTGAAATGCGCTGCTTGTGCCATGGAGTGTCTCTTAAACGGCTGTCGTCTCCAACTTTCTCGAACCTATGGGAGGCTCTTTCTTGAGAGCATGTACTGAATGCCTAACCACCATCATATGATTTTAGCATGTGGAATAAATCAAAATCATTCCACACCGCTCCCCCCTCAGTGTCCAACCTTGAATCCTCCAATCTTCGCCGTCTGGTCCCAGTGATAGATACGTACCCCCTAATATCAGAGAATCGGACGGCCCTCACCGCTTTCGTGGCGCGCGGATTGCACCTGTAAATCGCCAACCCCACCGCCTCTCGTATCTCCTGCTGCCACGACATCTGATTCTCAACCAACATGGCAGAGCACACAGAATCGCTTCGGTCTCCTTTTATTGTCCGCGGCCTTCCAAAGGCTCCCTCCTCATCGTCAATATCAGACATGAGGACAAGTGAGCCCCAGAAACTTCGCGTCCTCATCGCATCGAACGGATCCAAGGATGTGGCGCAAGCACTCGCCCTCGTCGTCCGACTGTCCAAGAATACCAAGATTGAAACCCGAGCAATTGTCGACGAAGAAGCATACCCGACGCATCGACTGTCCCAGGAGACGCTGACCCTGCAGAACAAAGCCTTCAAGCCATGCAGAGAGACCGACGAAGCACGGAGGCAGATCGAACGAGAGCAGATCGAGTTCTACCGGCAGCAGGCCTACGAGCTATGTGACTGGGCAGATATGATGGTGCTGGCACCCATTGATGCGGACACCTTTGGGAAGATGCTTAATGGCATCACGGATTGCCTGGTGCTCGAGATTCTCCGGGGATGGGATGTGTCGAAGAAAATATTACTCGTGCCCGGAATGACGACCTCGATGTGGGAGAATCCAATGACGAAGACACAACTGAGCAAGATCCGGAGGAAATGGCAGTGGGTTAGAGTGATGCAGCCGATACTGTGGCATTACGATAAGGGTCCCACGAAGTGCCTCGTGGGCTGGGACGGGTTTAACGAACTCGTGGATGTGATCAAAAACCAAGCCGAGCTCATGGCTATTGGCCATGATGTTGATGTTGCCACCTCTGCAGCAGCGAACTTAATGCGATATAACACCAAGACCGATGCCCTGCTCCCACCCGAGATCTGGGCTCTCATTTTCGAGTACGCCGGAGACTGGGAAGTTGCAATGGCTTTGAACGTCTACGCAAATATCCCAACTCCTATTGAATGGCAAAGACGAGGACCTGAGCCGAAGGACCCTTTGAACATCTACATGCGATCTCTCGAGTGGACTATTCTTACCTGCCCTACTCCTACAATCATTGAGAAGTTGAGAATGGCACCAAAAGACCTACGATACTTATCCGGTCTTTGTGTAAAGCTCATCATCAAGTTCTGTCTCACAGACGTCCTCACCTTTCTCGAAACCCATTTAATGGACGTGTTCTGGGCCTCATTTGGACAGAAACTCCTTCCAACAAAAGCCTCCGCAGTCTATGGACGTGTTGAGATCCTAGAATGGTGGCGCACCTCGCCCACATTTCTTTCTAAGGACTACACCGCTGAAGCCATTGATGGCGCCTCCAAAGCTGGGTTTGTGCACGTTCTAGATTGGTGGCTGAGATCCGGTCTCCCTCTGAAGTATACTGAGGTTGCACTAGAGCAGGCGTCGTCGAAAGGGAACATCCTAGTATTGGAGTGGTGGAAACAGGCAAGTATGCACCAAGGGAGCTATCACGGAGACTCGGAGAATCGTCTCCGCCATGGACAAACAGCTGGAGAAATACCTCGTCCATCTAGTCCATCAGAAGCCCACCCCGCTCTTCATCTCAAGCCTGGGAAATCGCTCCTCACAGCAGCGCAAAACAATCAATCGCTCGTCCTTCGCTGGTGGGATAGCTCTGGCATTCCCGTCTCCTTCTCCGAGTCCGTGGCCAAAGTAGCCTCCCAAAATGGACACGTAGGCGTACTAGATACATGGAGAGAGTTGAAGGGCGAAAAGATGGTTTTTGACTACCAAGTCTTAGTTCACCCGACGAAGAATGGACACGTTGAAGTGCTCGAGTGGTGGAAGAATTATAGCAGGAGCGAGGACGGGCGGCCAGGCGGTGTCGTTGAATACAAAACCTGCGACATCGAAGAAGCCCTGGAGGACTGTGTTGGCAGTCCCGACCAGGAGGATGCCGTCAAACGATGGTGGGCCAAGAATGGGTTGAATTTGGGAGTCGGGGTCAGTGAGTGGACCAAGATTAAAGTCTTATGAGCACACTGATCCTTTTGCATCTTCAATTTGTCTCGGTTAGCGTGGCGTAGGGTTCTGTAGCATTTTATCAATTTCTTCAAATCATGTCTGGCTAGAGGTTTCGGGTTCTTTTGCATGCAATGAGTGCGGTTTGAATGCCCTGGTCTCAGTACTTTTACATTATCTCCTGGAGTCCTGGGAGCGCACGGAATATATCCACCTTTTTCCCTTGTTGAGACTTCAATTTCAAGCGGCCGCTCCTCTCACCGCCTTCAATTCAACCACGACGTAACCTTGCAGGCTTGCAGATACGGCGTACACTGCTCTCCCATGATATGGATGATCGGGAGATCATTAGACCGAGAATCCCTTCTTCGGCAATAAATAACTCCTTATGGGTAGAAATACATAGGTACGCTCATAAAGATTCTCCCCTGGTCAGCTTCAATACATCAATAAGGCAGACAGAGCGGCACATCCATAACCACGGATCAATATATCTAGTATGCATCTATGATATAAGTCTAGGTTGGGAAATGAAAGCCATCCAAGCATTGCCCAAGGGCATTGGAGTCTAGAATCTCAAGCAGATCAACATTTGAGTAAGAGGTATATCTCGTGCAGTCAATTTTACGCATGCATAAACACTTTTCTACAAGCATTGCATTACTGCTCTATCAATGCTCTTCCATAATCTCCACGATTGGGTAATCTATTGATGGTATGGATGTGGCACCGAGCAGGACTTGTATTCGTCAAGAAGACTACAACGCGTCAGCAACAAACAACGACAGATAATTTGGAATTCTTACTGCCGCAATGGAAATCCAGCTCCATAAAAGCCACAGGGCTATGGATTCGATAATAATAAGGGTCGTCGTCTCCGAATTCCCCAATCCATGCAAAGTAAGTCTCGTTCAAGTATTTCTTGAAGAGAGCAAGACGGTGTTGCAGAACTGTTTCCGGGTAGTACTCGTTGAACGCTAAGAATAAGTTGATGATAGCTTGCTGTTGTTCAGCAGGGAACTCCGAGACGGGACAGCCCTCTGCTCGTCCTATATTAGCATCATTCTCTTCTATTTTGCTCGGCTTGCTTACCGTAAGGTAAAACCCGGTTGTCCTGCCTCGCACCGCCAAGATGTCTCTCATCAAATGGATTCCATCTATCGGCAGCTAAGCTTTTGCCGTCCATTCCTTTACTCAACGTGGCTTTGTCTTGAAGCTCCTTTGGAAGTCCCTGCATTAGTTTCAAACTCTCTAGTTCCTCAGTTCGAAACAATCTCAGTCCCTTATGTGGTCCTTCGTCGATCCTATCTGGTTCGGCGCCCAGAAACGTAGGTCCAATCACCATTCTTTTCCCAGAAAAGACAACAGCTAGACAGAGATGGTGCCCGAAGAAGGTGTAACCCCATGGGGAAGTGAATGAAGGCGTGCCAAAAAGACGAAAATTATAGGAATGCTCATTGAGAACTTTCTTGCCATTTACAAGATGTCCAAGGAATCCATTTGTGAGACAGCAGCCGAGGACTTTCGCATAGCCTTGCTCAGAGAACGAGGATTTGAGGATAGCGTGAATAGCGGCTTGGATTTCCGGAGTGCATTCGTCAAGTCGAAGTCCGCCTGCAGCTTGGTATCAGCACCTCCTCCTTACAGCGGTCAAAAGTCCTCGAACCTGGGTTCATATACAATTCCGGATTCGACCATAATCGGATCTCATCATCCGTGACGTCTCCCCGCTGGACATCCTTTCTTTGCTCCTCAGTCAGGATCTTCAACAAGTCATTCGTTCTCTCGGCCGCAGCTTCTGTCGGCGCACCCTCATCTTCCGCATACGTATACAAGCCTTCTCTCACTTTCCCATCTGTTGTGAACCCCTTGTAAGGTCTTTCCAAGTTCTTCGCCTCCAGGCGATTGATTAGCCAGGCCGGGGCTTCGATCTGCCTTCGTGACTCGCACCAACTGCGCGCATCATGATCTGCGATCCCCGCGATTCTGGGATGAGATGCTGAAGGGATGATGTCGCGGAAAGGAACAGCCGCGTCGGAGCGGGGCTTAGTGGGGTCAGAGGCCTGGAGATAGCCAGAATTCTGAGGAGCTGCCATGGGTGCTGATTGTTAGATTGTCAATGCAGATATCTCCTCTGGCTGGAGGCACAAGGCGGATGGGTATTGGGAGGGGTGGATTTATATGCATTTGGGCTCTAGAATACATGATTGACCTGCTGAGGGGGATAAAGTATCTCGAGGGAAGTGTGGAGGAAACACGGGGGAATTGCGGGTACTGTAGTCGGGAGGCGGGGCGGCGGCGGGGCGGAAGATGGTGCAGTTATAACATATCGGTGGCGTGTTTATATCCAATATCAAGCTACATTCGGCACAGAGGAAGGTGCGTATATCAGCAAGTCAGGAGATATTACGTAATATTGCCTGTAACCCTGAATAGCTACCTGACTGAGCGGTAAATAGTTTACCAGTCAGTGGTGGACGATACATTTGCACGGGAGGGTTAAGACATGCCATGTTGACTTTGCGCTTTTTCGACCAAAGATGCTTTCTGATTCTCTAAACACTGAATATGTCTCGCGCATGGCAATTGCGTTTGATCCAGGATTGTCGGGACAACCGAGGTATGATAACATGGTGTTGTAATGTCCCTCTCTAGAAACAGACGATGGCGAAAAGTTGATTTGTGATCAAATCTCCCATCTCATTCCAAATTATTCCTGGATTTATTTTGAATTTGGTGATATCCAAAACCACCTCTGAATAGTCACTTCATCCAGCAATCCTACAAAATGACCTCGACTGCTGTCGTTGGTAGTACCGGCCTCGTTGTAAGCATTCCCATGTTCTGTGGATGAGGAAGCTTCCCGCCCAGGATTATACAAAGCAGATATGGGCACGCAGCAACTACACACAGCAAAGAGCTGACATGCATCACAACAGGGCTCGCACATCCTCTCGACCCTCATCTCTCTCCCCACCATCTCCAGCATCCACGCCATCGCCCGGCGCCAACCCCCAAGCAACGACCCCAAACTCCACCCCCTTGTCTCCAGCGACAGCGAGCAATGGCCCTCGCAGCTCTCCACCATCTCCCCGCCTCCCAACATCTTCTTCTCCGCGCTGGGCACGACGCGCGGCGCCGCCGGCTCCGTCGAGAATCAGCGCAAGATCGACTATGATCTGAACCTGGCGCTCGCCCAGGCTGCCAAGTCCGCCGGCGTCAAGGTCTACGTCCTGATCTCGTCGGGCGGCGCCAGCGCTTCGTCCATGATGGCCTACCCGAAGATGAAGGGCGAGCTGGAGGATTCGGTCAAGAAGCTGGACTTCGAGCGCACGGTGATCTTGAGACCTGGCTTGATCGTGGGCGATAGAGAGGAGAGCCGCCCCGTGGAAGCGGTGGCGAGGAAGCTTGCTGGGCTCGTGGGAAGGCTGGGTAATATGTTCAAGGATCCTTGGGCTCAGGTATGATAGCAGGATTTGTTCGTGATACCTGCGGAGCGCTGATTTAGAATACAGGACAGTGATGTTATAGCCCGAGCTGCGGTCAGCGCTGGTCTTAAGGCGCTACAGGAAGATGCCCCGAAAGTATGGGAGGTTGGGCAATCTGAGATTGTGAAACTTGGGAGAACGGAGTGGAAAGCTTAATATAACCTAGATGCTGGGATTTGCTTTTGATGTATACTTAGGTACGGTACGTGGGAGTTCCATGGACCGTTGTTTTCATGAATTATTGTATAGCTTGGGCAGGAATTATACATCTCAGACATACATCCGTCTAAACCCCAATTCATCCATTTAGTTCTACTAATATCTCAAATCTCAAGCAATTCCATAATTCACATCTAAAACAGCTTCTTCGCCTTCTTCGGGCTGCGAGCGACGCTCTTCTTCCCCTGGTTCGGATCGTTCTCAGGAGCTCCTTCCTGCTGATCCCTCGCTTTCGAGACCTCTTGATTCGCAGGCGAAACATCTAAGGGATTGCCCGAATTCTATATATCACCAATCATTAGTACTAGTCCTTCAATTGCCGTCCCTCCATTTATAGGATGTGTAAGCAAGCCGGAATCATGCAAGGCCGACTAACCTCATCCCCCTTTCCAGAGTTCTTCTGCTCCTCTGGGTCCGTCTTCGTGGGATCGAAAGCGGTATCTTGTCGTGCAGTCGCATCGTCAGTGCCGCTTTTGCTGTACTCTGTTGACTCGGTGTTGATGCTGTCCTTGTCTTGGCTGTCTTTTCGAGGATAGGATCCCAGTGATGATTGCGAGAAGGGACGGATCGGGCGAGTTAAAGAGGGAGAACAATGTTGTCGAGGTCTGATGCAACGTCTTGTTGCGAGACGGAGAACATTGGATCCAGACATGTTGTGGAGGGTCTTCGTTCTGAACGGCTTTTTCTTCTTAGATAGCCGTGACTGAAGATAGCGATTTCAGTACATTAACTATAGGAGAATGATGGGAACATCTGGGCACCTACTTCTATCTTTTACTTGTATTGTTTACCTCATGTCAGTATTGCCAGGTGAAGTCTCTCGAGTTGATGGCCAAATCTCGACCTACGTCATATGGACGTGATGCGCGGGGATGGACTTTCAGAATACCCTTTTTGGAGACGTTGCTTTTTATGAAACAACAAATAACGAAGTTGGAAGATCCACTCGTGATTTCCAAACATCCTGAATACTGCTCATCCGCTCACAGCACTGAAGCCTGAAGAGATGCGGCCATGCATTGAATTCTAAGGATCTATGTACCAAGGAAACTATCGGCGATAACGCCAACGCAACGTGAGCACCATTTCCCCAATCATTATCTACCTAGGTAGGTATATCAAGAACACGAACGCCAAATCCAAACAAGACAAACATCCGTCCCGTGCTACGCCAAAGATCCACCTAAACTCAGTTCCCAAAGCAGAATCACCATCTTCTTCCATAAATTGCATCTTCTCGAACTGTAGCGCTGGCCGGTCTAGTAGTGGGAGGAGTACCTTTCCGGACCCGCGCGACAGATCCTTCTCGGCTTGGACCTGGACTGCTCGTTGAAACTTCCTTCAATATCCTAGGCTTCTGACCCAGATTGTATCGACCAGAAGAAGAATGTGGTGGCCCTTGCTCCGCATCGCGTTTGAAGAGATTCAATATCTCAGACATACCCAACTTGCCTGCGCCACCCTTTCCACCTTCAATCGTCTGGTTTGCAAGCTCTCGTTTCTTCTCTTGGAGATCCAGGATCCTCTCTTCAACTGTATCTTTGATAGTGATTTTGTAGACGATGACATCGATCTTTTGTGTCAATCGATGGACTCGATCAATAGCTTGCTCCTCCACGAACTGATATCTGTCAGTAAAGGAAATGCCATCTAGCATGCTAAATACTTACTGGGTTCCAAAAGGGCTCAAGGATAACCACACGAGTGGCCGCAGTGAGGTTGAGTCCTAGAGATCCGCACTTGAGACTACAAAGCAATACCCTACAGTTGGCATCGTTCCGTAATTTGCTGAGACTCGCCTCACGAAGGTCGTTCTTCATGCTGCCATCATATCGAGTAAACTTGAATCCCTTTTGGCGAAGGAAGGGTTCAATAAGATCTAACATCGAGGTGAACTGAGAGAATACGATAAACTTGTGCTCAGCTGCTTCTTTGCCAAGGATCTTGAGCAAGTGTTTGATCTTAGTCGAAGTCGCAATTTGTGCGAGCTGGCCTTCTTCGTTAGACGACGAATAAATCTCATCCTCAACTCCCGATTCGGGTCCTGAGTCTGTATCTGAGTCTGACGCGTCCGGAGTGGTGGCTTCTTTCTTGGGATCCTTTGCCTTGTCCAAGTCCTGAAGATCAGGGAATGTCTCATCGTCGGAATCAACCAGCCACTCGCCACCCCCTTCAGCGTCTTCATCATCTGTTCCACCAGCCTTCCCAAGATGAAGGGGGCCCTGCTCTTTCTCAGGAACTAGCCAATGGCCTCCATCCTCCTCATCTTCGCTGTCATAGACGATGGCACGATTGCGTGGCTTTCGGGGTATCGCTTGAGAATCTGATTTATTAGAGTGGTGGTGTTTTCGCTCCTTGTCTTTCTTCGATTTAGGCATCTTCGAAATGTCTTCCAGATCGGCTTCACAATCCAAGCAGCGAACGGCTCCTTGTGATACGGCCTCTTTCCCTAGCTCAAGTTGGCAAACTTCGCACTTCTTGGAGCTGACACCCAGAGCGCCAAACATATCCGCCATTTCGTCTACATCTGTGGTAGAGGCTTTACTCTTCTGACTGTTGTTTTCGGTTGCAAGGGCCTCGCTGTCCTTAGCAAGATTTCCTGCAACGAGCTTTGGATGGTTGCAAGCCTGTCTAAGACGTAAAAGCATGACCAATGCACTTGCATAGCTCACCTTACCAGTCATCATCCGCTCTATGCTGGCGTCGGTACGCTCTTCAAGGCGTTCATAGAAACGACGTTCTTCGGGGGAGAACTCGGCAAAGACTGTCTCGATTTTGCGTTCAGTGACCCTGAATCCATTTTTACTCCCCTCTCCTGCGACAGAAGGTTTACCACCTGGATTCAAAGCTCCTTCTTTCTTCAATATATCCTTCGTTCGACGCTTCATAAAGATCTTTAAGTAGTGTCGCAGGCGTTTGATAGCGACATCTCCTCTGCCGTTTTTCAATGGACGGTCGATTTGATCCTTCCACTCCCTCAGATCATCATAAGGCTTGATCCTCAAAAACTTGATGAGACTTTGTAGCTCGTCCAGGTTATTCTGCATTGGTGTTCCCGTCAGACACCATCGGTACTCGCTCCGTAATGCGTAGCAAGCTTGCGTGGCTTTGGCGTTACGATTCTTTATCGTATGAGCCTCATCTAGGATAACCCTGTACCAGTGGAGACCAAAACATCCAACCTTGATACCATCAGTGTCAGATGAAGAGCTTCCAAACTCGGATACCAGGATTTGATACGTTGTAATTACAACATCGTATTTTTTCAAGTCTTGGAACCGTTTTGTACGTTGAGGACCGTGATGGACACAGACTCGGAGTGAATGTGAGCTTTCGACCTTCTCCTTGATTTCCAATTCCCATTGCCGAATGAGCGCGAGAGGTGCGACGACCAGCGTGCACTTTTCCAGACCAGCAGGTAATTTGCGTTTGGTATATTCGTCATCTCCAGTCGATGGTCTTGGGTTGCTCAGAATGAGAGAAATGGATTGCAGTGTCTTGCCCAATCCCATATCATCTGCAAGAATGCCTCCTTTAGGGACTCGGCCTTTCTTCCCTGTACCCAGTTCTCTACCTTTCATCCATTCCAGCCCTTCAATTTGATGCGGGAGTAGTTTGACGTTAATACCGTCTACGGTACCGTCATCTTCTTCTTCATCTTCACCATCAGAAGTAACTGCCAAATTTTCCTGCTCAATACTTAGGCCCTTCAGTTTTGCAAGCAAGTCATTGGACTCCGCATCATCCTGTCTCTTCTTACGGGATCTAGTCCGAGGGACGTCTTCTTCATCCTCGATGGCTCCCTCCAATAGAGCCTTGAGATCTTCTTGAGCCTTGGCTGGGTCAACAAAGGTATACGGCTCAGGTGCCCGATCGCGATAATCTTCCTTGGTGAGATCAATGAAATTATTGCCCGGATTAACGGAACTGAATCCCCCGTATGTTCCTCCTAGGGAACCGAAAGCGGGCTGTGGTACTGGTTTGGTTGTCGTGAACGGTGCACTTATTGGAATTGGGGCCCTAATTGGTACAGCATCGCCTGGAGGTGGACTGTAACAGTATAAGCTAACCATGAATTATTGTCTTTTAGAGCGCAATGGCCTACCCGTATTTGCTTTGTGTTTGGTATGTAGAAGGAGTTCGGGGTACCGAAGTCTCCATATCCATTCTCGAAGCATCCTTGAAGGCTTTAAAGTTTGCATATGCTGTACAGAGTCAGGATCATTTCATATGATAAAAGACAGAATAATATACATGGCCTATTTGAATCTCTATGATGCTCGGGTCGGGCCTTGGGCTGAATAAATACACTCGATTCTTTCTGAGCAGGTCGGCGCAGTGGTGAATGGGGCATGGTTGGTTGTCCAAACTGTGGAACGGTTGACTGTGCAGGTTTGGAGGAGGCCTCGCTTTCGGCCGCTCTTGGAGGCTGGTCATTTGGTACTACAGGGCGTAGAGGTGCCTTTGCAGGCGATCTTTCGTTGACCATTTTGTTTTTGTGTTGACCTTTCCCTAGAGATCGTGAATGTTGCTTCGATGCGCCGAGTACGAAAGGTATCGGACTGTTGCTAGCCAGATGTGGGGTAGAAGTAGGTTCAAAATCTGAATCCGTTTTGATGGAGAAGAGGGAGCTTGAGTCGCCAAGTTCGCTGAGCGATTTACTTGGGAGTTGTGATGGCAAATCCCCTGTCCTCGAAGAGTTTGTAGAGACCTTGAAATCGTGTTGCCCGTCTGTGTAGGCCGGTGTTTGAGGAGTAAAGATTGGCCTTTTCGAATCGAGGTTATTGCATGGGGCGAAAGGACCTCTATACAATGTCAGCAGATATCCTTCGAATACACTACATGACTGTCGGAGTTACCTCATGAGATTCGAATGCTTCGACTCCTAAGATGTATCACTCACGAAAGATAGGAATTGGGGTAGCGGGCGACGTGCAAAATGCCGCGTCGCGGCGGTTGATAGAAATAGTCGTCATGGCAACCTTATCGTACTACATATGAAAAGTCGAAAAACCAGGCTTTTCAGGCAGAAAGTTTTCAGGGCACAGTTATTAATGTTAAGTAAGTATATAAGTACGAATACTTCGATTCATTACGCACATCTAACTCCAAATCAAAATCTCGTTTGTTGGGTATCTCGAATCCGTGACTTGTAGACCTGCGCCTCAGAAATGCAACCAAGCTGCCAAACAAATATCGTACGTATCTCGTGAGCTTCCTTGGCCTTGAAAGTTGCGGAAATCATGCACGAGAATTGCTCTTCGCCTCAGGCTTAGCAGTCTTGTGCGATTTTCTTCCAGACTTCGTATCGAAAAGGCTTTTGACCTTTCTGAGTCTCGCCCAACGTTCCTTGTCTTTCTCTTCTCGGCTCTTAGCATCTTCCTCTTCACCCTCGGTCCCAAATACACCGCTACCCGTAGCAATGCTGCTTCTGGATGAAGGCCTCGGCGTAGTATTCTCTCCGAGACGTTCTCCATTATGCCGCAAGTAATAGTCGTTCTTCAGCACGCGAAGTACGATCTCCCAGCCTGCCATTGCGGTACTCGCCGTCTGGGCAGTGGGTTTCAGACCATTTTGAGAGGCAGCATTTCGCCAGGGACAATAGTCTCTGTGCTCAGTTACGACATTTAGGTGGTCAACTACTGGTCCTTCGACTTCTTCGCCAGCTTCGTTGATTTTCTTACTCTTGAATAACCAAAGCCCAAGAACCCTGAAACATGCCTGACAGGACACGGATCCAAGCTGAGCACCCAATCGATCGTGCGTGTATCCCTGCCATCCGAATAGAGCCATCTGAAGGGCAACCTTATTGATTTCTCTCTGTGAGGCATTTTCAGTTGGCGGAACCTCCGAGGGAGTGTTGAAGAAGTCCTCTGGCAGGTACTTCAAGACAAGGCCCAAATCAAATCCAGGTGGTGTTTGTAGATTGAATGCGTATGGTAGTGTATCGCTTCTTGCGGAGAGTTCATCGTACCGTTCACGTAGGGTTTGGAGAGTTGTTTGGGTGTGATTAAGGGGGAGCTTGAATATCGAATCTGAACCTCTAATTAGTACTTGTAGACTATCACCATTGTACTAGAAATCACTCACCGTCACAGCCTCTTTTCCTCCATAGGCAGTCCTCGTCATGTGAGGTGATAATGAGCTCTGCGTATTTATCCACCAAGGCTTCTTCTGAAAAAAATGTCAGTAACCAAGCTGTGAGCTGTAGCTGTAGCACCTACCAATGTTCTGCGCCACATAAACAGGCTCATCCTTGCCATCTACCTCCTTGCGATTAAGTTTAACCAGTATTTCCACATTGCAGAGACAGCATCGAACTCGCTCCGACTTCTGACAGACCCAGCCTCGCTTTGCCCATTCCACTTCGTTGACTCGAGCTGGTTTCGGTGTCCAGTCCGTGAGATTCGAGAAAGACTTGAGGCGCTTGAGAAATGCCGCACGATCCCAGGGGGCATATTTGGGAGTTTCAACAGCCAAAATCCCAGATGCCGGTGAAGCTGACTTCTTCTGCGTCATGGCGGACCGGATGCTTGTTGGGCTTGTGGATTTCGACAGAGTGTTTCGAGTCGAATTTGCGGAGAGAATGCGGCGTTTCTTTGCGTGTGAGTCTGCGTCACCACGAGAATTCAGGTCAACGCTGGAGGCATCGTCTTTCGATGTCAAGGAGGTGGTTGATTTGTTGCCAATCCCGTTGAGGAGGGCGTGGAATTTCCGTTTTGTCGCATTCATGGCTGAATGAATGTGATTGTGATCCTGGAACTAGCGTCATACAGGAGGTAATTTATCTTCGAGGGACGAATAGCTAGATATGTTTAGACTTTCTAAGCATCAACCATAATATAGTGAAAGTTTATAGAACTGGGTGGGTAGTGTACGCCGGTATAGAAGTCGCGAGTATAGAAATCGCGAGTATAGAAATCGCGAAGTCGAGGCCTGTAATCCATGTCATGCCGCGCCGTGCCCCACAAAGAACCTTAGTACATGATGCAGATTTAAAGGCACGTTTTCAACGGGTACAACACATGAAACGAGACGCAAGCAAATATATTAGAATCTTCCGTGGTCTGCTCTCACACCGTATCCTATTTGTGTCCTTCATAGTCTTGACGCTGGCTGCCTTTACGAGACTTTGGTCACGGGTTTCTCTCTTCTCTCACCATCTATCCTCGTCAAACGCTCTCTTCACCACCGCTGCAAAGATGTCTACATACAGCAAAGAGCTGGAAGTTGCAGAGCTAGCTGTTCAAAGAGCTACACTTCTAACAAAGAAAGTTTTCCACGAGAAGGCAAAGGGAACGTTGTCGAAGGACGATAAATCCCCCGTCACCATTGGCGACTTCGGTGCCCAGGCTCTCATTATTCATGCCATCAAGCAGAATTTCCCTGATGACGAAGTAGTTGGTGAAGAGGAGGCAAGCTCTTTGAGAGATGACCACAAACTGCGTGATCAAATTTGGGCTTTGGTCGAAAGCACGAGACTTGCGGACCCCAGCGCCGAGAAGATCATAGGAGGCCCAATTCCAACTGTCGATGCTATGTTGGATGCGATTGATGCTGGAAACAGCGCCGGAGGGAGCAAAGGAAGGATCTGGGCTCTGGATCCGATTGACGGAACGAAAGGTTTCCTCAGAGGGGGTCAGTACGCAGTTTGTTTGGCATTGATGGTTGATGGAGACGTCAAAGTTGGTGTCTTGGGATGCCCAAATCTCCCTGTGGATGACTCTGCACCTCTGTCTGCTGATGTCGGCGTGGACCAGACGGATTCAGATGGAAAGGGTGTTCTTTTCTCAGCTGTGGCTGGACAAGGAGCTACAAGTCGACCCCTAGGAACGGCAGGACTTGGCCAGAGTCAACCTATCCACATGAAGCCTGTCAAAGACATTTCGCAAGCAACCTTCTGTGAAAGTGTGGAGGCTGGTCATTCATCTCATGGGGATCAATCTGCAATTGCATCCAAGCTTGGAATTACTAAACAGAGCGTAAGAATGGATTCTCAAGCAAAATATGGTTCCATAGCTCGAGGGGCAGGAGATATCTATCTTCGACTTCCTGTGAGCGCGACGTATCAAGAGAAAATCTGGGATCATGCAGCTGGAGATCTTATTGTAAGAGAGGCGGGTGGACAAGTCACAGATTCTCTAGGAAGAAGGTTGGATTTCAGCAAAGGAAGAACGCTCGCCGAGAACCGGGGAGTTGTTGCAGCTCCAGCCGCAGTACACGGCCACGTTCTTGAGGTGGTCAAGGAAGTCTTAGCCAAGAAATAGATCCACTCCATAAGCCCAAAATATTTCTACAAATGACATTAGAGATGTTACAAGTATGAGGTGCCACTATTTGATCTTCTTGGCCTTCAGCTTGATGGTTTCGCCGTTCACAAAAATCCCCTTTCCTTTATACGGTTCCGGTACTCTCCATCTCCGGATATGCGCCGCAAACTGTAGAACAACATGCTTATCTGGACCCTCTAGCAAAATACGCGTTGGCTGTGGTATGGTCACCTTGACGCCTTTCGGGACCGGTAGCTCGATGGGATGAGAATATCCAACTTTAAGCACAACAAACTGTTGGCCTTCGAATTCGGGGGCCACTGTGGTAGCAGTATTTTCGACTGTCGCTCTGTACCCAACTCCTACTAATCTGAGAATTGCTGTGTGTCCTTCTGATACCCCCAGTATGTGGTTTTGGAGATATGCGCGAACAGTTCCTAAGCACCGATCAGTAAGGCGGAACAGAAACTTTGATTTACTACCATACCCCACATCTCCCGTTGCTTCTTTGCCTCCTTATCTTCGACAGTCACATATGCCTTCCGTGAAGCTTCGTCGTGCTCAAGCTTGACAAAGGGCGGCACTGTCATCGACAGCTTGCCTGCAAAAGATTCAGCTCATTTCTAACCACCAAGCTTCGAACAACCTACCCAATGGACCTTTGATTTCGACAGTTGATTGCGCCAATGCCCGGCCATTCTTGGGCGCATCTGGCTGGAGGATTGTGAAGGATACTTCGGGGGGTATGGACAAAGGTGCTCGTCCAATTTGTGAAGGTCGGTTCGCTGACGCAGAAAAGGATCTGGAGGGAACGACGGGAAAGGCAGGGAGGAGGAATGAAGGTAGAGAGATGGATATTGGAGAGGCGACGGCCCTCTCCAGTCCTCTTGCACGCGCAGTAGAGAACATTGCCAATGTGCGTTGCTGCTGTTCTCTCAGGAACACAAGACTCGCGCTCAATTTTGGGAAATCGGCGGGAAGACGAGACCCTGGCGTTCGCACGTGACCAATTCGCACCTTAAAAACTCCAATGCCTGATACAGGTAAAAAGCGAGACTGATGACGAGGAACAAGAAGATATAGTAATGCGATCGCGGCCCTGCCTCTGTCTTAAGTCGAGACAGTCAGTCATCCTATTGCCATAATGAAAGAAGGTATATGGGATTAGGCAAACCGGGCCAAAGCATTGAGAATGTGTCGTCCTATTCAACGGTTCTGTAGGTGCTGAAATTCAACCTCTGTTACCTACGGCTTCGAGTGAGAGGTGAATATCTTGTCGATATGATAGACAACAAGAGTTTTGAAGAGATATTAGCGGAGAAAGAGTTCTGCAAGTACCTTCTCTTCTATAGCGGTTACGAAGTGATGCGTGGAGCTCCACGTTCCTGCTCGATCGTCAGCTTTTGTCATTGGGGTATCCTGAAAGATACAAAATACTACAAACCGCTCTCAGGAGGATTACAAGAAGTTTGTCTTATTACAACACGCAAAGTGGCTGGCCGATCTGATACAATTACTCTTAGGTTTAGCTGAGTTATGCCTTGAAATCCTTTTCCAGACTTTCCAGCCTTGAGGAGGATTGCCAGGTCAAGATGTGCAATGCCCCAGTAAGAAAGGGCTGATGTCCTGTTTCATCATATCGTTCATTTATTCTTTTTCGCCTGTCTATAGAAAGAGGCCTTGAGTTCTACTTCGTGTTGTTGCCTGCTGGAGCTCTGCGAGATCAGAGCAAGTCTCTCTATTCACATCCCTCCTCTCCCTCTCTGCCCAGAGCCACTTCACGTTTGCACTGTGAGGCCACCTTGCTATTTTGCTTTCGTGGACTCGTTGGGCCCTGCCGGATTGGGAATTTCTTGCCCCTTTTGATCAACGTTCGCTCCTTCCCTTTCCACCCCCAACCATCTCCCCTTCCACAACTCCAAACATCTCAACTTCAGCTCTTCTTCAAATCGCCATCAACGACCTGTGGTATCTGCATCTCTTTGAACTAGGAGTAAGGAGTTTAATCTATCATATCGACGACTGCCATTCACCTCTTGGTATGCAAGGTAAGTTGGGCTGATATCCCGACGCTTCATGTCCAGGTCTGACTTCCATTTTTGCCCCAAAGGCATTGTGATCCGTACACATTATGAAGTTCTATCAAGCCATCACCGTGGTCCAGTTTCTGGTCTTGGTCACCGCATACAACCCCTTCAAAGGCGCATCCCAAGCCGCCATGAACGATGGTGAGGACCACCGTTCGAAAACTATTTTGCGTATGCTGACCAGCTTACAGACGAGCTAGAGATGGCCACATATCTGGAATTCAATCCGGATGAGCTGCTCAATTCGAGGTCGCGGAAGCCAGAGATCTATACCAAAGCCATGCTCGAACTTAAAAGACTCGAAGAGGAACCGATTTGCCACCGAGTCGCTGTCCAGCTGTTGATGAATAATTGTCAAGGTCTGGAAGATGTGGGTGAAGACTCCTATCAATGGGATAATGGTCACCTTCAGAGACATCATGTTGAGAGTTTTGCCGCCAGCCTAGCTATCTGTGATCTAGAGCGTGGCAGATTTATTATCCCGCAATCATGTACTCTATTCACGAGTTCTGCTCTCCATAGGATTTCTCGCGATGGACGGGGCAAGTTACAAGTATCTCCGGAGCAAGTGGGAGGGTGCTTGGAAGCCCTCGGTCAAGATCACTCCCATTGGAACACCTGGCTCAGTTATCGTGATAAAGCCCTCCTCTTCTGCCGAGCTGCGCGAACTGATATTGACAAAGGTATGTTGAACTACCACCTTTTGCTTAGATTTCGGGGTGTTGATAGTGTATAGACCAGGCAATCCAACATCACAAAAGGCTCATGCAAATTATGACCGAATTTGCTGATGATTTGGAAAAGGACCTGAAGAATATCAGGGAGGACATGACTGAACGCACTCGTGCTACAGATTTGTATTTTGACGGAATGAAAACTCACCTCGGAGATCTGAGAAGCGACATTCAGCATTCAGTGCGGGAAATGTCCAATGATATCACGGTTCGTCAGCTGCATTTATTCAAGTAATACCACTAATTCAGACACTAGAACTTTTTTGCGGCAGTAAAAAGCTCCCTGAGCAGCACAGAAGATCTCGATCGGATGCTGAGGAGCCTATTTCAGACGGCCGTCCGAGGTACCGCTGAAATGGCTGCTGAACAAGAGCAGGCTCTTGAAATCACGACAAAAAATACAAGATATCAAATGGTGCATCTCAACGATCTAGCAGGAGAGACCGGAGCAACGATTGCGGAATTAAGAGAATCTATTGTAGGTTGAGCTCAAATGCTCTTCCATTTCGTTCTAACATTCAGTAGCACCAGCTTGTCCCAGTAATCATGTCCCTAAATGAGCGGCAGAATGCTTTAGATCAGGCAAGTTACCGTGCTCCCGGGATGAATGCCATGCTGATGACTGGTAGAGATCAGAAGCTCTTTACGCAACCATGGCCAACATAACTAACCTACTACAAGACCATACTGAACACCTCGAGCAGGCAAGCTTCGCAGTATCTTATATCCACTCCAGCCTGGAGAAGGCAGCCACCGCTGCAGGCTCGTGGAATGCAACTCTCATGGGAGGCTCCCTTGGCAACTATAGTCTTCGTATTGGTACCCCCTTAACGACCTTGATCCTCGGAAACTATGGTCTTCCTCCATCTTTATTCCGAAATGCTGCACTTCTCCTTGGAGGTAGGTGAAGGCTTTCGTCTAACTATGCATCCAGCTAATTCCACTTGCCATAGGTATAGGATTCGGTGAGATGCTGGTGCAATTACGACACTTAAACTGGGCATGGGTGTGGAGCCATGAGCCCTCAGCAGCAACGGCATTTACCCACCTCCCACGAGAGCACGATGTGCGATCGCTGGCAGCGGTACCGGTGGAGGCTGCGCTATTACCATGAATAAATTGGGCGTCAGATTTTCATTAATGATCTCAATCACCAAAACAACATAATAGCCGACTCCTTCATCTAGGGCAAACAGTACGAGAACGATATTAGTATCAAGCCGCGAAAATATTACAAGCTTTTGCTAAGAGCGCTCTGGGACATCACATATTTATTAACTAGGATTCGGCAAGGCATGGGACCAGGCTTTTCAACATGAGAATATCTTACTGCTTGGTCAAAGGTCGTTCAGCTCTTCGTGGGTATTGGGATATTGCGTAGAAGGTTCACGGTAGAAATTTTAAGCTCATACTTACTATCGCTCGTTGCGGCGTTGTCTTTTATTTCCTTAAAGTGACCAGTTGATCGTGTTTCACGTAGGTCAATTATAGAGGGTTCATTCGAACACGTGCGTCTGCGTACAAAAAAGCCACCAAAAGAATAGGTCAACAGACGATCCCAGATCCGTCGTCACCAATGTTACAGCAACCAAAAAACCATAGGAGCTCAAACCAACTAATGTTCTCGGAAAAGACAAAGTGGGTATAGGGGTATGGGGTATCGAGTTGTCAATTTAGAAGCAACGAAGGAACGAGAACAATAGCAAAAGCGAAAGAAACGAAAAGGCCGCTGGCCATTAAAGTCGATATTCCTACGTATGAGTCGAGATATATTCCACACACCCCTCTTTCCTCATGTAAATAAGCGTACAAAGTGAAATCAATAAGTTGAGGCTCGGGTAACGAAAGTACTGAGCGTAAAGGGTTCGACGGATGAGAATTAGACCGTGAGACTGGAGGGAGAGATGTCTGTGATTGATTCCAGAGATCTATAGGTGTGGAATATGTAAGTCACAAAGCATCCGTTAATGGAAAGAGTGATTCCGTACCTTAAATTATTCCTCTTCAAATCCTCGTTCATCTGCTCCAGTTGTTGTGCAGTGACTCTAGCTTTCGCTAACTATTTCCCATCAGAAATGGTCAGTCAGTGAACTTGTTCTTCTAGCGCTTCGAGATTTTGATATTTGGACGGGTTTCGAAGGAGAGGACTCTAAAGAAAAACACCCAAGACTAAGCATTAAGAGGGGGTGTCCGGACCGATGCTAAAGCGGCTGATGAACTATCGTGCTCACCTTCTGCCACTTCTGGTTCTGCGTCTGTGGCAGGCGAATCAGCTTCCTGGGCGAACCGGCTTGCACTTAGGCCAGGCAAGGTTTCTATAGCGGGAGACTTTGGCGAGGGGAGAGCGGCGCTCTGTGTCTAGAAAGGGTCCCCATTAGAATTGAAAGATGAGACGAATATATGAGCAAGGGAAAATCAAACCTTTGCTTCAGCAAGCTCGGCATCCTTGACCTTGAGTTGAGCTTCTGCCTCCTTTAACCGTGCCTCAAGGTTTGCGACCTTCTTGTGCGCTTCCTCCGCCAATTCGGTCAACGAGCTATGCATGGAGAGGTAGTCATCCTGGGAAGTTTTGAGTTTGGCCTCAACGTCAGCCTTCTGCTCCTCGAGTTGGGCCTTTGCCTGTTCCAAAGCAGCCTTGGCAGCCAATCGTTCCTCGAGTTTGGCCTTTTCCTGTTCCAAAGAAGCCTTCGCAGCCAATTGTTCCTCGAGTTCGGCCTTTGCCTGTTCCAAAGAAGCTTTGGCAGCCAATTGTTCCTCAAGTTCGGCCTTTGCCTGTTCCAAAGAAGTCTTGACAGCCAAGTGCTCCTCGAGTTCGGCCTTTGCCTGTTCCAAAGAAGCCTTGGTAGCTAAGTGCTCCTCAGTAGCTTTTTCCATCTCTTGTTGAGCAGTCAAGAGCGATGCTTGGTGCTGGTCCTTTAAGGTCTGCAACTCTTTTCGGAGTGCATCTACCTCGGAAGTATCTGGCTTTTTACTTTTCACAGCGTCCAGGTCAGCCTCGGCAGAGGCCCTGGCCATCTTCTCGTGGGCAAGTTCTTGTCCGAGATTATCCAGCTCTTCCTGGATCTTTAGCAAGGCTTCTTTTGTCTTTGCGTTTTCGTCTTGGAGTGCTATCTCAGCAGCCTATCGAATTTAGTCTCGATCACTCCAACTAAATGCTGGAGAGCCTACCTTATGCTTCTCGGCATCTGACAGTGCGGCCGCTTGGCTCGCAGCATGTTCCTCCTTCAGGGCGGCAATCGCTTCGGCATGATTTGCCCGTAGCTGTTCTAACTCAGTGGCATGGGCAGCATGTCCGGCAGTAATTGCTCTGTCATGAGCCTCATCCAGACTCTTTGCATGGGCCGCCTTCAATTCCTCAAGCGCTTGTTTATGAGCAGCGTCGTTACTTTCGATAGTAGCAATGGCAGCAGCGTGTTCTTGCTTGAGTTGTTCCAATTCTTGGGCATGAGAAGCGGCAGAATCATTATGAGATTTGGACAGTTCTTCGTGCTTGGCTTCGAGCTCTTCATATTTTTCCCTAATGCCGGAGTTGCCTACCGAAAGTTAGTATGCCAATCGTCCATCATAACAACTGAGATCAGTCCAGAAAGCCGAATGCTTCTCCACATTGTGCTCGCGGATAGCAAATCAGACGTTGTGACAGGAAGAGAACTTTGGGACGGGAAAGAGCTCGCCTTGTAATGCATCTATCTCCTTCTCGTAGTCATTTGAGATGGTTTGCAACTCCTTTTGGTGCTTCTCCTGCAGTATTGATATTTCCTTAGTCTTGTCTTCAAGGCTCTTGAGCGCGGTGGTAAGTTCGGCCTTGATTTTGTTGAGCTGCTCGTCTTTGTCCTTTCCGTCCGCATCAAAGGTGTCAATAATCTTCTGGAGGGAAGTGATCTCTTGCTTGGCTTGCGTTAAATCATTTTGTGTAGTCAAGTATGCCTTCTCGTCCTCTGCACTCTTGGCTTGCAGGATCTCATACTTATTTGATATTGCCGCAAGCTCTTCCTGAGCTGGAAGAGCCTGATTGTTTGCGGATTCTAACTTGCCTTGCAATTCTGAGACCTCCTTCGTCAAGTCGGATATTTTGCTAGTCGAATCGGCTTCCTGGGCCTCAAGCTTCTGCTTGTGTGCAGCTTCCAGGGCTGCCTGGTTGGCGGCCGCCTCTTCAAGCTGCTTTTGAAGCTCGCTAATCGATGTCTCGTACTTCTGGGTAAGGTCTGCTACTTGCTTTTCATAGGTTGAAGTAGACTCAGTACTCCGTTCTGCCAGCTCCGCGGAATGAGCGGCTTTCAGAGCCGCTAGGGCCGATTCATGCTCATCTGCCAGTGATTTTCGCAAGGTTTCAAGGGCTGTCTCCTGAGCCGTCTGCTGTTGCTCCCCCTTAGCAGCAAGCTTAGCCTCGTACTCAGTTTTCAAGGCTTCGACTTCTGCATTACCGGTCTCAATTTGAGCCTTCAAAGTAGCAAGTTCAGCTTCCTTTTCTGCAAGCGCACTTGCTGTCGCGGCGCTGGCGTCTTTGGCACTGGCCAGCTCAAGCTTGATTGCCTCCAAGGCTGTCGAATGCTCAGCCTTGAGCTTTTCGAGGGCTTCTGCAGTGTCTGTAGCACCCTTCGCAGTAGCTATTTGCTGCGCCTCCTCGATTGCTTTGAGCGACGCGTCCTGTGCGGCCTTCTGGGCGGCTTCAGCCTCTGCCAACTGAGATTTCAAACTCTCGATGTCGGCATTGTGGGTCGCATGTAGCTTTTCGATAACTGCTTTATGTTGGTTTCGAATACTCTCTTCCGCTTCAGAAATATTTTTGGCTTCCTCTTCGGCCTGTTTGCCAAGCTCAAGGAGCTTCTCTTGAGAAGAGGCAACTTCTTTCTGGAGTTCTTCCACCTTGGTCTCACTATCTTCGAGCTTCGCTTTTAACTCGTCGATTTCTTTCGACGACGTTGATGAAGATGCGGAATGGCCTGCTGGTTTTACTGGTGTCCTGGAAACTCCAGTAGTTCCAGATATTGTTGAAAGTCTCTTTTTAGCATCCGTGGCCGCTGCGCTACTCGCAGGTTTGGCAATTGGAGCTGACCTGCTTGTCGTGGTTCCCGAAGCGCCTACAGTCCCAGTCGTTCTCGCAGTAGTGCTCGATACAGCGGGCTTGACGGTGTGCTTTGGGCTTGATAAACTGGTTGGCACCGCGGGCTTTCGTACTGTTGATGTAGATGGGGCTGCGCTTGCTCTTCTTTCGGTTGCAGTTTCAGGCTTTGCGGAAGAGTGGTGAGTTCCCGAAGGAGCAAGAGAAGTTCTCCGAGAGGCAGTAGGTGTTGGCTTCTTTTTTTCATCTCCAGAGCCGCCAATCGATGGTTGAGATCTGTGACCCGAACTGGCAGAAGTAGCTGCAGTTGCACTGCTAGCAGTCTTTCGCAGAGTAGATCCAGCCGCAGGACGAGCGGGAGGTTTGCTCAGACCCCCAGTTGTTCTAGTAGATTGAGCGGCTGAAGAAGCGGTGGGTTTCGACGCGGAAGATGTCGAAGTTGTCCCAGGACGTCTTGCTGCCAGAACACCGGGCCGCTTTGGGGGAACAGACTCCTTCTTCACTCCATTCGCGGCTTCTTTTGGCGGGGTTTCCTTATCTGTGTCCTTGTCTGTTTCCTTTTCCGTTTCTTTCTCGGTCTCCGTTTCTACTTCAGACACCAACCCCGTTGTTTCCTCGCCGGACAGAGTCTCAACTGGAGATTCATCAGGAGGGGGGACTTGGGGCACCTCGGCTTCGGCCATGTTGGTAATCGTTGGAATATGAAGAATTTGGGCGATATAGGTTTTTGGATCAATTGCTCTGGAGGGCAAATAAATCAGCTAGGTGTCAATATGACTGATGTGAGGCATCCACAGAGAAGAGACCAAAGCTTTGAAACGTGCATTTCAGCACAGCCAACCGATTGCCAATAAATGGAATGAATAGTCTCGTAACGCCACCATGCTTCGTGAAAGAAAGAATTTTGGCAGATGACCAGGTAGCCGGGAGAAGAGAGGAGGTCTGAGACTCACTGCGTGTTCAATGATTTGTACACCGCTCTGTTCCCTCTTCGCAACTTGAGAATTGAGGTTGCGCGAGATACGCGACTGGCGACTGAAGGCGACACGAAGATACCGGACGTGGATCAAGCTCACCTCGAAACGGTTTTTGCTTTCTTGGCCCTATTAGCGACTCTGCAGGCAACGTACCGAACGAATCAATGCTATGGGAGGGAGAGAAGATTAAGCATTAACACAACACTCCGTCAGGAGCGTGGATGAAGAGGGGGGTCCGTCCCATTTGATTTTCCTACCCCTGAAATATTAGCGAAGCGCCGGACCGTCCAGCGCCAGGGTCCACTTGACTCTACCTTAGGTACAGGAAAAATACTCCGGAGATACGAAAGGGACCGTTTGCTTTTTGGAAATCCGCGTTGCTCAAGATGGGGTCATTACAGAAATTCACAGGCCATGCGGTTGGAAAGTCGAGATCAGATTTCTAGTCTTGATTTTACTGTACCATACCTCGCGAGTACTGCGACTTTCTGCAGTCCCACTTCACTTCACGGTGTTTGCTATATGAGAGATGTCTGGAATATCGGCATGAACAAACCGCTATGAGCGCACTGTACTGACAAAACGAACGGGTGTAAACGAGATGTGCTTACATGTTCATCGCCTTAGAGGAAGAAATCGGACCCTATATAATAGCCTTAGGCCCGGTCTTGCAAATAGATATCTTTTACCAGGGAAGCTCTCAAAAGCCGTTTTCCACGTTAAGTAATCATGAAAGCCAAATTGCTTAAGACATCTCCGCAACTCTCATCATCATTGCATGTCATACCTATGCCCCTGTTGCCCGGCTCGATCCAGACTTGCTCGCATTGGCATCGGAAGGTCTACATTAGTGTAAATTCCCTGGGATGATTGCGAGCCAAGAGCCTGAAACAGATTATATAGTCGTGTATGCTCCATTACCTCTTCATCCATCGTTATGCAGAAGCTAGAACGGTAACCCAACAATCGTTGGACATGTATACCAGCGCGGATCCGATAACGTGGCTTGACTACCGACGAGAGTTGAGACAGTAGCCTCAGGGCCGAACAGTAGTAATAGTATAGTATCTGATGGTAAACAGCAAGCAGACGCAGGTAAACATAATATCAAATGCAGGAGCCGTTGAAAATGCTAATAGCGGATCAATTGTAGACTAATCGAACGCAAGGGTATCTGGGTATCGTCTGCCTGCCTGTGAAGGCGTAATTAAGCCGTTCAACTTGATCTGCGCGTCAAGAAAGGGTATTGGAAGAATAAAATGTCCACCGCATCTAAGTCATCGAAACAAAACCTGGAACAATATCCTGTCCACATCCGCCTACTCCTGCCATTACAATCTCCCCTCTCCATTATGATATACTCGTATTGACGAAAGTAGAGAAATGCGTGGATCCGACGTCGCGGTCGATAATGACCGCATGTGCTTATGCAGTGGCCGCAGCAGGTGCAGCAGGCGCCTCGACCTTGGCGGGCTCCTCCGTCTTGGCGGGCTCCTCTACTTTAGGGGCTTCGGTAGGAGCAGCAGGAGTTTCTGAATTTTAGTCAGCCCCGATCAGAAGTCATCTTGTACTTAGAAGTTACTCACCAGCGGCTGCATCCTTAGCGGGCTCAGCAGCGGCAGGTTCAGCAGGAGTCTCGCCTAGATGGGGAGTCAACAAAGGAGTGCTAGGCTCAGACGACGTGACTTACCAGCCGGGGCAGGAGTTGCCTCAGCAGCAGCTGGTGCCTCGCCAGTTGTAGCAGTTGCTTCGGCTGGTGTTGTGGCCTCGGCGGGCTTATCGGCCTCCTTCTTGCTCTTCTTGCCCTTGAATAAGGCCTTGATCTTGGCCTTCAGATCGGAGAATACGTTTGGTGCTGCATCGAGATGTTCGCGTCAGCAAATGAATATCAACAAACCAATACGAAATCTAATGAGAGGAAGGGAAAATGGAAGGTAGGTTGAGTGCTGGAAACACGCCCATCGAGTCTGTCGAAGCCGTGACGAAGGGATGGATATCTGATAATAATAACACGATCCGAGAATAGGAAAGTGAAATGGGAATACATACGGACGCCAGGCATTTTGGAGACGGGGAAAGAAAGAATCAAAATTAGTATTATTGAGGTGAAAAAGTGGAAGTTGTAAGTTGTAAGTAGGAGGAGTGAAACGAGATAGCAGAGTTGTTGGGGGAAAGGTTTGTCGGATCAAGGTCATGGTCACGATGTCAATAATAGCCAAATGAATGCCGAGACGAGATTCGCTAGAGCTAAGGTACCTGCTATACTAATCTAAACTACTTAGGGCATCTATTTGTAATCTAGAGTCGCAGACTTGCGGGAATGTGGAGGTAGACAGTGGGTCATGTGAGATGCTAGTCTGTAGGTGGACTAGATCACTCGCTAGGTTGATTCAACTCCAGTCATCAAGATCAAAACCGCCACCTCCAGACTTTAGGACTCAGTCCGTACCGGGTACCTGAGGTACCTAGGTACCTCTAGTACTGTCCTGTTTGCAAGTAACTATTCCTTTCTTCCGTCTATAAATCATCAATCAGTCTGTTTGTGCAATTTCGTGAAATCTGTATTTCATAAGTCTTTTACTCCTGCTCCGTCAGGCAAGATAACCTAGATCCATGCTAAGACGGCGCGATGCCCGACAATGCTTTTCCCCAGATTCCCATGGTATGCCGCCGCTATTATAACGCCCGAATCCCCCATGCCATAATTACTTTGATTCATGCCTCTTGTCCGCCCATGGCGCTTTAGTTGGACCATCGGGCTTGCTAAACGATGGAGGGTTCGCGCCTGCTCCTGTATTTCTAGGTGGTCCACCAACAGCGTTTGAAGGGTTGCTATGAAGCCACGGCGCTCTTGTAGAAGGCATCCCCTGTTGTGGCGGCCCTGTAGATGATTGCGCCCACGGTGCCGCCGTGGACCCCATAGTAGCTCCTGGAGGTGGATTTGCCCAAGGAGCTCTCGTGCCCTGAGCTGGTGAAGGTCGGGCGGTTGAAGCCCCAGAATTGGAAGTACCGGCCGGCTGATTCGCAGTATGGGCTGATTGCACCGGCGGCGTCGCATTTGGATCTTGCTCCCAACTGAATAGCGATCCGAATGGGAAATGCTGGACGACTGGGAATTTTGACAAGACTTCTGCATTATACATCTTGATCATGCCCTATATCTTGGTTAGGGTTGGACTTGTCAGAGAGGCTGTTACTTAGACTGACCTTATTTATCTTGGCCCACCCTGCACGAACACCAGAAATATCGAAAAGTATAGGGCTGTGTTCCCAGAAGGGTCCGGTCTTGACATCGTTAATGAATCCAATGGCTGCGAAATACATGTTACGGCTTCTCTCTCGGTCAACCACGTTCTTCTTTGTGATATCCCCAGGGTTCGGCGAATCCGGCAGAGAGCCTTCAACTGGAATAGTCTCACCCGGTTTTATAGCTGGGCAATACTGGGCTGAGCCGAATATGTAAGGTAGGAAAGAATGATCATCTAGACCCCATACTCCATGGGATCCGGCAGGCTCAAGGGTGTATGTGAGAATAAGACGACGAACGACACGCAAATATCTGTTCAACAAATATCAGTGCCATTGTGTATGAGGTTTAACGGGTGCCGAAACATACGGCTCTATTACTCCCATAACTATGCTTCTCTCTAAAGATCCATCTTGGGCATAGCCTTTAGAAAACCCACCAAGCTTCCAAATGCAACCTATAAATGCAAGAAAGCTAAGTTCGTGCCCCGTACCATAGTCCAGTCTCTGAGAGCTACCAAAACTACCAAGTAGGTAAGGAGTGAGCTCATCCAAGGCTGAAACACCGTCTGACTTGGAATTGAAGTTAAGAACATCTGCCGCCAAATACGCCTGGAGAAGGTCGTGCACTCGCGATTCTAGAACTTCATACCATTTTCTGAAACTGACGTTACCAAATCTCCGGGGTCCTGTGTCAGGTGGTACTTCTTCGATAATGGCGTCTATGCTTTGTAGCAGCTCTTGCAACTTGCGGACAGGCTCTGACAGTGGGATGGGTGAATCAAGCTGCCATTTCTGAACTCGCTCTGAACCATGGTCTTTCCTTGGACACATAGATACATTGAGCTGCATGACGAAGGTGCCAATATCTCCATAGGCTCTTGATGTGAGGAACTCGGACACATCGTGACCCTCGTGGATTCTCTTGGTCGGCTTGAGGAAAGTATGAGGCTGTGTAGGGTCCAGTATTGGCAAGCTTGTTGCCAGTCCAGAACCCTGGTTTTTCGACTGTGAATTCATCATGATATATGCGATTGCAGTCGTGGACTGCCCAGGTGGTTATGGTGATGCCATCGTAGGTTGTTATGGAAGCGCTATCGAGGAGCTTTGATCACCTCTTGGCGCCATTCGCTTGTGTGCATATCGCTCGTATCGCTCGTATCGCTTTGCTTCGCTTGCTTGACATCAACTAAGGGTACCACCTTATTTACCTTTGGACATCGGGCTACAACTTGATTTGTTGTTTACTACCTACCTACCGTTGTGTAGGTGGAGCTTACCCGGCTACAGATAACGAGTGGCGAGACGCAAGCTCAAGTCTTCGTTCCACCCTTAGTTAAATCGGACTTCATTCGCCCTGGAGAGGGCTCAATGGCGCGCCTCAATACCAGCGCTCCAAGGCCAAGAATGAAGAAAGCTCAGGCTAAATCGACCACAGATGAAGATGAAGCGGAAGCTGGTAAGACGATTACTTCCCCGTTCCTGCAAGAGACTGACCTCTGCGTTTACAGGGATCGACAGAGAAAGTCCAGCTGCGCTCCTGAATCGGTCTATTCAAGGCTCGGGAAACAGTCGAAGCCACAAGGAAGTTAAAGGAGGCAGATTGGCCGGGATAGGAGCGCAACCAACCGTTAGAGAGGCACATAACCTACCAGAGATTTCTGACAATGGTGGGGCAGAGAACAACCAAGTACTCAACTTGTCAGTAGAAGGTGAAGCGATTGCGACTCCGCCATCATCTGCGCAAAATCGCGAGACGAAGAGTCTAAAACGATCTCTGCCGAGACCTGACCCATACGATGTACCCCCCGACGATTGCGAACCAAACGAACGCCGCGATACGGAGAATGAAAGTGATGAGCCTCCCCGCAAGCGTCTGAAGCTATCTAGGACGGATCCAGATTCAACAACGCCAAGGCCAGGCAGGCTTATGAATACGCTTAAACTCCCCCCTCCATCAGGGAGTCGAAGACGAAGCATATATTTGGCAGAAGGGCAAATTACAGTTTTGACAGGGAACCTGCAAATGCCAAATGACTCGGAGATTACGGTCGGTAATAATCCACCTGCCAAAGCCAAACGAGGACGAGGACGCCCGAAAAAGCAAAACCGTACTGATGCCACCTCTGGCGTCATTCCAGCGAATGAGCCAGCGGCCACTGGGGCCGCAGAAGCTGGGCTTAATTCTCATGCACCAGCAGTTGGAGAGGACGCAGCAAAGAGCAATGGTGGTGCAGAATCACCTGTGAATGTACAAGATGGAAACCCTCGAGATATAGGGAGTCCACCTTCTCAAGAATCGGATAACTCCGATTACAAGCCCGATGACGAAGAGGACATCGATGCTGCAACTTCTCGATCGAAAAGCTATGAGAGAGCGACACCTTCAGAAGCGTATCTTATTGATCCTGGAACTTTTGATATAATAAAGGACGAATTGAAACATGTGGGGCATAAATTTGATAAAGAAACCAAGCAATGGTCTCAGAAGCTCGAGAGGCCGAATTCCAAAACCATTCCGGGAAAGAGACTGGAAAGGCTTTTGGGCCAACTGGCCGAGTCATATTGCGCTCTTCGTACATCGAAAAGTGCTGGGAATCCTCACGCCATTCATATTGCCCGAACAGAAGTGATGCGTGTCATTGAAGAGATCACCACCAAGAGCAATGAAATTGTGACAGATCGACTTAAGCACACCGAACCAACAACTGAAAGCATACAGAAGACGAAGAATTTTCTTTCTGACCTATATTACGTCCTTCTCCAACGCTTCATTGATGCTATCAAAGCTGGAACTGAAGTTCATACTGTCGAAGGACCAATGACTACTATTGCTCTTCAGGAAATTGCCAAGCTCCTTGAGATAATGAAGGACCTGGCGGAGAAAGCGGTCGACCAGCCATCCAATTTACAACCAAAAGCCCCAAAGAACAAGACATATCATATACTGAAGCCGATTCGCCAAGTGTTGCCCATGATCAGAGAGCTTCATAGGAAGATCTCACGTGAGCTCAGCAGAAGGAAACGGGCTGAAGAGCTTGCGAGATGGGAGAAAGTATCTGTCGAGCGAGAGAGGCGTCGTCGACAAGAGGAAATAGAGGCGCGTTCAGAGAGGCAGCGCAAAAAGATCGCATTGCATAGATTGCAGAGACGGGTTTTGGACGAAAAGTTGGCTGATCCATTATTGCCTCGATGGGCTAAGGCGGAAATTGCAAGATATAAAGTCAAGCCAGAGTCCAGGAGGCCACAGACGAAGCTCAACGCGCGTATATCACAATCAGCGGGATCGAGACAGTCGTCCATTGCCGAAGTCTATGACGTGGAAGAGATGGAAGGTCCTCCCTTCCACGATGATCCTTTCGACGAGGGGACGGATGGTGCGGCATTTAATAATGATGGCTATGAGCGAGTCAAGATATTCGGAAAGAGTAACAGACAACAGCAGGTTCCAAAGCCGTGGTCGACTCAAGAGAAGATGGTCTTCATTGATACAATGAGGTTTGAGAGAGGTAACATTATCTCAGCCGTGCTTGTAATTCATCGAAGGCTAACATTACATAGGCGAGGATCGATACCAAAAGGCGGCTGAGCGGCTGCAGCGGAGCTTGGATGAAATATTTGAACGCGCGAAGGACCTTCAGGAGGCCATGGACACGGAGCATGAGAACGGGAGGATGAATCAACCATGTGACGAGTGGACCTATGACATTTGGGTCGAGCAACGGTAAAGGCAGGCATGAGTATCTATCATAGGCGTTATTTGGTCTGACATGAGGATGGAGACAGGGTCTCAATGGTGCCTGTATGTGTATGATACCCCAAAGGCCAGTGATTCCCGTCGGCCGAAGACTGGGATAGGCCTTCTTTTTTCCCTTATTTTCGCATGGCGTAGTTGGGGAAAGGAAAGTGTGTACCGGCTATCTAAAGCGCCGGGGTCGAGTATCGAACATAGCGCTCTAATCGGTCAATATGAAGGTTTCTTCATCAATGCCATGTTGCCCCTGATACACATACCACGCGCAGTCGTAACAATTAACTTGTTCTATCGTTTGCAAGAGCTGATACAACAGCCGCTTCCTCTCATATATGCTTCCTCACAAGACGCACCACATGAGTTTCGGAAAGACTCCGATTTCCTTCAAATTTTCTGTTGTGCTTTCCACTCCCTCGCCACATCCTCATACTTGCAGAACTGTACCTCCTCGCCTCGACTCTTCAGCCACGAAATCATCCGATCAATCATGCCAATGACATGGGCCATACCCGAAGTATCAGGATGTAGCACCAGCGGGAAGATGAAGTCGCCTTTTCCTGCACCTTCGCCATCATCATCATCATCGTGTTCATGGTAGAGGAATTCGAATCTCTCCTTCCACATATCCATAATCGACCCCGTGGAGACGTAGCCATGGGAATTAGGCGCTGCGGGGAGGAACTGCATTGGTGTCATGTCTTCCATGTACCAGTTGCAGGGCATCTCGACTAAGGTCTTGGATGTTGGGGGAGAGGGGCTGGGAAGTGGTTTCATCCAGGTGCTGGCGGAGAGGTGGTGCGAGAAATCGATGGGTTTGATGGGTGGTGCGTGAGGGATGAAGTAAGGCTTTGAATCGTGGTGTGTTAGGGACGAATCTGTGCGAAAGGTTAGTATAGGCACTCTGAACGATTGGGATGTTTAAGTATTGGACTGACCATATAGGAATCCATGCTCCTCCAATAGCTTCACGGTATGCTCTCTGAGCTGGTATAATGGCGCTCTCCATCCCCTTGGTTTCTTGCCTGTTAGGGCCGTGGCTAGCTGTACGCACTTCTCGATCATCTCCTTTTCTTGTTCCTCGGTCATCTGCGTACTGCCTTCATGAGCATATCCATGGCAGGCGATCTCGGCACCACTCTCCAAGATCATTTTTGTTTGGGTAGGGAATGTTTCCATTGAATGCCCGGGGATGAACCAAGTCACCTGGGATGCAATTTTGTGCTTTTTGAAGAGCTTCAGAAGACGCGGGACCCCGACCTGGGCAGCGAAGAAACCAGAGGAATAGTCAGCCATATTATTGTTCTCATGGGCTCCTGTGCCCAAGAATCCAGATACGGCGTCGAAGTCAATGCCCAACAGGATCTGGATTTTTCGTCTACGTGGTGAAGACAATGCAGGGTGGATGACAGCTGTAGGAGGGAGAGAATGCGCTTTCTCCGCGATTGTGACTGCAGGTGAAGAGTCCGCTGCCTTGACAACTTCTTCGGCTTTCCAGACTACTCGTCCCTCCATTCCGCCATCTACGCTTATACACTCTCCAGAAATATGGCCTGCTGCACGATGACTTGCGAGGAATGCCATTGCACGAGCAACATCCTCGGGTTGAGCAATCTTGCGTAGAGGGACTGTGGCCTGGGCTTCAACCCACATCTCCTGAGGATCATCAAGTCGTCCTTCAATCAGTGGTGTATCCACCCACCCTGGTGCTACAGCATTAATGCGTGCTTTGCTATTGAGACGTACGATCTCGTTCTTTACGCCTCGGACGAGACCGTACTGAAGACCTGCTTTACCACTTGCGTACTCGGTGTGTCCGGCTTGGCCAAACTTGCCAGTTTCAGATCCCGTGACTACAATGGCGAGATTCTCCAGTTCTTGGCCGTTATTTGAGGCCTGTGATTCTGCAGCACTGAGGAGAAAGTGTTTAATTGTTAAGAATGTTCCACGAATGTTGGTATTATAAGTCTTTTCCCACAGTTCAAGGGGGATCTCCCAGATAGCATATGAGTTGGACTCATCCGTGATACCCGCATTTGCAATCAAAATATTGATAGGCCCGTGGTGTTGTTTGGCTTGTGCGATGCATGACTTTATGGAGTCCTCTGAGGAAATATTGCCTGTCACCGTGAAGAGGTTTGGCGAAGACGGAAGGTTGGTAATGGGCCGGAGATCATGAGCTGTTACTTTACAGCCCTGACCTGGAATTATATTAGATCCTGAGCTTCTTTATTCCAATTTATCTTCATATAACTATGAAACGCATGATAGACAACTCACTGAGAAACTCTTTCACAGCTTGGCCTCCAATCCCACCAGCTGCCCCCGTGATAAAAACGTGATATCCTTCCAGGCCTAGAAATGACATCTCGACTAAGTGATACTTTTGAAGCAAAGGAAGCGGAATTAAAACAGCAACGACACTGTGCAGACATAAAAGGAAATCAAGAGCTTATAAGCCTCCTTGAAGCTCAATCGTCTACAGCTCGAGCAGGGTATCCCACTTTCGCGGGGAATCCATGACAAAAAAGATAAGAAGTGATTTCCTCTCAGCCCCTGCTATCTACTGCCCCAATAGTTCTTTAAAAGAGTTCGAGCATACATGGGGAGATGGTAAAGTTCAGACAGTGAGGATAATTGCAATTTATGTGTCATGCGAGGATGCTGAAAATACAGAAGAAAATAATTTGTGGAAATCGCCTTGAGAATGGAAGAGCATTTTTGGGCCACAGTTTGAAGTAGAGAGAATATAGTTCGAAGTAAAAGCTAGCGCGGGGTACTATATAGGTCATCAAGCTCAAATATGGGGGACGTGGAAGGGGAATTGGAAGTTGAGGTTGAAGTTGAAGATCACGACTTCGTGCCGTGCCTGCTGGATATCTAGCCGAAGGATTAGATACCTAACCTCATGCTCTGTACGGCACAGGTACAATAATCATGATTCACATGGTTTTTAAATAATATGACCATCTATAATCATGTATTGTAATAATAATCTTAGGACATACCTGAGTGCAATCATACACTTGATACAACCGTAGGATTATATAAGGTTTGGCTAAAGTAGGCAGACCTTCATATAATCACATACCCCTGATTAGCAGGTCAGGTACAGGTCCCAGATTCATCCCAAAATCTCATGATTGTGTCAGATTAGACATTTCTAGATACCACAGCAAACCGTGCAATAGAATGTTGGACTGTTTAAATTTCAGATTCATGGGGGAAAAGGGGGGGGGGGTTTCCTTCGCGACTCGCTTAGTCTCTCCAATGGGGAAAGGTCTGGCTAGACCATGGCTCTTTATCACACCTGCGTGCGTCTATCAACCCCCACCTCTATCGAAGGACGGAGGGGTACCTTTCCGCGCAGTTCACTTCCACTTCCAGTTTACAATGCTTGACCTTGAAAGTGCGCGCCTTGGGCTCGGACTGAGATTTGATAACTATTTCTAACAGAACACCCCTTTCAAAATATTCACAATTGCACGACGGGGGGACGAAGAAGTGGTGTGGTGGTATGTATACCTTACCAAAGATTCCTACCCGAACTATCTGCTGATCTGGAGCGCAGGAGGCAAATGGCGCCGGTGTACAAGATTGCTGTTATACAGCTGTACCCGAAGGTTCGTCTTACTTCGTACTTGTTGTATTTTACTGTATTGCTATTTGGTCTTTGTTTCATTTTCGAAATCTATGTCCTGGTTGAAATCCCACTCTCGGTCATCTGGGAGGAGTTCCCGTCCTGATGCCAGCAAGTCATCTGACGTCAACATTTCTTCTCAGATGCTCTGCTGTTAAAACGAAGCCAGCATCTTCCAAGACAAGCAAAATGTTTTAACTTTTTCATCCGTCTTCAAAGGAAGAACTTTGAGAGAATCTCTGCTCACCCAATTCTACAGCCCCTCGCTATAGAAGCAAACCATGCCAAAGCCGTATCCTTCATCCGTGACGCCGCGGCCAAGGGCTGCCACCTTGCCGTCCTCCCAGAATACCACCTGACCAACTGGCTCCCCGACGACCCAGGCTTTGCACCGCTCTGCGCCCAGTATCAGAAATACCTCGATGCGTACTGCGCGCTGGCCAAAGAACTGCATATCAACATCGTGCCCGGCACGATTGTCGAGAAGCACGACGACGTGCTCACCAACGTCGCCTCGTTCATTTCCCACGACGGCACCATCCTGAGCCAGTACCAGAAGAAGAACCTATGGCACCCGGAGCGCCCGCACCTGACCAGCTCGCTGCACGACCCGCACGAGGCCTTCGACACGCCGCTCGGCAAGGTCGGCATGCTGATCTGCTGGGACCTGGCCTTCCCGGAGGCCTTCCGGGAGCTGATCGCAGCCGGCGCCAAGATGATCATCATTCCGACGTTCTGGAATCTGTCGGACTGTAATGAGGCCGGGCTGAGACATAACCCGCGCGCTGAAGCGCTGTTCCTGGAGAGCACGCTGGTGGCTAGGTGTTTTGAGAATACCTGCATGGTGGTGTTTGCCAATGCGGGCGGGCCCGTCGGGAAGAGTACGAAGGGTACTTATGCGGGGTTGAGCCAGGTAGCGGTCCCCTTCAAGGGGGCGCTAGGGAAGATGGGCGCCGAGGAAGGGATGAGCGTTGTGGATGTTGATATGCAGATTCTAGAAGACGCGGAAGATAATTATAAGGTTAGGGCTGATATAGGAAAGGAGGGATGGCATTATGAGTATTCTTTGACGAGATCCACACCGGGGAACGGTAAGGAGAAGTTATGATGAGTTTTGATTTCGGGAAAATTTGATACGCGATGTTAAAAAGGGTTCATTTGGGGGTAGTCATTCGGAACAAGATATTTTGAAAACGCTACAATAGGGAGCGTTGTCTCAATTGAGGTCCAAGGAGCATGTTAAATCATTAATTCGTATGGTGACTCCCATTTCCGAGCTCAATGCACGTGTAGTATACAGGGGGACGGCCACAGTCCCATCCATGAAATGTGATAATACCCACTGAAATCGTATGCAGCTCCCAAATAGCTGCAAGTATGATTTTTTTTTCTTCTTCTGTTTTTTCCTTTCATCTTTTTGAAAACACCAGCCGTGATGCTTTCGACGCCAGCCTCCGATTTCATTAGTATTCCTCTCCACCAAAGGATCCAACTCCAGGGTATACTTTAAATCATTAAAAAGGCATCCATCGTAGTCAGGTGTTATCACCGCAATTCGCTTGCCGGCACGCTTATCCACTAAGAACCGTCAGATACCCCCTCTGGACTACGTCCCTCAAACCTTGGAGGTTCTCAGTGGAATGGGTTCCTGCAGGACTCGTGTTCGTTTGCTCATTCTCTTTCCTATTCTCCAAAGCGGACGCTTCAGCTCTGCCTTCCTCCGTAGCAGTAGCTAGATCTGCGAGACGTTGCAAGCCCTGACTAGCAGTCAAAGCATGCTGGCTTTCAGGATTGGAGTTCGCAGCACTGCCAGCTCCGGTCGGGGACCCGGAATTTTGTTTATTGAGAATCATCTCTTTAATAGCGGCATCCCATCCTGAAGGCGCAATGCGACTTTCCACCAAGGTTTTCAAGCCCGCTTCCGCAGTCTCCTTCGTCTTATCATAGCTAGTCAAATCGATCAGAGTCGACGATGCGAGGGCCGTAGCGTGATGAGTCAACGGGCTGATGAGAGATGTGTTATGCGTAAGTTGGGTGACGATGTGCATGGCAGGAACCAGGATATCTTCCGGATCAGACGTAGAAAGTCTAAGCTCCAGAAGGATTCGGAGATACCAGTAGCAAAGGTGAATGAGTGGGAAATTAGAAGGCGGGAAAAATGATGAGGGGAAAGACTCGCGGCACCTCTCAAGCTCGCCTCTCAGTAGTACGCCATACATCGAGGTCGGAGGAACACCAAAGGCGGGGAGGTCGGTGGGTGTGATTTGCACTGCCGAAAAGTGTCCGAGGACGATTGATAGACCTTCAAATGTTAGACAGGACAATATAATCATGGCTTAGGAGACTTACGGGCGAGATGGTATAGGTTATCTCCCAATAGTGCTTGATCTTCAGGGTATACGATCACACTTCCATCAGGAATTAATAGAGGACTTGATGTGCTCGAGGCATGCCATCTATCCATCATAACCAAGCTCCACCATATTCTTCTTGCCAACTTATCCTCTGAATCTGGGTCGTTTTCGAATTGCTTGTCAGGTGGTGTATGTACATGCAACTTCATCGAATAGGCAAGTCCGACGGCGCTACCAAGCCATACCGAAGGGGGCAGCCCAGTTTGACCTTTCGTAGCCGGACCGCGATTGTCGGCATCGATAGCCATAAGCAGCATGGTCTGGAGATAGACCAAGTTTGTCGACAGAGTATGGACAGTGGCATTCTCAAATTGTGATGCTAAAAGCTGTGCTGCTTTCTTAGTGCTATGGCGTTCAACCGTTGCAGTATTTGATGTCGGGAAGGATTGGACAGCGGCGTGTAAAGATTCATAAAAGGCTTCTCTCAGAGATGGTGGGCAGTTCGAAAGTCTGGAATTGACTCTAGCCTTAGACTGAGACAGAAGAGGATATGTGGGGTGTATAAACTTGTAGTAGCTGGAAGATATATAAGCATAACGAATCTCAAGGGAAGCTCTTATTGGGTACACGTACCTGTCAACTACGCTTTCATCCCAATCTACAGCATGATCTGAGTGCCCATGTTCGGCTTGAGAGATGCTATCAAACGAGCTGTTTTGTCGAGGGGGCGGTTCAGGAGCATTCCTCCACTGGGGGAGAGGTTGAAGGCCATTTGGAGAATAGTTAGGTTCGCGAAACACGTGGGGTGCAGCGGGAGCTGTTGTTGGAGTTGCGAATGCTGATGAAGGGTGCGGCAAATGTCGTGGGGTTTCTTGAGTTGGCCAGCTACCAACGGACGGCCTTTGGGGTTGGTAGGGAGTACTAAAGTCGCCTGAGATAGATGAATAGGTTCTCTTTCGTGGCGAGATTTCGTTATTTGGAGGTGGTGAAAACTCGCCAGAGCCACGCCGCTGTAAAGGGCTATCATGATGCGGCATGTATTGGACCGGAATTTCGCTTGCTTGCATGACCCCTTCAAGCGTGTTCAGTCGGTCGGCAAGTTCTTTAATATATCTAGAAGCTCGCATTAGATCGAGTATGTTGCGAAAGTTGAAAAACATACCCTTTACTTGGCCCTCTCTTCATCGGGATCCTGCTAAATTGGCAACGGATTCCGACGCGTTTACAACTCGAGCATTGCACATTGCCTTCCTCTCCAGTCGCATCGCACCTAATTTTCTTGCGCCTACACTCATCACAAGCCCTCGAGACCTTAGATCTCTTCCGCGGCGCCATAGATCCATCGGGCGATCCATACTGACCGCCCATCTGATCCATTGGCGCATGACCTGCCTGTAAATGTGCATGGGACTGATTCTCATGCTCGTAGGGATGATTCACGGCGCCTTGACCTCTAGCACTTTGCCCATCTGACATGCCTCCACCAGGACCAGCATTCATAATAGGAGCAAGGCCACGCGACAGTTCGGCGAGCTGAAGTTCATCGGGGTTGGAGAGAGCGGGCTGCTGCTGTTGACCCGAGGACGATGAATAGAAAGGCCCGCCACTGTCTGCCGCAACGGCGTTGGGAGACGGGTAGGACTGCATAGTTGGGGGATCGGACTTGTCCATAGTCCTAAACCTTCGTCATGGGCAGGAATGCGGGGTCTGTTGACAGGGAAATGTCAGTCCTGATACTGCACGCACTTCGTCCTGCTCGGCAGAAAGCTGTCGCAGATGGGCGCATGCTTCAGCTGTTCTCACGCCACAGATCTTGGGCCAATGAACTTACTTGGAAAATCACGGCTACAAAACCACTATGCGATCATAAAAACGCGCTTCCTGAGCACTGAGGCGCGCTTTAGTAGGCCGTGGAACAGTCGCAGCTGGAAGTCGAACTGCGCTTTCTAGGACGTAGGAAGGGAAGCTTTCGGAGAATGGAAGAACCCTGGCCGAAAGGTGGTGGAGATGTTGTTGGCTTCCTCTTCGCCAGCGAATAACAGAGCCTTTACCCGAGCGCGCACACGCTAGGCCTGATGGGGGAGCGGGAATTGACGTGTGGTGCCTTAGGCAGCAAACCTCTGCCGACGGTGTGTCGCGAGTGAAACTGTCCACAAGAAAAGAAATACTTTACAAGTGTCTGAAGCAGAATATTGGGAACAAGTGTCCCCTGTCTGTAACCCTCCACTCCTATGGCTAAGCAATCCAATCTGTAACTTTTTCTCAGAAGATGCACATATCTCTCCGCACAATCAACAAGCACTGCCGGCAGCAGATCACCCCTTGTCTGTACCAGGGACAAGTATAAGCCCTATCCTAGTCAACCGTTGTTCTTAGACTCCCTACCAAAAGCAGCCTATTCTGGCAGGTGATGTTATGGATCCCTTGCCATTGTACAGATGTTGAAAGAATGACATGCAACGTGAGTCGTCTGGGCAGGAGCTAGGATTTATGTAACGTTCAATTTTCCCTGAGAATTCCCCAGCGGGAGCTGCTATCTTCGATACTATAAAGCCATACAATATCAAATTCAAAGTGTTCCGTCTTGGCAGAAGGGGAGGACTACTCGTACCCGGTGAAATGTTTTAGAAGGCCGTGACAAGGGGCTAGGTAGTGGCTGAACCTCCTTATTGCATGCGAGTACATGCTTCTTCTAGATAACTTTTGTCCCAAGTTCCAAGTTTCAAGTTCCTTTCTTTGTCCACCTGTAATAAACGAATGGCAGAATATATCTTGGCAATTCAGAGGTTCGCACTACAATCGTTGTGATAAAGTCAGAACTGCTAGGTGTCTACTGAGGTTTGAGGAGATCTTGTATTCGATATTCCAAGTCCTTCAAGTCTAATCCATATAGATCATGCATTGTCGAGCGCCGAGTCTAGGTTACAGCCTCACTCAACGCGCGCATGTCATTTGACCAGAGTCATAAATGTCCCCATTTCCATTTCTCCCTCTCTGTATACAAAAGCCCCGGTATGTAGACGATTAGATCTCGGGTGGAGGGGTTAATCGACAGTCAAATTGTGTGGGGATGTATCCAGAAGGTTAGTTTGTCTGGAGAAGGTCTGTTTTATCACACTCCAAATCTCTGCTTTCGTTCTGATGGAGAGTTGGAGAAATCGTAAGGCATTCTTCACGGCATGACATAGTCCTAGTTAGGAAAGCCGTCTCAAAGAAACCTACACTTTTCATACCATAACAGAAAGTCTTACCGTCAATAGCAAGAGGTAGAAGAAGGTTTTAAGAAAGAGACAAAAAATACCAGGGCAGAAAGACAAGTGGAATTTGTCGTTTAGAACACATCAAAGTGATTGGGATGGTCAAAGCATGTCTTCTGTTAACAATGCCGTCTATCTGTTTGCAGCTTGCATTGAAATATATGACGTTGAAACAGGTCTATAAACATCTAGAAAGTGCTGTTATCTCCTCGCCACAAAATCTTCGTATTGTATCCTAAGGAATACTTCAAGTCGTCGGCAGACGGCAATCTCAGAGAGAACAAATATTCGCTTGAAGGCCTGTTGCCTTTTCCACACGTGTTATTGAGCCACCCACACATTGTCTTCTGATAAGTCACCCAGACCACGGTTGTTGTTGCTGGATGGAAAGTCATTTATCCAGAAAGCTTCATTCTCTTCCCCTGTGGAAAGGAGCCGGATCGTGTTGTTATCGTCAAAGTTGGGCAGTGTCTGCCCAGCCTTGACATCTTCACCAAGAGTGCCAAGAGGCAGGCCGTGATTAGAACTCGCATGGCTGTTGGCTGTGGCAACACCTTTTAAGAAAGCGTCCATGTCAAGAGCTTCGATGTTGTTGCTGCTAAGCAGCTGTGCCTGCGGTAAGCCCATGTATGAAGACGCAGTGCTGAGACGGTATGCATCTATTTCACTAAAGTCCGAGTTATCAAGGTCGGATCCGTATTGATTGTTTAGCACAGTCGGGGGGTTCGCTCCAATCTCATTTAGAAACCCGAAATCTTCGACCTCTGACATTTCCCCAGACGTGGAAGTAGTAGTCAGAGCGGGTTGCTCGGCGCTCGCAAAATCAAATCCAGTGAACGAAGGAGCCTGGCTATAGGACGAAGCTCCAAAATTGTCATTGTTGAAATCGAGACCATCATAGTGGGACCAATCGACAGAAGCTGAGCTCAGACCAGCAGAGAACAGCGGCTGCTCATGATCTGGAATACTCGAAAATCCATCCAGGTTTTGCAGGAAGCTATAATCCCCGGGAACGCCGGAAAGATCCAAAGGCGGGAGAAGTCCATTGAGCTGGTCTAGGTTTGACGTTGGGCTCTGGAGAGGAGACCCGTGTTCAGACTTCACCATGCGCTGCTCTTGTTGTGCGCTAACCATTGAGTCCTTAATATGAGATTCGCTGTGCAACGCATCAATGGTGCTCGTGTGCGGTAGATTGTCAACAGATCTGTTAGCCAAACCAGATGTTGAAGGACCATGAATGGAATGTGCCCTCGGTACAACATATGGCAACCCACACTGGTGGGCCATGTTGTTGTGCTTGTGCACTGGCTTGTGGTGCCCGTTCGTGAAGACCGTAAGACCCGATTCTGACTGGGCTGTATGTGCACGAGGCCTTCTTGCGACCGAACGAGGCAGGGCCTCATCAGAGTCGGACTCGGGAACAGGATCCAGGTGTTCCTTCTTGATGGCGCAGGAGCACCGGGCGCCGTGGCTGCAACAGCAGTTGTCTGCTACATTAATGATCAGAAACTGCTGCTGTGTTGCCTCAGAGACCCTATGAATAGCTCACCCTGAGAATCCCCATCATGTGTACAAGCGCTCTTGGCGTGGGTCTTTTCGCCGCCGCAGTCGCAACGGACATGGGCTGACCGAGATTTGCGTAGAGTTCGACAGTGAGCGCATTGTGAGACTGGACGACCCTGCGGGCAATTGGATTAAAACTTTGCCATTGACAGCAGACAGGATGGCATACCTTCTTATTGATGTGCTGCAGTGGCCTGTCAGCATGCTGGCAGTTGCTGACTCGATGGCCCCGCACACATGCCTCGCAGGCATACTTTTCTCCTTTGATCAACATCTCTCGCGCTTGGTTTCTTATGTCGCCGCGGACTTGAGAATGAGGTGGCGCCGAAGGACGGATGAGTGCCGTATCAGGCTACTAAAGAAATAAAAAAAGACTTCCAAGAAAGTAGAAAGTAGAAGTTGGCTGTGAGCAGCTTCAAAGGGCCGCCGAGTCGATGAAACGAGTCGTAGAAAAGGAGATAGTGAAGTTCATGGGTCCGGGATAGAAAGCAGCCGCCGTTTTTGGGTATATGCCAGTTACTCCAAGTCGAGATTCGAGATTCCAACGCCTGAAAGATGCGAGACGAGAAGAGAGGAGAGAGAGGAGAGGAGACGAGAGGAGAGATTTTACAATGGCGAAGCCTTGCACCGTAACGGCGCCGGCTGAAGCAGCGGGACACCGAATGCCGGTATGGGCGACCAAGATGGAGAGGTTTCCCTTTGAATTCCAATGACGGGAAGTGAGTAGTGGGAGGAGGACAAAGTGGGCGATGCGATCGACTTATACGGGATTACGGCGACCGGGCGAGGGCTGTGGACTTGGGGTGGAGGGCTGCGGCGGCCGGGAGAGGCAGGGGACGCAGGTCCTTGCGGTGGACGACTCGACGGAGGGACCCCGACAGAGCACACAGCACAGGAGAGAGTGCGAACACCACATCGAACCGAGCTTGGTGCTGCTGCGTGCTTGTTGGTGGACCGTGGTGGCTGCTGCCCCATAATAATAACTATCTGCAGTAGGGAAGCGGGCTCTCGAGAATGCAGTTAGGGGCCTGGGACTATGCCTCTGTGAGGGGCAAGGAGGAGAGACAAGGCCAGACATAGCACGGTGTGTATTGGAGCTCCGTACGGTGTGCAGTACACGGGAGAGTCCTATCATCGATGGAGTTGACTTCTGAGCAGTGTCTTCCAAGTTTCAATAGCAGGTCCTCCGCATATCCCCCGTGTGCGGAGAGACAGACAATGCTCTCCGCAGCAAGACTCTGCCCTGCCTGTCAACCGCCCGTGTGTTATGAGGGAATTAAGAACTCAAAGACGGCTTAGAGCCAAGGCCCTTGAAAGCAAGGGCAAGTCCAAGCTGCTCTTAAGGGTACTAATTACTACTTCTTATCCTTACCAAGTTACCGCGTTCTCCGCCGATCCCTCTAACGCGCTGTGATCTACCTAGGTCCATCGTGAATTGCCCATGTGGTGCATCTACATCTACATCCATGCTACATACTCCCCTCCGACCGAAGCTGCTCTACCAACCTCCACGAGGAGTGGCCGACGGGGGGAGGTCGAACTGTCTTGTCTGCTTGACAGGTGGCTGTCACGGTGCCACCCCCAATTATCTCTGCCGACAGCACCTGCATGCGGCCAATCTACCTGGGCTTTCTTTCAACTCCAGTTGGCGGAGGCAGCCTTTACACACACCGTATAACAAGCTTAACGGGGGAGCTGGCTGCACCAAACAAAATACAGGTCAGTTTCACATGGAATGCGGAGTGCGATGCACGGCCACAGTTGAAATTGCAAATAGTTTGTCTACCGATCTCAAAACTCATTCCCCCCCTCTTTTTGTTCGCCCTGCCTCCGTTGTGGCCCGCTTGTCAGCTGGTCCTCTGAGCGCTCGTTGGCCTTACGATTGGTTCATTGGCTCTCGAAGCCCTAAAGGCGAAACTCTAAGTCCACGGCCTCTTCCCGCCACGGGGATCATGATCATCTGCTTTCGTTAAGCCCCGTTAAGGCTTATAGTAGTCTACCTAAGGTACACCGTGCATACTTTTAGCAGGAGTACCGAAGTGCGAAAATTCTCCGGATCTCCCAATTGCTATGTCACGATGATGTCAGAAGCCCTGAGGCATCGAGAGAAAAAGCTAGGTATGAAATCAGGGGAGGGGGAAATAATAAACCAACAAAAAAAAGGGGATATATATAGAAATATTGTAACTTCCTTATTGCGTTCGCCAGGAATCGAACCCGTTGAGAATTGCTTCACTGGCAACGATGGATTTTACCACCATTGCCTGTTGACGGTTTCAGCTCCACGCTTTTCGATTTCGCGACAATACAAAAGCATACAAAAGCAGCCCCCTATTTCTCGTTTCTCGTTCCCCTTCCTGCACCACCCAACACCAACATTTCCTTTTCTGGTTTCCAGATGCTGGCTACTAGGCGCCTTCGGTGGGTTCGCAATTTCGGGATTTAGTTTCCCGTGCGCAGACAAGATGGACACCATGTCGGCGTGTGGCCTACGCCAGTTTGGTGTGTCCTCACACTCCTACTCCTCCTCTTTCCTTTACTCCCATCTTCCTCCTCATCTTTCCTCTGTCCTTGAGAGTTACTTTGGTTATTTTGGTGTTTTTACGATATACTGTACCTTCGCTGGTTACTTCACTTTGTTTGCCTCTGAGGCCTCTCGATCTTCCCGAAGCAGAACAATGGTTATAAGGCTCAAAAGGAGGAGCTACTGGCAGATATCGAGCAGCTTGGTTCGGAAAATAGGCGTCCACCAAAGCTCACCCCCCATGGGTAAGGTTAGGATAATAACCTACCCTAGGGTAGATACCCAACCCATTTCATACCTCAACGTAGTGACCCATGGGTTTCTGCGCAACCTAAGGATAGTTTAAATCATTCGAAGTAGGTACATAAAGTTTAGTCTAAATTTGAATTGTTCCTCCCCTCCTTATCTCTTTCCACAGCTTCTCCATTTACATACATCCTCTCCACACTTCACACATCCTTTCTTCACAAAACACAATACACATCCGTGTAGATCATGGCATCAACTGAACAGAAGGTGTCGGAAATTGATTCCGCTAGCGAAGTGATGGAGAAAGAGGCTAGTCTCGTTGGCAAACCTTCTCTCGAGAGGGACAATGCCATATTGACCATGGGCAAGAATGCCAGACGCTTCATGTCCGAGGGCAAAATGACCAGCAGTCAGTGCGGAATGAGACTTGCTGATCAATTAGAGTGTTTTCGCTGGAGGTTCAGAGTGCAGGAGCATTTCTACCTCGCATTCGAAGGCCTTGTGAATAACAGGCTGCTCTCTCTCGAGGAAAGCTTCTATCATCCGATTGATTGGAGGGGTCGCTCAGAGGCCGTTCAGAAAGTCTATTCCCTCCTAAAGTGTTTCGAAATCCCAAAGAAATGCGCCTCGATTGAACACCAACCTCCGGTGGGCTTCTTCGAATCCCCCGTCTCCTGGCTGGCAATCGCGATTGTGCGCTCTGCGCGCGAACCAGTGCGCGTCTTCGAGTTTTTGCACGCAGGTGGTTTCCTAGGCCCGCTAGATAAGGACAGTGTGACGCGGATGGCCAGCATCGAGTTCGAGGTTAATCCCCAGGAGATGGCCTGCGTGAAACCCTGGGAGCATATCCCCCAAGCTGGCTTCTGGCTCCCTCAGAACATCAAGGAAACAGCAAAGGATATGGAGACTTGGGCCCGCGGCTTCAAGGACCGGTACGAGATGCTCCGCGTGGAATATGAGAAGAGCTATGGTGAGGGGACCTGGGGCGAGAATGAGCAGCTCAGGGACAGTGTGGATGGTTGGCTGAGCGGGAAGTAAAGACGGGCCTACGGAAATATTGTTTCGGGAACTATTCTAGGGAGTATGGGACGTATGCCATAGCACCGGGGGAATATGGGACGCATGCTCTAGATTATACCCCATAGCTTAGCATGAGGAATATATCATTCTTTCACCAAACCTCTGTTCCAACAGATATGTACGATTCTCGGAATAGGCTATAGCTAAGTTTAAACATGTAATATGAAGTGTGAATTCCGTACTTTGTGATCTGTTGTGAAAAAGGATCACACTACAACACCTGTTTCAACTCCCACAACGGCTATATCAAATTTCGTTCCCTATCGCATACCCTTTCCACCACGACACGTAGTGTTATACTTGTGACCTCGTAAGACTAGAAGGACAGGTTTTAGATACGTTAGAGGCACTGGTAGTACTAGGGTGGACTGATTGATACGCAGCTTGTGCCGGTGGTATAGGCGGTTGGCCCGTCCCAACATTGGCTGGCATTGGTCCACCAAACTTGGCTCCATAACATTAGCTCCAAGACATGGAATGGCAATCGGTGGATACTAAGCAAACTGATAGACCAACTTCCAAAGATAACTCTGATCTCTTGGTGCAAATTCACTTTGAGAAGTGGTTCCTAGTACACAGGAATTGTTATGCATGGACGTCTTTGTGTCATAATTCTAAGCAAATTGAATTTTACCAGATGCTACATGATACAAAAAGACCATGTCAGATAGGTGGAAGCGCATACCGTGTTCATCAGCTGGCAGGACCCAAGGAACCTTGCTGATATGTAGAGATGTGGCAACCATTTGTCCAGGTATTCTATCTAACGGAATGTTTACGGTGACAGCTCATTCATTATCAAGATTGAAGGTCACGCTGTAAAGGCCTGGATCCAGCGGATCACTTTTAGTTCAAAGGCTGATGATTGATCATTCATTGATATACACATGCTATTATCACTTTCCCAAAGCACCTAAAATCAGACAACTTTCAATTAGTATGCCTCCGTCGTCCTCTCTCTGACCTTTCACTTTCCGTGCAATTTGGCAGCTTACTTCCTGAGTGCGCCAGCAACTATATGGCATCGCAACCAAATCCTGTCTCTGCAGGAGGCCCTCCCCATACGAGGGACACATCAACATCATCCAAGCAACCCTAAGTCATCTTCTGTTGCTTTTCCTCGGCGGCACGCTCAACTTCTCGTTGAGCTTGTCGTTGATTGTACTCATAGTATATCGAATAGCCGATGACAGCGGCGACCAGGGCGGTGGTAACGGCAAGATTGTCTGCATAGGAAGTCAGCTTCACGGAGACCAGAGAGACATATGTTTCTGGGATGTGATGATGCGTACTCATGATGAAATTCGACAACCCTTCCAAGATCTGCGCAAAGCCCGAGAGGGCACCACCGGCAGCTGAAGACCCTGCTTGTATGGTGCTGGAGCCCGCATCAAAGAGAGATTGTATAACCGCGATGACGGACCCGAAGGCGGCGGTGAAGGCATGGAAGATGGAGGAGATGAGTGAGCTGAGAGAGTCGATGACGGAAGCCATTATTTCAATTCTGTTCGTGGCTAGCAGGAAGGGATTTCAGTTCTATATTGTATATAATATATTAATGGAGAGCTTGTGGTTCGAAGTTTTAGTAGTTGATGGTTAGACGATACAGTTTGGATCTGGATAGTATTTACGGTCTGTTCTGGAGATGGCAAATCAAATGACCTCACACATTCAGGATGAACGGGAGAGCATGGCGTCATGGCCTCCAACCTCCGACCATTTTGCTTCTCTTCTCTACAACGCCAGAAATCAGAACCAGATATAATCCTTTCCAGCAAGTGACATCCAAGAGTAATATTTCTTTGAGTAAGGTCATCAGCCTCCCACCTTCGACATCTCTGCTGTCAGTGGCGTTGTTATCCCTGCGGGCATCCAACGGTAAATGCGGGGACGGCCGCATATCAAACCTCGGCTATCTTCGGCTAAAAGCTTGGCCTTTTTCATTTCCCACAACCAACGTACCTGTATCAAACTTCGGGATTTGGATAGCTTCACTTTCTCCCGTCCCAAAGGGCCAAATCATATCCTTCTATCTGAACTCTGAGCCCTCTTGGTCCCCCTCCCCCTTCTATGGCTAGTGCCTCATCTGCCTTTTCAGGTCAGTGACCGACCCTCTTCTGCTGCGATTTCCGGGTGGACTCAGGCTTTTCGAATTTTTCTTCGTGCCGCTATTCGACGGAGTTTGAAGCCAGAACCCGACAGAACTATGCACGCAACGTGGAATACACTCCCTATTATCTCTCCCAAAGCCACGGAGTTTCTGCACCGGTGATAAAAAAATAAAAAAATGCCCAAATCGGACTCAGGACGGCTTCCCAAGAACTGGCCTCCTAATGTCTCATACCTCACGGCACCAAGCTACTCTCAAGCCCTCAGCGCAGCCCACCTCTCCAGCCTTCGAACACGCCCCAAAGACACCCAGGACATCCCCCCCAATACCCCGAGCGGTCCCTGTCCGCTCGTGAAAATCACGCCCATCACGTCGCCTTCCCATCCGGCACATGGCCAATACGGACTCTTCGCTTGCAAAGATCTCAAACCGGGGTCCTTCATCCTGCCCTACCTCGGGGAAATCCACGGTCCGCCATCATGCAGCAGCGATGCAGCATCTCCCAGCTGCGTGACCTCCTCGGACGCCGCCGACCCGCACGCCGCGTCGGACTACGATCTGAGTTTGGACCGGGAGCTCCAGCTCGCCATCGACGCGCAGCGGAAGGGCAACGAGGCGCGCTTCATCAACGACTACCGCGGGGTCGCGGACCGGCCCAACGCCGAGTTCAAGGAGGTGTGGGATCCGAGGAGGAGGGAGAGGGGCATGGCGGTTTGGGTGCTGGGCGAGGGCAGGAGCGGCAAGGGGAGGGGCGGCGTCAAGAAGGGAGACGAGATTCTGGTTAGCTATGGAAGGGGCTTTTGGGGTGCCAGGAAGACAGACGGATGAGGTGACCGAGACGGAACTTATTACGTATATTCTACTTGAACACCTTCTATGGGATCCCAGCATCTCTCATCTCACCTCCCTCACCGTCTCGCAAATCACCCGCCGAGAAGTTCGGAATTGCGGCCGAGAAAGCTAAAATCTTGATAACCTCCTGTCTAAGAGCTTCGGCAGCTCGCGTACACCGCCTGCTTGAATTCAGCATCCCGGCCATGCTGTTGGTATCTTGGATAGAGATCATGTGCGCGAGGGGTTGAGGTCCGTGTTCTCGCAGGGCTCCGGTTGACATTATATTTTGGTATCTGAGAGTGGACCCCTTATTCTGTGTCCAATTCACAGCTTTCCGGGTCAAAGCTTTAACTGATTCGATGCCATTTACTGATATTCGTGTTGGCCAACACACAGGTCCACGTCATTCAGTCTGCCAGCGAAGATGATAGAAGTGGGGCAATATTAGATGGGTAGTTAAGATAGCACTGTAGTCTATTCACCAAAACATACGCCGGCTCGCGATTATGTGCGGAGCAATTATGAGTATCTCCCAACGCCGTGGAATATATAATACATGCATGATTCTATATTACTGGATCCCACTTGATCCCCTCTCTTGACCCCTTCCCCTACCACTTCGAGCGGTATCGCCTCGGCCCCTCCCTCCTCTCCCTCTTGACCCACCTTTTCCCCTTCCACTACCGGCTTTACCCCCTTTGGATGCTCCAGCCGTTGCACCCTTCGCTCTTAAGGCCTCTGCTTCTTGTGCCCTCTTACTCTCTTGATCCCACCATTCTTGGAATGCTTGTTCCTCTTGGATCTCTTGTAAACTTCTCTTCGCAACAGCCTCCTTGATGACTTCTTGTTCTCTCCTTTGCTGTCCAATAATATCCGCCATGGATAATTGCAATGATGGCTCGGCCTTGGCAGCCGGAGTTGTATATGTTTTGGAGTGCGGAACAAGAGGTGATGATTTCGCCACAGTTTGGCTTGTGCTCGCTGGACCAGCCGATGATATTCCCCCCTTCGGTATTGGGTTGTTAACCCTTCTCTGCTGACCCGAAAACCGTGTATCGGGTGATGCAGTACGTCTAGGTGTCGAGGGACGAGATGGAATAGGAGAAGCGAAGGTTGGTGCAGGCACCGCTGCCGGGGAAGGCTTCGGCTCGCTCAGGACGTCCTTCAAAGAGGTTTTCTTTCCAGTAGCAGCTATCTGCCAGGGAGACGATGGTTTGGCTTCGCTGGCCATTTGGGCTTGGGCTATAGCTTGTTGCTGTTGCTGCTTCTTGCGCTCCTTTTGCGAAAGCTTCTGAGGTGTCATCTTCTTCCCAGCGTCATCTTTAACCTTTTGAGCCGAGAGACTCATCGACAAGTTTGATGTTCGGCTCGATGAAGCTTGCGCCATGATTTCCCGCATATCCAGTTTCTTCGATGGTAGAGCTGGAGAGGACCATATTTTAGTGCCAGCTGCTGAGGGTGGAGTCTCCTTAACAGGTTGGATGTCAAACCCAGCAGCTCTCGAGGGCAAGGAAGAAGGCTCTTCCCCTACTGCATTTGACTCCAGCTCATCCCAGTGGGCGGGAATACTTTCTGGGCCCGTTTTAGCGACAGGTGTTATACCGGAGACCGTCTTTAGAGCTGAAGGATTGGGACTCCCTGAACCAAGCGGATCATCATCATCCATATCAAACATCAGATCCATAGTAGAGTCCTTCGGGCGAATGCTAGGACTGAAAGGTGCGTTCCGAACCTGTTTGGACTTTCGCCGGGCCTTTTCTTGGCTGGGAGAACCAGAGATAAAATCATCCAAACTCCCAACTCGAGCTCGGAACGAAGTAGATAGTCTACTGTCGTCATCTTTGAGGTTTTCTCGGAACGCCATGTCGCGAATCCTGCGTTGCCTCTCCTCGTCAATTTCCCCTGCCAGACCAGGATGCCGTTCGTGCAACAACATCTCAGCTCTGCCGCTCTTTGCGAAGGGGAGGCAGTTAAGCTGGTTCGCACGGACGACCTCATCCAACTCCAAAAGAAGATCCTCATCAAGGTCATCGAGTAAATGATTTTCGAGCATCGCCTCCAGTTGCAGGCAGAGATATTCAAGTCCGGCATCTTTGAACTCCGTCACCGAACAAGGGGCAACGATATTCAGAAGCTGAGACACGTTGCGAGTGTTCACTACCAACATGTTAGCTAAGTCGATCGCAGATATTTCGGTTTATTGAGCGGATTAACTGTTTGGAGCAGAGATCGTCCACTGCCAAAATTCTCAACATTTGGGAGTATCCTCCTGAAAATAGCGTTGAGATGAAGTTACTAGTACTTACCAAAGCGGCCGAGCACCTCCTGACAGATTTGAGATAATCTGTCAAGCATAAGTTCATTTGCGACACCCATAACGTCCATGACAAGTTCAGAGAACTCATCAATATCGCTGGACACAACCTCATCGAACAACTCTGTCCCAACATCGGCATACAGATAGCGCAGAACGAGCTGGAAAGTTTCCGGCTCAATGTGTTTCAAGTCGATTCGAACAGTCTTTGAATCGTCTTGGCGCCGACCAGCTAACCATTGTCCTGCAGCACGGCCATTGAATAGACCCTCGAAGAACGGACACCGTTGGCGTAAGAGGGCGCTGTGAGCATACACCTCCGAGCCATCTAGCTCAATAATGCAGTCCCCATCTTCAAAGAAGACGGGGTCTTGAAGAGCCAGACTCATGTCAAGGTTCAACTGCCGATCTGGCTCTCTCATCATACGGACTGCAGATTCTAATCTGGCCATCTTCAAATGCGCGGCGGTTTTCATGAGTTCAACCCGTACCTGCCTATATCTGAAAGCCATATCCGAGGGCTGGCGGGTGAAGTGCCAGACATCGACCACCCCATCGGTGTACAGGTATATTGCAAGATTGAGGATGGTGATAAAATCTAATCCCTGAAAGACGACCCGAGGGAGTGACTGAGAAGAGGATCCCTCTACAACGAGGGTTTCCGGTACAGAGGACGAACCAGTGTGGCGGAATTCGGCCAAAGCAGCCCTTAAAATAGGACTCCTTGCTGCCATCATAAAGCCATGAACCGGGATTCCAACCTCGCAAAGCGAGCTGCGTATTTCAAAATCATAACCCTGCGGATCCTGTCTGAGCAAGTGATGCTTGACATCAGTCTCGATGTCAGGAGATGTTAGAATTGCACGTTTGAGGGGATTGAAACCATCTTTTGGTAGAGCTGGAACCCAAAGTCTGGGTGCTTCAGTGTTGTCTTCAGACGGCTTTGAAGCCACAAGGTCACGGATGCTGAGCAAATGATCAATGTCATGCCATAGACCCTGCTCATCCACCGTGATTTGGCTTTTGGTCACATCGCAGTCTTTGCGGATGGCTGCATATACCCCGAAAGTATTACTTCGGACTGCTGCAACCTTGGTGAGGCCTGGAACTCGCTGGAATTTGAAATCCTTGCGACTGAAGCCTCCGTTACCTGCCATGGTGTCCTTGATCTTGGCTCTTTTGACTCGTTGCCACACTGCACCGGCCTGTGTGCAAATGATTACTGATCCATTCTCAGAAACTCCAACAGACCTGATGCCATCCCAGTGACCCTTGCGCAAAGACCAAATTCTTTGAGGCGGTGATAGTGCTGATTTGATCTTTGAAGGATTGGTGGTGGATGCAGATGGAACATCAGAATCGATCTTTCTTACGTTGACAGTGAAGAGATCGCCCCGACTTGAGACTGCTGCTATTGTATCACCCCCAGCAGTGATGAACGAGATATGGTTCGAGGTGTCACCATATCGAGTAGTCAGTGCTGCACTCTGCAGATGATAATTTTTGAACTCCTCGTATAAGGGAAATTTGACAATGTTGTACCCGTAGTTGGTAAAAACACAGACGGTGTGATTTGCCAATAAACAGATCGTTGCTCCATTAATAGCCGAAACCATCGAAATAGGTGCCTTGAATAGCGATGCTCCAACCTTTCGCGGAACTGGCTGGATCGCGAGTGAACGTGAATCCGAGTCCATAAGGCCCAGCTGGCCCTCATTTTTGCCCCAGCAGTAGAGGGAGGTTGAAGTGTGCGCAACGGAATGGATGGCAGAAGCAGCGACTCCAATAATAGTCTCTCTTTTCAGCGGGCCAAATATTTGCCGTGGTGTGGAACAAATAGGCTCTTCGTCTTTCAATGCCGGACGAGGTAAGGAATATCCTAATTGGCCATAGGTGGAAGTCCCCCACGAGAAGATCTCGCCCTCCGAAGAGACAGCCAAGGTATGATTCTGCCCAAGAGCGACTTTCACAACCTTCTTGCCAGCCAAGCCGCCTTCCTCGATGCAAACGTGCGTGAACCTTGTTACTTCATCCCCAGTACCTAGTCTGCCACCTGGGCCGAATCCGCACATATAGAGGTTTGACTCGGGGTCCGTTGTAAGAATGGCACTGGAGAGCTTTGCCAGCGCGACATCTTGCACGATGACAGGTCGATTTAATATGAGGCTAGGGAGATCCTCTAATGATTTCGGTGTGGGCTTGAGAGCGCTGCTTTGCGCGACTTCGTTGGTACCTTCGATTGAATCCAAGTACTCCCGATAGAATCGAAATAGTAAGTGATCAGGACGTTTCAGCGTGATCTTTTCTGGGTGTTGTCGATCGTCTCCATCTCCGAAACCCAGCGAGTGGTTCTTATTAGACCCGAAGACAAACAATTCATCTCCATCCACTGAATAATGGGCAGTGTTCCCACTGGCTCCCAGTCCGTCGGTCACAGATTCCTCGTCATCCTGAGAGCCGTCTTCGGACTCGGCTACCTCCTTTCCTTGTTGCAAGGAGCGTCTGGCAATAGTAGCATTGTAGACATCGAATGGGCTATTTCCTTCGTGGTCCTTGACCTTGATGACAGAAGAGCCAGCTCTTGTGGCGGTACTACCACCCGGGCCATTCGGATCACGTCTATCGCGATCGATGATTGCACGAGCAATAGTGATGTTACCAAAGTACAATGCCCTGTGCAAAGCCGTCCATCCACTTTCCGTGTCTTGAATGTATAGATCGATTGCAGGATGCTCAATCAAAGCAAGAGCAAAGCTTATCGCATTCGCAGCAGTCGAGGATGCAGCTCGGTGCAAGATGGTCAGGCCGGCATGATCTCTGCTGTTCACTTCCGCCCGGCCAAGAGCTGTATTTGCTCCTCTTGCGCCACTCGTATTTCCCGTTTGGCCTGAAACCTTCCGATTCTTCATGAAAGCCTTCGGCGACGTCGCAAACCCTCCCGGACTCCCAGCTACGCTGCCAAGGCTGTTTGACTGTCCCGCCCCTCCACCATGACCTTTCGATGAGTATTGCGGATTATGGCTGGTATTCGCCAAGAGGCGTCGAAACTTGTCGACATCATCCTCGAGGTAATATTTCCACAGAAGGTTGCGCATGTGTCGGGAAGTGGCAATAGGAACGTCTTCTGGTCACTTCAACTACACCTCGCTGTGGCCTCGACGGGACACGGCGTTTTTAAAGGTGTAAGGAAGTGCAGGAAGACTCCTGGTGAAAGGAAAGGGAATGAAATAGAAAGTGTTGCCGTTGATCAGACAAGTCGTTGTGGATGGCAGTTCAAGCTGTGTTGAATTGGTGGGGGTTGCGCCGCGATGCGAATGCGAGGAAGTCGGAATTCCGTTGTGGATTTGGAGCGTCGCTTTGAGATATTGGATCGAGCTTTTCGCGGAGGAGGTTCCCCTTCTTTGTCTGTATTGTAGAGGTCAATCGAGCTTCTGTAATTAAGAGTGAGGTAAGAGTCAGTCAGTCAAGTCCCTCCTTCAGTCATAGCAAGAGTTCTCATCGCAGGCCAAAATCTATCCGCTCGTGCGACGTGTGCAAAGTGGCCAATCAGCATGCAAACCCTGAACCTGTGGTTCGCTGTGTGTGGTACGCACACAACAGGTAACGATATATTGAGCAACATCACTCCTCGCATCCCGTTGATCCCGAGGTTCAACATCTTTTTGCAATGGAGAGAATCATCTGCAACAAAAAGAAATCAAGGGGAAATCAAGGGGAAATCTAAAGTCATGGGAAGAGCTGCAACTTCAAGCGCTGGTATTATTAGTCCCTGTTGTCCTTTTGGCGGTGTGAGTGAAACGACATCGTACATGACACCATGGTATCCAGAATTCAGAAGCCAATCCTTTCAGTTCGAAATTCCTATTCATTGATTATGCGCCTGATGCTACACTCAGCAGCTTGTTGGAAATTCAATAGAGACTACTTGGTTGAAAACTTCCCCGTATAAAACGCTCACCATGTGTTGAAGGAAAGCGAAAATAACATTGGCGGGTCAACTTCCATCGCTGGTCAGGCTACATTAAGTAGACATTGGCAGCTATGCATCTCACCGGCTCCTGAATATAACGCAGAGGAAATTATCATCTCTACCACTATTATCCCCAAGCCCGGTCTGCGACGAAGTACATAGTAACCTATTACGCTACTATCTATCATCATCTTGTTTTATCGTCCCTCGATATGATAAACTACTCTAGAAGAACCTGGTCTCGTACGTAGATGGTAGCTGTATATTAGGAAACCCTTGATCTTTGTGTATACGCATACTCGTGAATGAGAGACCTCTAGAGTCTGCCATCTTGCATACAAAAGACATATCTAATATGAATCTCCGGCCATCATTCATCATAACAAGGTACTTAGCACAAGGTACTTAGCACAAACCAAGCTACCCACAAAAACGTATCCCAATGTCCTGCACTTCGAAGAGGTTCAGTCTCGCCGTTCCTCTCCATCTCACGACCCCTTACTTAACTACCCACTTTAAGAATCAGCAATGAAATGCAATAGTGAAGCAGTAATAGAGAGTTCCGAATGTAATCTCATACCAACAATGAGCGCTGAATTAAAGAGTCTCCAGATACTGATTTGATTTGATTTTATTGATCTTCTTCATTCATTCATTTGTCCGGAGAGACGAGCGAATCAGGATACATGGAAAGGAAGGAAGGAAACTTTCGCAACGTCTTGATGTTTTGATAGGATAGCTGACTTTTGAGAGGCTGTTGTTGTGCTAGGGGAAGATAGGTAGGTAGATGAGCAAAACCGTCGTTTCTTTCCGTAAGAAATTGACGGACTGACTTTTTGGGGGAGGTATGTTTGGGATTTTGAGAGAGGAAGAAAGAAAGAAAGAAAGTATAGAGCTTGAAGTTGGGTGCATCTTTTTTATACAATTCTTGATCCCAGGTCCCACGTTCTTAAGGTACTATCCGTGATGGCATGGCGGCATAGCTTTACCAAGCCTGAGTAAGTCAAACATCCCACCAGGAGTGGACTGTTATTACCTAGATACCCCAGATCTAACGATTACGGACCGATGATAAGATCGCGGTAGAATCTACAGATATGCTCTGTATTTATATGATTTATACACCGTACGTACGTACGGAGGAAAGATACCTAGATTAGCCCTTTTGCCAGAGCTCAAAAAGAATACCTCTCCATACCTACTCCATCGCTTGAGAAAAAACATCATCAAAAAACTGAGTGCCGGGTACCATTACAAAATTATTACCTATGTCATTCATTCATCTCTTGCTAACTCTGCCCTCCCTGCGATCCCCAGCTCGATTATATGAGGGAGATTTGCCATTCGAGGAGCGCTGTCGGTTTCTTTCTATTGTTGGTGGTGGGCTAGCCATAATAATAGACGTCTTGCCGAAGCGGATCAGTGCAGTAGTTACCTTTATTGGAAGACGTGCAAAGGCGCCGAGGGCTTGGAATGGAAGGACGATTGCTGACGCTGCCCATGCGAAGATCAGACTAGTAAATCCTCTCTGCAGTAGTCCATTATTCGCCGCTGCTGCCGCCAGGGATATGGCATCATTTAGCCGCGCCTCCAGATCAAGGAGCCTCGAATCCGTCTGGAAAGCCTGTAGAGTAGCACGTTTCTCGTACCGGCGCACAGCACGGTTGAGAGCATCGAGATCGGGCTGTAGCGCACGTCGGACCTCTGCTGTGAGCATCGCTGACTGCTTCCCGCTCAGAGCTGGTTCCATTGTACTGTCGTTCCCTGACGATTGAAGGTTAGAGCTTCGAGCTTCTAATTCTTCCACTCTTCGCACGAGATCTTTGACATGAGTGATATCCCTCTCGTTATTGTAGGGATTGGATTTCACGATCCGTTGCAGGTGTAGTGTTCTTGACTGGACGAGCTTGACTAGATGAGCCATGGGACGTAATTCGGATGCGAGGAGGAAAATCGTCAGGTTGTAGTTCGACACGAGCCCTTCGGACGGTCGAGATAACTGCGAACGAATTGTATGTAGCAGATATGCCCCGAGAACTGGGAACAGGAAACACGAGAGCAGCGCCAGTAGCTCGTGCCTGTATAGCTCTTTCGCCGCAGCCTCGTGGGAAGGAGGGCGTCGTAGTGACTTCGGGCGTGGGTTTGAAGCCGGCTGATCTTCCGGAACTTCATCTAGAGCAGTTTGAGAAGAGCTCAGCGCATTATCATCCTCACTCTCGGGCTCGACGATCGCGTCCCCATTGTATTCTTCCTCCTTGCGGATGGATTGCGCCGAGTGATACCAGTCCCTCAAACGAAGTCAGTCAGCACCCGGAACGAGCAGACGTGAGGACATGGGATACGAACCATGGCAGTCTGACAGACCAATTTAAGAAGATGGCCGCCAGCCCCAGGAGCATGATGTCTGTTATAACAGAGCTTCCATTTTTGAAGAGCATCCCTCCGAGGGCAGGGAGCAGAGCAAACGCCAAGGGCGTGGAATGCCACGCCGAGGAGTCATTATCTGGTTGGATGCCCGGCGTCCTGGGCTTCGGGAAGAGAAGATCATCTGTCGAGGACTGAAAAGTCTTCCGCGCTTCATTGAGAGAGTAGTCGGAGAAATTCGAACTCCTCCGCCTCACGCCTGGCGTCGGCGCCTCTGTCGCAGGAGGCACAAAGCGTCGCCGCAACTGCGCAGACTCGTCACCCGTAGTCATCGCTCTTCGGATGGGAATTACAGGCGCTGGAGCTGCGCTTCTTGGTGACTGCGAACTGCTGTCCGCCATCGTGGCGACAGCTTCGATGACGGCAGAGCAGATTGGATCTTCGCGGGGAATCTTGGCGAGGTAGTTTGGTTCCAAGGATCAATCAAGGTACAAGCTCGACGGCGCCCTAGCTAAAACGTGGGTGCTGCCGCAGGAGCAGATGGATAGATGAACAACAGCTGTCGAAATAATACTGTGCGGTACGGATTACAGCCTCAAACTCGGGCCCCTCGTCATTCTTTAACCATTTGTTTGGCTCAGCTCCATTTATTCGCCGATGGTCCTGTCATTGACGACAATCATGCTAATAAACGAATCAAAATCAATCAGCCACACGACATCAGAAGCCGGCTGATTATTTAGTGAAACTTTAGTGAAAAGCGGGTAGCATGACGCTAGTACCTCAGCTATACATTCCGTGCGGAGGATCTACCCCGTAGATTCAAGGGACGCCCCGTCCGCATTAGGGTCGGTGCTGATATCATTATCCCAAAGTATCATAATAATTACCTATCTACGAGAGAATTTTGGACCACTGGAACGGGAATGACAGATGGGGCTGTAGGGATATCATATTTAGAGCCCCGAGCTATCTGCTATCTGCTGCTATCTAAGATACCCTTCATTGCTTCGTTCCTTGGCCAACGGTTGGGTTCCGTCTTTGCCTCCTTGCTTCCCCTTTCCCCCTATCCTCGCCCCTTGTGGGGCTTTCTTTTTTTGTGGTTTCTGGTTTTTTCGTTTTGCAACATGCCTCTCATAAAAGATCCCCTGCTCCCTAATCACATCAACCCAAACCCGAGTTGGAAATTGTCATCCGATCCCCCAACCCCCGGCCCCCCTTCCGTGATAAGACATGCTCCTCGTTGCACCCCCATCCAACCTTTATTACCACAGGTTTCATGAAAGAGGAAACAATACATCCTTTTTTGGAGAGTCGTAAGGTCATCAACATCAGACATCAAATAGGAACGAGCCCGCGCGGCCTCTCATCCGTATACCAAGAGGGCGAAAAATTAGGTAGCCCGGAAACGCGGCCAAAGGAGATCGTGAAATCGTACCAGCCAGTATGGACATTGACAAAACAAAGAGCCGCCCAGATAACGCACGCGCTAACTTTTTCTATATATCTCAAACGGAAAATCGAGGAGTGGAAAATCGGGCCTGGAACCAATATTGGATATGGTCTGAAAGAGATTGCGGAAATGACCGACGAGGTTGATGAAGCACGAGAAGTGTTGCACTTGCTAGAGAAGACGCACACTGCCAGGAGATGCTTGCACCGCAGATTGGGTAACTGATAGATCACGCTAACAACAAAGATCGCCGACGAACTGGTAAACTGGGTATACGCTAACAATGTTCCCTCCTATGCTCCATCGTAGACAGAATTCAAAAGATTTGATGCCCAAACGTGGGTCAAGACGGAGGCGTGGTTAGCCCGTATGGACATGTTGACCTTGCTTCATGCCGGGATCATTCTGACCATATGGCCCACTATCATGTAGATACTCTTGGAAGCCATGGGGTATCTGATTGGGGTGATGCAGGCTGCCCGTCCTCAACTGATTTCCGAGGGCCGGCCCCGAGTCATACCTGACGTTTGGCAGGTTGTCAAAGCTATGCTGGACCATCGGCGGCGGAAGCATGCCCTGCTGAGAATGAGGTGGGGGGAGTTGGTATGGGGCAGTCGGTGGTGCGAGAGGTGGTTGAGGCGACGTCGTCACGTAATAATTCGACGATACAGGGCCGGCGCTGACCATGCTATTCTGCCAACTGTAAAGACTCTGCTGAGGACTCTGATAGCCGGGAGATGCGAACGAGCGACGGTTTGGATCTTGCGAGCCGGGACTCGGTGGCTGGAATCCACGAGGCATGTATGAACCATCGCCATATGGGTTATGTTCTTCCATCTGGGGTTGGCTATAATGGCGAACCGGGAGAGGGCGCATCCGGTAGAAAGCATCGGATTCAGGTTGTTGGAGGGGCTGGCTTTGCATCATGCTGGTAGGAGAAACCAGACTATCTGGCGTGGGCATAGCGGCAGAAACAGGCATCGGCTCGTGCTCTTCATCCTCATCCTTGATGCCCTCATCAGGTTCGTCATCATCCGAAACATCAACCCCATTCCTATCGCCGTACATCACAGGGATTCGGGTCGAGCCATCTAGAAGAGAAAGTAAGTCGATGAATCAAGGTCTTACCAATCGACCTTGTCTTACCAATTTCCCCGTTCTTGTATCGCTCTTCAGCTTTTGCGACTTTGAAAATCTCCTTGAGATAAACCCTCTTCGCAGCATTCTCGGGGTGTTCTTTGTCATTGAACCAATTCGACATCGACTCCATTGTTGCTTCTTCTAACTTCTTGACGTTCAAGCCCAATTTCTGGACGGTGGGACACTGTTTCTCACGTGGCTCCACAATCATCCGCAAGATGTGAACCAGGAGTCGAATTCGTTCTGCACTAAATGTTAAGAGCTGTTCGACCTAGATATCACGCGCGATCAGGACTCACCTGCTTTCAGGAGGTGATCAGGCTCCTTGTGTCGGACTGAATTCTCGCCTTTTGTATCCGGCCACCACGGCGGCGCCTTGATATCGCCCTTAGTGTAAGGGTGGTGCGTCTGCTTCTTTGGTTCCACGAGTTTGACAAAGGCTTTGCCCATCACTTTGCAGGAAGATTGCTGCATGTCTTTGAAGCGCACCGAGTAGAAGCGTTCCACCTCAGCTTCATCACCGATGACCAATTGCTGGGTCTTCTGGACGGGGACCGGCGTATTATCATTGTCAGCATATCGTCCTTGGTAGAGTGAAGGACGAGATCGTTTCCTCTTCCCACTTGTGGCGGAGTCATCTTCGTCCGATTCCTCTGACTTGGAATATTGAAGTAGTCGCCGACTCCTCCCGCCAGACGATGAGTCTCCGCTGCTCGACGGCTTCCGGTGGCGGTTCTCGGGATCGAAATCGCTGTACGTGCCATCCTGACTGTATGCTAATAAAGAAATCTCTTAGCGAGAATTTTGAGGAAGATCCCGTCAGACAAACCTGAATTGGGATATGAACTTCCCAAGTTAGCTCTTCGTATGGTGCGACGGAAGTCGGTTCTAAAACGATCCGTAAATATTCTCTGTTGATGAGGCGTCAGAGACGTCGAAGTGTAGGTCCTCTCCTCTCCATTCTCGTCAAGGACGATGAGTGCGAATTCCTTCACGGAGAGGCCAGCACACTCTCTCAGAGCAGCTTCGACGGGCTTAAGTTGTGTTAGCTTAGAGCACTCCTTTCAATGGGTTCGTGAGATGGTTATTTACCAAGCATCGAGGGTGGACAGGGGGAGCTGTGAAGCGACCCTCCTGAGATAAGTCGAGGAATGGTCTCTCATTATGCCAGCCATTCTCCCTTGGAGGGAAGAACTCCCTCTGCAGGGGGTTCCTGCGCTGAACCATCATGAAGATATAAAAAAGGGAGAGGTATGAGGGAGCCGAGGAGGGAGGAACAATCCTCGGGTGGTGAAAGGGAAGAAGGGGCGGTGAGATCTACTTGTACAAGTCGAGCTATCGTATCGAAGCCGAGATGTCTTTCAGTGAAGGAAAGCCGTATGTTTAAAGTGATTGGGACAGGCGGATTACTGTATCAGAAACCCAATACAGTGGAGCAGACGCGATGCGTGCTGGCGGGGTCTAGCGCTAGTTGGCGGAAGGCCGTGTTAGTGGATTGTACCCCTAGTCAGGCATAGATAGGATCCAGGGCTGAAGGTTCCCTGAATCGAAGTTGGGAGTATTGGGAGCGGGGGACGCGGACAAAGAGTGAGTGGTGAGGAAGTGCACGAAGAGAAGAGAGAATGCAACGAGAGAAGGGAAAGAGGAGACGAACTGGTGAGACCGCGTACCGTATTTCAGAGCGAGCGGAGCCAGACAACTGTATCTGTTTGGAGCAAGGCAAATGAATCAAGGCGGGCCAAGAGAGGGGGGAGGGGTTTGGCCGGGGGGGAAGAGATCTGGGGGAAGTGAGTTGCGGTGGGCGAGACTCGTGGAACGACAGTGGCGTCGAGGTTGTCTTGAATCTTGGAGTTGGGGAAACCGGCAGCGGTGGTGCAGACTACAGTGCAAGGCCAAGCCAGCTCCAGCCCATGGCTTGTTGGGAGATCTCTCGCAGGCGAGCTTACTGTGCGCGGAGGGCTGCGTGAGTGCAACCAGCGCGGGTGGATGAGTGGATAAGTAGCCGTGTGGATGTGAGCGTATACACTGCGGAGGCGAGGCAGGGCAGGGCAAGGCAAGGCAAGGCGAGGCACCTGAAGTAAAGGCTGAATGAGGCCAAGGAAGAAGCCAACCGAGTGTGAACTGAGCTCAGTAGGGAACGTCCCCAGAGTTTCCCGAGACGAGACCCGTGTGGGCACCGATTGGGAGCGGGCGCCGACGCCTGGAGACGGAACGGGCGCAGGGTGATGGGGCCGGCGGAGGCGAGGAGGGAAGCTGAAGTTGGCCGCGAGAGGGAGCGTGAGAGAGCGAGAGAGCGAGCGGTGGTGATTTGTAGACAGGGCCAGCGAGAGCAGCGGCAGGGTGAGTGGTGATAGTGGATGGCGGTGGTAGCAATAGCAATAGCAATAGCAATAGCGGCCACAGGGTTTCCCTAGGGTCAGGATGGTCAGGATGACAAGGGGAACAAGAGCCAAAGGCGGGGCAAAATTCAGCCTTGGGTGATGGACGGCCTTCTCCCACGTCGTCGCCGGCGCAGCATACGAAGGAAGGATTCAGGACCTAGGGGCCAACGATGAGCAGCACGCAGCAAGGACCAAGGACCCGGAACCCAGAATCCAGAATCCAGAACCCAGAACCTAGAACCTAGAACCTAGAACCCAGAACCCAGGGCGCCCCTCGATCAACAACACCAACAGCAGCACTGCGCACACGCTCCCGAGCAGGAACGGGTATCAGACATCCGCCGCTACTACGACGCGGGTTCTGAGCGGCTCGCGGCAGGCGGCAGAGTCGCGCGGTGCGGCGATGGGGGTTGTGCGTTCGCAGATAGAGAGAGAAACCTTCCGGGTCTAGAGAGCCAGAGAGCCTGGCCAGACGGTCTCGCGCAGCGTCTGGAGGAGGGAATGCGGGAGGGGAGGGTTGGGGGGGGCGGGGGGTGGGGGTGGGCTTGATGGAAGAAGGAAAGAAGAGCAAGAAGCAAGAGGGAGGGATCAAGAAGGGATCAAGAGTGAGTGAGAGATGAGAGATGTGAGATGTGAGAGTAAGAGTGAGAGAAGGGAGAGGGAGAGAGAGAGAGAGCAAGGAAAGGAGAGCGAGAAAGGACAGAGACGACGAGGGGCCCGAGTATTGCGACGCGATAATCGTTGTTATCGCAGCACGATGCCGCGGCTTATGTGATCGATCTGGCTCTGCTGCAGGAGACGGGCGACCGATCTGGCCATCGTCCAGCAGTCAAGTACAGTAGTGCGCTGCGCCGAATCAGCAGGGGGCACGGCGGGAACTCAGAACTCAGTAACTGAGGAAAATCGCCCCCCCCGGGGGAATCATTAGCAATTCGATGCAGAAGGGGCGAATTAACGATATCGACGATGCAGAAATAAACATAAAACAGAACCCACCGCGCGCGCGGATCGACGCTCGGGAAAAGGGAAAAGGGGACGGACAAGCCCGGGCCTAGAAGCTAGAGCCCGCCTCAAGTTCCCGCGTGAGACGATTCTTCTTTTTCTTCTTTGGTGCGGATAGACGTGATTACTATACAGCGTGGCCCTGGTTTACTACTACTGTGTGCTATCCTCTCTCTAGTATCTTAGATACACATCGCGAATTCTTGTCTTGTCTTGTCTTCGATTCTTCTTCCCAGCAGGGCGAGCGGCACGATCAGCGTTTCCTTGCTGGACCAGGCACATCATCCGCTCCGCTCCAGCAGGTTGGGTACAGACTGCAGCGCAGACATGTTCTAGATAGACAGACAGACAGACAGACGTACGCACGATGTGCAGCCAGACAGACATAGGGTAAGACACGGAAAACTGGTTTTAGTAGACAGCTACAGCTACAGCTACAGGTACGGAGACAGATACAGATACAGATACAGATACGGTTCACAGACACACTACACTTACAGTCCACATACATATCCTCCGTACTTACATACATTATACATACCATACATACCTATAGCCTCGACAGTACAGTATAGTAGTATAGTCCAGACTCCAGTCCATCCGCGATCCTCGATCCTCCGGACATACGTCCACCCAATCCACATGTCTAACTTCGGAAAAGCGCGCCGCCAATAGGACTCACGGCTCCAACAGGGGCCCCCCTCGTGGCTCAGCTTGGTTTTCCTTGGTTGTGGCCCCGGAGGATGTCTTCTTCCATGCCCTCGCGACCCTTTTCCCTCCCGTACGGCACCTCGTGCGGGAACTACCGCGACGAATCATCCCGCAGAACCGCGCCCCGGCTACTCCTGTACTCTGTAGATGCTACTGTACAGAACAGTTCCCCAGTGTACCACTGCACGGAGCACTTACTACCACTGTAGTAGTACTCTGTAGTTCTCTGTAGCTACCACCGCTACAGTCCCCGTAACGCTGCTGCTCGTGTCCTACTCAGTCCTGCGCCCGTTACGACGACGACTAGGAGCACCGCCATGCCGTACCACAGACGCAGTTGGTCATATCACTCAATAATTGGACATTATTGAATCATTTCCTGCGACGCTGCCCGCGCTGCCCGCACCGGTAGACAGGATACGCCCAGAGGACGCTGGGATCGAAGGGGCATGCTAGTCGTAGTACCCCGTATCTGGCTGTTCCCCGAAAGCGGGGCGGCCATCAGCACGGGTCAGGACTCAAGTAGTTCCCGGAGACCGCACGCCCCTGATGCTGGCATGCTAAGACGGCTGCTTCGGGTTCGGGTATTGGGGAGACCCGTCTACGACCCTAAGTGATAGGACTCGTAGATAGGAGGGTGTAGGTTCTGTGGATTCTGTAATTATCGGCAGTTCCGCAACAACAGGGCACAGCGTGTATTCCAATTTCCAAGTCTCACAAAACAGCCCGGCCCAGCAGCATGGAGAGATGGGCCTGTCTGACACTCTTGACAGCCTGGGTTTCTTGGGGCCTCGGGAACACATGCAGGGTACTCGGGCTACATACATGACACGGCGACACAGACCTGCTGTGTTTTCCAAAAACACTACTTACTTGCTTGCTAGCAGCCGTGCGCCAGAAGGGGAGAGTTGACAGTGCGTGGGGGGGCGCTCCCCCTTTCCCTTGCCCAGAGCGCGGACTTGCGCTGCACCTAGCTGGATTAAGGGCAGGAATCGAAGCCGGGGCCTTTTCGATGTCTGATGATTTGATCTCGATGAGAAGGGTGCCTGCGGCGGGAACGCTCTGCCCGTCATCCTCGCCCGGGGTTTGGATGCGAGCGATCGTGGAGTAGGAGGGAGAGTCTCATCATCATCATCATGATTATCCTGAACCTGTATGTCCTCGCTGTCGAATGCAGCCTTCATCATCACTACAGCACAGGACGGAAGGATGTAGTTACTGCCATCTGTACGGTTGCGTAAACGGTCAACCACTCTTATAACAGGCCCCTTCCCTCCCCCCTCCCGTTGCCGTCCTCCGCACAAACGCAGCCGGGGGCCCCCCTGGGATCCTTGCCGAATGGCCATCCATGTGAAGCTGTGACGACGAAGACAATTACGGGACATGCTCCGTGGAGAGTCTCGACTCGCCCCGGCTGCCATCCCCCGCACCAATCACTTATCAAATACCGGGAATCGAGAGACGAGATCGAGGAGGGCCCCGCGCACCGCGCAAACCCATCACTGCCCCGTCGAATCTCGAGGACGAAGGGGCCGAAGGGCATGGCCGAGTCACCTGTCACATCTGGCCGTGTGGCGGATCGACATACCCGTTCCGTTGCCGCCGGAGGCAGGGTGTGCACTGTACTCCTCCGTGAACTGTACTGTGTTATTGTGGGTAGTGTAGACGACGTTGTCGGCCAATCGAAACGCTGGTGATAAATGTAAGTAATTTCAGGGAAATATACATAATACAGTAGCGGGCTGGGAGAGCAAACCCTTCCTTCCACCCGGCCCACCACCGTGACGAAGGGCTTCCCAGGAGGACGGGTCGGGGAACAGGAAGCCGTTCGATGTTTTCCCAATTCCAAGAAGCCTCCAAGCCACTCTTGACTCTCCGACAGGACGAGAGCGAACCGTGAAGCTGGTGAGTAAGACCTAGCCCGTAGCTGCAGAACCTGCCTCTCCAATACATTCGCGCGCGCCGCCTCAACCGAGAGATCCCTCGACGCAGTTCCCTGCCCACCACTCTTCCCAACCAGGAGAAAGCTACCGACGGTACAGCACAATCCAACCGGCAGCGCCACAGCCTACAGGTTTCCCACCCGAGCCTCTGGCCAGATGTTCCAGAGTCAGTAGTAGTGCTGTAGTCGACAGTAGTCAGGAAACGCCCGAAAGCCCACTGCAGCGTTCTCCACCCGCCACGACGACCAGCCAGTCCGCGCGCAGACCGGCCATCTCCTCAGCATGCGCGGCCAGGATGGGGGCATCAGATTCAGAGATTCATCACGTTCCGAACTCCTGAGTCCTGAGATCGTGTGCGATCGATCGGCAGTCGCCATCGCCAGATTTTGTTATTTGTCACAAAGCGCGGACGAAACAAGAGTCCGAGGGGAGAATTAAGGTTATTTATTTTAAGCCTCTGCGTCCCGGCCCCCGAAGCCAATGAATTCGGGTGTCGGGAGTCGGGTGTCGGGAGCCAGGCTCGGGACGTCCCTCCTTCCGTCCTTTTCTACACAAAAGAGATTACTCGGTCAGGTTTGAGAAGAAATCTCCTCCAGTGATCTATCTGGACGTGTATTTGTCTCGGGCACGAGTGCGAAATATCTCTACTTGCTTGCTGTTGAAGGGCGTTTCGTCTCAGAAGTGACTCTACCTCCCATTAACTGGCAAGCCGTGAGTGAAGGAAAAAAAGGTGCATGCTCAGCCCTGGGCTCTCCAGCTGATGACTATCACTCAATCCATCTCGTAAAGGGCCCAGTCAAGCACCTAGAAGACGGGGCATGTACGATCTTGTCTCAAGTCACCCGAGACCAGATCCGTCCCTACTTCATGAGTCAAGGCTGCCGGTTTCAACTCCCAGGGATCGTGTGCTATAATGGTGACTCCGGGTGCGCAGATTCTAGTGGGAAACTTAAGGTAGGTTTCGGACTTCAGCCTTGTTGCGACAGTGACGTCACGCACGAGGCTGTGTGCTCCGTCTTCTCTACAGCGGGATTAGAAACGTAGAATCTTCTTTATTGCTGTACGGCGTTGGTGTGATGTGTGTGTCGAGCAGTTTCTAACGCCTGTCAAGAGCAGTAGTTCCAGGTGGCGGTCAGTAGCTCAGATCTTGAGACCAATCAATCAACTCAATCATGTCTCCCAGACTTCATGCACTTCTCTCCTTGCAAAACAATCCAAAACAAAACATACACAGGGAATACCTTAGGAGCTTACAGAGTTACAAACCCATCGCAACCTCCGGTTTCCCAAGAACCCGAGTCATCTATCTACATCTCTCTACATGCAGCGAATAATCCGCCGCAACCGCCCATTCCGCTCTCTGAACACAGCGAGGTGTTCTGTTTGCTTACTTACATGCTGACTTACAGGCTTACCCCTCCTTAACGGATTCCATTCATCCGCATCCGCATCCGCATCCGCATCCGCATCCGCATCCGCATCAAAAAGCAAATCAAGATCAAGAAGGAAAAAAAAGAAACAAAATCCCACCCTCCGCTACACAGCAGTTAGCACATGCCACGATCCTCTCGCTATCTGCAGTGCGCCAGCGGATCGACGGTTCTGGGGCGCTGTGGAATGGTGGGTTTTTCTTTTTTTTTTGTGAGATTGGTGGTCTTCTTTGTTTGTTTGTTTGTTTGATATCGCAGCTTACCGTAGATACCCCTTACTTACCTTACAGTCCATAAGGTACCTAAGATAGGCATATTTCAATCAATCAATCTATATTATAAAGTACTCAATCTATCTTACCTTTACCCCATTCTCAATCGCCAATCGCCAATACCTAATCGATCTTACCTATTACCCCAGTCCCCGATCCCCAGTCCCCGATCCCCCCTCCCCCCCCCTTCCCCTGTCCTCCCCCTCTCAACACCATGCGAATCCCCTCCCGCCTAAAATCCCCAAAAAAAGAAAACCTCATGTGAGCATTCCCCTCCCCTCTCCAAAAAAAAACCGGTTTCTAGCTGCGCCTGCGGGCGGGGAGAGGGGATTCTGTTACATACATAGCAGACAAACAAGCAAGCAAGCAAACAAACAAACAGGCTTTGAAATCCAATATATGTATAACATACATACATACCTTACGTAGATGGCGTTTTATTTTATTTTACTTTATTTTTATTTTTTTTTACGGGGGGATGAGGACTGTTTGAGACAGGGTATGAGGATGGACGGATGGAGTTCCCCCCGACTCTCTCCTCAGTGATGTTGTATCTGTGCGTATGTATGTATGTATGTATGAATCACTCCCTCGTTTCAATCCGAGTCGTTCGATTCCTTGGGCTACAGGAATATTGAGAAGTAAAATACGTCATGAATTGAATGCTCTCGCTCGCTGTCTTTTTCGCGCTCGTCTCCTATTTTTCCACTCCCTCTTTCAAGCGCCGCTGGTTGGTCTTACCGATCAATCTCTTATGTACAATTTTTTTACTTTTTGCTGTGGCGCCCCTTGCAAAACTCCTGGTCAACTCGACGACAAATATAGAATACATACATACGTCAAACTCCCCCAGATCCACACATACACACCACACCCCCGCGTCGTTTACCGCACACCGTCAACTAACCCCGCCTCCTTGACTAGCTTGTAGAATAGGCCTCGCTCCTCGATGAGCTTCTTCGGCGTGTCGAATTCCTTTACCTGGCCGGCCTCCAGGACTACGATCCGGTCGCTGTCCAGGATCGTGTTGATGCGGTGAGCGATTGTGATGATCGTTCTCTTGGAGAACAAGGGCGAGCGGAGGGTGGCCTGTAGTAATGCATCGGTTTCCACATCCACTGCGGCGGTGGCCTCGTCAAGGACGAGGATGTTGGACGGTGTGAGAAGGGCTCTGGCTAGCGAAACGAGCTGACGTTGGCCTTGGGAGAGATTGGATCCCCTGCATTGCAGATGTCAGCGGGACTAACTATTGACAGGGAGATGTTCTCGGCTAAACAGGATTGGAGATAGGAAAATGGAAGCCAGAAGCGCATGTGATAAAGACAATAGCATTGGCTTGGGCATAAATGGAGTAGAAGGTGAAGGAAGGTAGGTCAGTAGGACAGACAGAGATGCCTGAACTATGTAGGAAATAGGGAATCGGAGAGACGAACCCTTCATTGATTTTGGCTTCGAGGCCTCCAGGCATGCTGGCGACGTGGTCCTTCAGTCTTGCATGTCCTGTAGATATAATTCGTCAGCAAGGATTCTCTGTCATACGTCCGGCTTGCAGAACCCGATCTATCAGGTACCACAACCTCATAGACCACGTTGTGTCCCCCCATTCAAGGATTGGACTTACCAAGGACGCTCCACAGCTCCGTGTCATCGTGAACGTGGCCAGGATCAAGATTATCCCTGATAGTGCCTTCGAAGAGGGCCGCATCCTGGGGAATGATAGCCAGTCGACGCCTCAAATCCAGCAGTCCTATGGTCGATGTGTTCAACGAGTCGATGCTGATATTGCCCTCGCTTGGTTCAATGATGCGGAACAAGGCAAGGGTCAGGGAGCTCTTGCCCGCTCCTGTGCGACCAACGACTCCAATCTTCTCGTGTGGCTTGATATCAAGATTGATATCTTTGAGTACGAGATCCAAGCCTTCTCGGTATCGAGTGCTGTAGTTGTTGAAGTTTACTGCTCCGGATGCAGGCCAGCTGATCGGCGGCCGGTTTCGGTGTATTACCTCAGGAGCCTCGCTTGGCAGTCGAGCATACTCTAGGACGCGTTCCACAGAGACGATATTGGTCTCGACTTCTACGGTCTGGCGAACTATCCAATTCAAAGATTGGGTAATTTGAAGGGCATACGACATGGCCAAGCCGACAAAGCCAGCGGATAACCCACTGCCTTGCGACACAGAGATGATTGAGAACCCGGCGGCACTAAGGATGATGACCGAACCGAGAAACTCGAGCCGTACGGCAAGCCATCTATTCGCGAGGTTAGGAAGGAGACACAGGTATCTTTCCATTGTAAGACTACTCACCTATTTGCGTTTATCGAGGGGAAGTAAGCGCGAAGATTGGCATCTACCCGCCATTCATTCTCCATGGCGAAACGTTGCTGCTGCCGATACGCCCGAATCGTGGTGACACCACCCAGCGACTCCTGAAAGTGAGCATAGATAGGACTCCTACTCACACTGTCAAGACGTTTGAGTTCTCGAGATGTTCGGAGATAGTAACGTTGGACCCAATAATAGACCAGAGATAAGGGAATAATCAGGGCAACGAAAACAGGGGTCGACGCAGAAATGACCGCCAAGGTGAACACGGCTCGAGCGCTATTGACGAATAGCATATTGAAGGTTCTCGCCAGCACCTGTCCAGGATTAGCATGCTTTCGCCGAGTGATTACATGGATTACTACTAACTTCATCGACACGGTAAATATCACTATTACGAAGTTAGTAACAGACGACAACAGGTGAAAATAACGCCAGGGATATCTAGGATCGGACTTCACGGCATGGGTATGAACAAATCAGCGACCTCAGCCATGAGTGCATATGCTAGGCGCTGAGTCTGGGCGAGATCCACTGGATTCACGCAGCGAGAGTATCAATGCCTTGAACTTTCATGCACGCTTGGACATCCCCGCAATTAATCCCTGGGAGCCAACATGGGGGAGGCCATTGACTCCTTGCTTTCAGCGCCTGGAACAATCTCTCGTTCTTACCGAGCGAGACTGATGTGGAACCACGAAACATAAGGGTCGCGGGGAAGACAAACCTTGAAAATCGATTCAGAATACGACCAGCTGGTGTCCTGTATGATTGTTAGTACTATTAGTTGAGTAACCCTGCCACAGACGTCACCTACGTTTCAAAAAAGCTCATGGGCGATCTGAATATCGCGAAAGCCATTCTTTCGTGCAGTTTCCTGGATGCCTTCCCCGAGTGTCAGTCTAGCTCCCACAGCTGCGCGATGAGAAAGACCCACCTCGATCGAACAGAAGATCCACAAGATCAGCGTCTGTACAACGACAAGGGCGGAGGATCCGGTGCCCAGGGCGAAGTATATGCCAATGTACCAGCCCACGCGCGGGTTCTTGCCTTCTTCGCCATTGATCTCAGACCAATTCTTGAGCCATACACTGCCACCTACAGAGAGAGGATCAGCACTCTCGCCCTGTCTTGGCAAGCTCTGCAGGAAAGAAAAAGAAAAGTGATTGGATCCCAAGAGACTTACCGATCTGAGCTGTTTGTGCACCGATCAGCGTGAGTAGATAGATTGCTACTGCAATCAAATTGCTCGTCTTAGCATATTCGGCATAGACTGGGACAGTTAGCTATCGAACATGCATCGGGGAACTGGATAGCTTACCGTTCCATTTGACTTTACCCTGCTCAGAAAACTCCTTGGTTTGCTTAGTCTTCGTGGTTGGTTCCTCCTCATCACGAAGTTTGCCCCTGGGTCCCCTGAAACTGGCGGTGCTGGCACGCCTCAAGCTTGCAAAGCTCTCCTTCCGCTTCTTGACTACGGGTCCACCGTTCCGGATAGGTTGGAGCTGTGTCAGACGTTCCTGCGCCTCTTCCATTTCGACCTTTTCCTCATCCTCGTCTGGATTTGTTACATCGATCGTTGTTGAAGAATCACTGCCTTCAGACTCTGTAGACTGGTCCTGATTACTGACGGTCTTGATGAGATTCGAGATCTCGCCCTTCATTGCCATTAATTGATTGTAGGTCCCTCGCTCAATTATCCTTCCATCTCGAATCAGGCATATGTAATTAGCTTCCATCAATACTGGAATCGAGTTGGTGGCCAAAACTCTTGTCTTGCCCTTCAGCAATCCAGTCGGTCCAAAGACATTGTCAATGAGATGCCTGCCAACGTGTTGGTCAACTGCTGATAGGCAGTCGTCAAGTAGATAGATGTCAGCTCTGGTATATACAGCTCGGGCGAGTGTCAACCTCGCTTTCTGACCTCCACTGAGAGAGATTCCACGCTCTCCTACTTCGGTCTCATCGCCATCCGGGAGCTGCGCAAAGTCCTCCGTCAAGGCACATGCCTTTACTGTCTTTTCGTAGAAGACGGGGTCATATCGATGGCCAAACAAGATGTTCTCCTTTACACTAGCATTCATGACCCAAGCCTGTTGCGCAACATAGGCAACTGATCCGTGAACAGTAACCTCTCCTTTGGCCTTCCATAGATCTCCCAAGAGAGCCTGAAGGAGCGATGATTTACCAGCTCCGACTCGTCCAACGACGCACGTCAGTTCTCCCTTACATGCCGAGAAATTTATGTCTTCCAGAACATTTCGCCCAGAATGTCTGTCCCAGGAGAATGTACCATCGCGTACAGTAATGGATTCTTCACCCAGCTCCTCAACTGCATCCTTCACGACCACCGCATCTGGTTGAAGTTCTTCGGCCATGAAAAAGGAGGTGAGTCGCCCGACAGCGACCGAAGCCTCAATAATGGAGGTTATGACCACGGGCAATATTGCCAGGGGAAACGTAAGTAGATTAAAGAGAGTCAAGGCCGGGAAGACAATATCAGTTGTAAGAGGTGTATCTTTGGTTAAAACGAAAACTGCGAACGTGGAACATGAGACAAGGAAAGGGGTAGTCGACCACGTGAAATTGGCAACGGACTGGGCAGCGCCAATTTTGCGAAGAGTCTTGAGTTCCCGGTCGTTTCGGATGTAGTTGAGCTTTTGCATAAAAGCACTGCCCCATGCATACAACTTGATGCTTTTCATGTTGTTAACAATCTCCGCAATGAGTCTCGATCGCGAATCCTACAAAAGTTATGATTAGCTGAGGGATCACAATACTAGTGCTGACCGAGATTGAATCGATAAGCAGATATCGACGAGTTGGGAAGTAGAGATATGAAGAGCATATCAGTGACTTAAAATGATCTCCAACCACAGAGATGCTGGGGCGAAGCCCAATCAACCAGCGTTGAGCATCTCCGCGTATTCCGCAAGTAGTCAGAGAAAGAGATACACACCTTATTTTTCATCTGCTCCTTCTGCAGTTTCTTCATGAGGCGTGCAATGAGCCCATTGATAGGAATCATGAATATCATCGCCCCGACACCAGCCAGCATGGAAATCCCGACAAGTTGATACAGGGAAACCATGCATAAGATGATCTGATATGGTGCTGACCATAGTTGCTGACCGTATTGCGTCAGATCCTGTAGTCGCTGCGTGTCGACCGCCATATAATTGACAATATCACCAGTGGATTTTGACGCCCGGCCTTCATTTGAAAGCTTCAAGGACTTAGAATAGATCGCCGCAGTCAACGCCGTCTTAATCCTCATACCTGTCTCGAAAGCTCGCTGGAAGTATTGATGCAGTGCCATTGTCTGGCCAACAGATACCGCAAACATAGCCAACGCAATAGCAGCACCCCTAATTACCGGTTCGGGCTTGTCGGTATCATAAGAGTAAACGAATTTGATCAAGAGCCTTAGTAATTGAGGCTGCACAAAAGCCAGTGTATCGCTGACCGTCTTGAACAAGGCACCCCGAAAATAGGGACCACTAAAGCCTCGGAAAATGGCCATCCATAGAGATGGATGCTTCTTGTGTTTCATCTCAATATCCCAAGCTTCCTGGAATTTGGAACCGGTTGCCTTGGTTGTGTCCCGTTTGGCCAGGTTCCAAAGATCATCCTCTGTCAAGTATTTCTTGTATCCATATTTCATCATAGGTGTCATCCAACTGAATGTGAGGATTGAGAATACCGTCGCATATTCAACCGGGCATTCATCTTCGTCTCCAATAGCATGATATGCACTCTTTGTCTTTGGGACCAACCATTCTAATCCAAACTCAATCCACGAGAGCCCATACCCAATGCAATATGCAATGAAATACGGCTGGTGCTTGTCGTATATTTGTTGGGAGATCAGTGAGCGTAGTTTGACAGAGTATGCGATGAGGATGAAGAGCCAGTAAAACAGCACAACCCCATTTGGATTTCGAAGCCTGCTATGTTCGAGCCATTGGATGGCGAAAATGACACCAAGAGAAGCAATTGTAAGAACGCTCGTCCAGAATCTAAAGTCGCCGGCCCAGACATCTGGGTAGTTGATAATTTGGAATGCAAGCTGGATCGCAACTGATATAGCTATCGCCACAATGAGCGCCTGTTGATGAGAGGTCAGCTACGTCCACCAATCCGCCAGAGGATACAGGCAAGATTCCCCTACCTGTTTTGTCCAGAAATGCCAATCCTTTCCAAGTTCCGTCTTCTGTTTTCGTTTCACCAGCCACCATACTGCTACGGCTCCAAATAGGATCCCATAGACCGCCACAGAGCTGACCCAGACGTCCATGAAGCAGGGCGTGAAATCATATCGATATGGGCTCAGCGGGCCCCATCCTTCCTTGTTACCGCATAGCGGGTGTCGTATGGTCTTGTCTGCGGTCAGATATCCATGGCCCAACTCCTCCAACGCGCGGAAGCCTGAGAAAGATCCTGTTTTGAGGATGCTCTGCGACGAGCTGCCGACGCTCATGGCGAGGAAATTGATGCTTCAACACTCGAATTCCCTCTCGTCCCGTGCGAAAGAGGAATTTAGAGGTGTTGGGAAAGGTTGTGGTATGGATGGTCTGTGGAAGAAATATATCCAATTACTGGTGACCTGCGCGCACGGGTTTAAGAGGGGAAAGCCGACGGCGTAATGCTGCAGCGGAATATTTACAAAGCAACAGACCAACAAGAGATAAGCTTTCTGTCATGCCCAAAGTCGAGATTTAGATAATCCCAACTCCGCTCTGTTTTATTTCTATTATTCCTAACATTTCTGTTTTTTGTTCTCCAACTGGATCGATTTGCCCAGTTACTATTTATAGGTTCTATTCGAGAATTCTGCCTTGACTCCGTCTTTACGGAGTACGTTTCTCTGGCTTCGTTCACTCTGCGCAGTAATGCATGAGTTCGCTTGTCTGTGATTGGCGGGCAAACATCGACTTCCAGAGCTTTCCTCAGGACTCGGAGTGATGACAACCTCGCCCAATAATTCAAGACCAGAGACAGTAGAATTCATATATGGAAGAAAGAGTTACTCTCATCGCTGACTTGTCCTAATTGAGAGTTTAACCCAAAAACAATGTTCTGTTTGACCGGTCGGGTGCCTCGCAACAATTTCATATATACTCTTTACTTAAACCCGCAAACCTCACAGAGCCAAGATACTGGCAACGCATAAGAACCTTTCGGATTTGCTACTTATCAGGCATCAAACAATCTCTGCAGGCGCCAAAAATCAATGTAAAAGGACCCATTCTTTTGCCCCTCGCAGTCGCGTATTCATCATCAGATAGCCATCCCGACCTGTTCTGGAGAGAGATGAAAGAGCGGCACAACCACCGGCAAGGCCCTATTTTCTCCTCCCAGTTTCTCCTCCCGAATTAGAAAGAATAAAATCTGTAAAAGTCCATACATGAAAGGGCAGCGGCAGGTGAATTCGTCAAATCGTGTGCAGGGGATCATCCTATCGAAGTCGTGAAAGCAGCAAATTCTGCAGTGAAAAGGCCGCCCGTCCACCCATATGCTGCATTTCTAGCTTTCTCCAGCACCTGATGCCACATCTTCCTTCTTTGGATTAAGACCAGCGCTCTGGCAAGTCTTCTTCCACGTCTCCACCTCGCGCCATGCTCGTTCGCACTCAGCCTTGAGCTTGTCATTACTGGCACTGAGTTCAGCAATAGCTTGCTCAGTCAGGAGCTTCTCTAATGTCCACTTCTCAATATTTTGAGTCTCGTTCTCCTTAAGTTGGGTGATAAATTGGACCGCGCGTTGCAAGATCGATCCCTTGTTCTTTTCACATCCAGGGACAATTTTGGCCAACTCATTGATGCCTTCATTAATAGTCTCTCGGCGACGTCTCTCAACTAAGAAGTTGTTAGCATGTCTTCCATGGCTTCCATATAGCATCTAGCTTACCCTCCTTGTGGTTATCTTTTCGAACTTTATGCCATTCGTCAGATCCAACAGCTGGCTTGGAAGTAGACCCTCTAGCACTTGGAGTCGAGGCCTCCATAAAGCCGTCTCCGCCTTGTTGACTGTTATCCATGAAGGACGAATCTTGGTTGCGATCGTTGTCAGAGGCTTGACTAGCGAACGATACGTCTGTTGGCTGGGGAATGGTCATGGTTGGGTAGATACCTGCAAGCGCCGCCGCAGCAGTAGAAGAAGCATTGGCGTGTTCGCCGTTCTGATCAGGGTTGCCGTGGTGTAGACCACTGTAGTCTTGTAAGGCTTCCACGTCCGGCTGATTACCACCAGCCTTGTTCATACTGTTGGGAGAGACACGCTTATTGCTAGCACGCCTTGCATCGTCAGCTGAGTCCGAGTCGCGCTTCCGCTTCTGTGCAGTATTCATAACCCCTTCCGCAGCCTCCTCGCGCATCGCATTCGCGATCTCCTGCAAACCAGAGTGTTCGAGGTCCATTTGGTCAGCCATTTAGACGGTGTCAAGGCTCGTGATGCGCCTTGCCCAATGATTCAGAGGGAGACCTGATTGGGGTTCGAGGAGCGCAGATGACCTCGAAGGGTTGGCAGGTAGTTTTAAGGCTCAACCCAACTTTCCGCAGTGGAAGACGACGTGTTCTACCGAGGTTTGCACAGGTGCGACAGCTTAGTGTACTACGACCCTGAAGCCCTCACGGTACTGCAAATCGCTACAGCTGGAAGTTCTCGAAGCGCGTTGCTGCAGCAGTTCGTTCAGGTGGTCTGCGAAACGAACGTTTCTGTGCCCTTATAAAGTAGTACCTACAAGGTCAGCACGTGTTCTTGCAGGTGAAGCAACACATATCAATTCAGTTACTCAAGCGACGACAGAAAGTGAGATGCCCGTCGACTTTGCGCTCTCTGCCACGGGCGACAGGTCACTGTGACGGCGCGCGGGCGGCAGCACAATGGCACTGTCTCCTCGCAAACAGAGACATTGTTTGACGAGGATCGCGCTGCAATACAACAATCCTGCACTTGGTGATGTGACAAAGGATGGGAGGAAGCAGTTCTGTGTTTGCGATCCGGTGACAGGAGAGCGAAGCGCAAAGCATCTCGACCAACGACAGGCGCGGTGATGCCCGGCATTGGCGCACGTAACGAGGGATCGTGACCTAATCCCAGGTCGCGTGGAATAAACCCCTTCTGATATGTCCATCGCTGGTTCCACGAACGACGAACGAAAAGGCTGGATGTGACATGGAGGGGCGCTGGCACTGAGGCGACAGGGCGCTTGAGAAAGGAGGAGGGATAAGGCATACCTTGCTTTGTTATCTGGGTGGATAGTGGATATCCGAGTCGACTACCGATGCAGATGAGGTATGCGACGCGACGGCCGGTAGACGTGGAATCACAACACGCTGGACTCTGGTGTCGCAGGATGCCGAAAAGGACGTGATAAGATCAGAGAAGCAGCAGAGAACAGCGTCGATGAATTAAAAGTCGCTCTTCGTCGCTGGCGACGACTGTCCGGCTCGACCGATTGAATAGCTGCTTGAGGGGTTGGGCAAGTCAGCAGACACAAACGTGACTGTGTGCGTGACTTTGATCACGAGTTCGAAAGGGCGAAGGCGAATTGGCTGGTTGGCACCCAATGGAAATCAAACCAGCGTTGACAGGCCTGGATTTGGTCGATCTGGGATGGACGATGAAACACTACAGCACACCCTCTTGTCGCAAAAGACGTACGAAGTTGCTGATATCTGGGTCTGGGAAGAATCGTGAGGAGAGGAAGGACTTTCACGTGGGGAGATTCGAGTGGCCGGTCATGTGCTGTGTGCACGATGCCGCTAGGCCATATTGGCCATTAGCGGGTCGGCAACGGGTGGTGAATGATTGAGGCCTGATTTCTAAGGCATAACTTTTAAGGCCCAACTTCTAAGGCCTCACTCCCCGATTGCCTTATCTGTCCCGGCCACCGTAGCATGGCGTGCATGTCTCTCTCCGCCAAGCGATTGCCGATGTACTGTACTGCCGGAGGTAGATATCCTGATGAACTCCACCTCGAAGAACCATAAGCTTGTATCCAACGTCAACCAGCAAATATATTGTGTAGTATTAGTGCTTCGATACTCTAGGAAATCCTCCGACCCTACAGGACCCTGAACGATAAAGGATCCAGCTCTCCACCAAAGAACCGGTCTTCCAGACAGCAGATTCCAAGCTTGGAGCTCACCTCGTCTTACTGCATGATACTGCAAACTACCTGAACAACATGGCCGACCACATAACGTCGAAGCTAAATCCTGACTCGCATCTCCTTCTTGTATGAATTCATTGTTCCCAAGGACGCATATCTCGAGTTAACCAAGTAATTTCTAGGATCAGCCACTTCTCCGCTTACCTTTCGAGCTCCTCCGGAAGAACTTCAAAGTTGCCCATTTCAACGTCGAGAAAGAGAGTGCGGCAGTCAAGAGCACCCTGAGAGACACTGCAAACGCATCTCTCAACTCACGCGCCTCGCCTGACGATGTCCTCAAGAATGTGGATTCTATGATCGCTCGGATGCGGGGCCTGAAACGGAAACTCAACGCATGTTCGGAGGAAGAGACGAGGCTACAGGAACAATCACAGAGCCGAGTACGGCATTTAGGGGAACTATATGGCATACAGAGTTTGGACGATGTTAAATATGAGAGATGGAGTAGGACACGGCTGGACCGGTTATTGGTGGATTACTTGCTGAGGTATGGGTATAAAGAAAGCGCTACAGCGTTAGCAACGGAAAAGAACATTAGAGACTTGGTCGATGTGGACACATTTGTCCATATGAGTAGGATAAGGGAGAGTTTGCAAAATGGGAGGGTAACAGAAGCCTTGACGTGGTGCAACGAGAACAAGAAGGAGCTCAGGCGAATGGAGGTATGTCGTCTGGTGGCGATCTTTGTTCACCGATGCTAACATGTTCTTCAGAGCAATCTCGAATTCATGCTTCGGTTTCAGCAATATATTGAGCTTATACGGACACAAGACCATTCAAAGCTCCTCGAGGCAATAGCACATGCCAAGAAGTACCTTCTGCCCTTTAGGGATACATATCCAAAGGAAGTCCAACAGGCATGCGGCCTGCTAGCCATCCCACCAAGTACACGAGAAGCAACCTATGCTGTAAGTGCTCTGGTTTGCCGCCCCGAGCCTTTCTAACATGCTGCAGGAGCTCTACAGCCCGTCTCGCTGGACCACCCTGGCGAACCTCTTCATGCAAACTCATAACAATCTACTTGCTCTACCCCCAGTCCCGCTCTTACATATTGCCCTATCAGCGGGTCTCTCATCTCTAAAGACACCTTCCTGCCACTCTTCTCATGCATCCTCATCCTCAATCTCACCTACCTCCTCTTCCTCAATCACCACCTCTGTCTGCCCAATTTGCAGTATAGAGCTCAACGATCTAGCACGGAATGTTCCGTATGCACATCACACCAAAAGTCACGTGGAATCTGATTTGGTGCTGTTGCCAAATGGCTGCGTGTATGGGAGACAACGGTTGGAGGAGCATAGCAGGAAGGCGGGCCTGAGTGACCATCTCCTCAAGGATCTGAGGAGTGGGGAAATATTCTTAGCTGATGATGTTAAGAAGGTGTATATCTCTTAGTATAGAGAATAATGGTCACTTGAATGGAAGGGATTACACTTATTGTGAGCCTCTAAGTGTAGTCTCACATCTATTGCTTAACTTAGAAATAGAGTTACGGCAGGCATATTGAACCCAATTCTTGATGGTGAGCCATGTTCATATCTGTTGATTTGTTCGAGATGGATTTCGTGTTATATTCCTTATATTCCTGAAAATCAATATCTACCTTTGAGTACCCAACAGCTGAGGAGTCTAATTCCCTGGGCCAATCGTACTCTATTCCACTCCATTCGACAAATACTACTTCTGGACCAAACACAAGCTTAAAACGCCAAACTACCTAGGTCTCGGAAAGTATGAGCTGCAACGTCTTCGTCCTAGATCTTGGAGACATAGCTTGCCTGATAGAAGATGGGTTTGAGGCAGAGACTGAGAGGAGCTGTGGCTGAAATAGAACAAACGCTGGATGTAGGGAAAAGGGGAGTAGGAGTTGTAATACAATATACGTCCACAGACAGAAATGCATCATTTTAGATCAGTGCTTTCATGTATGCAGGTAAACCAACCATCCCTGATGCTTGAAGCTAGGATTACAAAATCAAATTATATACTTTTGATAGCTTACTTTTACGCCATGTTGGCTTTCATAACATTGATATCTTCACCATCCATCGAATTGATGCCCTCCTTCACGACTCTAGTCACCGCTTGATCAGTAGGCTCATTCCCATTCAGCAAATCAAACCAGCCATTCGCCCCCTCAGTCTCCAACAACTTAACCGCCACCTCTGCCACATCCCCTCTACTCACCTTATCCCTGGCATTCGTCCTCCCCAATTCAATCTTTCCCGACTCCTTCTCATCGCTCAACCATCCCGGTCTCAAGATTATATATGAGAACTTATCCTTCCCCTCCTTCTTGACGCGCTCTTCACCGAGCACCGTCAGCGCCTCGTCGGCCGCCAGCTTCGCTTTGTAGTAGTGCGGCATCATCTCGGTATTGATCTGCTGCATCGAGGCGTAGGATTCGTCATCCCACCAGCTGGGCCGGCCTCTCCGGATCAGGAGCGCCGAGACGAGGAGGAATTTGCGGATCGAGGGCGTGGCGAGAGAGCTGCGGATGAAATGGATACAGGCATCGCGATCAATGGCATATGTCCTCCCGGATCCTCCTTTACCTCCCGCTCCTACAGCACAGGATTGGAATCAGCACCGCCCGCCACGCATACCTAGTCATATGGAGACAAAGAAGAAGAAAAATGAAGAGGATGAGAGAGAGAGAATAGCTCACCAGCACTCCAAATCACCCAGTCAGGTTTGACCTGATCCAAGATCTTCTGCGCGTCAGCGTCCGACTTCACCTCCTCCAAAGACGCAACCAACACGTCCACCTTCCCGGGCCCATTCTTCCCAGCCTCGAGAATGTCGCGCTTGTGTTCCGGGTTCCGCACCACCGACGTCACGTTCCAAGAGCGAGAGACCAGTTTGGGCGTCATGAGCAGGCTGACCTTGCCATGCCCACCGAGGAGGAGTACGCGTGGTGGCATTTTTTGCGGATTTTGGTGATGGGGGACGAGTAGATGTAGGTAGGTAAGTAAGGTAGCTTAGATGCACTTGTTCGCAGTTGTGTGTTTAGATGGAACGAAGAGAAGGTAGGATTCACAGAAAAGGAAAAAAGAACTCGCATTCCTAGGTATGTACCTTATTTAAGCTACAGTATTCATAATCATACCCAGGTAAGGTAGGTCGGGGATATGAGCTAATAACGCTTTTTGTAATCATGGCTTCTCGTTGCACTTTTCTGGTTGCATCATGTCACCTGAGGTATCTGCATCCTGCAGGCACGTTTGCCTACCTGGCTCTCTGACCGCTATATGATTACTATTTACGAACAGTTCCGGGTCTTCTTTTCTTTATGCCGGATATGCGTCTGTGTGAGCTGTCAACGACGTGTACAGTGCAGAGTCTACTGTAGAATGTAGTGCACCCCGCAATCATGACGTTTGCCGTGGTGGCTGATCAGGAATGGAAACTGTGGCTGAAAGTATGGCACGTGATTAGAGCTTGAAAAGGGGGAGAGCGCCGGAGAGCATAGGTAGGGAAGGGTTCTTTCGCAGGTATTTCGTTTGATCTCTGTTGTTGGGTAGAGGAGGGATGAGTGGTTGAAGCCTTCCCCAATGCTCCTCTCGTGGAAGTCTCCCTTGATAACATTCTACACAGAAGACACCGCTCTACAATGCATGTTTCTTTCTATGTATATATTCACATTGTACTAGTACTTATACTATACAGCTCAACAAACAGACGCCCGGTAACTCCACTCCTTCCAGCTCAAATAGTGATCATACCAGAAGAACTCCGCTCGCAACCGATATGACGACCAAGGAATGTTTTTTCCAGCCTAGCGGGACCAGAGACACGAACTCCTTTTCCTATTTGTTGTATTGGAAAGACCCAAAGACTCCACCACCACCCCCTGGCGTCAGTGGCCCAATGCCCCCTCCGTTGTTGGTATGTACTGGCGTGCTAACGAGACCTGCGTTCCCGGTGTTCGGCGTGCTGGGCGAGCCGTTGGCATAGGAATTACCATTTTGATTTGGATTTGGATTTTGATTCGGCGTGGTATTTTCCTGTAATTGCTGGTGGTAGTGCTGAGGAGTACTATGTTGTGGCGCATGGTGCTCCGGGAACCCCAGACCCCACACCTTGCCCAGATGTTCATCGCCGATCTCGCCATTGAAGATTCGCTCCCTCATTTTGAAGAAGGCCTTGCCCGTCACCAAGGAGTCTGAACCCGCTTGGTGCGCAGCACCTTGTCGTTTGATCTTCAGGGTTTCGGCGATGTTTTCGAGCCCTGATTTCTGCTCGAATTTGGACAGTATTTCAGCACTGCCAGCATCGAGCGGGGTGAGTTGGCCCATTGTATGCTGCTTAATTGCATACTTCATGAGATACTTGATGTCGTAAATACTGGGGAACCATTTCTTCATAAGCATATCGAATTCCCTTTCGTCGTCTGGCAGAGGATCGCAGATTAAGAGCTTGGTAAGGTATCCGAAGTCGTAGCCGCCGTGGAATGATATCCAGCGCACATCTTCATCGCACACAAGACCGGAACTTATGAGGAGGGATCCGAAGTCGAAAGGGTCGATGCCGTCTCGCTCGAGGCTGGGAAAGTCTACGCCCGCTTGTCTGAGAGCTTCTATAGACACCTCCGAGTACATGTCATCCTTCAACGAAAATTTGAAGTTAAACTGCCAAGTACACGGTAATTGTATAATTCCGCCGCCGTATTTTCGAGACCCAGGTATGTTGAACTCCGGATCGGAAGATAGTAATGTTGGTGGGGGCGATTCGCCGTCCTCTGAGAAAAGTGTGATTCCAAGCTGGATGATCTTGAGCAAATCGACGTTGCACCGTAAACACTGGTAGTGATAATCGCTCTTCCCCCGGAATGCTCCCATGGGGCGCGCGACGAGTCCTGGGAATTCCGTATCCTGGCATGCTGTTAATTGACGTTCCTTGTTCTCTCTCTCTCTCAAGAACACCCCTCTCTTACCATAGCAATGTATGGATACTTGTCCACGAGCACCCTTAATATAGCCATCTCCTCGTGTAAGTTCCCTTTCCACACCTCCCTGATCCTTCCTTTGTTCGCCACGCCCCGCGAACCTTGTTCACCCATACCGTTATGCATCTGTTGTTGAAGATTTGCACCCGCGAAGCTCATCTGTGCGGCTTGACTTGCCAGCCCCGTTCCTCCGGGCATACCCAGCCCAGAGGCCCCAAAGCCACTCGGCATGTTCAAAGTATTGCCATTTACTGAGAAGGGATTGGACATCGAGTTTGCGTTCATGAAACCAGGGTTGGCACCCAGCGCGGGCGGCGGCAGTCCAGCAGCCTGAGAGTGTCCTGGATACTGCTGATAGTGCGACGCGAGGTTATTGGGTGCCGCGCCAAAGCGCTGCATCGGTGGAGGCATTTCGATCTGACGTGTTATGTATGCTAATCCGGAAATCTCGAGGGAGGTGTTCGGTTTTCATGGGCGCAGCGTAAGGCGCGTTCGGGGGGGTTGACGTTCGACCTGTAGGATGTTGTCTATAATAGAAGGCTCGCGTCGATGTATCTGTTTTGCTGGGATTCTATTTTGGTAATCGTCGTCTTAACCAAGGTGTTGGAAGTAGGAAGGACTGTCTGGCTTGCTGGCTCGCTCTCGTTCAGATCGATATCGCGACGCCGCTTATGTAAGCGATCGCTAAGTCGCCGGAGCTCCAATTCAACCTCCACCGAAAAGACCTCACACGATTCCAAGAGACAGCCTTGCGGAGATCAATTCCTTCAAGATGCGTATCACAAGGTATGACTGATATGTCAATTGATCGCCCTCAATTGCGATATTTGAGCGGCTAACACCATTTTTCTAGTGTACGGAGAGCTCCTCGCCAGAACCTGACGGGCTTCGACCCCAAAGCATTCGCCGCAGCGGCTGGCACACCTAAGAACGACCCATGGGCGAGAGCGTAAGTCTCCCGGCCCTCGGGATTACCGGTATAAGAGGCCTTATGCTGACTCTCCATGATCATCAGAGAAGCGTGGCGATACACCGGACCTTTCACGCGATGGAACCGATTCAAGGGTAGCTTCCCCGGCCTGGGCATCGCGTCTGTGGCATTTGCGGTATACTGCGGATACGAATACTTCTTCCTGAAGGATGAGCATCATGGACATGGGGAGGAGCACCACTGAGGATGATTCGGGCTTGAAAGACGATGTATATATTGGACCAAAGAATGTTGCGACACAGTGCGCCGCCATGCATTCATGCCGGAATAAGCGGTTACTTGGCTCTCTCTGGTCTTGATTATTTTGATCGATATTCATTTCATGAGCAAGACATGGATTGCCTGCGCCATCAGACAGAGACCGTTGATATCCCTCGATGCCCTGGCATAGGAGCCAAATGGCCTTTATGGTGGTGATCATCGGAGTATTTGATGAGCGTGAACTGGTTCAATTCTCATTTACCTACGTGGTATGAGCGGTTTCCATTCTAACGCAGACTCCCACTTTGCCCATTCATTCCGGTTTACATGCAAGTGGTCAAAGTATAACTTCGGTTATTCAATTGTGCCTCAATGGAGGCTTTTTGGATACACTACTTATATATATTATTCCTCAAAAGCTAAGGTCAAGGTATACCTTAGAAGTTAGATACCTATCCTTCAACTGTGTAAGTATACACACAATCCATCATGGGTTTGATGTCATGGTTTCTCCTTTTTTTGACCTTCTTCGTCATCGTTCATTCACACGCAGCCACTCATTTCTACTATGGAGAATTATCGATCATCTTGGAAGGAAAAGGTACATCTGGACGCAATGAAAAAGCCCGTATTGATTTGCTATTTCATGGTTATCGTTGGCCATAATGATTATCTGGCGAAGCGCTGAGGACCTCAAGTCAGCGAATCCTACCTTATTTGTACAGGATAACATGACCTATGACCCATCTTGTGGAAGTACACAGGACGAGGTATCTTTACGATTCTTTCTTTCTTTTGAGTTTTCACATGTCTGGAAGAGAAGGGCAACGAAAAATTGAAGCATCGCAGGAGATGTTCCCGAGGATGCGGGCTGGTGTAGTGCGCACAGCTGGTCTACCTGCAGATTGCATGCAATGAGTGTTCGTTCCCTTTCCTTGCTTTTGTTTCTTTTTTCTTTTTCTCGCCCTTTATTCCGTTTGGTCGTTTTAGCAAGGAGAAACTGTTACCGCATGGCCTTCCTGTGGCGGGAATGAAGTGAAGTCAGGAGAGGTTTTGTAACCACGTGACTGTAGATCCCATGACTGCCACCCTTGCCCTGTGCCGCTTGCGTCAGAGGTTGCTTCCATGCATTCTCTTGCAGTTCGCGATACTTCCTACATCACGATATGTATCTCAAGCCGCCTGCTGAATGGAATCTCAGTTCGATGGTAGACTACAAGCTTCGGCTTCGCAAGCCCCAGCTCAGAACAACGACGGACAAGTCCTCGCCCGACTTCGCGCTCTAACTCTACACCACGGGAACCATGCCCAATACCAGGAATCAACAGTATTACCCCCATCTTCAATTCCACAATCATCCACAGATCCGATCCCAACAGCCCTGCAGCAAGATGGGCCGCGTTCTTTGCGCATCCTGCTGGTTCGCGACAACGTGATTAACCTGAAAGTCATTAATGCATTCCTCCTGAAACACAAGTACGATAGGATCACCACGGCACGTAACGGCAACCAGGCCGTTGCAGCTGTTCGCCAAGCTGCCGATCAAGGGGAGAGTTTCGATCTTATCCTTATGGATGTATCGATGCCGGGGATGGATGGGTTCGAAGCAACGAGGTTGATTCGAAGCTTTGAGAGAGGTTCAGAGCAGGGGGTCGATTCGAGGGAACATGGAATGTTAGCCATGGGTAAAGGCGAAGATGATCCTCTAGCTGGTGAGGTGAAAGAGAAAGACTCGAGCGGAGGCAGAGGTCGGAATCGGGCGTATATTGTGGCACTGTCCGAATATGGATACGCGAGTGTGAGAGACGAAGTGGAGAGGAGCGGCTTCGATTGTATAATCTCGAGGCCGACCAACCTTGGGAAGGTCAGGGAACTCCTGCAGAGGTTGCAGAAGGAGAAGGAGTGATGGATAGGGAGACCTTCCCAGAAAAAGAAGCCTAATTATTAATGAAATTTTAGGGGATTTCATGGCTACTACAGCCTCCGGGTACCAAGACGCTCGAAACTGGTCAAAATTCCGGGAGTATCCACACGAAACCAAAGGAAGATGTGAGATGACGATCCTATGAAATGATTCTCCTATCGGTCATCGACGGAATTTTGGAAGTACAAGGCATGGAAATATAAATTGTGCTGTCGGGAAAGAACAAGAAGGAAGAAACACGACTGGTCTGAGTATAAACAAACCTGTGAGTATGGAGATATATAGTATCCTCAGATCATATATCAATCTGATCTTCGACCGACTGGAAATCTCCGTTCGCCATTTCGAGATTGCTGGTGTTGCTTGTATGCTTTCCTGCTACGAGAATATGTGCGATAGCGTCGGAATACCATTCGCTCGATCGACGAGATGTTCCTTCCCTCTCTCCCTTTGTCTTTAATTATCGTTCTGCTTCTTGCGAATGGGCAGTGGTTCCAATCCTCTGACGATGCGAAATGTAGGTTTTGATACATGTCTGGAATCTGGAGCCCTTCCGCCCCCTCCCCCCCAACAAGAAAAAGTCATTGGAATTATCCGACAAATTATCTGGGACAGCTCATGCTATGTCGGAATTCTCGCGGATGAAGCTATCCTCAAATCTTCTTTCAATCGAGGGCAATATAACGATATCTTCCTCTCATCAAAAGATTCTTCCAGTAAGCCATAAAAAAAGCCCAATCCCCGCAGGAATCGCGAGGTGACTTCGATTTGACTAGAAAGTGACAGACAGCATCAGCAGCTACCTTATTCCAGAAGGGATGCCGTGCCGCGATTCCTTATCACCGCAGATGTCCAATCCGCTTCCAACATCCAGCATCAGGTCTTATGGTCTAGTGGTATGATTCTCGCTTAGGGATTACCCTGAGTCTTTGTTGCGAGAGGCCCCGCGTTCGAATCGCGGTAAGACCCGTATCTTTCTGATTACTTCACAACACAAGATGTGAAGTGAACAGACTTTTTATTTTTTTTCTTCTTTCTTTTTGCCGGCTTGGTTGGTGGAGGAAAGGCTTGCGGAAGCTGTCATGTACTAATAATTGCCGACTCGCTTGGAAAAGGGTCATCGGTTGCGGACCCCCCCCCCCCCCTTCTTTTTTGCTAGAAAGCTCTTCCCTCATGCCTCGATATCAACGTCGACCAACTTTCAGGACAGGTATGAAGACCTTAACGATAATACTGTGGAGAGTAGACTGTTTCCCCCTCTCTTGAAAATCGGCGGTGCTTTTGAATGAGATAGGAGGGAGGCATTTGAGGTATTCTTGCTCGTCTCACAAAATAACTCTTATCTCATCGTCTCAAGCCAGCTGGTACGAGAACCAGCCAGTCATCCATATCTGAGTCGCAACAACAAAAAGAGGAAACCCGAGATCGCTCGGGTCGCAAAAGAAAAAGAGAAAGAGGAAACGCAAGATCAAAGCTGGCGGCGCTGATGCGCTCATATATAAGGAAAAGTGTCTCCGAAGATCACAGAAAATCGCAGAAGATCTCTTTGAAGATCACAGAAGATCAGGGTAGCAACTTAACGCACGATGCACATCCATTCCTATCGACGGACATTGAAGATCTCACGACTCACGAGTCGCGCAGCAAGACACAGTGATGGTGATCTATTCTCAAAAAGGACCTAGCACTTTTCTAGAGAATGTCTCGCAATAGTAATACGACCCAACACGCTGGCATCAGGGTTTCTTTTCTTTCCAAAGCACTTCAGGACCCTGAACGCTGGAAGTGATCGCTGGATTCTGTATGTATGTATGTATGTATGCTGGGTCTGGACTTTGTACTACTTACTGCTTGATGTCTTGCATAAGAGTGATATATATGTATATACTTCTGTATGTATCCTAATGAGGAAGATTGAAGAATCGAAACGTCTCTGTACCTTACCTTATCGACCTAATCTCGGCTTTGATCATGACATTACTTACTTAACACGTGATATCTATCCCCCGTGACCTTCAACCAACGCACCTCCGCAGAATCGCATTCCCCGGATCACCACGTCTATATCGAAGGGGTGCATCGCACCCACACACAATTAATTTAACTTATCATTTCCCCATACTTTTCCCACATGCCATGATATTTTATGAGGTAATGGCCTCGTGATGTCCTATTTTTCCTTGCCTGCTTACCAAGTTACCAACCCTACTTTACCCTACAACAACAGTACGTACAAGACAAGACAAGACAACTTAGACAAGAAACCAAGAAACCAAGACAAGAGCCACACACACCCTTTCCGTAGGAATACCCGATTTGAGCTCACTTACTTACTTACTTGCTTTGCGCCGGCGCCCATCGGACAAGCTAGGTGCGCAAGTCCGGGCCCCCTTCTTCATCTTTCACCCGCACTCACTCACTCACGTACAAGGACAGTATAGACAGGGCTAATCGCTACTCCAGGCGGAGTACCTAGTCCCCGCGTCTCGCAAATTTGAAAGTTGCAAAGGCCTCTCCCTGTCAGGCTGGCAGAAAAAACGGAGGAAAGAGGGGGTAGGGGGATTCGTGGGGCATGGTGGGGAATTTGGTGGAGGGAGTGTGGAAAGGTGGAGCTTGGAGAGTAGTATGGAGCTTGGAGAGTAGTATGGAGAGAGAGAAAAGAAATTATTGGGAAATTGCGGGATCAATCATGGGGGCGGTGCTTGCTACCGAACTCCGGGTTTTGTTTGTTTGTTTCTTATTGTTGGTTTTTGTTGGTTTTTTTTGGGGGGAGAGGTGGGTAAGTTGGGGGCGTTTAACGTAAATCTTGGTGTATTATTATTGAAGGTTGGGTTTTATGAGGATGTTATGCATCTTTTCCCGCGATGGTGGTGAGGATTCTGATAGACGGTGACTAGTCCCGTGATCTGGAACCAATCAGGGCGCCACGTCCGCTCCCACGCCCTCTGGAAGTGGATCGCACGCGGACCATTTGGACGAGCTTTATGCAAGAATATGCGAGCTTATCCCGATAGTATGCCAGCTATATCACGGATTACCCGCCAAGGGTTTGAGTTTATTGAATTTACGGGCCCCGAGTCTGGTAGCCGGGCCAGCGCCCGAAGGATTGTGATCTCGGGAAAGCTGCCTCGCACGCTCGGGAAAGCTGCCTTGGGACGGGCGCGCGTTGCCGTTTCGAGATGCCCGACTCGAGGGGGCTCCACCGGCACTCCACATTAGTCCCCCGCTATCTGCCCCATGCCGCGCGCGGTCCCAGTCTAAGTTCCCCCAAGTGGGGCGACAGCCCACATAGGGCGCGCGCTAAGCCCACCCTCTCCGAAGTGGCTCTGCGGCTGTGGCTTACCCGACCTTACCCCCTCCGGCTCCGGTGTCCGTTCACGGGCAAGAGCCAACACAACGTTAAACGGGAGCTCCCTCTTTCGGGCTTGCCTCGGTGGTTCTCCTGGCGACTTGTCCCGTGTCATTCGTGTTGTATTTCGTGTTATCCGCGTGCGGTGACGTCTTTGCGCATCTCCCCACCACAGGGCCACGGTGCGCCGACGGTGGGCAGCGCAGGGCGCAGGGGGACATATCGTTGCTGATTGCTGATTGTGGGTGAAGAAGGACGGACGGGATCTGCAGACTGTCAAGATCGGGGAGGGTGTGGCACGGTGGCACGGTGGCCCTAAGTCTCCTGCAATTCCTGCATCTCGGCGTCATGTTGCACGAAGGTACGAAGGTTGAGAAGCACGTTATCATGAAAGTGCCTGACGTCGCTTAAGACAGAGACATGTCACTGATGGGATATGAATAGATACACTGTGTACTCACGCGAGTAGTAGACAATAGTATCATTACCTTATCTAATATCAACAGCAAGGAACCAGGCATCCGGGGTTCCTTCCCCATTGCCCCACGCCGCATCGCTCTTTCCCCCTGCGGACTGATGACGTCGGTGCCGCCCCGGCTGTTTGAACTGTGCAAAGGGACAATGTAAGGTGGCTTAGTCAGCACCACCGTGATAGGGCTAGCGACCAATCAGCACTCGCTTCTTCTCTCCATACCCCTGTCCCGCCCGCGATGATCTCTTCATCCCGCCCATCGTCTCTTTCTCTTCTCCTCCTCGTAGGGATCATCATTCCCCCCTCCTAACCCTCCTAACCCTCCCGATGCATCCTGATTTGCCCCGTCGAGACAGCGCCCGACAATCGTGCCATATCGCGGATGGCGTCGCATCTTTCTTCTCCGAGCCAAGACCACAAGAGAATGCTGTCCGCCCGCCCCAGGGAGAGAGACATATGCCTGCGTCAAGGAAACATCAGCTATATATACCCCGTGCGTCCTTCCCTTCGTCGCGCCTCTCTCTCTCTCTTTTCCCCCTCCATTTCCCCTCTTCCCCCCCATTTCTCACCCCTCCTCCTCCTATTCTGCCTCTACTGGCTGGCCCGGAGACAGATAGATATACATATAGATAGATACAACCAGTTATCTATTGTCTATATTCCCTTCATCTCCTCCTCCCCCCCCCGCGATTCCCCATCCACATCTGGTCAACATGCCTGGGAGCGTGTCTGTCAATGTGGCTGGCGCCGCGCCCAAGTTTGCCGGCCTCAGTGGCAAGCGTCTGGGCCTGCTGGTTTCCATCATCTCAACCAACGGCTTTCTTCTTTTCGGGTACGATCAGGGAGTCATGTCAGGGATTATCAGTGCCGCCCCCTTCAACGCCTACTTCCCCGACACCCTGAACGACAGTGTCTACCAGGGCTTCGTGACCGCTATCTACGAGGTCGGATGCTTGATCGGCGCCATGTTCATCCTGACTTATGGTGACCGGCTCGGACGACGGAGAGCGGTATGTTTCCCCCCCCATCACCAGAATCCCGTGGGGCGTGGCTAATCAGAACGAAAAGATGATGCTTGGTGGCTTGATCATGATCATCGGGGTTATCATTCAGGTCTCGGCTGTCAAAGGACATCGGGCAACGGCGCAGCTGATTATCGGCCGAACCGTCACCGGCATAGGCAACGGCATCAACACGTCGACCATTCCCACCTACCAGGCCGAGTGTAGTCGCACGGCCAACCGCGGGCTTCTCATCTGTATCGAGGGCGGTGTCATCGCCTTCGGCACCATGATCGCCTACTGGATTGACTATGGCGCGTCGTACGGGCCCGACAACCTCACCTGGCGATTCCCCATCGCTTTCCAGATCGTCTTCGGCCTGGTGCTCATCTACGGCGCCTGGGTTCTCCCCGAGTCTCCCCGCTGGCTTCTCTCCAAGGACCGTCACGAGGAAGGCATGAACGTCATTGCCGCCCTGGCGGGACTCGATGTGAATGACGAGGAGGTCCTCTTCCAAAAGACTCTGATTCTGGACAGCATTCAAGCAAGCAGTGAACTCAGCAAGACCCCGATGAAGGCCCTTTTCACTGGTGGAAAGACGCAGCACTTCCGTCGTCTCTGCTTGGGCGCGTCCTCGCAATTCTTCCAGCAACTCGGAGGCTGCAATGCAGTCATCTACTATTTCCCCATTCTCTTCCAAGACGCTATCGGGACCAGTCACAACCTGGCGCTCCTGCTGGGTGGTGTCAACATGATCGTCTACGCCATCTTTGCCACCGTCTCCTGGTTCATCATCGAGCGTGCTGGACGTCGCAGAATTTTCTTGGTCGGTTCAATTGGACAATGCCTGAGCATGGTTCTCGTCTTCGCTTGTCTCATCCCGGACCACGGCACTGGCCCATCCGCGAAAGGGGCGGGTGTTGGTCTCTTCACCTACATCGCCTTCTTCGGTGCGACCTGGCTCCCCCTCCCGTGGCTCTACCCCGCCGAGATCAACCCGCTGCGGACGCGTGTCCGCGCAAACGCCTTGTCGACCTGCACCAACTGGCTCTTCAATTTCCTGATCGTCATGGTGACGCCCGTCATGATCACCAACATCCGTTGGGGCACCTACCTCTTCTTCGCGGTCATCAACGCCCTGTTCATCCCCGTCATCTACTTCTTCTACCCCGAGACCAAGAGGCGTTCCCTCGAGGAGATCGACATCATCTTCGCCAAGGGATACACGGAGAAGATCTCCTACGTCAAGGCTTCCTTCGACCTGCCCTTCCTCAGCGACCGCGAGGTCGAGACCATGGCCCGCCAGTACGGCTTCGTGGATGCCGATGACGAGTACAAGATTGGCGAGCAGAGCGACAAGGCCGAGAAGGCCGAGCGAGAAGAGAAGGAGATCGCCGACGGCTCCAAGAGCGAGAGCGAATGAGCGCTCTTTGTCCCATAAATTGGTATTGATTGATTTGATTGATTGAAGTCTGGGTGCATTTACAGCCTATCCAACATGTACATGTACATGTAGCCTTGGGACTATTTCTCGGGGACGTCCTCACACATACACACCCCTTCGAGATGGCGTTTTGGGGAAATTGACACGGTTATATATATCCATGTGGAGGCTCCCGTTCTAGGGATAGATAAACACTACAGAGATAGATTTTTGAACCATAGATACCAGGTAGAGCATTTTTCCAATTGACACCTTTTTTAAACAATGAACTTGACTACTCTCGCTCGCACTGTTCGTGATCTGCATTAATTAGGAGTAAGAGAAATCTTCATTTAAAGTGAATGAAACCGACTGAAGTCAAAATGAAGTTAAACTTAAAGTTAACTGGACCCTTTCAAATCGTTAATTCAATAATGGGTCGGGTCAATCAATCAAATGAATAATGGGTCAGCCATCAAACCAGCAGCGAGACCCTCTTCTTAAGGTACGAAACCAAACCAAACCAACCGACCCACCCTATCTAAGGTAATCCACCGACCTATATCTAATCCACCCACCCACCTACCCACCGCCCCTCCCGCTTACACATCAAGCCTCGAGTTTCTTTCTATACCTAGTTTCGAGTTTCCTTTTCTTTATAAACGGTTAAAAGATATGCTTAAGACTTGTTATGCTTAAAAGTTATGGTTAAGGATTGTGCCTAAAACATATGCTTATGCTTAAATTGTGGACAATCACATGATTTCAAGTTGTTGGGTGCTTTTAAACTTCTCTTTCTTTTGGTTTTATGGTTTTGTGCATGATGAGGAAAAAAGAGGGGCGGGGAGACGGGGAGAGAGAAGTCTCTCTCTCACTCGTATCGTATAGATAGCGGTCGAGATTCTTTCCCTGTGCTACACATCTCACATTATCCCAAACTCTCTCCTTGTGCTACACATCTCACATCAGCCCAAATTCCCTCCCTGCATCCACCCATCCATCCATCCATCCACACAGAGACAAGACAATCACAGGCTCACCTCTCCTATCTTACACTCACAACTCCCGACCTGATTCCCGAGTCGCGAGGGGAGACTGCGGGGGGTTTCAGATGTCGATTTTGCCTGATGTGCCTTCGCCTTCCATTAACAATCACGGCCGCCGTCTGGGCTATGATTTGGGAATTGGAGAACGCGGGGTAAGCGGTACGGGGAGGGAGCAGGGGTCTTTTGGGGGAAGGGGGTGGTATAAAAGGATGGATAGGGGAACGGGGGAGGTTTAGTGTTTTTGGTATTTGAAAGTTTGTTGGGTTAAGTTTGATTAATTGACGTTTGGAAATTGACGTTTGAGAGCGAGACAAAAAGACAAGATGGAGAGTCAAGTACATACCTTGAGTGAGGCGGGTGCGGAGGGGATACGGAAAAGTATGCATAGTTTCCCTCTCCCTCTCTTCTCTCCTCCCCCATAGGACTATTCATTCTCCTCAACCCTCAACTGACACAAACGCCAGCAATCGACGCCGCAACCTCCGACCCCACGACACAGATCCCCGGCTGCGTCTTCGTGGCCGTGAACCGCGCCGGCGAGGAGCTAATCTCGCACGCCTCAGGAAGAATGAGCGTCGACACGCCCGCACCCATGACGCTAGACAGCGTGTTCTGGATCGCCTCTTGCACCAAGATGATCACTGGCATTGCGTGCATGCAGCTGGTGGAACAGGGAAAGCTGACTCTGGATGATGCGGAGTTGGTGGAGGGCATCTTGCCGGAGGTGAAGAGGGCGGTAGTCTTCACGGGTTTTGATGAGAAGACGGGAGTACCGGGTGTGAGGAAGAAGGAGACAGGCATTACGTTGAAGATGTTGCTGACCCATACGGGTAGGTGATCTCTCCTCCCCTCCTTCTTCCCCGGTGGGGAGATGAGGCGCGTACAGATTGGCATTGCTAATGACAGGGTAGCGGGGTTTGCATATCCGCTCTTCTATTCCGAGTCGAGAAAACTGACCTTGCCGGTGGGAATTGAGGAGTGGGCGCGGAAGCTCGAGGATATAGAGGGTCCGTTGATGTTTGAGCCGGGGACTCGCTGGAGTTATGGGGTAAGTTTCGAAATCTGTCGCGAGAGAAGAGACAGGAAAACAAGAGATGACAAGGTTCTAGACAGGAGTCGACTGGGCAGGCGTTCTCGTCGAGCGCATCTCGGGCCTATCTCTCGAGGAGTATTTCCAGAAACATATCTTCGAACCCCTCGGCATCAAAAACATCACCATGTTCCCTTCCGCCACCATGAAAGCGAACCTAGTACACATGCACCAACGCTATTCCGATGGTAAGATCAAGACGCGCGGGCATATCCAACGCGGACCCCTGAACCACAGCAGTAGCGACGAGATCTTCAACTCCGGTGGTGGAGGCTGTTTCGCGCAGCCGCAGGAATATCCCAAGATAATCGCGACGCTGCTGAACAATGGCACTTCCCCGCACACCGGCATCCAGATCCTTAACCCTGCTACAGTCGATCTCATGTTTACCAACCACATCCCCGAGATGCCAAACTTCGCCAGGGAGCCCATCGAGGCCGCGATGCCCGAGCTGACGAATCCCATCGCGGAGCTCTATCCGCAACCGCATGATCAGCCGCAGGGCTGGGGTTTGACATTCATGCTCACCATCAGTGAGGGTGCATCGGGCAGAGGAAGGAATACTGGTTGGTGGGCCGGCCTGTCGAACTTATATTGGTGGTGTGATAGGGAGAGGGGCGTGGGTGGCATTATTGCGAGTCAAATTCTACCCTTCGCCGGTGAGTTCTCATAGCGACGCTATACCAGCAGCGATTGATACTAATCTGGTCGCAGATCCTCAAGTCCTGAGTCTCTGGGCGCAAGTCGAGGCAGCTGTTTATCAAGGCTGATGCACCACCGCAGGCTGATCTCTAGAGAAGCACTTGCTTTAAGCATTTCTTTTTTCAACGGTGAGATTGGATAACAGAGCAAACGTAATAATTTGAAGGTTTGAAGAAGATGCAGCCTTGCTTACATCTCACTTGCTTGATTTCTTATCAAAACAATTCAAATTTCAAAATTTCAAAAAAAGAAAGAAGAAAAATTCAGACTCTGCGATCGATTTCTCGACCATAGTTAATTCCTACGTCGATTATATAATCGCATCGGTCAAAACGGCTCAGCGCCAATGATTGGAGTTGCTGGCAAAGTATAAAGATCTGACACCTGAAATGAGCCCGGTAAAAAGTCAAAAGAGAACTGATCATTTCCATTGACCGAAGCCATGAAGTGATCAGATGAATCAAATTAGGGTCTTACCGCGATTCGAACGCGGGGCCTCTCGCAATTAAGAACTTAAGGTAAACCCTAAGCGAGAATCATACCACTAGACCATAAGACCTGTTGATTGATGTTGATAGCTTGGCGACATCTGAGGTGATATAGTTAGGAGCTGGGAGCTGAAAGCCTCAACAGGGATATGGAACGAATGATGGAGGCGTGGCTCTTGCTGCTATAACAAGCGCGGAAGGTCTCGAAGTGCATTGAAGCAGTGCATTGTCGGCCTTGGGATCCCACTTGTCTCTTTGCAGTTCGTTGTATATCCCTCCACAGCTTTGAGCCTGTTCTTTAGCTCTGCCTCTGCACTGCTCCGGGCCTGAGCCTGTGAGGCTGTGACACATTAGAACTATCTATAGTGTCATATTGAATCTGAATAATGACAAGTGCCACCGTAACAAACGAGGGAATGGAAACGGAAGGATAAAAATAAAGCCGGAGTGTGACAATTATGCGGAGAAGTGAAGCTGCCCAAACCAAAGCCTGTTGGTTGGCTGCCGACTGGCTTCCACCGTGGAACGTCTTGTTACACATTCGAGGATTCGGTAGTATGATCGTTGCGGATACCAAGTTGTAGATGTACCGAAGTGTGAGTCGTTGTTGAGCCTGTCACGATTGCAAGCGGGAGCGTTGACTCCGCCAATGTTGATTGTGATGGTCTGCAAGCCCTGCTGAAACCTAGAAGAGGCCATAAGTAAAGCATGCATTTAGCTTGTGTGTATTCATACCGGTAATATGGACCTCCATCCCGAGTGATATTGGGTCAACCAATTTGGTAGCTATCCCGAGGACTAGTTTATCGTCCGAAAGTAATGCTAGAAATTGCTGAAGAAGTGACAGAACAAGAAGGATGAATATAGTTCATAATGGTGTGTTTTGGGTGTAGGTTGGAAGAATGATGAAAGACTGGGGGGACAAGAGGAAATTTTAGCTCCCACATATCGCACTTCGCACCTTCTCTATGCTACCTTTAGACTCGAAGAACTGAACACACGAAAACATTGTTCGGTTCATAATAAATCAGCAGATACGACTCCAGTAGACACTTCCTTCTATACTTCCAGTACCATTCGGGTCCATGCCTAAGGCGATCACGCACCTGACATTGAAATTTGACAACTAGGTATGTAAGATGAATTTGACAACTGGGTAATATACCCATCTATATGTATAGATATTTGTGTATTTATGGCGACAAATCTAAGGGAATTGCTCTTGGTTCTTCCCCTTTATCATGGTTTGCGTTCGGAGTTGATCTTGGGAATAGAGGCAGCTCCTGACAACTATATCAGGCCCGTGACTTCTCTCATTCCGACATATGACTTGAGTCTTCACTGGATAGACTTGAATGGCAATCGAGTATCGAGGCAATATCCTCAGTTATTAATCTCATCTCATTACTGATGAGTATTCAGATTTCATGTTTCCCAAGGGGTCTTCTCTTCAGACGGCTCTCGAGGCTTCGAGGCTGGTGGGAGGACAAAGCAGTATGTTGGCAACCAAGTGATCAATTGAACTAAAGAAGTAAAAGAAGGAGGAGCTTATTTTCTTCCATGGAAGGATTGGGAATGAAGAGACGGCGACGCAGAGTACAATCTTGCTAGTGAGAGGAATCGTCTGGTTTCCCCTTTTTCGAAGGTGAGGTGGATTATCCGGGCGCTTATGTAATAAGCAGAAGCCAAAAAGGGCAAAAAAAAGAAACCCAGGAGCTGGGGTTGTAGTTTATTTCAAATTGGGTCTTACCGCGATTCGAACGCGGGGCCTCTCGCAACAAAGACTCAGGGTAATCCCTAAGCGAGAATCATACCACTAGACCATAAGACCCTTGCTGAATGTTGATGCTATATTGGACATCTGAGGTGATATAGCTGGTTGCCTAAGCCGTAACATAACAGGCATGGATGGGTGGCTCTCGTCGACAATACCTGCCCAGGAGGGTAGGCAGACACTTTTGCGACGTGCAACAATAATGATTCACGTGCTATTTTTCTCAACCATGGGGAAACGAAGACAGAAGGGCTTATTGTTACGAGTGTAATAATAAGTTCTTCAGCTATTATGTGTTCCTCTGAGTATTAACCCCCACACGTCTCCCTCGCCCCCCCCCCCCTTTTTCTCAAAAATTTGAAGTCCTATGAGGCTTCATGTCTGCTGGATGCAGTGAGTGCACGTGACTAGATTGTCGATGGCCACATCAGTGATAAAGGAGATTAGTAACGCCGTCGTAACAGAAGAGTTCAAGAAACAGACCAGGTATTTTACTCCGTACAAAATGTTCTTATTTCAGGTGATTCATTTGGCTACGCGACTCGTATCCTGCTTGGGTTCTACTCCGTAGAGTTGAAATCGGTCTCGCAACAACTTCCCAGTTGCCGATGAGGATTTGCTCGTGTTCATTCCGAGTCATGCTAGATTTACATGTGGTTTCCTAGCTAAACATCTCCATGATGACCAGTTCTTGAAATGATTTGCGTCAGAACCGCCACACGACTGGAACCTGAAGTCGAGACACCGCTGGGACTAGCTAGTCCCGAGGTTCAACTTCATCATTCTTCCTGGAATTGTATTTGTACGCTTATCTGAGAACTCCAACCACCGGTAAAAAAGCCGGCAGTCTATGGTTGCGTTTTTTGATTATCTCGTGCTTGATATCGGTTTTGCTAACCGGATTCTCAAATGTCTGCGAGTGGGCTTCAAAAAGGCGGCAAGGCCTGAGACTGTGCTCCGTGTAGAGGAGCAATGCAGAGAGGCATCTCTGCGAGGCCGCAGCCGGAAATATGCTAGAGGGGCATAGGACCCGTATAGCTCATCATGGCTTCCGGGGCCTCAAGTAAATCGGTGATTTAGAGGCCCATGCGAACTATAGCACTTCCAAGTCCCAGCAACACTAAATCCCATAACTCGTAGACCTCGGAGAAGATTGCTGAAAAGATACCACACATGTTGGCTCGATATATGTGTCCTGACAGAAGTTGTCGACTGAAGTGTTTGAAGGGCGGGGTTTTGAAGCACTTGAGGAGGTACTGTCGTTATATATATTTCCGACGCAGATCGACTTGCCGAGCCCGGTGATGGTTCGCAATGATTTCCACTGTCGAATCGACTTACCTGGTGATATGATAGCCAATATAATATGCCTGTAAGTGTGTACCTCGTGAGAGGGACAGTCACAAGTAACAACGGCTGCGCCTGATGGCCGGCATATCCGCCTTCGGGATTCAGTCATAGAAACGTCAAGTGCTTACTTCCTGACCGGCATCTGGCAGGACAGGTTGATGTCAATATTGTCAAGGATTCTGCTGTGTGTAGAGCTAAAGACCAAGAACGAGCAACTCGACGTGGTGATCTCGTCTTCCATTGGCTTGGAGAGTCCATCACGTGGCGTGGCTGACCGCAGCCGACTTCTGAAATCGGCTTAGCTGGAGAGTATCTCAGCCTCGTCCGAAAGCTGTCCTCAAAGATTTCTGGGGTAGCATGAGAACAACAGAACCCTTGGTTGAATACCATACGACACGGTACACCAACGATATATTCACATCCATCGAAAGAGAATCTCTCTACAGTTCGAATTTACCAATAATTTATAGCGATATATATCCACAATGGAGGACACCGAGAGTTTCACACTGCTGCCCATCCGCCTCGATCCCACGTCAAAAGCTATAACCTCCACCTCCAACTCACGCGCTCTTCAAGAAGAACTCGCTACCTTGAACAACCTCCACCGCTCCCTGCTTAGCATCGAATCTCCAGTCCCACCTCCTCCGATTCCCGTGAATCCAAAACGCTCTGCCAACATCACCAAGCTTCGAGAATCAGGAAATACCGAATTCCGCAAAGGCAAGCATCAAGAAGCCATAAAGTTCTATGGTCTCGGATTACAGATGGCTCTTACCCGACCTCTGTGGGAACCTCAGGGATTAGTGAGAGATGAGGTTGCGGGCTTGTATGCCAATCGAGCCCAGGCGCATATGGCCATGATGAACTGGGTCGAAGGGGCGGTGGATGCGGAGGCTAGTGTCGAGGCCAAGAGGGTGGGAAATGCGAAGGCTTGGTGGAGAAGGGGTAGATGTTTGTTGGAGATGGGCAGGCTGGAAGAAGCGAAGGAATGGGTCGGACGGGGGCTCGAGATGGAGGGCAATGAGGCCGATTTAGTAGGGCTTTTGAAGGAGATTGAGGAGAGGAGGAAGAGGGCTTGAGCGTCAACCACACCAAGTCTCTTTCGCTCGATGTGATTTTCAGGAAGAAGATGGGCTGGTTTCCAGATCAAATACCTCAGACCGAAAGTGTCTGCCTCTCTAAGGGATCGATTGGAATGGCGTACGCATGTGGACTGGAGTCTGGCGTTAGGTGTTATGTGGCTCAATGCGGCCCACAAATTGTGAGAATAATATCAGTATTCCTATCAGCCATGGCCCAGATTGAAGATTTGACCGTGCTGCTGTTCTTTCATCTAATCCCAGCTGGGCTGTGGCATTTCCTTCTATAATGAGGTATCCTGGCATGATTGCGACCGATACAGTGATACTTCGTAGTCTTATAAGTCGCAGTGGGGAAGTCCCGCATTGTGTTGAGTATCAACCGATATAATCTATTCTCTTTCACTGCGTTCTACCTATGCAACGCAAATTTCGGCCGATTTATACCGCGAGAATCTCCCCTGACATGGCGTTCAAAATCGATTGCCGAACATACGTTGGAGAATCTTCCTATGTTTTCCTGTTTGGAGTTGATATTCAATCTCCTTGGAATTGCTTTTGGGATTTAAGTTTCGTTATGAGAATTATGGAGAATTACAGAGGAGATGCTCTGCTGCTCAGAGCCACTGGGGTTCCTAGAGTCTCTTCATATACCACAGCAGTGATGGTGGTTCTAAATGTGACGGCAAACTTTCCACCATTCACAGTATCTTGAAAGGTTTAGTCAGAACCTACTTCTCGAGCTCAAATGTCATCGATTTAATTGTGATTATCTTCTATCTTACATTGGCTTACTCACACACTCCATCGAAGTGTTTCTTTGTACTTGCATAAGAGAAACCCCCGTTTCCCTCCGCCTAACGCTTTAGGCGCTTTCTTGGCCTACTAATAGCTGCATCAATTATCCCCTCCAGAGATTGCTCATCCAGCTCTGTAACACTCAGCTCCATCTCATCAACGGGTGATGTTTCTTTAGTACTATCTTTCCTCCCAACTGACGTAAGGAGTCTCTTTACCTCTCTCACTACCGCTTCATCGATTTCAACACCAGCAGCGAAACATTGCCTTGCATAGCAGTCAATGTCATGCACAACCTGGTCTACCAGAGTCTCGAAAATATGCTTCTCTTTGGCAAATTGCTTCAAAAGAGTAGCGAATTCGGCCTGCTCATCATACTGATGCATCTTTCCCTTACCCTTAGCCTGTACAACTAACTTCTTCGCTGCCTCCGCCACCGACTGATCGACCTCGTGCTTCTCATCCTCTAGATAATTACTGTATAGTTCCAACGTGGATAACAAGTGGTCTTTGGAGACTTGGATGCTGTTAGCTATCATTGAATCTGTCCCCGATGCATTGGCCTCTTGCCCGGTTGCGAGGTCGCAATTTTCAAGCCATTCTCTCGTGCGTTCTTCGAATCCCTCTAGCCCTAGCCAAGATGGTGCTTGAGCTCCGTTATATTTTCCAGCGTTGTACAGGATCCGCAGTTGTTGTTGTCCCGACCCACGCATTGGAACCCCTTCCTCGAGTCGCATCTCTTTTCTTTGGCCGCCCAGCTCCGCAAGTATCAAATGTGCCCGTTCTGCGAAGGTTTGTAGCTCACGATTTTGAAGATCTCGTATAATTTCCAGGTCTTGTGCAGTAGGCTTCCTGATCTCTATAACATTGTCTAAGTCCATGTTGAATATTGAGTACATATTGTACTTGCAGATCAGGAGGATAATATCTTCGCGGTTGATGACTTTTCTAGGATCTAAGAGTTTGTCGGACAAGATTTCTTCTGGTGAGAGATGAAGATTCTCTTTATGTTGCTGGGGAGCTAGATTGTCCATGTTGGAGTCTCTTCCAGTTACTGTATTTATTGGAGTGGTGTGAAATTGATATTCATTGATTTCTGTGGTCAAGCTCAACCTTTTATAGCTGGTTTTTGGGCAAGGGGATATTGTTTGACGTTTATGACTGTGAATGATCATATTAGGCATATATATGATTTATAGTAGTTGTGAATCACGATCTCATCTGCAGCGGTCATAAGTACAGAAAATTTGTTTGGCTGTTATACGATATTGTATACAGCTTGAGATTGATGCCGCTAAAGATATGAATGATACTATTTCGTGTGTAAAAACAAAGGAGCTACTACATTGTGAAGTATAATGCTGTGAGCGAGTTACTTGAGCAGAACTAGAACTGGTTGAACAGATAGTGGTCTTTTCATCTCAGGCTTGCTTAAGCCCAAGGAATTGCTTCTCATCGCCCTCTGAGATAGTATCTTACATGAACAAGCCCATAGGCCTAGCCAATGAGTGCCTATTACAACTGTGTAAACCATTAAAATTGTACAACCAAGTTTAACCAATTTTACCGTGTCTTATGCAACCCGGGCCCATGCTAACTCAAAACGCCAATCCAAATATGCATCACGATCCGCTAGGACCAGCCTCTTCATCTCCAGCACCAGGTCTTTCTGTCCTTTGCTGGCCCCCCCAGAGCAGACCGCTTAAGGTATTACTTAAAGTTCGTGCTCGGGTCATCGTTGACCAGGTGAAACTCTCAGGCTCCAATGACTTGCTTAATGTATCCGCTGTATCACCATTCTTAGATGGTGACGCGCCAAGCGCATCAATTGCCTCATCACTCCCATCCGTATATCTCTGAGACACGGATTTTGATCTTTCAACAGGGAAACGTGGCCGTCTGAGTGACCTGTTGCGCAATGGAGGATCAACTCCTCGTCGCAATGAGTCTGCCACTACTGCGCTCAAACCGCCTGAAAGTGGGGATACTAATGGCCCAGGCATTATGCGGGATATTGTATTCTTTGCCGGCGTGAGTGGTCTCTCCGCTTGTAGTAATACAGGCGCTTGCTGAAGATCTGGATGTGTATCTATATTGCCTTGAGTAACAGATCTTGCAGTAGGTGGCTTTGAAGGGTCGATGAAAGATGTATGTGCTTCCGTAGGGGGGAGAGTCGAGGAAGTCGTGCGGTGTAACCCCTGAAGGCTTGGATGCCTTACAGCCCGAAGGGGTTCGTCAGTCGGACTTTGCCATGGGTTGCTGAGAAGTGGCACTTCCGCAGCCCCTAGCGATTGCTCCGGTGTATGATCAGATGTGGTGATACGAACTGATGGTTGGTATGATGGGCTGGAATGGACTCTTGGGGTTCGAGGACGATGCAGTGGGTCGATAAAGCTGATATGAGAGGACCTTCGCCGATCCTGAGCATCATCATCATAGTCCGAGTCATCGTTCTGGGGAGCCTTTGATGCCCGTCTTATTGGCATATCTTTTCCGGCTTCATCCGTGTACCGTGTATCTTCTCTTGTCGGATCTTGGTCAATGAGACTTATCCTTTCTTCTCGTTCCTCATCTGACGATTCCTCATCTTCGCCATTGACATTTCGGGGTCTGCCGCTTGTGATGAGATAGACGCCAAAGAAAGTAAGTAAGCAACCTCCAACAAATTTTGTCATACTATGGGCAGTGGCCTTCTCGAAATCGCGATATAAGATTGCACTCCCAATAATAACTGACAGAGTGAACATGACAAACTGGACTGGAATAACTTGCGTAGAGTCGAAGCGCTGCAAGGCCCTGTTGATGTATTTGACTTGCATCAGGGCAGTACCGATAAGTACGGCCAGGAGTGCATAGGTGACTGGCGTCGTAAAAGCTCTCCAGAGTGTAGAAGAAAGCATCGATGCAACCCCTTTTGTTGAAAGAGCCGTATATCCACCTACAAACGTTAGTAATTGGTGCATCCAAGTTCTTTTCTGCATAGGTACCAAATAACCCAACAAGCCCCAAGTCTATCAGTATTGTCCTTCTGCCATACTTCGGGCTCGCGGACATCAAGCCACCAGTCAAAATGATAGTGATAGCCATGTAGACTTCGAACTCTGTAGTTGTGATAGCACCCCAAATCTCGTGAGGACCTAACTTCCGCTCCTGTTGCTTTGCGCTCAACACGACAGTAACTGCTCCAGCCACAGCGATCACCACTCCCCAAAAGTCCCGCAACCGGAAATGCTCCTTCAGCATAATTGGTGCAATAACGCAGTTTGATATCAAGGCCACAACTCCCAAGGGAGAAACAATAGAAGCCGGAGCGAAACCATATGCCAAAAAATTCCCAGCTTCTCCGATTGCCATCAAAACAATGCCCCCCCACCAATATGGCGATTGCAAATAACTTGAATCTGGTTTTTGGCCACTATCTGAATATGCGGTTGATTGTGAATCAGTCGAGTGAAAGGATTGCTGGAGCGGATCATCTGGTTCCTCGTCATCGTGCCCGTTCTCTTCTATGGTTTGGTTTCCATTGGGGCCGTCCTCCCTCGTTGTTCCATAGCCCCTTTGCAGCGCTTTCGCAGCATTTCTTGCTTTCTCCCTCCTTTCAGACCGCTCTTTGTGCAATCTTATATGCGCATACCGTTGTATGTTGAGCGCAAAAGATATAAGGACATTCCCTACAATCGCAGTAATTATCCCGATCAACGAGGACCATCGTTGTAGTTGCGAATCGCCAGTTGATACAACCAGTTGGGGAATCGACGGAACCGTAGCTTCAGCCCATGCCGGTGCATTTGAAGGGGTGGTTATCGCGGTACCTAGAGGTGAGGTTGGTAGATACATAGCAGTGGCACCTTAATGGACAAGCTATGCCGAGTTCATCCCACTGATACCGGCCCGCGGGCCAACTCTCTAGAATTGTGATCTTGATCAATTCATGCAATAATATGAATAAATGGATATAGATAGTCGCTGAAATACCATAGATATGAGTGCTGAATCGTCGTGTGTCGTTACAGTTGAAAGCTGGCGCACTTCACAAGACACCAAGGCCTCAGCGTCAATTTTCACGATTTCACTACCAAGTCTCGCGTAGCTCCGGCCCAGCAGCACTCGACACCATCAGCCAACCAGACTCAACAAGATGAGCGACGAAGAGGACATAGAGGTGGAAGTTCCCCAGTTGGCAGAGGATGATCCTATGAGGGCATTTTTACCCCAGTCTTTTGGAAAGAAGGAAAAGCAAGCAGATGTCGCGGCGCAAATTGGTCGAACGAAGCGCACAGTGGCGAGCCCAGAGAAGTCAAAGGATGAACAACAGAAGATCAAGCAAGCGCCAGCATCTAACGATTCGCGATCCAACGATGAGGATGACTCTGACGACTCTGACGACTCGGATCAATCTGACGACGATGAATTCCCAGTCTCTCATGAGCTAGTCCTCAAGACCCACGAGCGCGCTGTCACTACAACTTCTTTGGATCCCTCAGGATCGAGATTAGTCACTGGATCAACAGACTGTACCTTGAAGCTCCATGATTTTGCATCTATGACACCTACGACCCTTCGAGCATTCAAGAGCGTGGATCCAAATGCTTCAAAGACCTCAGCGAACTCGGAAACACATCCCATCAACCATGTCGAATTCAACCCATTATCTGGGGGAACATTCCTTTGCGTCTCGGCGCATCCGCAAGCAAAGGTCATGAATAGAGACGGGGAGGTCCTCGCAGAATTTGTCAAGGGGGATATGTATCTGAGGGATATGAACAACACTAAAGGGCACATTTCAGAAGTCACCACAGGTACATGGAATCCCGTTGATAGAAATATCTGCGTTACAGCCGGTACAGACAGTACACTGCGGATATGGGATGTGAATTTCAGGAGGAGTCAAAAAGAAGTCATTGTGCATAAGTCTAGGGTGGCAGGATCAGCTGGAAGAACAAGAATGACAGCAGTAGCTTGGGGAAGCCCTCTCCAAGGGGGTAATAATGTGCTGGTTGCTGCGGCTCTCGACGGAAGCCTTGTCATGTGGAGCGGAGATGGGCCGTATTCAAGACCTGCAGCAGAGATCCGGGAAGCACACAAGCCCGATACTTGGACTGGAGGTATCGATATTAGCTCAGATGGTCGAATGGTTATCACCAGGGGTGGTGATGATCTGATAAAGCTCTGGGATACTAGAAAGTTCAAAACGCCTGTGGTCACAGTATCACATCCTTCTACGTCGGATCATTATCCCGTTACGAACATCAAATACTCGCCCACATCGTCCAGTATCATTACTGGTTCCGCATCTGGCCACCTCCACATCTTGAACCCTGGAAACCTCAAACCCGAACTTGTCACTCCAGTGACGCCTGGATCTCCACTGATAACAGTCCAATGGCACCCGAAACTCAATCAAATCGTCACGGGTTCTGCCAATGCCGAAGTACACGTTCTATATAATCCTAACACGTCTGTACGCGGCGCTGTGGATGTTATGTCTCGTGCGCCAAAGAAGAGACACGTGGATGATGATCCAAACTTCACCACAGACCAGTCAGCTGGTATGGCTGGAGACGAAGTTGCCCCTGGTGGAGTTCCAAACTCCTTTGCTGCTCGACACCCAACCATTGGACTTACAGCTTCCGGTCGGTCACGTGATCCTCGACGGCCCCAAGTTCCCATGGTGACGCCGTTTATGAAGAGTCAACCCGACGAGGCCCACATAAATGAGAATATCCCATTGAGTAGTATGCGTGACGAGGATCCTAGGGAGGCTTTGCTGAAATATGCTGAGTTGGCGGAAAAGGAGCCTTTGTTTACGAATGCCTGGAAGGAGACTCAGCCAAAAACACAGTATGCTGAATTAAGTGACGATGAGGAGGAGGAGGGGCCGGACAAGAAGAAACTGAAGAGGTAACGGGACGAAGTCTGTGTTGGTGAACACGGCATTCAAGGCGTTTTGGGATGGAGGTAACAAAATGTAAGGATTAATAAGTCTAATGGTAAGCTACCTGCATTATAGAGGCAAATGCAAGTGCAGCGAATGTAACTTGACAGATATGGATACTGAGATCCTTTACGTCAATTCCCTGCCTCTCTTAGGTTCTCGAATTCCTACCTCCTAGTAGACCGTAAGTCAGGAAAGAATCAGCGGCAGAGAGTGATATCTGTCGCCCGATCTACCAAGCAATTGGATTAGAGATACAATTTCTTCGAAACCTATCTAGGCATAGAAATAGCAAATATTCAATCCAAGGTTGAGTTGAGCTTCTGCCCTTCATTACCCTAATGGTCGAAGGGGCCCGAGTAAGGCCCAGGGACGAAGCGCTTCAGTTATTAAAGAGGCTCGGAAGCTCAAAAGATGTTCCTATTGTGGCATCTCTTCGCTAAATACCTATTGAAACTATGGCATCAAGCTACCTATTGTGCAGGTGCTATGGCACCCATCACGTGCTTCCGAATTCACTGTGAACTCAACCTCCTCAGAGAAACTATTTCTCTCGATCTTGTTATTTTTATGCCGTGAAACACATTTTCTGTCTTCCTTTTACCTTACCTTCCCATCAGATAAACGCTAGCATTGAGCATAGTACTACTTTGACTACTTTACTACTCTCAGAGCTTCCGGATTCATCATCTCTCCAAGTGGCATCACCGACGAGTAGGTATGGCTGTCCGTCAGTTACCTGCTGAGCAGCCGAGCAAATCTCCGTTGAGTGTGGTCGATCTAGAGAATGAAGTTCATATGAAGGACGTGTTCGTTTATTCTGATAATGAGATCGGCATCGACGAGAAGATGACTACGATGTCCGAAGACGCCTCTGCACCAGACGCAGATATTAGCACTGTTGGTCCGATCCAAGTACGTTCTCATTGACATTTGCTCCTTCTTTGCTCTCTCTAATCGTATCAGACTTGTACACCAGTTTCGATCACCGATGCTTCCCCGCACACGGTCTCCACCAACGCCCAACCTGAGTTCCACAATCAGTCTAAGAGCGCCTCCCCTACTTTGGGAGGAGATGCGGGATCACATGGAGCTTCCGGTACCAATTGTCCAGTTACCATTGAAGAGCTTTGTATCTCCGCTCTGGGTTCCAAAGCAGCCGACGCAGAGGAGCAAACCTCGTCGATGATTGAGGACGCTATGCATTTACCGACAGTGCCAAGTACAGAGCGCCTTTCAACTTTGAAGGATGCCATCTACAATCCCATTCCAGAATCTCCTTCTATCAAGCACACCTCAACTTCTATGGAGAATGGCGCTATCGACGCTCACATTCCAAGGTCACCCACCCCGGAGCACATACCGTATTTTACGACTCTGGAGCCTGTCTCTACCGGTATCAATACAAGATCACACCATCGCTCCACACACGCGTATAAATCGAAGCGGCCACACCAGAATCCATATATTAAAATGGAGTGGGTCTGTGGCTTTCTCATGATCGGGCGACGAAAACGTAGCAAGAAGCCGAGACATTCGACGGTTAGCGGCACCGCGACCTCTCCGGAGAACAATGCAGCCAAGCCTGTCGTGAATAACCACAAGAAACGGGAGAAAGTAGGGCCTTATCGCTCAGCGGCTGTGTGGGAGTTCATCGGTAAGACCTTTGATAAGGGGCGGCGAGAGAAGTCGAGGAGAAAGAGGAAAAAGGGTTCGGCTAGAATGACTGCGCCATTTCACGGCCTCTCCAACCTTTCAAAGGAGGTCTTCCCTGATGAAGAGGATATTGAAATGGAGCAGGGAGAGAACGAACTCGAAGACGAATCGGGAATGTCGATGGATGGTAAGTTGAACAAGTTATTAAAGTTTGGGGCTGGCTAACAAGATTTAGAGGACTGAGTACAGAGCACACAACGTTATCGGGGCTGGGAATGCAGTTGTCTTGAACTCAAGAACGAGACATCTGGGTTGTGCACGGAGAGAAGATAGGAGAAGATGGGCTACGATCGGTAAGACCTGTTGGGGCTACTGCCTTGATTAGGATCAGTATGTTCGCCATGCTAGGTACATAAAAATAATATAATGTTTTTGTCCCCCTATCTTCTGCAATAATTGAGGCCAATTTCTATGTTCATATTTGTGGTCGTTGAACTGTTCTTTCCAATTCGTGGCTGCGAAGTCTTATCACCTCCCGTCACTCTAGAAACTTACCCACAAAACTTCAAATGTGCACAAAGCTTTCAGCTTTGTCATTTTGCTCCAATCAACCAACCTGGGAGGCTCCTTGCTTGAATTATTTAGGTCGAGCAAAAGCCTTGTATTATTAGTTGCCAACCTCGACCTGTCCTCTCGAGAACTCGGCCACAGAAGTAACACCTGACTACGTTCAGATCAGAATTTAACGGGGTTTCACGGATTGTAACAGACTGGGTTAGCCGTTTGGTGGGTGGGGTATATCCTCATGAACTTGGAAATTGCCGAAATGTATCACTTTAGGGAAAGGTTTCTCGAGATCTACCTTACCGCTGTCTCTCTGCCCAACCAACCCACCTTCGCACAATTTCATCCGTCTTTCGTATCCCCTCCCTACTTGCTTCAATCTCGAACCATTCGCGGTGTTCCCTTCCGCATGAACCGCATTTCCCGTTTCCTCGTGCCCTCTTGTCACTCAACTCAATGTGAATCAATCTCTCGACTTTGTGTACATTTGGTACTTTTCTTGGCGTTTTTGGCACATTGGTATTAGGTGAGGGAGATGATGGGTGGTAGGGGTAATAACGGATAAGTGAGAGGTTATGACCGCATTGGCGGGTCCATTGATTTAGACGTCTTTGGACATTTTGAGCTCGACCGATTTTGAGAAGCATGGTCTTTTTGTTGGGGGTTGTGGAAGCAAAGGAATTGAGAACGTCCGAAGTTCGTCGTCCCATTTGAGGTGGTGAGAGAAGGGTTGGTGCTATTTCCGAGGGAGGTGTTGAAGGAATGGATTCAGGGGTGAGCCAGAACATGTAGATGAACCCCTCATCGTCGAATTCGGAGGCTGGCTTTGCTAATTCCGCAAGAAGGAGTGCCGTTATTTGTGGGGATGTGGATGACGGTATGAGAGAGAGGAGTTCACGAGAGGAGGGGTCTCGCGATATTTTAGGCCTTTGGAGGGTTCCTTGGGGTATTCGAGATTTCGGGGTAGTAGTGTTATTTCTCGACTGGACTGGCCGTGGAGCCCTTCCACCATCTGGCTCTCCAATGCAACAGAACAGTGCTATGTTGCTTCTCGGTTTTGGACGCTTTTGCTTTGGACGGTGAGTAGAAGCCTTTACTCTGATTCCCTCCTTCTCAGGATCTGGGGCAGTCTTTCGAGCTTGCTTCCGCTGTCCGACCTCGAGAAGTCCTAATCTATCAACCAATGTATCCACGCTTGTTCGCTCCCGAATTGTGGCAGATTGTGACCCTTGGGGGAACGCATGAGCAGCCTGGTCTCTATGTTGCCAGCAGTAATTCTGAATTGGTGAAGATTGTGAGGATTTTGCGATTGCACGTCGACATGGACGTCCACTTGCTGTGAGACCTCTGCATGTTGCGGCGGGATTTTTGGAATCTGAGCGGGGTAAAAGGGATTCAGGAGTATGGGGTATGAATGGCATGCTGTGTTAGTTTGGGAGCAAGACCTATGAGCAAAACTGAGAAGGATATACCTACTGATAATTGTCTTCAGACGTGGCAGTGGGCCAGTGATTCAGGGCTTTAAGATGGCTGGGGAAGTTGTGGCTGGGAGCGCCTTAGCGCAAGGCTGATTGACTTGTCCCGTAACACGTGACATTAAATCGTCGTGACCACAGTAGAGCATACAAGATATTGGATTCGAGGAGAGGCCTAGGAGAGATCCCTAGGAGAAGTCTGAGAATCCACGATTGCTGATTCAATTCGAGGCTCCTCTGCGTGAAGGAAAAATAGATCAGTTACAACGATGTAATCAAATAAGGATTCCACATCAATAACCAGCATGGGCTTGTGGTTTAGTGGTATAATACCTCTTTAGCAAGCATACAGGTGTATCTCTACTCCTGTAACAAACTTAGAGGTGGTCCGGGGTTCGATTCCCCGCGAGTCCATTTTGTTCTCTTTTTGTAAATTTTGTGAATCTTTTGCCACTTCTACGAAGTTTGCAGGAGACAGATGATTTTTGGTTATTATTTTGAAGTCAGCCCATCCCATTATCTTCCGCCTCTCTTAGGGGTCGATTAGCGGGTGCGGGTGTTGCCGAACAAACCGCCGCTAACTGCTATACTTCGAACTTGGACAGATTCTGTGATCCTTCCTTCGGGCCTCGGCCATGCCTTTGTTCTGATTAGCTGCTTGTGTCTCCTCTTTACCGTAGAGACCTGTTCTGAAATGCGGCAGAGTATAGGCCTGAAATAAAGCTGGATCGAATACATCATCTGGAACCCAGCAGATCGAGGTTTAAAAGGGGGGGGAAGGAGGGCTGGTTACTCGGCGTATTTCATAAGGAGTGATGGTGAAGGATACCCGGTGTAAATGGTAAGTGGTAAATCGTACTCGGCGTGAGTGTAAATTGGTACTCGGTGTAAGCAACGATGGGTACTCGGCGTGTGTTAATTGGTACTCGGCCAAGGGTACTCGGTGTGAGGAGTGTCGAATAGTACTCGGCGTAAGTAATAAGGGGTACTCGGTATAAGAGTTGGTGTAAGTGATGAAGGGTATTCGGTGTAAGTAATGAGGGGTAATCAATGTACGGAGCTAAAGGGTACTCGGTATAAGGAGTATCAGATGGTACTCGGCGTAACAAGGGATACTCGGTGTGGGTTGAAATAGTACTCCGTGTGAGGAGTGAAATGGTACTCAGCGTAAGAAATGTTTAACTTGCTGCGTTCTCCTAAAATAACAACCAGCGTGATTTAGACTTGGGCCATGGTCAGTCTAATCATATTTCCAGGCGGCAGTAGTCACAGACTCGTCGACCTAGGTTCACAAGGTATTGGCTGTTAGTTGATGGAGGTACTGTCAAGAACTGTATCTGTGTACTCTACATTCGCTGAGACTCATTCCTCCCCAAAGGGATAGTTGAATTTTAACAGACCGTTCAAACCTCCAACCCATCCGTCATCTTCTTCCCTTCCACTCTTTGCCCCTCTCATAACACAAGGCACACCGCTGCCCCATTCATTACCTTTGTCAATATCCTCCCCATCCACCCTCACTTCCATACCAACACCAACACCATGGCTCCTTCTCCTCCCATCAATGCTAACCTCTAGTTCCCTTCCTCTATTCTTCTCACTCAACCTCAAGGTAATTGGAGTATTGGCTGGCAGCACAAGCGGCCTAAATGACAAACTCCTTGGACAAATAGGAGTCATCATCAAACTGCTGACCAACGGATGAATGATACTCCCACCAGAACTCAAGCTATAAGCCGTACTTCCAGTCGGAGTAGAAATTATCATTCCATCAGCCACAGCCTCAGTCAGAAACCTTCCGCCCACGAAAACCTCTATGATTGCGAGGTGTGCTTCTTTTCCCCTATGAATCACGACTTCATTCATGGCGTGCACGTCCCCTCGTGCACTCTCCGCCGTGTTATCACCTATTACACGATTCCCATCAGAATCGAAGACTCCGACCTTCAGTCGATGTCGGAATAAGACTTTAGAGGTTCGTGTTGGCCCCATGAATTTCCCTCTTACGCCTGACCAGCCGGTCACTATGTCCCCAGTCTCTGTTTGAATATGACGATGTGTCTCGGCTTCGATCAAGGGAGAGCTGACAGCTGCTCCCGACATGTAAACTTCTCTGAATGCTCGTTTGTACTCTGCAAATTTCCATTCTCCCAAGAAACCCAATGTACCCATACTGAAAGAAAGTATCGGAGGTACGTAGAGTGTTGTGCTGAAGATGGAGGAAGCATGGAGGATCGTGCCATCACCTCCTAGCGTTGTGACCATGTCAACTTTCTTGGGTAAGATGCTAGTCTTTGTCGTGGTGTATACTGGAAAGGGGAAGGATTCGTGGATCTCGGAGGCAACTCTAGGTTCGAATATGAGGGATACATTGTCGTAGTTGGAATGTATATGCCTGAGTAGTCAGCAGAGTTATGATGGATTTCGAGGTGGACTTACTTTGCATATTCGATGAGAGATTCAGTGACTGCTGGGGCGTAATCCTTCTTGATCATCAGAATATTTCGTGGAGGTGACGGCCATTGAAGAGATAGCAAATCGCTAGTTGCAGTTCCTGTAGAAGTCAGTATCATTCTAATATCAAGGACGCAGACATACTCTGATATCGAGGGATAATTCTATCCTGTAAAACCTCTGCATCTTGGATTTCTGCCCTCCTCGGCGTCGTGCTGAAAGCTCTCCGCCATACCCGATTTCCCCTTAACCTCAAGATCATCGCAATTATCGTTGTATGTCTGCCTTATCCATTAGCCGCTGCGAGTGGACTGGCGTCGCATTATAAGATCCGCCGTGCACGATTGAAGACTTGGTTTTGCTTGAAGATCTGGTTTCGAAACCATGCTGGTGGATCAACCTCGTCGTGTGGCAAGCTTCACCTCCGATAAGCCAGCCGATAAGCTTTTATTTACAAGCAGTTCAGCTTAAGCTCTCTCGTTTAAAACTGGAGGCGCCGCCTTCACAGCGCTTACACATTCAGCCTAGGCAGAAGACTTGCTTCGGTATGTATGGAAGTTGATGGTAATGCCGGCATATCTCGAAAGTTCGCTGGCAGTGTCTTGAGCTGTTCAATATCAGCAAGGTCAGCTGTTCAACCAGCATCCTTCAGTGGGCACACGACGCAGGCTACCTCATCAAGACCAGGGTATGGTGAAACATAAGCCTCGACATCTGAAGATGAAAGATCAAGCTGACTCTCTCTCTCTCTGTAGAAGAGCAACGGTCATGGAGAACGAAACTCTTAGACAGAGGCATAAGGCTGTACAAGCCGATTCCGCTATTGGGAAGGTAGGAGATGCGGTGGAAGAGCACCCAGGCGGACACGTCAAGCATGGAGGACCCAAACAACTTTGGCGGTTGTTATTAGTCCTCACATACACCTTTTCATCATGCGTTTCGTACGTTATTATCCGGATTCCTGCAAGGCCTCGCTGACTGTATAGGATTGTTGCCACTCAGTGTTTTGGGGCACCATTGTACTTGTTTAGCAAAGACCTTTATTATGCCTACATGGCACTCACAAAACAGTCTTTCGGAGTCTTCGTTACGACCTTGACACAATGGTGGACTCCGACTCTCGTACGAATAAGTGGTGATGCCTCGGTAGCCGGACAGCTGCGGAAGACCCCAGATGGGAGAGCAGAGTGCCTCTTCCCGGATAGAATGGTCTTGATAGCGAACCATCAGGTATGTGGAGTCCTAGGGACTAGGAGCTATTCTAATCGATTGCAGCTGTACTCCGACTGGTTGTATCTCTGGTGGATCGCATACACCAACCAGCCCAGAATGCACGGTCATATCTTCATTATTCTGAAGGAATCCTTGAAATACGTTCCAATCATTGGATGGGGTATGATGTTTTACGGCTTTATATTCATGTCACGGAAGATGTCGACGGATCAACCGCGACTGGCGCATCGATTGCAGAAATTAAGAGCGCGACATGCGGGTCCGATGTCTGGATCGGAAGGACTAGACCCTATGTGGCTTTTGATCTTCCCGGAAGGAACCAATGCAAGTGATAATGGGAGGAAGAAGAGCGCCGCATGGGCTGAGAAGATAGGGATCAAAGATATGGAGCATGTTCTTGTCCCGAGAAGTACCGGATCATTTTTCTGCTTGAACGAGCTCAAAGGAACCGTGGATTATGTTTACGACTGCACATTGGCTTATGAGGGGATTCCGTGAGTAAATTGTGCTTCTTCTTGAGCTTTGCTAATAAAATCAGGAGAGGAAAATTCGGTCAGGATTACTACACACTAAGGTCCATGTACCTTCGAGGTCAACCTCCGCCTTCAGTCAATATGTATTGGCGAAGATTTGCGGTGAAAGACATACCGCTTGACAATAGCGAGGAGTTCGATTTATGGTTGCGAGAGAAGTGGTACGAAAAAGATGCTATCATGGAAGAGTACATGACAACAGGTCGATTCCCAGCCAGCGCGGAGGCAATAGATGGAGCTGGAGAAGACAAGGGGGGTTATATTGAGACCGAGGTGAAATTAGCGCACTGGTGGGAAGTGGCAAATATCTTTGGGGTTTTGGTTGCTATTGCATTGGGCTTCAATCTGCTTTCGAGAGTTTGGACTTGGGCGGTTTATGGAACGGGCTGATACCAATATATCCTATTCGGAGATGGATCATTCACACACGATCCAGTGATCGAGAGTGACCAGTTAGAATATCACGGGGAGTACGAATTACGACATTTTCAGCAGGGGTTTTCAGTATTGTTTTTGTTTGGGAGCGTGGAGTTAGACCATGGTGTATTTTCCTTTCTGATGAAGTCTGTTAAGCTCCGCTCAGATCAACCATTTATCAGCGAATTCAATATAGATGGTGCCGGACATGGTGGTCTCCTGTTTCTTACCCTGCAATGCCTGCAGTCTCGTTTCCTCGTGTTCAGAATCGGCACTATCACATGTAAGAAGTTGAATCGATACCGATGATGACAGAGTTTGCCAGGGTAGCGAATGTAGTGCCCACAGGTGCTATAGAAGGCAGTTTTTACGGTGCTGATTTTCCTCAAGTGGGTAGTTTTGTACGGTGGATAAATCGGCGCTGGAATAGGTGGCAAGTTCTCTCGGGGCAGAGGTTATCAAACAGTTAAGGAAAATGAGTAGCAAGCGCTATCTTGATCCACACATCTGAATAATGAGCGATAAATAATCTTGCTTCATATAAATAGGACATGCTGAAACTCATATGTGAATATGAGTAATACCAGCCTATATCAGAGAAGTATCTTCTGTTCAGCTGTCCTCAGGGGATGAGCCAGCATTCCCGTCCTTCTGAGTCTTGCACCAATGACTATTCAGATATGCCGCCGTCTGATAGTATCAAACTCCCTCTTCAACAATATTCCATGAATCACTCCTTCTATCTGAGGAAACGTCGGTGAATCACTGCAACAAGCCCGGCATATATATCTCAGATTCCTCTTCAATTCCACAAAGATGGCCCCTTAATCAATCAAGCACTTCCTTCAATCGAGAATACCAAGATCCACGCTTCAACTTGGACATTGGACATTTACAAGTATTGATACACTAGCATCAAGATGTGTAACCAAACCCTCCATCTCCATCTCTGCACTCACATCTCCCACGGGCCTTTCACAACATGCGGAATACCTTCATCACAATTTCACCACACCAACTGCACTTTCATTAACCACCCCACATTCTGCCACAGTTGCGCTTTTACAATCCTCAGATACTCTCCACTATTTCCCTTTCTTCCCGCAGGCATGCTATCCCTACCACCTCCCCCGATCCCATTCCCATCGACCGCCATGTTGCCCCAATCCCAACCCCTATACGCCCCGACACCTTCTACCAACGGCATCCTCATACCGGGCCACGTCCCGGCATCTGTACCACGAGAAGTACGGCCTGAGATGATCAGAGGGAGGATGGAGAGCGTGGAGCATTTCAGAGCAGCGGATGTAGGTATACGGGTTGGTGGGCGGAGAGGCTGGAATGAGTTGCATGGGTGGGATGAAGGATCTCCGCCTCCTAGTTACAGACTTGCGAGGGGAGACACTGCTGCTGCGAGAGATGATGGCGAGAGGCTGGGAGAGGGTGGGGGAGCATCGAGAATCACGGTTGATGACCAGCCTGACCGTTCTTTGACTTCGACTTCTGCCCCTGAGTCTTCTCCGGGAACGGCATCCTCGGTGTCTAAACAGGATCCAAGTGGGCCAGCCGCTACCTTACCACTGTTGGATCAAGGAGATAGGGGGCAGTCGTGAGGCGTGCCTGAGAAGAAAAGAAATACCAACCAAGGCGACAGTGACGGAGCGAGGTGAAGCAGAAGGCTGAGAAATAGTTACGAGTATCGATGTTTTAGTGGAGATTGGGACAGTAGGATCAATGATCTTGGAAGACCTATGAGATTAAGCCATGCAAGGAGTTTGAACTGTGTGTATTTCAAACAAGGGAAGATAGACTTAGCAAAATCTATCGGCTCATGTGGCATCTGAGCCATTCCAATCTATCGTCTATCATTCCATCTATATGCACGTACCCTTCTATATCAGCGGCCAGCAGAGAATGAGACCACAGCCCACTTCCCACTCCACGCCCATTTTCTTGCCCCACTATCACCACCACCACCTTCCATTGCCCTCAATTTCTCATCCTCACCAGGCTTCAGCCCAACAACAACATCCGCTTTACATGTACGTAGAGCGAGAATATTGATACCGGATCCCGGACCCAGTGGGCCAATAGCCTTGACGAATGGTGTAGTTGGATCCCACATACCCTACGTCGTTGTCAGAAAAGCCTCAAGACGGAAAATATAACTTACATCAGCAGTCAATTTCCTATAGTTCAAATCGCCCTTGAAAATAACCAGCTCGCTCTGCTTCAAGTCCTCATAAAGCTGAGGAGCTGTAGCAGGCAACCTCCAATAACTGCCGCCCTCAGTCCAGAATCGGTTGGTCCGAAGTATCAGCTGACCCTCCGCATGGAACATACTCCATTGTGAAAACAAGAATGAGAGTTCATCCACTTCCTTCTGAGTTAATGGTTGTGGGGTCTTGCCAGCATTCTTTTCCTCGTCTGAAGGAGTGGAGTAAAAGCTTTGAGGGTTCGCTAATGCGTTGAGTAGAGCTGCAAAATCTGAAGGTACGACGTCGGAAACAAACCATGGGATTGATTTGGGGTGAAGGATGATGTTTGTTGCAAGACCGGCGGATAGAAGGAAGCCAGCCAGGATGAGATCAACGTAGAGCTCGAATCCAGCATTGTCGAGCACAATGTCGACTCTTCTCTCCTTGCCATCCTTCTTCGCCTTCTTCAAAACTTCATATGCATCTCCCAAATCATTGACGAGAATGTTTTTCTCTGATGCTTTCCGTGCTTCTGACCCTTGCAGCTTTTGTATATCCTCATATGTGAGGGACGTCAACAGGGAGAGATCCGTCGCATTTCCCCAGAGACAAATCTCGCACATCTCCATGAACAAGAGTTTCTCTGCCTCTTCAGCCTCCTCTTGTGTCTTCGTTTCTTTCTTCTCCAGTTGTGTTATAAGTTCATGATATCGGCTGGCCAGTTCGAGAACAGCTGGGCGAGAGGATCGGAAAGTTGACATCTTTTGACGGGCGAATACGTCGTATGATTTCCAATGTTGCGATAGGGAAAACAACGTTGCTATGCGTCTAAATTGGGTTGATTAGCTATGCTATAGGTGGTAAGAGAGCGGCATACCGGTAGACGTAGCATTCTGAGAAGAGCCATGGGACATTGAACCACGATGGGTTCCCTAATTGTTCGAGTTCTTTGTTGTAAGATGCGATATCGGGATATCCATCATCAGGAAGAGGCCTGAATCGTCAGCCAGGTATTTGGAATAGGAGAGAGACATACGTCAATTTTCGGTCGTGTTGAATCTCATATTTGAACTTTGCAAGCTCCTCAATAATCTTCTTCCCTTCTGTGCGCTTTGGCTCTTCCGTTGTATCTGAAACTGCTCTATATACATCATCGATTGCGCCGGTCTTTTATGTCAGTGGTGCTTCTTTCATAGGAAGAATGACCTACTATAATGATAGGCCACCTGTCTCTGGCACTGACATAGGCAAATGATGTCTTGTCAGCAGTAGAGGAGGTCGCTGTTCTGAATTAGATAGGTCTTTCTGTAAGGAAATGTAACCTACGGGTCTTCGTGTCGTATTCCATCTTGGTCTCGAGCAATTCAACTTTGGACAAACGGTGAAAGTTGGATTTTCAATCTGAGTTGTTTGTTCTGTAGCGGGGTTGAGCGGGGGACAGAATCCGGATCCGTAATTTCTATTTTCCGGGTGCCGTGCAACTAGGTACTGTGAGGGGTTGGTTCTATAATTGGATGAACGGTTGTAATCTCAAGATCGAAGGAGCGGACCCTCTTATGTATGGCTTAATCACATGATCATTTACCACCACAGGTACCTTAATTCAATAATGGACTGGCCAAAGCCTCCCCACCAAGTCTCCAGGCTCTATCCAGTCCAGATCATTGAGACGGTTCCAGTAATTAGGGTCACAGCGAATTATAATCAAAGAACATAAGGTACCTTGGTGGAGCTTATATGCTACTTTGAGGATCCACTCACTGGTCTCCCGCAAATACTCCAGATACTGCATAGACAATCAACCAGTAGAAAAGGGGGGTGGCTAGTGATAGAATGAGATCCATGGTTCGAAACACAGTTCATCAAATCCTATTTATATCCACCTTTGAATAAATCTTCTGTTGAATAACTCAATTCCTACTGAGTCGTGTAGGTATGCCTTCTTGACCTACCCCCTGTACACAGGAGCGTATGCATCCGAAACCGAAAACGCCATTGGTATAATCCATCCCACTCCTCCGAGTTTTTCATTACTCGGAAACATTACATAGCATCTCCTACCCTCTCAATTCCTTCTGCTTGGTAATCTCGAAGACCTCCGTTAAACCATGCACCGTCGTATCAACATTCATCGTAACCAAGGGCATCTTCTCAAAGCTACCCTCCCGCATAATAGCCACCAGCGCCAGATATTTGTTAACCTCTCTCAGCATAATTGGTCTCTTCATATCCGTCAAGACAATTGCGCTCTCTGCATCCTTGCAAGCTACCTGGTCCTCCAACTTTTTGTTCCACGGCTCCCCTTCAAGTGTTGCAATATATTCAGGAGATCGGTCCCAGCCATAGATCTCCGATATATCTACGATCACATCGATGTAATCGCTGCATATTTCGTAGGATGGCATGTCGACAGGGGAGGGATCGGTGGCGATGTAGATCTTGGAGAGAACGTCGAAGAGATATGCCTTTTCGAAACGGCAGCTTCGGCAAAGGTCGTTGAGGAGAGCTTCGAGGGTGGGGAGATGTGGGATCAACTTTTGGATGACCTTGCTGAAGGCTTCAAAAATGGAGTGGTCGTAGATAGATGTTAGATGGAAGTTGACTGGGGCGTTTTCGACGCCGTGATCGGAAAGCTCGTCTTGAATGCGCTGCATAATATCTCGTTGGATGTCTAGCTTATAGTCATCGGAGAGACCATCAACCTTGTGGATGAAAACCTCGATGTTGATGTTAGGATAGGTGGGTTGGAGGTTTAAAATGGTGCCGTTGAGTCGGTTGATAGCCTCAAGGTATTCATCTTGAGCATCGATGACCCAGATCAAGGCGCCAATTTCACCGAAGATGGCATCAAGGTCAAATGACGGGTCCAGGAAGTCGAGCTGGCCAGGGAAATCCCAAACTTGGAAATCCATGAAGGAGCTAGACTTGTGAGCAGATCATCGTATAGGGGCGGGTAAAACTCACTGCATCGAATCCTTTTGGATTCGCGCTGTCGATTCAAGAAACAACGTTTCATTCGGTGGCATCTTATGGAAGACCACACTCGAGATTGATGATTTTCCGCTTCTGCTTTGCGGTCAGGACCGCACTAGATCTGGGGATGTTGCCCTTACCTTCGCTGGCCCATCAACAACAATCTCGGTTTGCCTTTCGCAGCAGTGCCCGGCGCCGGTTCAGGGAGCTTACCGACATCCTTCCTTTGGACGTTGAGGCGGTTCTGTTCATAGACACGTTCAAGATTCAGCTGAGCTGGACTTATATGACGGACAGGCCCTTGACGGGGAGGACCATTATATTTTCGATCTAATTTTGTTCTCCTTCTTCCAGTATGAAGTAGAGGCATGATGACTGCAAAAGCAAGTATTTTGAAAATGTATGACAAGAGCGATGTTATCGAACGCAACTCTGCGTGATGAATATAATATTCCAAAGCGGACGTAATCGATCCTTAAAGGGCGATGCAACTTCTACACCGCTGATCGATATCCAAAGATACGACTATCCTCTCAGCTTCCGTTTGCGCAACTACTGTCGGCTTCATTCAAGTCCCCGTTGAACCCGAGGACTCGGGGCCGGGTACATGAATCTTGATCTCGGCTTGAGACGGCGAGGCGCAGGCTGACACATTTCCAGATAACTCATGACTTTGATCTCGGTCCAATTCTGATACTGATCATATGATGTCTATAGCTGTTCATTATTGCCACTTGCAAAGATGATACCCAGGTGCTGACGGCGACACTGTGACTCAACGTCGGACAGCAATGAGTGGTCCAGACCGTCCAGCCGGGGTCAACTCGAGCCGTCATTCATATTGGCTACACAATGTAAAACCAATCGAGAGAAAGGATAAGAGTTGTCCTAATGGAGCTGTGCATATTCTAGAAAGGGAGGAGACATCTCGAGCAGATTGGAAACTGCTCAGCCGCCGCCTAGGCTATGCTGTGATACTTCGGTCTGAGCCGGATCTTGGATTCGTGGAAGGCAAATACCCAGTCCGCTCAACTTTCGGAACTCCAGGGGTACACTCGAGGGACAACTCCGGAGTTTACAACAAGTAAATGATCGCATACCTCCATGGTGCTCTCTGCGTGGTACGGCTAGATTTGGAATGTGGCGGCTCTCTCTTCGTTGGGCTGAAGCCCTGATATTGCGCTTGCCTGTTTGCCTGATTCCCTGATCTCTCTTCATTGATGTGTTGTCAGTCTCTGTCTCGTTGGATCTTGCTTTGTTTCCTACGGAATGACAGGTCACGTACTTGGGACCTATAGGGAGCTTCGCAAGAACGTCGGGAATACCCTTATGCAGGTCCCAGCGGGCGCCAAGGGATGGCGAGATATTATGGCTGTAGGCGGTGGAGTGACAGGGCGGGATGGGAGGGGGATTCGCTTTTGCATCGTCTCCCCGCAGGTTTTGGCGGAGAGATGATGTCTCTCGAAATTTTAGCGAGCAGTCCGGTATTTCCAGGGGTGGGGTTGGCGGTTACTTATCACCGACAACAGAACAACAATCGGTCAAGGATGTGTCTATATATGTTATATTGCCAGGGAAGGGAGCATACATGTAGTTGGCCTGAAATGAGTGATCAAGAGGGGGCTGGTGTCTTTCACAATCATACACGGGTGTGTGGGGGTTGGGGGTATCCGTGGCAATGAAGCTTGGGAATTTTATAAGGAGTCTCATCTCTTGCCTCGCAGATATCTCTTGATTCTCGCATTGATATATTTTGCAAGCCCATGGTACGGCCACCAGCAGCTGGGAAGTGATCAGAAGCAGGGTTACATGATCAGATCTCAATCTAATTCTCATTCTACAGGTAATATTGCTCGTCTCGTCTCATCCATCATGCTACTACAGTCATCTCACAGTCCCATATTCAAGGCAAGTGAAGACGGGTGCAGCTGAGAGTGAGAATAGAGTATTCTGGAAATGAAAAGCTTACTATATATTACCCCACGTATCAAGTTGCGACCTCTACTCCTGATCCAGCATACTTCCCATCCGCGTTATGCAATAACCCGGAAGAGAAATACAATTCACGACGATCAAAACGGTCAGTACCCAAAGGCCTGAGATTCACAGGTCACACATGATTATCACCTGCTGAACATAGATGCTATGAAGCTCTTCCGCCGTCCCATTCTCTGCGCCTTCGCGGCTCTCTGGTCTATCATGCTCTTTTCCGTGGGAATTTCTGGTACAGCTGGACTCCCCTCATCGCTCCTCAGTGGTGTTCTCTGCTCAGAATGAGTGGATAACGGACCTGAAATCTTCAGGTCATGCATTGACTTCGTACTGCGCTTTATCTTGCCTGTCGTGCTCCTCGTCTTGCCTGGCGATAAGGTCCTCCCCAGACTGTATTCTCCAATCCCCATCTCCAAATCCTCTATCGCACCTGAAACTGTCTTGCCATTACTCGCTATATTCTCTTCCGGTATGGAAATGAACTTGACCAAGCCTCGCTCAGGACAGACCCCTAGCGATTCCTCCAAGCTGGTCTGTATGAGTGCTGCATTTCTCCTGTTTGTTGTTGGTTGTACCTGCGAAGGGAGAGCTGTTATTGAAAATATGTAGGCAGGGTCAAAAGATCCACGGAAGAGCAAACATGCAGAATGTGTAAGCGCGACGATGATGGAGGATTCTGGTCGTTGGTAACGGCCGGACAGGAAACAAGAGAGGTCGGTAACAAAGGTATATTCGTCTTTAATCTGCAGCATGTCAGAACGGGCACCCTGAATATGAAGTAAATTTACCTACAATGACATTTGTCTTTATATCTGCCATAACCAGTGATTCTTTTGAGATCCTCTCCCGCGCTGAAGAGTTGGACTCTCGATATGCAAACGCTTCGTCATAGTACTGATTCCTCCGCCTCGAAAGCTCTTTCTCTTCTGGTGTTTTGTTCTGAGATAGGCTTCCTTTGTCACCCGGCGCACCACGATCTAGGGCCCGAAGGAGAAGCTTTTCGTCCTTTTCAGGGGTGGGAATAGATATTGCAGGCGTATCAAGCACCTTGCTGTCTACCGGTGAAGGCGACATTTCAATCTCCAGATAAGAATCTTTCTTTTTCTGGTCTATGAGTATTGCGTTATCGGTATAGAGATGGAATTCGTCGGCACTTTCGTAGCTGCGGGACCTGCTGCCGAATGTGCTGCTCGACCCAGGCATTTGGGTCGTACCAATGGATTCGATCAATGTCGTACTCCAGTAAGACAAGACCAAGGTCTAAGTACAAATATCTCGGCTTGATGGAGAAAGAATTGCTCAGATGTAATATGCTGACAGCTTAAATTTGCTATCCAGGAGCTCTGGCAACAAGCTGGGAGGAAAGAAGAACAAGAGATGAACTGAAGAGTAAAGAGAATGCACCCAACTAAATACTTTCCTTCGTGGAGGTCGATACTGCTGATGCCAGGTCAATGACCATAAAAGGCAGTCACGACCAACGCGTACAGACAGGGACGATCTTCAAGTTCCCGTGCGACAATGCAGAGGGCGATTCAATACAGTGGTTATAGTGGCCAGGATGAGGTTCAGCCTTCGGGAAATGGAGAGGGAGGCTGCAGAGAAAATTAAAATGACAGATGCAAACCCCAGGGATAGCCTTGTAATGTAGCCTGAAAACAGGTAAGTGAAGTCGATGTTTCAAGTACCGCAATCGGCACGTGCAATCCCAGGGCAGATCACCCGAATTCTTACCAGGAGATCGGACTGAAGCTAAATTGTGCCAACGAGAATGTTTTCATGCTCTTAAAACAATGGAGACTACTATCACCGTTATGGCGAACCAACCTCTCCAAGACTATACTATCGATCCCTATACCCCCCGCTTGACCTTCTGTCCTAAGATTGCATCCCTTTCCCACAATAAAATAGCAGACGCCCCCATTGGCCCTGAAACCAAAGTCCATGTTGTGACCTTCCAAGCAATTTTCCAAAAGGCCCCATCTTGGGGTTTCTCACTTGCTGCATTTCGATATAACAGAATCGCCCAAACCAGAACTGAGGCTGAACCAACATATAGATCCCAGAGTAGGAAGTTGTGGACTCCTTCTGCGAGGCTGGAAACCTGATGGCTGAGCACGGGGAAATAGGGCACATAGACTTCATAGAAGCTGCTATGTGAGAGTTGGATGAGATCTGATGCCCAATCCGGGAAGATCTCGGGTGGCAGAAGGGTGATGGCGATAACCGGTATATGTGTGATTATGCTGAAGGCGATCACAAATCTGTAAACGTGCTTCACATTATTGAGATAGGGTATTCCAGAGGAGACAGATTGACGGGAGTCGCTTTTTGATGCTTGATCTGTGAAAATTCTGCAGAGAAATGTGATTGACGATTGTATGAGAACAGCCCATAGAGGGAATGCTTGCCAAATCGCAATGTATAGTTGGTGAGCATCTGGAGAGACCACTGACGGTGATTGAAGTGCCATCAGGATTGATGGAATGATATACCCAACTATAGTCGACAGCGGGAGTATCTTAAGATCCAGGGACGAGACAGGGATAACGCTGTTGGCATGTGCCCCCGTAAATGCTCTTGCAACCGGTGACGTGAGGAGGTGTACAAATAAGTATAAGGGTATTGTAACTGTGAAGCTGATGCATTGAAAGATCAGGCCAACTATACCAATACTACCGTGACTGTAAGCAAATAGCCAAATCTAGGCTCCGAGCCATCAGGGCATGTGGATTGCATACAAGCTGACAAGTTTTCCTTCATTCCCAGACCTCAAACTCTCCATCATCAACAAGGTCCAAGCAGCACCAAACTGACCGAAGCCAAACAGGCTGAACAGTGTCGACTCGACGTTTTTCACATCCAAAAACGGAGCAAAGAATGTGATCAGAACCACTAACTGAGCATCAATAAATTCAATTCCAGTATAGCTTTTCACGAGGAGATCATTTGTCCCTGGAAAATAAACGGTTTCTTGCGTCAGGATCTCCCCAATCATGGCGAAGGTGCCATTGCGGTCTGAGAGAAACCAGGTGCCAAATGCCCCAGTAAGAGATAGAACTGGCAGTAAGATTAAGGTAATTGTTCGCAGTGAGCTTTGAGGACCTGCCGATGAGCCGGATGGAGAGGCCCCAGGTGCCGATGAAGAGGCAATAGACTAGAATCATCAGCTACAATATCATCGAACTATCTGCAGACGTGCCTTGCCGCTCATTGTGAAGATGGAAGCTGAATCAAGAGATCGAACACAACAAGGTCGCGAGTTGGGAGACTTGAAGGCGAAATACGACAATTATGTATAGATCACAATAGAATGAAAGAGTTCTCTTCCCAACTTGAGAGCCTTGCCCTGAGGACTGAGGGGTTGTCGTCAGAAGCTGATGTTACCGAGGCGAGAAACTCGGTTCATTTTGTTGGGTTTTGATCAGCGATCAAGACGGCCGTGGCGGTTAGGGTGACAGAGGAGAACAACTACTCGGCTTTTGCCGCTTGGCATTCTTCTGAGCTAATATTTAAAAAGAAAGAAGGCAACAACAGGGTTGATAATAGAGAAAGGACAGTTCCAAACGACAATGTTGCCGAATCACGTGTGGTATGTAGCTAGTCACGTGATGCCAATCCCATCTCCATCAAACCCCCCGGTCGACAGTTTCAAGCTTGTCACGGATGCGATATGCAACAAAACCCCCCAAAGACCACGTGATGCTAATCTCACAGCATTGAAAGCAGCGCTCGACAATCTGCAGATGCGATGTGCAACAAAATGGAAGACTTCGGGCAAACACACTCTGGTGATGTATCACGTGATACAACTGAACCACCACCTCAAGTCATGAGTTGCGATATCAGCTTCAACCGCGCAAAAATCCAAGGTGGAGGCAGATACCATTTTCTAACCGAAGTAGAAAATGATTGCAAAAACTAAATATCGTACGGGGTACACATTTTGTAGATCTCGATCTATTCAAAGTTTCATAACCGCCCGTCTCACACAGTATGTGCATCAGAGCGCCGGCCAAAAATACCTCGCCAATCACGAACGCGCCTCTATCTACAGCGAGCTCTTGCAACCACCAATAATTGCGGGTAGACATTATCAACGACGGCGACGAGCAGGTCTGACTGGCCAGTGCCATACCTGCGAGTGTTGTTCTCTTCAAGGTCCTCGCCCTGGATCTGACGGAGGCGGTTATCCGCCATGCCCAGACGTTACTGGGCCCCTTCGTTTGCACAGGACACTGCATACCAGCGTCTATCCATGGATACATCAAGAAAGTACTTGAATGTTTCGTTCCCACATTTTCTCAGTAATCACATCCATTATTTTGACGGTTGATCCATCTCTTTGCCTTGTTTCTTCCTCGTTTTCCATTACTCCCCAAGTTCCTAACCCTTCTTCTTCATCTGCAAGATGTCGGTCAAGCCCGAATTCCAATCCGACATACATGAGTTTGAGACTCGCGATGTTGGGTACAGAAAGGCTCTACGGGCCACTCGCATGGTCGAGTCCATCCGGCTCGGGTTGACGACTCTCGCCCTTCTCGCTGGATTGACCATTGTCGGCACCTCCGCCGAGACACTGGCCGTCTATAACAAGACACATCTCGGCCAAGACTTCCTCCTGCCCCTATGGCCAAGCGACTTCGATATCCGACCCACCATTGCCCTGGTGACTTGCGGTTCGATCATCTTTCTTGCCAGCGCTGTCTCCTTGATAGCCAGCAAAGTCCAGGCGGTAAGAAACAACCCCGTTTCACCCTCCTCGGTGTTGGTCACTAACGTCACCCAACCAGGTCCGGAACAGCCCCCTCATTCACAACTCGTTCTCCATCCTTGCTTCCTTGATCTGCTTCATCGCCGGGCTGATCGGTATGTCCTTCTTTTATGGAGTCAATGCCTCGTCTACTGTCTTCTCTCTGCAAGCTTGGACTTGCCAGTGGTCCGCCATCTCCATGACCACTGCACCACACTGGGGAAGGCTATGCAAAGAGAGCAAAGTCGCCTTGTATCTGACCGTCATGATCGTACCGCTGGAAGTTTTGGTGTTGGGAGCCACTGCCTGGGCTGTATTTGTAGAGAAGAAGCTATTCGTCGTCCGAGAAAGGAAGGGTAGCCCTGCTTTGTCTTAAATGCCGGTAACGGTGATGTTGAGAATGGAATGTGCATGACGATATGGGAGGGTACGGGTTGGGGTTCATGGCAGGCGTTGAATCGCAGAAATGCTTGCGGCCTCTTATGGGATTTGATGTATTAGTAGTGTTTTTGGCGTGGCTTGAATGGGGATTGAAATGGGAAGGTTCCCAAGCGAACAACGGCTATATTTCTTATGATATAAATGACCAGCCCGAATCGCAAAGTCTAATGAGTCTCCATAGCATCCTCGAATGCGGCATGCTTCATCTTCTCCTGCCCCCCTTGCCATATCGGTATTAGAGGAAACACGTAATACAAGGAGGGTCAGAAGCATTGCGGGAGGTCTTCTCTTCAATATCGCTACTCCCGGTCCGTATCTTAACCTTACGCCTAGAAAACAACCAGAAGCGTCCCTCGAGACATCTATTCATCTTTCGACCTCTTCTACCAGCAGGATCTCTCTGTAACTCCACGCTTGTAGAGAACAGCACCGCCAAGGGAACCCTATCCACAGAGCAAACCCTCCTTGGGGATGTCCACTGTTTCCGGGCCAGTCCCCACAGTCTCCACCTCTATGTATCCACTTGGCACCGTTGCTTCCTTCTTAATCTTTTCCCCCTCTTTCTCTAACTCCGCCTTCTCCTTCTTACTCAAAGTCAGGCTTCCCTTTGCCAACGCCTCCTTGGGAAGGGGCCGCACATAAGGTTGCACCACCCACCAAGGCCTCTTGCATTCTTTGACCGTCTGCAGCGAGCTCTCGTACTCCTCATCTCTCTCCTGGTTCGCTTCCGCAGAGACATCCTGCGCCAACCGGTTCAACCTCTCATCCCTCTCTAACTCCTCCTCCCAGCTCTTGCCATCCGTCTCCGCATACTCCTTTAAGCCCCCCTTGACAGCTTCCTCAACCATCTGCAGGACATTTTCAAAAGCCGCTATATCCCCTGCTCGACATTTCGCTAGCGCATCTCGGATATGGTGATGTTTGGCTACGAGCGGTCGCAGAAGACGGAAGAGATGTGGCTGCATAGCCAAAAGATTAGGACTTGATGTTTTCTCTTTCCTGTCCTTCTTCTGCTTCTTCTTTGGTGGTCCTTCTTCCTCTTTTTGACCGTCTTTCGCCTCGGTCACAGCCGCTTCTTCTGGATCAGATGGCAGATATAGCAGCTTTCTCTCCGGGATTGGAATTTCCAATACGTATTTGTAGAGAATATCCATATACCTCCTGAATACCGCATCCATTCTCCAGCCGCCCTTGCCATCCTTACCCCTCCAGTACTCCCTCCCTTCCTCGCCTACCGCTGGTGCGTCTGAGAAGATAGCAGGATCGTATAGGTTCCCTTCCGCGCTCATGACCCCATCTGCCCCCGTCTCTTCCAAGCAACGATCGATATCCTCTCTCCGCAAAATATTGCCATTTGCGAATAACACCGTCTCCTTTGGCAACTGCTCTCTGAGAAACCGGATCACACTCCAATCCGCCAAGCCCGTCTTATGGCCCTTCTGATCCCTGTGTCTCCCGTGGACCGTGAGGATACTGGCTCCTGCCCTCAGAACATTCTGCGCATATTCCAACGTCTTCTCTTTCGTCTCCAAGATCCTAATTTTAGCCGTAACTGGCACATCCAAATGGAGGTGCAGCTTATTTATTAACGAATATATGAGCTCCTGGTCTTCCTGTAAGAAAGCGCCGTATTTCCCCTTCCTCGCGATCCCCTGCGGGCACCCCAGATTCAAATCGACCGCATCGCAGAAGGGCGCCACATATCTCGCCGCTCGCAATAACTCATCAGGATCGTTGGCGCAGAATTGTGTGAAAAGCGGCCGGTCAATCGAAGGGTTCCCATCTAGAAAAGCCGACGAGGGAGGCGGAGGAGAAGCGGGGTCGGGATGCGAAGAGAGGGGCGAGCGCAGAGGCTGGAAATGCTTGTCTCGAAAATTGGCCGTCTCGCCGAACATTCGCGCGTGCAGCATGGGGGTGTATGCCACAAGCTGCTTGGAAGAGGATGGAGACATGAAGGAGCGGGTTAGAAGACGCCATGCCTGTGTCCTTTCTCGTCAGCAAATGCTACTTCGCGGGGAGAAGATAAGGGAGGAGTACGAATTCGGATTGATCGACCATAGGGGCGAGGACAAATTTTGGGCTCCCGATGCTTTCATAGAATGCACGCCCATGGAGTTTCCTTGCTTGCGGGGGCAGCGAAGCAGTGGCATTATCGTTCGCTGCTGCCACCGAGGCCGGGCCGTCATGGGAGACCGTCATTATGGTTCGTATGATTGGAATGATCGTCCGCCGGGTGCCAGCCCACAGCCTGAGATGTGACGCAAGGAAAGCCAGCGTAAATTGAGGTCAGGGACGGGCAGAGACGGTGTGAATCTGGAAAGGAATTTCGTTGCTCGAAAAACTTTTAGCGCCTGACTGACGAGGCTGGGCGTTCGACGAGGCGAGGCTACACATGTTCTACGAGCCCTCCATTCATTGGCTCATATTTTGACACCAGCCTTGCACCGTTGTACCTGGACCCTTATCAACATGATAAGGAGCCCATCAAATCCAGCTAAGGTACCTGAGGCATTCAAATAGCCTGCGTATGACATTTGCTGCATGCATTTACTACACATCTACCAAGGGAGAATTTCTTCATGAACTTCAAAAGGCCAAGCTGTTTCTGAAGTCGGCCAATGAGTATCATTTGATTATTGAGACCATGCTTCCCGACCCCTTGAAAACATGACCAGACGCTGAAGTACAATGTGATGGAACGAGTATACGTATGACAATTGAGACAACCCCCCGATCAGAACATTGACCAGAAATGCAACCCCCCAAGCCCCACTCAGAATCCGCATCAAAGACACAGGCCACCAAGATCGAAACTTTTAGACAGAATGCTATCGTATTGAAAGGTACAAATCAGATTGCTAGCCCTTTCCGATAGTACGCTACGATGTCCTCCCAGATTGGAAAGCTTTGCAGCATTACATCTCATCTGTCATTATCTTCTGTCCATAATCTTCTTCTTGATTTCCTCCTGGATGCACGTAAAAGAGAGGCCAACGCCAGTCTAATGAAAGAATATAGTCTTCAACAAAATCGCTCAGATGTGAATGACTCCGGTACACCGTGTAATGCGAGACCTAATGAACGCCCTTGGAAGTCTGAATGTGTGCATAGCAACATGTTTGTAGTCGCAATTTGCTAGAAGAGTTGGTTTTCGTGGGCCGTATGAGCAGCCGTAATCGTGGTTTCGTCAGAAAAAGTGTGTGTAGATCTTAGAATTCTCGTGCACCTCCATTTCCTGCTTGTGGAGTCAGTACCATATTCTACGCATCTTTCAGGAACATACTTACCATCTTGAAAGTGTTAAGCTCCTCCTTGATCTGCTGAGCAAGCATTGGAGTCAAACGGTTGCAAGTGGCAATCTCGCCTCTACGGTCGTACTCCCCGCTGGGCCAGGTGTCGTGAAATTGGATCCGGGGGCTAAAGGTGGCACTTCGTTTGGTTCCTCCATGTGGAGTTACCGGGACGCTCTTCGAGTCAACTCGGAGCCGCAGAGCCGACATGAAATAGTCCTCACCACCCAACGTCACTGAACCAGTCCGCCTATGACCCTGTTGTTCATCGCTGGGTGTGCTCGGGGCTGAAGAACTTGGTGAGTCGTTGACGTGTGGGATTTGTGGCAACTGGAGGCTTGCTGTCTTGGTGTCGAGTACCGGGCGTATGACTGGGGAAGAATTACCAGAGTCTGTCCCAGAGCCTAAGAATGTTAGAACTGATTAGAGTTTGCAGCAAAGACAAATAGCTCACGTTTGAGAATTCCTTTCTTGACGGCCGCAAGAACTTCTGCACGCTCCTTCTCACCACCGACGATACTCTTCCTAGCTGCGGAATCTTCGGTGCTTGAGCTTCCGAGACGTTCGTTGCTAGTATTGGCTGCATCCACAGAGTTTCTCTCCAGCCTGGGATATCCAGTGCCTCCTTTAGCTTGGTCATGCGGGTTTGCATTTACGTTGACCTTCTCCCTTTCGGCCTCCACAGTAACCATGGATACTTGAGCTTGGCTAACTTCTGGTAGAGCAGCATCCGCAGCGGGAACACCGATAACAGACTTTGGCCGGAATAATCCAACAAGAGATCGAGTAGATTTCTTCATACCTCGGCCCATCTTCCTGATCATGATCGAGGCGGATGATGCTGTCGAAGATATAGAAAGATTATCAGTCGAGCCCGTGAAGAAATTACCCTGTCCTGAATAAATTCCAGATCCGATACCTCCAGCCTCTTGTTGTTGAGCAATTCGGGCCTGTTCGGCTTCTTGCTCATCTTGGTATTTTTCTTTTCGAAGTTTGACGCTCTCGGCCGCTACGGCCGCGTTATTGGCAGCACTGTTCTCGGCTGAGGCCTTACGCAGCTCTGCAGCGCTTCCAAACGAGAAGGCTCTCCGCAATCGCGAAGTTTTGTTTTTCTTGCCATCCTTCTCATTTAAGGCAGCCAACTGCTTTGCAGCAGGGCTCTGAGATTTCGTGCTATGGGCGGCCTGCGCGTGGGTTGGTTTTGCCGGCGTTTGAAGAGCCGCATTTACTGTCGATGCGAACGAATCCTTGGAAGCCGAGGGCTCGGGATTCATTGCCATCGGCTTGGACAAAGGAGAAGGGTTGGTGATTCTTTTTGAGGCATCGGAAGAAGAACCACGGGTGGGGATATTTACAAGCCTTGCTGATTCATTTCTGGACGATGTCTGTTCTGCAGCTTGGGAGGACGAGGACGAAGCGGGGTTTGTAGTTGCCATGGACGCTATGCCTGCTTCTCGCTTGACCTGATTCCACGTTAGCGCATTAGCGAAATTGAGGACCAAACGAGTGTCATTTGGTGAGAATATCGGATAGGGGTGAATGCATCAGAGAGGCTTCGAGGGACAACTCACAGAATTTGGCCGAGAATGATGGTTGCTCCGCACAGAATTTGTACTCTCACTGCTTCCGCTGCGTCCATGGGAAGCACCCGGTCGAGGAGCAACAACTGGAGAACTTCGCAGGGGGTGTTGTTGCTGCTGGTCAATTCGGCCGTTAGCGCTGTTAACCAGACGTAATCCCTGCTGTTGTAATGCCAAACCGCTACCATGCGAGTATTCGGCTGCGTCAATTGTATGAATGCTCCGACGCCGATATTTCTGTGATTGTTCATGGCTCATGTGGCGATTTAATTGCATGTCATCAGCAACGACGCCTGGAGTAGGAGTGTAAGCCCCAAGTTGTCTCAAGAATTGTGGGATCTGAAGATTGAATTCCTGGAGTGTGATGGGAGGTGCCATGGGTGGTTGGGTGCTGCTACCGTAGAACTGCATAGTATTTGGCATTGCCGAAGCCTGAGTGTTGGATTGCGGAGAGGACTCTGTACGACGGTTATTTGGCCGACGATATCGATCAGGAGAAGTTTTTGTCGTTGGAGAAGCCAGTGGAGCGGCAAGGGAATGGCTGGAAGTGGGTGTAACAGTCAACTGAGATCGAGAATTTCCAGTAGGAGCTCGAGCAGCACTTGAAACTGACGAATCGTCCCCCGGGCCTGACCTTTGGCTTGAAGAGGAGTGATCAGACGACGACGATGTGGTAGATACAGAAGCGGCAGTAAGATGCTGTGATCGGTTCATTGTATTTGCCGATTCCGAAGACGTAGTCGGAACAGCCCCAGTTGAAGAAGCTCTTTGGTCTGCTCGAAGGTGAGGGCCACTTTGCGTACGCGATCCGGTCACGAGTCCAGGGGTACTAGTGAATGCATATGGAGCGATCGGTGCAGGCCCACGATAATTTGACATCATGCCGTTGTTCATCCCATGGAAGCTGTTCCGATGCATCTGTGTTGGAGTGGCAGCGTATTGATGGTGTGATGGGGTCTGTGAAGAAGATTGTAGGATCCCTGATGCTGAAGACGGACGCGTCTGGAGCATGGTAATGGTACTAGACTGCTGGGGGTATGATTGAACGAGGGCAGCCATAGTGTAGCTTGACTGCGTTCGTGGAGTACCCAAAAAGCAGATAGCTTTTCGGTGCTTGGGCGTTGGGCTTATAGCTGCATTCGTTCTTCGTTTTCGAGGACGACGTGGTAGGTAGAGGTTAGGGGTAGAAGCGGAGGATCTATGCGTAAGAGGTGGTTAGTCGACTATGTTCAGGAGACAGCATTGCATCAATAGTTGGATCTGGGAGGTGGAGTTGTTTTTACACAATGGCCACAAGCGCGTAAGATGGATGTGTGTAACGAACCTTCAATTAGGGAAAGAAAAACACTAGTGAAGGGAGTATTATTACGAAGATTGTACGATGTAATCAACAAGAGCTAACGGTTGATGCAAGGACCGAATCGAAGGAGGACGCCGGCGGCCAGGTAGAGGATGGATGGAAGGATCTCGCGTCAGGCAGAACACACTTTCACCGCGGTTCTAGACGATGCTGTCTCTCACAATAGCCACGACGAGCAACGACAATAGGAGGGAGAGCTATCGAAGTCGTGGCGGGCAATCTCACGGGATTATTGTGCGTATCGAAGCAACCTCTCTCCTCGGGGGTGTACTTCCTTCAGGAGAAGCGACAGTAGGAGAGGAATGAACAGAAGAATGCTCGTAGGCGAAAGGACGAGCGGGACCGAACGAAGGACAATACACAAACAACGAAGAAGGACGAAAGGCCGTCGACGACGAGGAAAACGAAGAGGGGTGGACGGGAATCCTCAACAGCAGAGATCGAGACAGGGCCCAAGAGAAGAATGTCGAGAATTGGATTGAGGAGAGCGGCAGGAGAGGGAGGAGAGTTATTCGTGAGGGCGGGTTCGAAAGGGCGCCTGGCTACTCTAGGACTAGCGCCCATCCAGGCCATCATGCCATGTACTCTGTAGGTAAACTGTACGGCACTATCGGGGTACCTCAAGGCACTGTGCTTTCATGTATACGACGGTGCCGTGCTTGGAGCGGGCGGTACCTGGGCAAGCAGCGTCTGTGGTTATTCTACTCTATTCGTCTTCACTACACGACCTTACACGAGATACAGGGCAAAGAGGATCTGGGCGACCGAGACGCTGGCGTTGTCTCTTCATTGTTGGAGTCCGCCGATTATTTCTGTCTCAACACCTTTCCGGAGTAGTAGGGGAGTGAGATCCGCTACTAGGTTACTGTACTTAGAGCAGCCAGGTGCCGGAGCAGTCGGAGGTCTGCGCACAGGCACGAAGCAGTAGTCTACGGACTCACGACTCGACTACTGAGGACCAACTCAGGGGATCGCCGAGCCTTCAGATCCTTCTTCCTTCCTTCTGGAGGGCTTTTTATTCTTGTTATACTGGAGGATCTTGGCTTCTCGCGCCTCATTCACAGAGCCCATGGGGCAAGGGTGGCATCAGTCCCTTCAAGCCGCCTGCAGCCTGCTGCATAGAAAGAATCCATGTCCTGCATCTGATGGCACAGTATAGACGGTGGAGTTGGCTGGACATTGGCCCACGGGCACCTGGCTGGTGCGGCGTGCGAAGGGTTTGAAACGAGACGCGTGTAAATGCCAAATCAACCGCCAGAACGCACCTCAATTCTCGAATGATTCTCGACAGGCCAGGAGCCTCTCCTCTTTGAGCTTGCCTGCTTACTCCGTCCTCTGACCTGGTATGGGCACAGGGGGAATCGGACGCGAAGCTACATAGGCCTAGGTATGTTACGGGTCCCCAGCAAGCGAGAGTCTGATATGAGTTCTTACTTTTACCTAGTAGAGCTATAGACTACAAGGTAGTAGTCCATACTACAGTATATTATCCTATCCTATCCGGATAAATCCTCCGTAGAAAACAAAACGGAGGACAAAAGGAGGCAGATGGCGCCTCTTCAATAGATGATAGCGGCCACAGTTGACAGTTCTCACGAGAACTCTCTAGGTCCAGCCGCATCCCTTCCCCTCATTCCAGGCTGTGTTGTAGCATGCATGCATGGCTTTGCCGCGGACCAAGTGGCAAGGAGTTCTTTACGGGGTACGACGCGGCGGCTGGTCTCTGCATAGTATGAAATTCTTCAAAAATCAAAACCACAGCATAGGACACCCCGTACAAGGTGGGCGCGGGATAAAGGATGTTGTCATGGCCAAACAAGCCGTTCGTCCTATCTGTGGGGAGTGCCAGTGGCCAGCTCGAAACTACTCGGTAGTAGTACGAGTACAGGTACACTGGAGTACGAACTACGAGGGTAGTAGTATGTAGTAGAGCGAAAAGCTTTTGCGCATATCGCGGGTGGGGTTTTGGCTCTTGACACTTGACAGCCTCGTCCCCGGGCGCTGAGGAAAGTATGAAGTACTACTTCGTAATCATTGGGCCGGAGAGATAATACTGTCGATAATAATAGCCCATGAAGGGTTGCACCAGATTCCCAGGCTTGCCGGAGCCACATTTGCCGATTCCAACGACATTGTCTCTCAGAGTCTCTCTCCTTCGAAGAATCTCCCGCCACTTCCACTGAGTTCTATCGTGATTCGTGATCCCTCCGCTCCCACCCACTACTAACTACTACTTACTATACTGGGCTACGGAGGCAGAGTACAGCTCTACGGAGGTTGCGGCAACAGCTAAGCAACGGCATGGGTTTTAGGACTCCTGACCACTCCTAGCCCACGCCTCCAAGCCTAGGGACGAGCTGGTGATAAGTAGACAGGTGTTCGGCGATCTTCACCAGACCGCGGTTGGCTAACTACCCGTCAGTGAACTACGGAGGACCCAGGGGCAGGGCCGGGCGAGCCAATCGCCGTCCCACTATGACGCTGCTGCGACGAACGACGGGGGGGGCCGGTAAGGTTAGTCCAGAGAGCAGCAAAGCATACGATGATACGGGGATAATAATACCCACTCACACGAAGCCCGAAGAATCAAAGATGTCCGCCCTCCTTGCAAAACCCCTCTCCAGACCCCTCACGCTGTGGCAATTAGTAGCATACAGACTCCAGAAAACAGAGCAATCATGCAAGGAAGGCGGCATGCGTGCAATGGGTGTGGTGGATGCAGTGGATGCAGTGGATTGCGGTGGATGATGCAACGCCTATCGCGAATAATGCGAAATTCCCAATGCTTCGGGCATTTTATCTCGCCATCAACCACATTCTGAACCGCCAATGGCGAACGTCAATGAGACAGCCTCGGCATGCCCCCCTCAAATACGAAGAACTCAATCGTACCGTACTCCGTAATCCTCGGGCTCACCGCTCAGGGGACGGGGATCAATTACTCATTACCCCAGAATCTACTCCGTACCTAGACACTGCTGTTGCTTGTATTTATTTGTCTTCATTATTGTGGCTTTATTATTGATTTGATTGTTGCTGTATGATTGCTCTTGTCAATACGAAACAAGGCTGGAGTCTCTGGACCCTGCCAATTTATACACTGCCGGTCATGATCTCTCATCTCTCCGCTATGAGTCTATGACGATATCATCGCTGATCTCAATCCGGCCCAGCCGCGAGAGATTATTATCGTGACTGAGTTTCATTACTTAATTTAACTTGGTCGAAGCTTATGGTAAGGCAACAGATAGTGCTATCTCTCTATCTAAGGCTCCGAAGTACCGAGGACAGGCTATGCTTGTTGGTGTTCATTGAGCACTTGCACTTGGAGAAAATCGGACGAGACAAGATGAGGCTGAAGCTCCCCCTGATTTGTGTTAGAGCCTCAGGCATCCGTGCAGATTTCTCAGCCTCGTCGCGCGTGATTACGAAGTAAGACTTGCGAGGCAAACCCATCCTCAAATCAACAACCAACCAACCATGCCCCCAGAACTCATCCCCGATGATGAAGACTACGCCTCTTCCGAAGACTCTGACTTTGCGCCCGATGCCGCACCTGTCGAGGAGGCTTCCTCGGACGAGGAATCGGAAGCTGAGGAGGCGACTGTGAAACAGAAATCCAAATCTGCGAAGAGGAAACGAGGGCAGGATGACGAGGCTGAAGATGCAGGGTTTGAAAATTCTGGAGATGAGGCGATCATTGTGAAGGGTCTTAAGAAGCAGAGGAGGAAGAAGGACAAGGAGGCGGATGAGGACGAAGGTGGAGAGGGAGGCTTGATCAAGACGAGGAGCATGCGAGCTTTGGAGTATGCTCTGCCATTACGCTGATTTTTAAAGGTAGATGCTAATGTTTCTTGTAGGAAGATTGAAAAGAAACCTCTCGCTGATGCGTCCGCCGCAACAATAGATGTCGATGCATTATGGGCAGATATGATATCTGGCAAAACGAAAGCAAAAGGACCCGAAAACAATCAATCCACGAACACCAGCACACCGATCGATTCAAGCGGCTCCTTGAGTCCAAATACAAGACGGGATGGCCTACATCCAGATCCCAAGGAAGCTAGAAAAGACTCAAGATCGCCCAGTACACTGAGTGATGGGCCTGATTCCATGATAATGATCAAACGAACCTACAACTTTGCCGGAAAAGTCCACATAGAACAAAAGCTGGTCCCCCGGAACTCCGCAGAAGCAAAGCTATTCCTCGCCTCTCAAGACAACTCTACCAAACCCGCAATCGAAGATGCCTTATCATCCATTAAACCCAAAAGACCGACCAAGAAGGCCCGGAGGTCTGTATTTGAGCCAGTGTCAGATATACCGCCAAGGACTGACTTACATTTCGGTGTGAGAAAGGACAGCGGGGTGCAGATTACGGCATTGACCAAGGATGCGAAGAAGCTGAATACCGTGGAGAAGAGTGCGATGGATTGGGCGGGCTTTGTTGATAAGGAGGGCATTAAGGATGAGTTAGATGCGGCTGGTAAATCGAAAGGGGCGTATAGGGCAAGACAGGAGTTTTTGGCAAGAGTGGAACAGAAAAAAGAGGAAGAGGCGAGAAGAGCTAGGGGGTTATGATATCCAAGTATGTGACAACGACAAAATCCATGTTAATGTGTTATACCCAAGACGTTACGTTTGAAGTGACGCGATCCGGCATCATAGCTGTGGTTAGGTTTATTTCTGCGCCTAATCTGCGCCAACTGAGCTCTTGCATTTCGTCTAGCTCAGGGATACATTCACAGCTTTGCCCGCCCTTTCTCCGTACCCTTCGGCAGCACCGCAATATCCTGCCACGGCAAGCCCAAAAACTCCCACATGAAATGGAATCTAAGGCCCACACGATCAGAATTCCTCTCCCAAATCCAGCGCGCCTATTCAAGAGAAGAAGACCTACCTATCGCTGCCAAAAAACGGCTCCTCCTTCCCCTCTGCATTGCGAACCCAAGACCACGGTGCTCCAAACGCCCCTAAATCAAGGGCCTTCTTCGTATTCGCCATTAGCTTATCCTTCCACTCTTTCTCGCCTGCGGCCTGCATGATTTGCTCTACCTCCTTCTCGCTGAACAAGTTCGTTCCGCGGAGTACTTCTTGGAGGGATTCCGGGATGCTGATATTGACGTGCGGAGGAATCCACATGGCGCGCATAAGCAGCTGCCATGTCTGCTCGAAGGTAGAGCGAGAAAATCTGGCTTTGATGTAGCAGAGTGCACGTTGTGGCTGCGAGGGTTAGTTTCTGGGGTGTGATGGGAAGCTTTGAGGGGGAGGGGAGGGGGCTAGTACGAGGAGGGTCACTGGAGGGAAGAAATCAGGCGTCTCGATCTCTTCCATCCCGTGGTACTTCTTTGTGCGAGCTGCATCGAATGCTCCATAGACTGCTTTGGCGGGGAGGCTCCAGGGAGGCTTGTTTCCAGAGCCGTGGTTTACGCCCCCGAGGAAGATGGGGATGAAGCTGTTTGGAAGTTAGGATTGAGATACTTGATAGCTGGGGATAGAACTCACTCAACAGTCACATCATGGGATGCGAGTATTTCACGGTTCTTGAGAAGGTATTTCAGGGTCACGACGCTGTAGAATGAGGCTTTGGGAAGTCAGCGCAAGGGGTAGACATAGGAGATTTGATATGTCGGTGTTATCGGTACAGTTGAAGGAGTTGATTAGTGATACTGATAGCAATCCATGTAACAATCTATATGGCCTCCCATGATGCCTTCTGTATCCTTACTGATGTGGTCAGCGAGTAAAGCTACTTAATATTTGTACGGGAGGTCGCTGAAGGCTCTTCGGGTGCTGAGGATCAATTGACTTCGCGATATTTTTCCAAAAAAAAAAAGGTGTTCTTGGATAAATAAGAATAAACTAAAGAAATGCTTCACATGATACCAAATCGCTACCTTTCCCTCACATTTATGTCCGAAGGTACCTCCAGACGTCGATTACTGACTGACAGGGATATGGGGTAAGCTCATGCGGGGTCAGCCGACGGAAGCTTTGATCACTAAACATCTTTCTATGCTCTAATCATGAGATGTACCGAGCTTCAATTCAATGAGGCAAGATATAGAAGCAAGCTCATGACACTCGAAATGATCTGCTCAAGATCGGACCCCCGTTATTTCCAGAGAGGGCTCAGTTAACACAATAAGAAACAATATGGCTCCCACTCAGCAAGTTGCCCTGGTCGTCGGTGCTTCTCGAGGCATTGGCCGACAGGTAGCTATTGACCTAGCAAAGAACGGCTATGCAGGTAAGCGCACTCTCAGATTCGAAGGAGAAAATTCACCTAATAATTATCTCTTCCTCTACAGTTGTGGTAGCCGCAAAATCGACGAGCAATGCGTACGCAGTGACGCCGTTCCCGCCAGATCCCAATTCGCCGCAGTCGACCATCAGCACAGTCGAGCGCGAGATTCGAGAGGCGGGGGGTCAGGCAACTGCCATCCCTGTTGATACAAGAGATTTCAAGAGCGTGCAGGAAATGGTGGAGGGCGCCATCAAGGTCATATCCCTGTCGCGGCTGGACTGAACCGTGGCTGACATCCCGGCAGGCGTATGGTCGTGTCGATGTCCTCGTGTACAACTCGGGCGCGATATGGTGGGCGTCAGTGGAGAATACGCCCATGAAGAGATTCCAGCTCATGCAGCGTGTCAACCCTGAGGGCCTTTATGGCACGGTCCAGGCTCTTCTCCCACACTTCAAGAACAATGGTTGGAAAGGGCGGATAATCGTCGTCAGCCCACCTATCTATTCTCGATTTTTCCGAGGAAAGACCGCATATGCGATGGGGAAGGTTGGAATGAGCGTCCTGACCAAGGGTCTAGCCATGGATTTTGAGAGGGAGAAGAGGGATGAGATGGCTATAACAAGCATCTGGCCTGCTGCGGTATGACCTCTCTCCGGGAGAACGACACAAATAGTTAACATGAATAGTCCATTGAATCTGCAGCAACAGCCGCAATGACCAAGGAAGATCCAAGTACCAAGAAGGATCTTAGAAAACCGACCATTTACTCGGATGCCATCCTGGCAATGTTGCGTGCGCCGGCAAAGACCGTGAATGGGCTCCTCGCGTTGGACGAGGACTTCCTGCGCGAATATACTGGCATGACAGATTTCTCGAAGTATTCCGTTGTGGAAGGGGCGGTGCCTAGGAGAATCATGCCGGCCCGTTTGCCCGACTTGACCGTAGCGGAACAGGCGGATGAAGGTCGAAGAACGGATAGTATTAAGATGAGAGCTTCTAAGCTGTGATTTTAATTACGTAGAAATTGTAGCGTGGGCTGTCAGTTATTATGATTTTTTACAACTTATTTAATCTAAGAGAGTGTCGGAAGACTCACAATTATAATGGCGAAGTGGCTTTGTTGGGCCCTTTCTCTCCGCCATCATCATAGCAGGCGGAATGGTCGAATGGTTCTTAACGAATCCAGAGGTATATCAATACCCAATTAGTAGATTGGTATTAGTACTCTATATCATTTCCTCCGCTTCCTATATTGTATGATATGCAGGAATAGCAGCAGCTATCAATGTTAATTGAAGATTAATTATACTTCACCAGTTCAGCGGTTTCAGTACCCGAATCAGAGATTTGCTCAGAAGTTAAGACACTCTTTGACAAAGATTTTGTAAACAACCAGGTAGTCTACTAGAGCAGAAATACTCATGGAGATTAGCTTTTCAAAATCATAAGATTCGTTCAAAGCCTTGGGGGGGGGGGGGGTCGCTCCCAAGGATCTACACAAAAAATGGCCCCAGGCTTGTAGGGTTTGTTGTATCAACTGCGGTGACCAAGTAGTAGATTGAAAGGAATATATTCGAATATTTTTCAAAGAGAGTTGTCAGCGTACCTAGGTAGTTAGGAGAAAACCTAGAGATGCCGCTGCAGACGATTGAGACGATGAAACAAGCACGGTCACGTGATCGGCCTCCCCGCATTCAGGAACAAAAAGGAGCTTAATCGCAATAAGCTTTTAAGCCGCATTCGCTGGGGGTCGACGGCGGCGTGTATATGATCTACTTCACAAGCAAGCTGTTCCTTCCTTTCCTTTCTTTCTTTTCACCCTGATCTGGGCACTTTTGACCGATTTTGAACTTCCGTCTCAGTGGCCGCCAAGCGCTCTGGGGCCTCAGCCAAGTAAGTGCAGCTCAGATATTGATGAAATGCAGCTATTTGGAAAGTTCCAATACTCTCTTTCGATGCGTTATCTGCATTGTTTGAATCCTTTTTGCAGGACGGTGCGCGAAGTATCGCTTGGTTGTACCTTTTGTGGTGCCGCAACGCTAGCGGGTCTGGTTCGCTTACGCGAGCCGGGGCCTGATTTGAATACCTGCGACCTGCTTGACTTCACTTGACCTTCAGAAATCATCCATTCACTCTTATTGCATCTCGTCAACCCATCTGCGCATCGGGCGTGGGGTCGTAGACTTCTTCTTGATTAAAGTTCGCGTCTTTTTTTCAATTGCAAATCCAGTATCTCCGCTTGAGCACGTCAGCCAACGCCCGCACGAATAACAAACCTCACGCGAAATGATGCACGCCTGAGCATACATTCGACCTCAATCAATCTGTATCCGATCTCTATATCTGTCGCAAGGTATATCTGCCTAGATAAGTGGGCGCATTCGTCATGGGAAGCTCAAAGCGGAAACTCGACAACTTCGATCCCAACAAGTCCGATTCAAACGACACGGACTTCGACCCGTCGGAAGATAGACCACGGAAGTCTGCCAAGAAGTCACGATCCCACGGGAAGAGAGCGTCGGCGGCACCGCGAAAACGTACCAGATATAGAGGCTCCGACGTGACGGACGACGATGAGGAGGACAGCTTGTTAGAAGACTCATTCTCAGAACCAGAGGAGGAAGAGGAAGTCGAGATGAACGAGAAGACGGGGAGAGCGGTGCGCAAAGCTGCCAAGAAAGAGGTCAATTACGAGGAGAACAGTGATAGCGACATTCAGGACATTGTTCCTGACGACGACGACAGCGAGGAGGAAGTTACATCTAAGCGACCGATTAGACGTCCCCGAGGTGCTGCTGCATCGGCTGAGGCCGAGAGCGATAAGGAGGTTATACCAGAGAAGAAACCAGCACTGGTCGTGAAGTTGAAGGTTAAAAACAGCGCTATTCAACCAGGCCGCACCACGAGAGCTGGCAGTGCGGCTCGCACGCGTGCAGGAGCAAGCGCAGAACCTACCAGTGCTGGAATCTCAACCCGAAGAACAACACGCGGTCGCACAGAAGAGGGTGACGAGCCAATCGAATTGTCAACCTCAGGCCGTCACGTAATACGAGCTTCTCGAAGTCCAGAGCCCATCGGACGTGCTAGGTTGACCCGAGGTGCGAAAGGTGTCAAGAAGCCTGCTTCTACCATCAAGGAGGAAGTACACGAGACGAGCTCATACGAACAAGGCGAAGACGTGCCTACCGAGATTGCTGGCACCGACGAGCAGGAAGAGGCAGATGCTGCTCCTACCGAAATCCCCGACGACTCTGCTGCCCCTGTTGAGGACGAAGATGCGGATGGGGGTGAGGCGCAGACAGCAGTGGGTCTCGACGACGAAGAATCTGATGATCTTCCTCTAGCGCGTACGGGGCGGACAAGGAGTACTCGAGCGAATGCTGCGGACTCAGCCGTTGTTTCGGATATCGCAGAAGATACGACCGCTGCCGAAACCACAGGAGGATCTCGTCGCTTAACTCGGGGTTCCAAATCAAAGCAACGCAAGACCGGGGCCGAGGCAAGCAGTGATTTCGAGCCTCCTGAGGAGCCTTCTGATGATGAGATTTCGGCATCCGATGCAGAGCCTGAGAAGACCAAAGCTGATGATAATGATGATGAATACGAATCAAGCCCAGTAAGAAGAGGGAGACGCGGTGCGTCTGGAAAGTCAAAGAGTACCTCTAGAAGGCGTGGGAATCGTGCCTCTGATGATGAAATTGAGCTTGATGAAGATGAGTTAGCAGAAGAACTCCAGGACCTGAAATCGGGAACTCGGAGACGCCCTCGACGCGACCCTGATATTCTATACGAGGTGAAAGGTCGTCGTGAAAGAAAGCCTGTGGATTACAGCATCAAGCCAATGGATCAGATATATGCCGCTGATGAGGACGAAGAAGACGCAGCTCCAACACCTACTCGAAGGGGTAGAGGAGGTCGCAGTGGCGCCAGCCAACCCTGGGAACGAAATCTATACACCACTTTCGGTCCATTCGGTGGGGGTGGAGGTCCGACACCAGTCATTGGCGGACCGTGGGGTACTGGCGCTACTGGTGGTGTTGATTCCGATAGTAGCGACGACGAAACACTTCAGCGTCCGACTAATGTAGGAGGAAATGCGGGAATGACACCTACGTCTGCATTTCCGTCTGGATTACTCGCGCCGCTTGGCCAAACGAACAATGACCCCACTGCAACGCTCTCTGGTACCCCCGCCAATCTCGGCAAGGTCAAGAGCCAGAAAGCTCTGGCTGACGCTGATCCCCTTGGTGTCGATCAGAATGTCGACTTCTCGAAGGTTGGTGGTCTTGCAGGCCACATTGACCAATTAAAGGAAATGGTTCAGATGCCACTGCTATACCCAGAACTATTTATGAAGTTCCACGTCACTCCTCCTCGAGGCGTCCTATTCCATGGACCTCCTGGTACTGGTAAAACTCTCCTTGCGAGGGCCCTTGCGGCTAGTGTGGGAACTGGCGGACGAAAGATCACATTCTACATGCGCAAAGGTGCGGACGCTCTGAGCAAATGGGTTGGTGAAGCAGAGAGACAACTACGGTTGCTTTTTGAAGAGGCAAGGAAGACACAGCCTAGTATCATTTTCTTCGATGAAATTGATGGCCTTGCTCCTGTTCGGTCGAGTAAACAGGAACAGATCCATGCTTCCATTGTCTCCACATTGCTTGCACTGATGGATGGTATGGATGGCCGAGGGCAAGTCATCGTTATTGGTGCGACGAACAGACCCGACAACATCGACCCAGCTCTGCGGCGACCTGGGCGCTTTGACAGAGAGTTTTACTTCCCTCTTCCCGATTTCGAGGGTCGCAAATCTATTCTCAACATTCACACGAAAGACTGGGGAATAGATGACAAGTTCAAAGAGTCTCTCGCCCATGTCACAAAAGGCTATGGAGGTGCTGATCTGCGGGCTCTCTGTACTGAAGCTGCCCTTAATGCCATCCAGAGAACCTATCCTCAAATCTACTCTTCGAATGAAAAACTCATAGTCGATGCAGACAAGATCAAAGTCACGGCCAAGGATTTCATGCTATCTATAAAGAAAATGGTTCCTTCATCCGAACGATCAACTTCTTCGGGTGCAGCTCCACTTCCCAGACTGGTTGAGCCGCTTCTTCGAGATCAGCTTAAGGCAATAGAGGGTATTGTGGATAGCTTGATTCCTATCAGGAAGAAGACAACAGCTTTAGAAGAGGCTCTGTATGAACAGTACGATGATGATGACCATGGTTTTGGACGGGAGACCATGCAACAAGAATTCGAGAAATCACGTGTGTTCCGCCCACGACTGCTCATCGGTGGTGAACCGGGCATGGGACAAGCCTATATCGGTGGTGCTCTATTGAATCACTTTGAAGGCCTACATGTTCAAAGCTTTGACCTCCCTACGATCTATAGTGATTCCACCAGGGTAATTCATTCTATTCATTGCCTCCTTCTACCTTCACTAACTTCGTTCAGTCTGCCGAGACCGCAATCGTGCAATTATTTGCTGAAGTCAAACGCCACAAACCGAGTGTCATATATCTGCCAGCAATTGACACATGGTACCATACTATAAGTGAAGCTGTGCTTACTACCTTCCTTGGGCTGCTTCGAGCTATCCCTCCTACCGATCCTGTATTGGTTCTAGGCATTACCGATAACCCACCCGACAAAGTGAATCCGGAACTGGTTCGAGATTTGTTTGGATTCTCAAAGAAAAACACTTTCCTGATTAACCGGCCTTCTCGAGTGAGTGACTTCTTCCACTGACGAATGAAGTGACTTTGCTTGCTGACTTGTGTTAGGCTAATCGAGAGGAATTCTTTTCTAACATTATCACGTATGTGAGAAAGGCACCCAAGGACTTCCCAGAGCCAATGAACCGCAAGAAGAGAAAGCTCGAGAAGCTCGAAATCGCTCCTCCTCCTCCACCTCCTAGACCTCCAACCAAGGAGGAGATTAAAGCACAGAAGAAAAAGGACCATCAACTCCTGAACTTATTGAAGGTTCAAATCCAGCCAATCATGGACCAGATAAATAGGAAGTACAAGAAATTTCGGACTCCTGTAATCCCACAAAGTCAGATCCAGTATTTGTACGACGAAATGGATCCCAATTTTGTACGCCCAGACATACCACAATTTCGACCATTTGAGTTGGGTGTAAACAAGGATGGTGTGAAAGGGTTACGTGAAACTGCCAGTGGGAAATTTTTCTACAATTTAGAAACAACGACGATCGAGGAACGTCTGTCAAATGGCTTTTATGCGCGACCCAAGGATTTCCTAGCTGACATCAGATCCCTGGCGAAAGATGCAAAACACATTGGTGACAAGGATCGGGCTTTGAAGGCAAAAGAGCTTCTTGCCAATGTTGAGGTCGATATTGCAGCAATCGAGGCTCAGCCTGCTTTTGCTGATTGCGAGAACGTCTATCTAAGACAGCTGCAACGAGCGAAGGAAAAGGAGGAGAAGCTCAGGAAGAGAGCAGCAGAAATCGCCGGGTTTGATTCTGTTGTCCGGTCTGACATTACAGACAGCGGAGTAGCCCTTGGTGAAGCCGTTCCGGGTAGACTGCCCACCGCGTTGGCAACCCCTGTACGCTCAAGTGGTCTGTCGAATGGTGTATCAGCAGGGTCCGAACATTCACAGTCCCATAATGGGACCTCAGTCCCTTCACGCCAAAATGGTGACGACGTCCATATGACTGGAACAGAGGATCATGACCAGCAGGCATATTCAAATTCTCAAGGGATGCAACCTCCTGATAAGCGACGGCAGGCGATTCTCCGGGGTTCCTCGAACCCTTCAAACCACACCACCGGCGCAAACACTCAAATTTCTCAGCGATCAGCCTTCCAGGAAATATCACATGACACCTCCCCTTCTGCGTTGATCAACGATGCATCCACAACAACATCTGGCAAGAAGACATCGGATGGATGGAGCACGCAGGCTACCAATGGGATTGGTGGCCATTCATCCAGTCCTGTAGAAAAACCTGCACACGATTCCCAACTACCAGATACCCAACGAAATTCCGAGAGTCAGCAAAATAACACTCAGGGCGACACCAGCAGTGACGATCCATGGCCCCATTCACAGGCTCATGGTCTTGCTCGTGGCAATATTGTACAGACGTATGGTTCTCAAACTCCAAGTTCAGGGAGCTCGTACTCCCAGAACCCCGCAGTACCACCATTTAATGCACCCTCTCGTCAGCCCTCGGCAGTCAAGAAGGCAAGCATGGCTAATATTCTTAACGATTCTCCTGTCGATCCAGCTTCACAGACCTCTTCGCAGAAAGAAATTATCACCGACGAGTTTTTCCTCGATGACCTGCTGAAAAGACTTGTAGAGGGCTCTAGCGGATGTTCGATTGAGCAGTTAGAGCAAATCAATCGCGAGCTGATGGATACATTGTGGGCAATGAGAGGAGAGTACAATCGAAACCGCGTGGCGGCCAAGTTGGTGGATGTGTTCAATGACACCATCACCGATATCGAGGCGATGCAGAAGGTTCTTCAGGCGAGTCAAGAATCGCAGTTGCAATCATAATGAGGCTCGGGGAAAGTGAACGGTAGGATGGGGGCGTACGGTTTGGGAATTTAGTCGTGTGGAACGGACTTGGGATTTTGAATTTGTATTACAGCAATGCGGGATTCGGCAAGATTGTATAACAAGAGAATGGATGACATTTATCTGTGAATATCCTCAGCTGCAGTGATTGGTGTGCATCGGCCAAGTGATATAAGGTATGGTCTTAGTTCTCTAGTTATGTACTTGGTTTCAGTGATTCATGATCGAATACACCAACTTGCACTCTTGTCTGCGGGAGCTGAGATGGACAAAGGCCTTTTCCGGGGCCAGACAGCTAGGGGAAGGATATCTTTGGATCTATTATTCCAACATCTCAACTCCGTCCAGGTGGCACAAAGTAAAATTATATCAACGCATCATACCATATACAATATGCACAGCCGATTTTCCACATTCCAAACATCGACACCCCGGAATACTCGCCACTAATACTCTCAGGGTTTGTTTCTCCCCCGATACTCTACCTCCCCCCCCCCCCTTCTCTCTCTCCCCTTCTTTTTCGATAATGTACTTGAAGAAGCAGAAAAGCGACCTCGTAGAACACATACGGAAGTATAACCTACCCCAATTCCAGCGACTCCCCCCATGGTCTCCTACATCCCGAGGAAGGAAGGAGAACGGACGTGAAGGCCAGGACAGCTTCGAAACTCCTGGGAGACATACATACATACCCTTTTACTCGAAGCAACCGCCTTCCAAGCGCCCGGAATGCTTCTATAGGCACGGAGTTTCCGACACCTCAAGGCAAATAATTAATCGTCGCGTTTAAGCGACGGTCCTCTGACTCCGTAAGTTCGATGATTGCAGGCATGTCCCTGGTATGAACAGGGACGTTTCGGTACTTGTGTGTACCAGCGTTTTGGTTCTCGATACTTGACTACTGTAAGGGCAAAGTTGATGGATGAAACACAATCAATATGTTGATCACCCCTCCCCTGTGCATGGTTCGATGGAAAGAAATGGTCATCCACTTTACTTATTTCCACGGGTATGCTGTGGTGACTACCTACCTACTGAGGTCAATATAAGACTCATCGTGGATTTCGTGCACGTCAGTAACGGTTGAGCTACCGTCGCGGCCCGGCCGGTGATCTGATCCACACACAGAACTTGGCCCGTTAACTTGTGGAGCTTCCCGCTCGAGTTGACGTGTTCGAAGTACATATATATGTAAATGAAGTACATAGAGATGCAGGAAAACGTAGGGGTTGAAGAAATCAGAGAATCTGAAAGATATCAATACCGGTGGCCAACTCTCGAGAAGTGATAGCAACCAAATCTGGGGAGCACAGGTTTCTTCGACAGGAGGAAGGAGAACAATATGATATGCGATGAGAAAGGGATTTTAAAAGAGAGAAAGCATATGATCTGCCAAATTTTGAAAGGTGGCTTTGATGGTATTACGACATTCATATTTGGCTATGTTTCCTTTTTGGAGTGTTTTGCGAGCGGACTGGTTTTTGGTAGGTGATCATCATACATAAGGTAGGTACCTAGGTACCTAGGTATTCGAGTGCTCCAACTTCCACTAGATATTCTGTCAATGGAGATAGGTTATAGATAAGTTGATACGCATTGAGCATAGATTAGGACACTGGAGCTGGTTAAAAAAGGGCCCTAAAAGAGACATGTAGGATATTACTTGAGAGACTCTATACCGGGTTGCGTCTTGCTGGGAGGGGTCGCTGTCCTTTGCGTATAAATAGACGAGAATGATAAAATTGTTTGGACTCGACTGATCTGGAAGCAAGTTCTTTCTATCGAAACAGATTGGAGGGTTTGTATAGATTTATGTGGCAATAGGACGAGATAGAAGCTTTACAAGTCTGTTTGGTTTTTGGAGTTGTGGGGAGGTGGGGGAGAGGAAGGGGGGGGGGGGGGTGGGTAAGTCGGCGCGCGCTGCACTTAAACGTTTTCCATAGGAGTCTCGCTGTCACTTTAAAACGTTTTAGAGTAGACAGATAGAGCATATGGAGTAGAGGGAATACAAAAAGCACATTATCACATTGTCTTTCTTAACCTTATACACCTGCTCCTACCTATGCCCTGAAGACGGGGGTTCATCACGTGACTACAACGTCCGCGGGACGGCAAGACAGGGGACGAGGGGGCCTGGCCGTTCTCGTCCTACCCTACAGCTCCCTTCACCCTTCACCCTTCACCCCTCCCTCCACGCCCATGCCGAGTGGCGGACAAGGGGAAAGACAACGCATATATTCACGATTTGGAGGTAGAATCGACTTTGCACCCCGTTTTCGCTCATAGATAGATATCTTATTTACAGATAAGATGTCTACACCTATGTTGTTGGGAAGAAGACAGACGACTTTAGGTCTCAGAACTAGGTATGTCCGGCAAGCAAGGCCTGCCCGCAGCTAACGAAGCGGTATCGATAGCCATGGGATCCTTGTGCGCCTCTCTCCAAGACAGGATACATACCTCCGTACTAATGTAGTGTGAGGATACATTCCGACTGTACCTCCTCGTTCTTGTCGTCTTCGTCCTCGTCCGCGTCCGAATGAGTACGTGGTCGGCATTTGAACGAAAGCGAAAAGTCAAATTAAGACTCGGAGAGAGGGGGAAAAGGAAGAAAAAAAACCCTTGGTGCATGCACGACTTCTGAATGCTTATTACCGTGTTATTACAGCAGTGCCAGTGTCACGTTGGAGAGGCGTGTACTCTGTACGTTGCCCTGCTTCAAGGAGTCCAGGGGGGAGCTGCGGCTTGGGCCATTTTGATCGACGCTACATACCACAGACAGGTCCAGTAGTGAGGGTGCTCCTCCAGGGAAGGGCGCATCCCCTCCAGGGTGTCAATGTCATGGGGTGAACTGACTGACTGACCCCCTCACCCATCTATTCCTTCAGAGCGCGATGAACACATACAGAGTAAGGCGAAAGCTTCTTGAGAGAGGAGAGAGCAGCGAGGAGTATAAAACAGATGGGCGCCTCAATACTGCGCAGACACTGGCTGTCCCTCTCCTCGATGCGAGACCTCGAATTTTCGAGGGTGTGCTGCAGGCCTGCAGCCACGTATTCTAGTCTAGAGGCGTCAGAAGTTCGAACTGTGGACACGGTCTCTGCGGAGAAATCGTCGTCGTCAACTTGTCGCCCTCGCTCTCTTGCTCCTTCTTCCCGAACCCTCGTGAGACGAGCTTGGCCATGATTTATGATCAGATTATGGGGGCGGTACCAAAGTATCTCTCCCCGATGGGCCACATGGCAAGATGGCTGTCTGGGTAATGTGAGGCGTTCTCCTTCACCGATAGAGACGGTATCCAGTATCCAGTAACCGGGAGATGGATGAAGGACTGACTGTCGTTGACTGGCTGTCTGTCCGACATGGCTGAGGGCCTTTTCCTGCCATGTCGGTCAGCCGGATTTATACACACAATATGTTTGTCCTGTATCCATCCTCTCCGCCCCAGCCCCACCGTCACTCGACACAGAGTACGCCCCGCGATACTCGTGTCGACTCGGGCAGTCCGCTTCTCGCGTGCCTGTGTGCCTGGACGAGGAGGAGAGGAGGTAATCGGGGGGTCTCGAGAGAGGATAGGCCGCAGAAGGCGGAATGGGTCTTGAACTAATATTAATATTAATCGTTGATATTTTCATTTTCGTTTTCGTTTTCGCCTTCATATTTATGCACTCAACGTACAATCAGGTACACAGTACAGCCCAGCACAGCCGGGAGGGTGAAGAGCGCGGGCTGGGCGCTGTGATTGGCCGCTACGATATACCCGTGACCCGATCGAGCCTAGCGCAGCCATGGGTGTCAGAGGCTTTGGACGACCAGCGACCCACCGCCATCCCAGGTGCTAACCGCTGCCCAATTTCCAATCTGCCTCACGGTGCTGTGCATCGAGCAAGTCCCGTAACCTTGCTGTACATCCCATTTCCACCTCCACTCCCACTCCCACTCCCACTCCCACATCTCCAACAACACCATCTGCCCTCGACGAGAGAGAGCACCAGCAATTCCACCCCGCCGTCTTCTGTCGGCCATCTCTTGCGGCCCACGGTCACGGTGACGGACGACGACGACGACATCAACGACTCTGAAAACGCCACGCCCAGCCCAGAACGAACCCC